TGCCTTAGGGGCTCGATGCTGCTACGTGCGCAGCGATGGCCTGGATTACTAGTAGGTACTCCAGAGCGGACAAGGGGTCCTTTGTCATCCATGTCACAGGGTCATGGATATGGATTTGGATTCGTATGGATGTGAGTGTGCTGCACATCCAAGAGCGGCCTCAGCGAGGCTTGGCCGCCGAGTTCCAGAAGAGGCCACTTTGCATCAAGTTCAGGTCGCTGGTATCGAGATCGAGGGCCCATTCTTTGACTTTGTCCTCAAGGTTCGCTGGTCGGGTGTCTAGGAGCAGGACAGTCTCTTTCGGAGCTGGAGCCAACGAGTCACGCGCTTCCCACAGCGTTGGCTGTGCACTGTACCTGTCAAGCGGTGGTGCCACTGTGGGTGGGCAGGTACGGGGTACATCGCACCTTCACCATCGTTAGATCAGCCGGGGGGCAGGCGTCTGATTGGTCAGGTGGGGCTGCTAGTGTGGGCCTGTGATTGGCCACCGCCTGCCACTCTGGCTGTCGAGCTCTTGCCTCCTCGATCCCGTCCATCCATGCTCTCCATCACTTCAGGCCCTTGGCTCTCTCTTTCCAATCTCTCCAACTCCCTCCTCCTTCCCGCTCCCCATTCGTACCGCTTTTCCTCCCTCTTTTCTCTCTGCTCTTCCCCTTTCGCCTCCCTCCAGTTATTCCTCTATTCCTTCCTTTGATCGCCCTTTGGCGTCTGTGCTCGCTCGTATCGTATCGTCTCGCCCGTCGCCTTTTTCAATTCGCGTACGTACGTGCGTGCGCACCGGTTTCTTCCCGCTTCGACCACAATAATAATCGGCAACCTGCCACAAAGGAAAGAACTCAACCCCGCAGCCACACAGAGGGCCTTTTAAGATCACTGCGCCTGATCCTGATCGACTTGCCTTCGACAACTCGTAATTCGACTGTATTATTCTTTTTTTCTTATTTGCATTACTATTGCTTCGATCAGCATACCGTCTTCTCTACCTAATTTCACCAACCGAAACTCAAGAGCCGATCCACCAGCGCACCCATCGAATTCCGACAGTTTGCGACTCGAGGGAGAAAATCAAACAGAAGGAAAGAAAACTTGGACAAAGACTAAAGAAAAAAAAAAACCAGAAAAAAAATCACTGAAGGGCAAGAGACGGAACGCCTTCCACCAATAGGCAGCAACCCGAGAAAGGAAAGAGGCATTGGACCGGTTTCGACCTTTGACCACCCGAATTGCCCGCACCGCTTCGTCGCGCTGCTTCTGACAAGTTTCAACCCCAGTTAGCCGTCGCTTCCCTTGAAGAACAGTTGGCTGTCAGCTCCGTTGTGTCCTGCCTCAGCTTCGCTTTGTCGTTAAGTGTACGCGTGCACAAGACCTCAAAGCCACCATACTTTTTCCAGCGCTCCCAGACGCTGCGTCATTCTCTCATCTTTCACTGCATTTACAACTCTTTTAATTTCTTCTTCTCCAACACTTTATCCAATCCCCCGTCAGGATTCTTTTTTCTTCTTCGACCTGCAACGGCATTCCATTTCTTGGATTTCTCTTTTTAAACAAACTTCTGCGAGAGTAGACAGCCGTTCTCGACCTGCCTTCCGATCCGCTATCGACATCGAGGCTTTTTATTCGGAACAAGCGAACCCGCCGGCGAGCCCTGAGCGTCTCACTTCGCTTCTTCCGTTTATTCATTTTTAAACGCTTTATCCAATCTTCTCATACACTTTCTATCCGTATATTCGGTCAGCTCTGAGCCATGAACACTGGCGGTCTTGCTCAGATGTCTACCAGTTTCTCCTCCCACACTGGGGCAGGCAACCCTATTTCCCCCATCGGAGGCCTCGCCTCTCGTCGAGGAGGTCCTAATATCAAGCCACTTTCCTTTGACAGCATTAAGAACGGTGCGGACAAGGAGAATGCACTTCCCACACCCCGCACAAGCCGCTCACACCTGCTTGCAGGTCTGAGGACTGCCCCAAAGACATCGACTGCGACATCTTTCCCCCCGCTTTCTCCAACCGGTACAGGGCCATCCCAGCAGTTTGCTAGAAACAATCTCGCAGCTCATGTCAATGGCGCCAACCCCCCCAAGTCTGCTTTCCCTCAATTCAACTCCCAGGGACAGCAGACCAACGGGTACCAGGCCATGGTGGAACAGCAGCAGCAACAATCGCAGCCGCAGCCGCAGGCTCCCCCTCAACCCCAGCCTCAGCAGCAGCAAGTGCAGCAACAAGTTCAGCAGCAGCAGCAGCAGCAGCAGCAATACACTGTGGATCAAGTTCTTGCCCCTCCTGAACTCCCCATTGATGATCAGGCTCAGGAGCAGATGGATCCCAACCTGTATGCCCAGCTCGTTGCAACCAACATGTATCTGGCCCAGCAGCAGCAGAGACTCCAGCAACAGCTGCGCCAGGTTCAAGCCGCTGCTCAGCAGTTCCAGCAGCTTAACTTGAACAACCCTCAGCTTGCACAGCAGCAGATGGCTCTTTATGAGCAGCAGCAACATCTTCGTAACCTTCAGCATCAACTAAGTGCTCAAGCTACCATGAACCAGAGCGGACAGCAGTTCTACTACAACCCCATGACTGGACAGTACTTTGTTGACAACTCAGCTCACATGTACACTGAACAGCCTATGACACCTGGTGGTTTCCAAACCTTCCAGCAGCAGCACCAGCAGCAATATCAGCAGTTTCAGCAACAGCAGCAGCAAGGTACCCCTCGCGTGCAGGTTTCGCCACCACCAGAGAACCAGACCAACGGCTTCAGGAGCAACTCCCCTCCCAAGAGATATGAGTCTCCGGTTGAGGTTGCCCCGCTGCCACCTCCTTCCGCTAATGCCTTCCGCCGTGGGCACAACAAGGTCAAGTCCATCACGCCCATCAACGCTGCTCTGGCGTCAACTGCGACAGATCCCGCACTTGGTTCTGCTGGACCCCGAACGGGCACTTTCCCGCCAGCTGGATATGGCCCTGGCCAGGCCCGTGCTGGAGAGCATCCAGTTCGCCAACCTCGTGGACCTCCATCTCTTGATGAGCTGAAGCTGAAGCCGACTTCTAAACATGAGGGTAGCAAGAACTTTGCTGCCCGTACTCGACGATCTGCCGTTCACAACCTTGTTCGAGCTGGTCTTGAACGACGCAAGGGGACAGGTAGCTCGAGCGGCAGCATGAGTCCAGTGTCCGAGACAGCAGAGGAATCGACAACGCCAATTACCGACAACGATTCCGAGTCTGGACGCAGCGGCTCTGGCAGTCTCGCCGGCGAGGAGTGTTCCACCACTCGCAAGCAGACTAGTGGAAGCTGGGGAGCTATTGGCTCTGATCGGCCTGGCTCGCGCCAGAAGACTCGTAAGAGCGTGGACAGTGATGCATCAGACACCGATAATGGCTCATTCGCCAATGTGTTTAAGAACGGTGCTCCGCGAGCATCTCAGGCCCAGGAGGCGACAGATGACCGCAAACCCCCAAGGCTAGTTTTTACGAGTGCTGAGAAACGTAAGACGAACCCGGTGGCTTAAGCCTCGATTAGCAACTCGGCCTTCCAAGGGGCTTGTCATTTCAATCAGTTTACTTTTACTTCTTATCCGGTCACTATTTTGCTTCTTTTTTTATATCACGACTTACGCCCAGACTCTGTGACATGAACGTTCAGGACTGGCGGATTGCATGATGTCGATTTGTTTTCGGTTCTTTGTGCACAACTGGCTCACTTGAGGGCCACCTGTGAAGCACAGCAGCGGTATCATCCGCTTTTCTACAAGACATGAACAACATTATAATTCGCTTCGCAGTCTGTCCTTGAAACGGTTTTCTCATTTTTCTTTTTTCCCTTTTACTTTTTGTGTGCACATTTCGACGACTCGGGAGGCACTACTTTGAAGGCACAGTTTTGAAGGCCCTCTAGCTTTAGAGACGGCCGTTGGAAGAATGCGGTATTGGTTTATCATGAGTATCGTTTACCGCTATGGGTTAGGGGTCGATGATGCATTTGAATGTGCGCACGTGGAAAGTCTATTCCCTCCTTTTTCGGGAAGTGAGTTTGTTTCTGGTACAGGCCAAACTGTGTTCTGGCTCTGAGACGAGCCGGATCGGATTCCAGGATCCGACACTGGCTTGCTTGCTCTTCTTGATTGTGTTGCCATTTGGTTGTATGGCAAGGTGAGGCTACTCAAGGCTACTGGCTTAGCGGAGGGGAAACCGTGACTGAGGAGCCCTGCCAGCAAAGGCTCAACTGGAGTGATGAAGGAGGCGGGTAGATAGATGAAGGCACATGGAATAGACACCAATAACTGCAATCATCGGTTCCTGACTGCAAAGTCTTAACGTGATATGAAAGAGTTGAGTCGATATCTAAAAGGGAGTATGTTGAGGTGATGAATTGCGTGTTTTCCGAAGAAGAGCCTTGGGAAGAACTAGGATTGGAGAAGATGATGGCTCGACTTTATAGATTGCGTCTTTCCAGATCCAGTACTCGAAAGGGGCTCAGCTCTTGGGTCAAAACGCCGGAGGAGTGCCGGCTATGCCACCCGAGACAAGGCACGGCAACTAATGAAATGCGCGGCCGGCATTGACGTCGGCAAGAGCCATGACACGCGGCTGGGCTTAGCGCCAGCGTTGGTAAAAGGCAGAACGAGCGGATGCGAGAAACCCGAGGGCACAACCCGAGGGCACAACCCGAGGTCGCAACCCGAGTGCGCGACTCTGCTCCACCAATCGGAGTGGCCTGAATGCAACGGTAGTCGCTGGTTTGAGGAGAGGAGAGAATTGGAGCCTTGAGACAGTGGCTCGGGTCTGGGCACGATGGGAGGGGATGTCATGGAGTCTGGCGGTAGCTTCCTGAGCTTGCATCTATCCTATAAAGCGGCTCGATGTCGCTCGTCTTTGGTCTATTCAGCCAGAACTCTATCTACCTACGCCTCTGTGCACCTATTAGAGAACCCTTTTCCTTCAGTGGGTGGCGACGGTGCAATTGTCTGTTTTCAATTCAACAAGGAGAGCAGTATCATCTAGTTTGACTTGGTCGGGATGCTGCCTGACAAGACCGTCCAACCGCACGGGGCTTCTGAAAAGGAGCCGCCGGAACAGTTCGAAGAGGCGCCGCCTACTTATGAAGCAGCAGTCGAAGAACTGGTCAAGACTTTACCCGGAACCAGAGGTACGTACAGTGTAGAGAAGTCTAGGTTGTTTGGACCGCCCAAAATATGGTTGGTACTGATGAAATCGCAGACGATGGCCGTATCGATATCCGCTTGGATTCAGCCTTGTATCGCCGCCTTTCTCTCCTAGTTCCTAGCGAGAAGTTAAGACGCAAGTCGGAGGCCCCGCCAGACTATAGTGAGAGAGATGGGAGGTCCATCCGCCTCAACATCGTCATCCAAGTGGTTGGAAGCCGCGGCGATGTCCAGCCCTTTGCCGCTCTCGGCTGTCAGCTCCTCCGCCACGGTCACCGGGTGAGGATCGCCACGCACGGCGCCTTCAGTGACTTTGTGCGCTCTTCCGGGCTCGAGTTCTTCCCCATCGGCGGCGATCCCGCGGACCTGATGGCGTACATGGTGAAGAACCCGGGGCTTGTCCCTAGCATGGAGAGCCTGCGCGCCGGCGACGTCCAGAAGAAGCGGAAGATGGTGGCCGAGATGCTCGAGGGCTGCTGGGACTCGTGCATCGCGCCGGACCCCATGACCGGCCGCCCCTTTGTGGCCGAGGCCATCATCGCGAACCCGCCTAGCTTTGCGCACGTTCACTGCTCGCAGGCGCTGGGGATCCCGCTGCATCTCATGTTCACCATGCCGTGGACGAGCACGGGCGAGTTTTGCCATCCGCTGGCGAATATAGTCGGGCACAGGCGAGGGGTGTCGGCTTCTCTGGCCAACCATGTATCGTATTTGGTGGTTGAGTGGATGACATGGCAAGGGTGTGTATTCGTCCCTCCTTCTGTTATTGGTTCCTTTTGCTGACCTAGAGACTTTGTTCCCGTTGATTTACTAGGCTGGGAGATATTGTGAATACGTGGAGACATGGCTTGGATCTTGAGCCTATTCCCTTCACCGAGGGGCCCCTTCTCGCTGAGACTCAAAATATCCCGTTCACATATTGCTGGTCTCCAGCTCTGATACCTAAACCAGCTGATTGGCCAGCACATATTGGTAAGAGTTGTCTCGCTGAAAATAATTTGTGAAGTACATGCAGAGTTACTGACAGTTCTCGCTAGATGTGTGTGGATTCTTCTTTCGAGAGGCTCCCCAGTACACCCCAGAGCCCGAGTTGGACGCATTCCTGAAGGCCGGACCGCCTCCTGTCTACATCGGATTTGGAAGCATTGTTATTGACAATCCGGAGAGATTGACTCAACTTATCCTCGCTGCCGTTGGAGAAGTCGGCGTACGTGCCATCATATCCAAGGGGTGGAGTAACCTGGGACTCGGCCAGGAGCAAAGCAGCGATGTCTTCTTCCTGGGTGACTGCCCTCATGAGTGGCTGTTTCAACATGTTTCAGCAGTTGTGCACCACGGCGGTGCTGGGACGACGGCCTGCGGTCTCCTTCATGGCCGGCCAACGACTATCGTTCCCTTCTTCGGCGAGTGAGTTCCGCCTCCCCTTGATATACCCTTAAGTGAGATGTCTTTGTATGAAGAAAGTTCTGACTCGGATTTCTTCCTCTAGCCAACCGTTCTGGGGCCATATGGTGGCTGCTGCAGGCGCTGGTCCCGAGCCCATACCACAGTTACAATTAAACACACGGAATCTGGCTGAGGCTATTCGGTTTTGTCTTAGCCCGAATGCTTTGGAGGCAGCACAGCAAATGGCAGCGAAGATGCGTGCTGAATCTGGGGTGGAGCGTGCTGTGCAGTCGTTCTATGCGAACCTACCTCTAAAGCAAATGAGATGCGATGTGTTGCCATCTCGTGCTGCTGTATGGAAATGTAAGAAAGGCAAAAGGCAGATAAAACTGTCATCAATGGCGGTTAGTGTATTGACGGACAACATGAGGCTCGACTGGAAAGAATTGAGGTCGTAGGTCGTAGTCCAATCCCCATGGTCAACACTAAGGCTGGCATTTGATTACTGACGGGAGTTGTTTACTCTGGGTTTAGATATCAGAGCAAACCCATCAACATCCACCTCCGCAGATGGGACCCGTTCACAGCCACCGTGTCATCCTTGATGAGCACGGGTACGGGAATTGTGACATCGACCGCGGACATCTTCATCAAGCCAGTCCAGGCTTTCCAGAAGCCCAAATCGTTGAAAGGGGATGGCGCATCCGGTGAGACCGCCTCCGTGAGCTCTGCCAGCGAGGATATTTTCTGCAGGCCGGCCGGCACACCCCTGCCGCCTCCGAGAAGTGAAAGCGACGACCATAGACACAACCCCACTGTGACAGCTCTGACGGGGGCAGCGGGTGGAGTTGGAGGTGTCTTGAAGCATTTCTACAAGGGCATGCTCGCCGATCTGCCGCTCGCTGTGGCGGAGGGGATGCGTGTTGCCCCGCGCCTCTACGGCGGAGAGGTCTACGAGCCCGGCCAGGTGACGGACTGGAAGTCTGGCGGCATCGTGGCGGGCAAGAACTTCAGCCACGGGATCGTCGAGGGGATCGGCGGCCTGGTGACGGAGCCCATGAGGGGGGCCAAGGAGGGAGGGGCGGCGGGCGCGGCGAAGGGTGCTGGCGTGGGACTGCTCAACCTTGGGACCAAGATGAGTTCTGGCCTCGTCGGCTTGGTGGCCTTCTCGAGCCAGGGCTTGATCAAGAGCATGCATTCCGTGGCCCACCGGTCGACGGGGGAAGCGATCAAGGCGGCGAGGAAGGACGAGGTGCTCGAGATGACGGCTTCGGGGAGGAGCGAGGATGTGAAGCAGGTTGTTTTGCGGGACTTTGGGAGGCTGGTAATCTTTGGAGATGAGAGTAGGGTCTAATGGGATAGGAGTTGTATTATGTGTAATGATGCGGTATACCAGGGCTTGCATAGATGTTCCAAGTATTGTTATTGCTACTTCGAGATGTATCATACCATTCGTGAATTGTCATAATGTTTTAATTGTTGGCTTGTAGAAGTCTGTCCGAATTTTTAAGACCCTTGATACTCCAATGGTTCTGGGATATTGTTCTTGTGATATTGTTCTGTGATATTGTTCTGTATATTAAGTTGGGATTGAATCATTTTACTGAGAGAAAATTTCACTGCGGCTCATGAAGATGAATATCCAAAGTGAATTTGGCTACTGAAACGAGATGATGCGTTCTAGACGCCGAGACAGCCAGGTCCCTCACTCGAGTCATGTTATATAATTTTTATACATATGCCGATATTTGTTACAAATAACTCGACCATGTGGCCCCCTTTTCCCCAATCCATTACATCAACAGGTATCCTATGCCATGTGGCGGGCATGGTGTCTAAGGTGACGCTTCTGCTTGGAGCAGGCCGACTCGCCCTGAGATGGCTGGGCAGACGGGGTGGAGGTGGTCGCGGCGGCCGTGCTGGACTCGCTGCTTGTTGACTGGATGCTGCTGGTGGTAGCCGGAGCGGGAGACTGGGTAGACGCCTGCGTCGAGGAAGTCTGAGCGGCGGCGGCTTGGGTGGATGAGGAGGAAGAGGAGGGTTGGTTCCCGCTCTCGACGAAGATGTCGTCCTGGGCGCCGTCCTTGAAGCCCATGCGCTCGTTGTAGGTGGGAGTGCGGCCCTGGGGAGCCACGACGTTGTCGCCGCTGGCCTCTGTAGGAAACTCATGTTAGTATATATGATTCTCATTTCTGGGATTGTATAAGTAAGGGGAATATACGGTTCCAGGCCATCATCTGCTTGGGGCCGGAGAGACACTTGGACTGGTCGTCCTCGCACCAGATGGGGGCCTTGGGGGTGCCGAGGGTCTTGGTCGACTTGCTGCCGGTGACCTTGCACCGGTGGTTGGACATGTACATGTTGGGTTGGCCGCCTATTTCCAACCATGTTAGCATTTTGTCTTGTTTCCCTTCTCCAGCTACTCTCTCTCTCTTCAACATGAAACTCACATCCATCGGGGATCCAGAGCCAGGCGCAGTAGCAGCCCTCGGGAGGACACTCCGGGAGATCGGCCGGCACGTCGTAGCTGGTCAGGCGCTTCCAGGGCGTGTGGTAGCGCACAGAGAAGACGACGAGGTTGTCCATGGTGACCTTGTCGAGGTCGCTCTCGTAGGAGATGGCCCAGGCGGTTCCCGCGGCGTGCTCGCGGCTCCGGGCGTGGAGCTCGCCGCCTGCGCCGTCCGGATTCTCGACGAGGCAGCCTGGTGGGCTGCCGGGGCCGACCCAGGGCTCGGTGCGGTTCTGGCCGTCCTGCCAGTCGGAGACGTACTGGCCGTTATAGGAGAGGGTGGTGAAGGCGCGGTTGTTGGCGAGCTCGGTGGTGAAGGAGGCGCCGGCGGGGAGCTCGAGGAACTCGCCGTCGGGAGGGGGGACGAGGTGGCAGCCTCGGTCGCGCTGCTGCCACCAGACGTCCTTTTCCAGCTGGTAGAGGGGGTTGACGATGAGGTTGGTGTTTTGGTTGTCCTCATTGGTGTTGTTTCCGCCCTGTTACTCGGTCAGACAGTGTTGGAGGAATGAGGGGATGGGGATGCGTATTACTTTACAGTACATGCCCGGGTTCCAGGTCCCGACGTGGGCATTAGCCGAGATGGCAAGGAGAGAAGCAATGAAGGCGTGAGATAGCATGGTTGATTCTGTTCTCTGGATCTACAGAGAAGAAGGAGTAATCACTGGAGAAGCGAACTGAAAGAGGGAGGCAGTGAATAGAATGGCAGACCAAATCAAGAAATATAAAGAAGGAATGAATGAGCACTTGGCTTGCAGAATCAAAAGATTCACGATGGAGGGAGGCGAGGGCATTCAGGCTTCATATAGGAGGGTTCGGCTGATCAACAGTTCAGCCATCACCTACATATGCCAAGAAGGTATCGCATTACACACACATTAGGCTGGACCAGCTAGCCGCCTTACGGGTAGATCAGTTTCATCCAGGAATAACAGCTCGGGCTAGGAGATGGCGTGGCCTGGGCAAGCTTGGCCAGGAAGCGCGGGGAGAGGCGCATCACGGCCCTTCATCTCGGCAACGGCCATCGACAAGACGCGGCATTTGAACAGCGGCAGTCATCAAGTGCTGTGCCGTAGCTGAGTACACGTATTCTGCTGATATATCGTGAGAGTCTGCGTCTTGATTTGCCGGTTGCTGGTTCTAGACGCTGCACGTTCATTTTTAGTTGAAACTGATCCGCCCGTCTCATCTCTTGGCCCCTGCAGCCCCCCGGCCGGTTCTCAAACGGCTTGTACATGGGGACTCGGTGACAAAGAGCTTTGAAGCTTGCCGTTTCTGGCCATATTCACTAAAAGGATTATGCCCAGCCCGATGACCAACAGATGTATAAGAGTCCAACCCCACAACCACGGTCCTCGTCAATTATATCAACCTTCCTTTGCCACCTTCTGGAGGCTCGATATATTCGGCTTGCTCGGTAGACGCATTTCCCTCAATGTATTATGAGACCATTCTTTATTTGATAACGTTTATGTGAAGTCATGGGAGTATTTGTGCTCTCCCCAGTCGCGCAGCGAAATAAGCATATTGATTGACAACTCACTTGACTGTAAGAGCCAAGCCGGTAGCCTGATCTAGTTCCCCGGTGGGCGACCTTCCAGAATTGATCGGCTTCTAACTCAAAGGTAATTCTTGGCTAATTGCCTCTTTGCATCTCTATCCATCTAGTCTAGAGATGGATCTAGTGCCATCATTTCTCTGTGGTGTCTTCCCCATCTCTCTATAGAGTCCTGCTCGATGTTTCACATTCGTTGGGAGAGCATATTCAGTATGAAGCTCGCCCAGTACTGAAGGGTTTAATCACAGGGCATTGTATTGGTTTGACGCTGATGACAGCCTATACGTGGAGAGGGGAGCAGACAGGGCTTCTTAGCGGTGGCATCTGAGTGGTACGAAGATGCACTTGAATGTTATTCAATTTTTGTTCAGTGTCATTATATTGGTCATAAGCTCGTTCTTCGCTTTACGAATCATGTTTCAGACCTCCTCAAAGCCACTCTGTGCTAGGTCTCAGGCTATGCCGTGGCTCGACCCAAGTAACTGCCCATGCCGGTTCCAGCTCCGCCCAAATTTAGAGCGTGATGGACTGCTTGGACTCGCCGGTGAGAAGTGCGGCTGGAGCAGTGGTGAAGTTGGGGAGGTCGCCCAGGACCACGTCCTTGGCGACCTTATTCCATGCGTCAAGCGAAGTCCACTTCAAGACGGCTTGGACCTGATAGGCGCCGCCCTCGGTGAACTGAACGATCTCATAGCCGGTAAGACCCCCTGGGCCCCATTCCCTATGATGAAGGTTAGCATTGGCTCCATTGTCCATTTCACTGGATGTGTCTCTGCCAAAATCCACCGTCTCCCGTGCCTGGCTTTGAGGAGCGGACCGACTTACTTGGCGACAAGCGGCATGTGAGTGTTGAGATAGTAGTCCAAGTCGAACTTGTGACCGGAGGGATAGATGACGGTGACGATGGCCATGGCTGCGGGGATTGGCGATGTTTGTGTGGTGCAATTGGGACAAGAAGATCAATTCTTTGGAGAGGAAAAGAGGGGAAGCGAGGAGATGCGTCTCTATATCTTCAAATGGATGCTGGTGAATCGGTTTTCGAACTCCGGTATTTGATTCCGCGGATGTCCAAGCTGAGTAATTTAGCTGCCAACTGAGGGGTTGGGCTCCCATTCTCCATCTATTCCATTCTCCCGAACTCCGGCAGGCCCCCTCAGAAGCATGTGGCCCCTCAGAAGCGATCCGATCAGTCTCCGCATCATGCATGGACTCGATTTGCCCAGTAGCGAAGCAGCGGCTCCCCCACCTAGATGGGTTACACTGCTGCCATCCAAGACAAGAGTATGGATTTTCGCGTGACATGCATCATATCAAAGTATAGAAGGGGCCTTGGGAAAAGAAACTAGACAGTTGTTAATTTCAAATCTGTATTGAATTTAAACTCTGGTCGGCCCATTCCGGCTTCAATGGGTTGAACAGCAATGAAGCCATCTCCAACCAACCCCCAGCACACCAGCTGGCTGTTTCTCTGTATCTCGTATCTAGGCTGTTCAGTACAATATGGTCAAATCCAAGCTGCAATGTTTGAGATAAATGAGGCCCGAGATGATTGATATCGCCCGGCCATCTCCGGCGTCCCGGACCGGCTGCGACTCAATCCCCCGCGCCGCACCGCTGCCGGGATCGGAGGCTCCCAAAGCAATTGGTCTTCCATCGTCTTTCTCACCCCGCAGCAGGAAAGAGGCTGGATAGATGCCATCCCCGTCGACCATGTGGTTTCTTGTTTCCTACGGGTAAAAGCAGATGGATAAGAAGGCGCATCCCGGTACGTGCAGTCTCGCGCCTGTTCCCACACTGGAGAGCTAACGCCTGGTAGATTGCAGAACATGCAGGAGACGTCGCATCCGCTGCGACCGTCAGCGTCCGTCCTGTCTGAAGTGTGTCTCCCGAGATCTCAGCTGTCCAGGATACGGCCGTCGCATCCAGTGGGTCAACGGCGTGGCCTCGCGCGGGCGGCTGAAGGGCCATCCAACCCCCAACCCGGAGCATCAGGATGACTCCCCAGAGAGTGAGCAGGTCGACTCAGCAGCCATATCAAGTCCCGGAGACGGACAGGTGACGGACCAGCATATCCAAGACGTCGAGACCGGCGCCGTGGTGCTCTTCCAGCCTCGCCGGATCCCGGAGCTGCGCGAGGACACGGCCGTCTTCCTCGACTACTACGACAAGTCCATCGCCGGGCTCATGGTCTGGTTCGACTCGGACGACAACGCCTACCGCAGCTGCGCCCTGCCCCTCGCCCGCCGCCAGCCGGGCCTCTTCCTGGCCATCGCCGCCGTCTCGGCCTTCCACGGCTCGTCCGCCTCGCCCTCGTTCCCCGACCAGGCCCGCGACCGCTGCCTGGCCGTCCTCAACCAGAGCACCCAGGACCTCACCCGCCGCCTCAGCACCGGCTCCAACCTGTCCGCCCGCTCCGACACCCTCCAGGCCGAGTGGCTGCTCGCCTCCATCCTCGTCATCTCCACCTACGAGATGGTCCGCGGCCGCATCCTCGCCTCAGAGGGCCACAAGCGCGCCGCCCGCTCCCTCCTCAACCTCTTCACCACTTCTTCGTCTTCCCAGTCCGACTTCTTCCTCTTCCTCCGCAACCAGCTCGCCATCCACGACGTCCTCTCCTCCATCACCGCCTTCCACGACCCCTCCGACCTCCTCGCCACCGTCGTCCCCTACCACACCCCGACCACCCTCTTCACGGACTACCTCTCCCTCGTCCACGCCGTCACCCTCCTCTCCCGCAACCTCCCTCCCCCACCCTTACCCGATCACTACAGCCTCGCCGATGCCCCTTCCACCCGCGACGCCTTCGAGCAGGCCCGCGCATCAACCCTCCTCGCCTCCGCCCGCCTCCCCTTCAGTAACCCACAACTCCGCCGCGACTTCACCCGCATCGTCGACATCTTCCACTCGGCGGCCTTGCTCTACGCCCACCGCTGCCTCGGCTTCATCGCTGCCGACGCGACCGCGGCTCTCGAGCACGCCCTCCTGTCCCGCCGCCTGCTCGACCAGCTCCTCCGCCTCGAGGACGTGCGCGCCTGGCCGCAGAACCTGCTCTGGCCGGCGTTCATCGCGGGGGTCGAGTGTCATGGCGACATCGGGGCGCAGGGGGTAGTGGAGGGCCTGTGCCGCTCGCTCTACGAGGTTACGCGGTTCGGGCACTATCTCGGCGTGCTGGATTTCCTGAGGGCGTTTTGGGGTGGTGATAGGGATGATTGGAGGGGACTGGCGGGGGAGTGGGAGGCTGAGGGGAGGAGGGTGCTCTTGTCGTAGTTTCTCATGAGAGGGGGGAGTACAATATGGCGTATTACATCATGTCCAAGGTGGAGAAAACTGTACATATCATGATCCAAGATTCTAAGCTGTTGAACTTGATTGATGCTCCCTATCTATCATCTCGTCTTGTCTCGCTCGCCCCCGTACCATTCGCCTGTGTCGAGGCCGGGGCCGTTATCGAGTATGCCCACGTCCCGTTTGAACCGCCGTAGCCACTCGTCACTGTCTGCCGTCGTGAGGTTCCACGGGTCGCCGCTGTTTGGGATTACTGTTAGCAACTCTGGTCTGTTTCATCACTGATTCTGATCCCTTGGAGCCACTTACTCTTCAAACATGATCCACCTGGCCTGGTGTCGCAACTCCTCATCCGTTGGAACGTGTTGGTTCGGATTATGCGGCGACATGGTTGCCGCTACAAATCGTGCCAGCTCTCGGGTGACAATGCGATCGAAACTGGGGTCGTTCAGGAAATAGTAGCCTCGTTTCGGATGCTGGATGGTAGGCCCGGAGTCAGGGGTGTTGATGCCACTGTTTTCATCCTGTCGCAGTTGTTGCGGCCCGGGTGGGTGGGGAGAATAAGACGTGGGTGGGTTTCCCAGGGCAAAAGATACGTCGCCGACAGCACCTACTGTCCAGGGTAAATTTGTCCAAGGCAGATGTTTCCTCTTGAACCGCCTCATCCAGGCGTCGTTGTTGGACGCTGCTGTTTTCCACTCCGCATCGTCGATCTCGTCGATGGCCGTCAGGAACATCTGTCGCAGATTTGCATCGTCAGGGTGGACCCCATGCGCCAGAAGATTTTGAACTAGCTCTGCTAGATTCTTCTCCAGGATATTATAGTTTTGAAGGATAACATCGAGGTTGGATGAACCTGCAACTCCCGGGACCGTGGAAAGGGGTGGTTCTGGCGAAGGCGACGGAATAGATATACGTTGACGAAAGCGAAGTAGCCAGAACGTGGACGCCTTCACCATTTCAACCAGCCAGGTTGTGGCGATATCGCTCATGGAAGCGGATTGCCTTTCCATTCGCAGTATGATACTGCAGGCTTCTTGTTGAAGTTCGGCGTCTGATATAGCCGCATTACCATGGGCTTGCACGAATTTGATAAGCTGTGCTTCCAGGGGACACGACTCAAAAATATCGTTCTTCCCTATGATTCCCGTGTAAGAGAGCCTGCACTCGGAATTGATGCGCAGCGGTGCGAGCCTTGCCTTTTGGATGATGGCATCGGAAGACATGATCAGATCCCGCAGCCACGAATCTGCGGGTTCGTGAGGGCCGTGATCCGCATTCTTGTTCTCGTTTATGTGTGGCAGATCGGCTGCAAAAAGGATTCGACAGGCTTCGACATGAAGTTCTTCAGCGCTGGGGAGCCTTCCCGAGGAATCGTAACGGGTCTCGATATAGTACATTAATTCTAGCTTGATCAATTCAAAGGCATTCGGCGGCGATTCGAGGGGCGCGTTGCTGGCAGCGAACGGGAATGGTGCATGCCGCTCATGGTCAATCATGTCTAGTACAACGGTTAGCTAGAAAATACCAATTGGAACATCAAATAAGATAGAGCAAGACCTACAAGGTGGCATGGAATACGATATCCTATTCGAGACCTCGGGATCAAACCCCCATCCCCCAGACCATTCAGCCATGGTGCTACCCATTTTGAAGTGTTCTGCGAGATGGTCAACTCTAGCAGACCAGGTGTCCATCTCGATGCCGCAAAATCCGCAACGGGACCTGGTCTCGGGGATATCCATCTTCCACGCATTCAACTGCCAGTTCAGGTGTTCAGGCTTCACATTGTGGACCAGTCGCAGGTGCTGACCCAGATGGTCCTTCCGGTGAAAAGTCCGTTCAGCGGCAGATCTCTCCTGGCAGGCCGTGAAATTATGGCTTTCGATGTGTGCGTTGTCTGGGTTGATTTGGTCACAGTAGACACAAGATATTGTGCCATCCTCTTTGGCGATTCGAGGTCCCTGGGGGGCGCAGAGCCATTTTTCAAGGGCAATATGCAAGGACTTCTCGTGTCTCTGCCAAATGTGCTTCGTCTTGAATGTTTCAGTGCAGAAAGTGCACTGGAAAGTGTTCAAGGGAGCCTGCAAGGAGGTTTTGGCATCATTCCGTCTCTTGGCAGCACGAGTCTTGCGTCGCAATCTGTGCCGTCTTGGCAGTTTCACTGATGCGGCCGAATTCTGGCTATCGTAGGAGTATGCCGAGCCATCACTTGAGCCAGACGTCCCGTTACTGCTCCCAGGCGTACTGTTGAAGCCACCCAATGGGTTGCTGTCAATAGCAGGAGTGTTTTCGAGCCCTTTATCCTAGTTAGTCTCAAACATCACATCAAACACAACCTGGGTGCCGACACATACCAAATGGTCCACCAGATGCCATGGCTCGGGCAATGGCATTTGGGTTGGCGGGCTCGGAATCTGGAGGAGAATCAAACCATCGTTCCAGGGGATTCATCTGGGAGGCTTGCCGGTTCACTGCCGGCGTGCCCGGCCGCTGTGGGATATCAATGGGCTTCCCGGACCCGGAGGGGCTCTGGGTCCGAGGCGATGCTTGGTATTCGGGAATCTTGCCTCTGCGCCGAGCATTGGCAAGCCAATTGAGGATTTGAACCTTGGTGAGGCCGGTTTGGCGTTGAAGACTCTCTCTCTCCTCATCAGTGGGGAAAGGATGGCGGCCATGCGCCGCCAACCAACTACGAAGTATCCGCAGAGATTCCTTGGAGAAGCGGGTGCCAATCTTGGGAGGCAGGGCTTCCTTGGGAGTAGACGAGGCAGTCTGCAGCGTTGGAGTCTGTGGCTGGCTGCTGTTTGCGCTTGAGGTCTGGGTGATGGGGCCGAAGCCAGCCGTATCCAGGTTCGCCGGCGGGACGAAAGACGGCAGACTGAAAGAGTCATGCGGAAGAGCGTCAAGTTGCTGATCCAAGGCCAGGCTGTCAGAACCAAAGTGGTTGCCAGAGATGTCCATTGAGTCGTTGACTCCGCCTAAGAGGCCGTCAAAGTATTCCAACGCTGCCGGGTCATTGCTCTCGGCGGAGGGCAGGGTGTCCAAATCCAAGCCGGGCTCAAAAGGCGAGGGAAACAGGTGGAAAGAGTCGTCTGGATGGTCCATGGCGTGCTCGTTGGTCTCCTGGTGGCAAGGATGGTCGACGCGGGTGGATCAGCCGAGATTTCTCGACACGGAGGGATCGTAGACTAGGTTCCGGGACGGCCAAGGGAAGCAGCTTGACATTCTCACTCAATTCGGGCCGCGCTGGGACGGTCGGTCGGTGCACCAGGTCAGTCGAGCGAAGCCCTGGAAAATGTGAATAATATATATGCGGTGTCCCCACCGAGCAAGTGACTGAATGAAACCGGACCGGACTGGGTGGAGAATGGAGATGAAAAGACGAATAAAGGCCCAGGCGACTCCGAGAGAGGCAAGGAATCTGGGGAGGGGGGAGTGGCCAGAGCGGTCCACTAATACTGCGGATGGGACTTGTCAACCGCACCCTATCCCACTCTACACTCTGCACTCTACATGGGCAGCGGTGGTCCATAGCATAATCATCCGCAAGGGCGTGAGGAGGAGCACACGTGAGGAGAGCCGTGGACCAGGTCCCCGTCGCTCGGGTTGTCGCCGTTTTCCCCCCCGCTGGTCCTCCGGCATCGCTGCCATTGGCGATGGCGATGACTCAGCAGCGGGCAGAGTCCATTTCCGGATGGTAGGCAAGTGGGTGACATTGAAACAATGAGCTGCCTATTCTCCAGCCTGCGATCAGTATTATCAAATTATTTAGTGCCAATAATATATACTTGTGAGATAATACGGCATATATTTTCACTTTATTTCATTTGATACTACTGAATTCCTTGATTTATCTTAGAAAGTAGAACCACTCTTCCGTTGAGTGTCTCATTTCTCCTGTCACCCACTTGGCAGGCACGAATTGAGGAAGGCACAGATTGAGGAAGGCACGAGGCAGAGTCACCATCAGTTCAAGCAGTTGCGACCGTGAATCGGGGTTCATTGATCTCATCATGTAATATTTTAGTTTTCTGCTGTCCCCGAGTATGCACATTCGTCTAAAAAAACAGACAGATGTGTTGGTAGTTTCAACGAGCCGAGGGATCCCAGCTTTTTAAGTCTCCATCTTCATGCATACATTTGACCGAACGCCTTCTCCAAAATAGCCAACCCAACTCCATCTATGTGTCAAACCCAAACAAGAATGCCAAAAGAAAAACCGCCTTGTTCTACCCCAATTGGACAGACTATTGAGGAAGCCCGCCCATGTCTAACATGTGACCCATCTTTTCGATCTAGAAAGTAGGAATTTAGCATCCATCCCGGACGAGATGATAAGAGAAAAGAACGGTTCTTACCTTGGCCTTGAGATAGCCCTCTACTTCCTGGCTCCTGAACCCGCCACGTCCCTTCCACGACAGCGGCACCATCGCCACACGCTCTTTAACAACAATCTCCCTGTTCGGGCCCTCGACAGCCCGGATCTTGTCAGGGTTGTTGGTCAGCAGCCGGATATCCCGCTGCCCCAGGTCCAGCAGCATCGCCGTCGCCAGCCCGTAGCTCCTCGCATCCGCCGGGTGCCGCAGCAGCAGGTTGGCCTCGACCGTGTCCGAGCCCAGGTCCTGCAGGTTGTACGCCTTGAGCTTCTCGCCCAGCCCGATGCCTCGCCCCTCCTGCCGCAGGTACACGATGACGCCGCCCGTGGAGTTGCCGGGGAGGCTCATCAGGCGGGCGGCCTCATCCAGCTGCTCGCCGCAGTCGCACCGCGCGGACCAGGCCGTCTCGCCCGTGTAGCACTCCGAGTGGATGCGCACGAGCGGCGGCTCCGAGTCCTCTGCGCCGGCGTCCGACTGGGCCTGCTCGACGTTGCTGCTGGTCCGTCCCGGGTAGAGTCTCCCTGTGTAGGCGCCGCGGATCATGCGGTCCATCTCCGTCTCGCCCTCGCGCGGCGCATCGAGGCTCTTGCTCCGGATGTTGTTGCCGAAGACGATGGCCAGGTGCTCCTTGTTGTCCACGTTGTTGGTGTAGAGGTGGAGAAACATCTCCGTCCCTGCCACGGTGGGGATCCGTGCCCGCACGAGACATTCCACCTCGGGCAATGTCTCAAGCAGCTTGGGCTTCTTGTTGCCACATCCCCCAGAGGGGACGGAGCTGTCGACTGGGACGCCACGGGGTCCGGCGACGGCGGCAGATCTCGGGGTGTTGGAGCCAGGCGTCGCCGGCGGGGTGAAGGCGGGGGAGAGGAGTGACGGCGGGGGGAGTTCGCCGAGGGTCGATCCGATGGGCTGCGAGGAAGGAGTCGAGGACCCAATGTTCAGCTCCTCGATGTTCTGGGAGGTTGTGTCACCATCGTCGGCTGTCGTCGTACGCGGCGAGTAGAACGGTGGAAGCTTCTGGGAGTCGTCCTGCGCCCCCGCATGTGACACACGCGACTGGTCTCCGGCGGGCATCTTCAAAGTCCGGTGTCTTCCTGTAGGATGGAAAACCAATGCAATAATCGGTGCATGCAAAGCCAATGAGGGATAGCCAGGAATTGAATCAATCAGAAAGACGGCGAGGCTGTCGGCTCCTATAACCGGTGGGCTGGAGAGTTTGGCCGAGGTGATTTATAAGAGAGCGCTGAGGGACCGCCGGGATTAGTCATACTGGAACCATGGCTCTGGATTTCAGGGTGCTACCAGACTCTAAACCCAGTCAATCAGTGCGCTAATAATTAATTGCTGCATGATGTGGTGTGACGTGATGCCGCCAAACCCCGAACAACGGACACAATCTCGCACCGGAGCGGGAGTTTCTTCTCTGTTTCCTCTCTGTCGCAGGTGTTATAAGCATGTGCCGGCATATGATACATTGGCCGGGACATTTTGGCATCACGTCTCTGCCCAACCGAGCAGTCCGGCATCCAATTGTCAGATTCTCTCAGATTCCATGATTCATTCCTAACCCCTTTCAGATTTGGCGGGAGATCACCCAGCTGGGTTAATCGGAATAAGGAAACGGACATTCCGACTGCAACTTTTACATCATCTGCCCTCATCCTCACAGCCGTTAAGACACAGGACGACTGTTATCAGGTTTCCACGGGCTCTGGTGACGGTCATCTATGTCATTCAAGCCACAAACGCTCAAGCCAGCCAAAGAAAATGGGCTCACCACACCTCAGAAATGAGTTCTGACCAAGTTGGGAGCGACTTGGATTTCCGAAATCCTATCATAGGATGCGTCGGCCAATAGCTACGCTATAGAGTCTCTTCCACGAAAGACCAAGGCACTGTCGCAAGGCCCCTAAAGGACCGGGCAGCTTACAACAAACTTTGGGCGCAAGGAACAATGCGATATAAGATATCCTATGGCGATTGGATACTTAAGCTTACTGTCACAGAAATCTGAGATCAGCAGACGGCTCATGCATCACTAAAGTTCACCAATTGGATGCCGCTGTAGAGTCTTAACAAAGAATTTTTTTTTTCTATTTCTCTCAAATCAAGATGGTCTATTTTGGTCTATTCACAGAATGTGCAACAAAGTATATTTATAAACAAGAACAAAGGTCTGTTTCCCTCTCAGTCTGCGCTAGGCAAGACTCGACCCATGGGGATTTGCTATTTACACTTCTTAAGCAGCGACGGGCTTGCCGGTGCCGTACTCGATGTTGGTGACGGGCAGGTTCAGGGGCGTGGTGACGCCGAGGGTGTGAGGGCAGGTGGGCTGGTTGCTGACGTTGAGGTCGAGGGAGCAGACCTCATCAACACCCCAGTGGCAGATGGGGTCGAGGATGTTGTACATCTCGTAGTTCTGGGCGACCCAGCTGCTGGGCTGGGAGATGCACGAGGCGACGTAGTTCATGCTGTTGGCGGCGGTGAGGGGCAGCTTCTTGCTGGGGGTGTTGATGAGGCCGGCGCACTCGCTAGCGGGAACGTCCTCGTAGGTCATGGCGACGCCGCCGCCCATCTGGGGGCTCTCGGTGGCCGACTTACCGGAGGAGAGGTAGTTCCAGGCGTCGTAGGAGATGTCGTAGGCGCCGCCGGACTGGTCGATCTTGAGGAGGTTGAGGGTGCGGCCGGACTCGGTGTGGGTGACGCGGACGCAGATGTTGTCGCAGCCGACGCTGCTGGGCCAGTAGGCGACGCGGTTGGTGTTGATCTTGCAGCCGAGGACACCGACGGAGGACGAGTACTCGACGTGAGGGGTGACATAGATGCCGGTTCCGCGCTTGATGGCGGCACCCTCAGCGGTGATGAAAGAGGCCGCGATGGCGACGGCAGCAGTGAGAGAAGCGAACATCTTGGATGATGGGGTTTTGTGTCTGGGACTTTCTTTTCAAAAGAGAGTGTCAAGTGATATCTCAGCGCGCTGCGAGAGTAAAGGTATTGAGTTGGTTCTGAAGGACTGTGGTAGAGTGATTGCAAAGGAGTGAATCACTGAATGTGTAACGGCTCAGCCGAGTGAAGGATAGACAAGAGAGTGGTGAAGAAAGTCTCAAAGAGTGAGAGTTGGTTGCTGAGAAGGAAAAGGAGAAGCCATGATCAGAACGGGGAGGCATCTTTATACATGGCGACGAGAGGTGCCACTCGCTCTGATCTACCAGACTTTTCTTCCTCCCATCGAGAAGGTAAGTCCCCCGGCACACCCTTGTTCGGCTGGGCTCCAGTCAGAGTATACATTCGACGCTACTATCCTATGTATATCCCTCTCCCTACACACATGTGCTGTGCTATGTACACCTTGCATGCGTCGCGGGTAGAGGCTAGGCGCAATCGGGGAGTCGCCCTCCATCGAGGAAGCTCAAGAGCTGGAACCACGTCCAAGCTCCTCTGGTACCGGGATCACATTCGGACCATTTTCGTGAGCAGATGGTGGGGCCGTCAGTCTTGGTCTTTGACCTGCAGCCAGGCTGCCTCAGATCCCTGTGGGATGGATGCTAGTCAGTGTGGTGGAGAGGGCCATGTGTCGTCGTGGTGGATGTGCTGGAGTCAGTCAGCCAAGATGTCTGACTACTATTCCGGATGTACTTTATCTGAGCGGCCAATGTAGGAGGAGGAAGACCCCTGAGGGAAATCACGCATCCAACCCCAGCTAGGCTTAGGCCTGGCCGCCACTTGCCTGTTCCTGGATGGTAGTCTTTCGGGCAAGTCTCATTGGTGGTTTTCCTTGATGGATCCCAACGCCACTTACACCAGAGCCAACACTTCGGACGTAGGCGTTTTTTTCATAGTCAGGTTTTTCTCATTGTCAATTGCACAATTCTGTACCTTCTCATGATTCAAACACCTCTAATGGAGAGCTAGAAAAAGAGCAGCGAGGAGGCGTCTAGGTTGGTTGGGACCATCGAGCCGTTGGGCGAGACGCCCGAAAAACAAGCTTGCTGGGGATGAGACGACGATCCGGCGGGATCCCTTCTAAAACGTGCGGGAACGAACCTAACCTCACACGCCGTTCGCCCTGGCGAGCCTGCCCATCCATCTATCCGCCCACGGAAGCAATGGACGACCAGATGGGCCCCCGTTCCACCTCTCGATGCATCCACCAGTCTAGGTACTCAGGACGTCGGTTTGGCAGTTGGAATGTCAATGACGGTCAGACCCCACCTCCTACTCGGGGCTGCATAAAGAATTTTATTTTTATTCGCCTCTGGCATCCGGCAGGCAAGGAGGGGTTGCATGGTGACAAGGCCACATGGCGTCCGGTTGAAGTGGTGGGCAGGTAACTCTTGTCAATCCAGGAACCCGCTCCCTCCCTCAGCCAGCCGTCGGTCACCCTCCTCCGACTTAATTCCTTCCGACCTGAGATTCTCCGACCTGAATCGTACAAATTTGGCTACGTCCAGAAGATGGAGGGTTGTAAAGTTTCGCGCCAGCACGCCACAACGGAACCGCTGCACCAGATTAGAAGGAAGAAGCAAAAGAAGGAAAAAAGAAACGCGAAAAAATCTGATTAGGAAGCACACTGCGCCATGTCAGGTCCGGATGGATGCCGGTGCCTGAGCTAGAAGCTGTCTCATGTACCTGACCTACCCAAAACTCGTCCTGCTGGTCGCCCGAAGCACATTCGTTGCTCTCGGCAGGAGGGCCGGGGGACATGAGTCGGCAGATGTAGCCCAGTTCCCGCACGCCATGGCTTCGGACGGCAGACGAAGCGCTGTGTGGCCTCGCTCCGAAAAGGCTCGGCTTGCAGCGTCAGGCTCGCGTATACGATTGTCAGTCGAGCTTTCTTTTTCGCTCTGTGGTCTGCCACCCAGGCTTGCGATGGTGGTGTTAATATGAATAAGTCCAAAAGGGCAGTTTGGACGTTGCAGCACCCCCATGCGATCCGCCCTCCCCAGTCCAAGATGCCTGCTCGAGACACTCACTTAATCGACGACCAGTCAGCTTCCTCCAGGTCCTCGATTTTACAGCCAACAGCCCTCTGGATGGGGCACTGTTAGCGCGCCAGGGACCGGTCCAATAGGGCGCTTCAGGCTTTGTCCCGCCAGCACAGGCGCTGTCAATTAGGTGCTTCCCCCTGGAACCCAGGGCTGATGGGCTTGGTCTAGTGCGCGCTAGCCAGGGCCGTGCTGCTAAACTGCTTTCCCCCTTCCTCGGGCATGCATCCATTCCATCCATTCTGTTGGGAACAATTGTCGCGGGCAGCCGCTAATAAGGTAGGCAGACACTACTCTAGCCAGTAGGGACCCGAGCGCAGTCCTGACCGCGAGCCGGTGTGGAACTTGCTCACGGCGGATGCACAAAGCCGCCTCGGTCGCTTCGGCTTCGCCTCTGGCTGTGCCTATGGCCATCCACCACGTCAGTCAACCCACACTGGCGCTTGTGTGCGCACTATCCCGTTCTCAATCAAGAGGGAGAAGAAAATGGAAGGCCCAAGAGAGGTCATGAGAGAGACGAGAGGAAAAAAGCAAACGTCGAGATGGCACTTGCCGGAGTGGGAGTGTGCCTGGCCTGACTTAGAGGTGGTAACACCACGAACCCCCAGGAACAGGATCTTGCTCTCGGGACCAAACATGTAGCCATCGCAAATGCCCGTCATCGTCCGTCCCCCTGGCCCTCGGCACCCCCAGAAATCCTGGCCTTAGGCAGGGTCAGGGCTGGCGAGATGGTTTCTGGTTTCTCACGACTGCCTCTCTAGGAAACCAGCGACTAATACCCAAGTGCTCAATCACTCGACTTACACGATTGTGCAAGGGCAGGGACCCCGCGTTGGAGCACCAGAGGGCGGCAGGGCCGCATGGGATCTATCTTGGCAGGGGAAGACAAGGGATCACCGCACCTGAAACTCACACACTGAGCCGTGTGCTAGGACCAGTTTTGCTGTGCCTTTTTCTGGCCCTTCTTCCTCTCCCTCTCCACGTGCCTACTAGCATTGGGCTGAACTCTTTGCGACGAACGATGGGACAAAGCAATTCCATTAATCACAATACACGTAGCATTGTCTCGTCTTATCGCCCAACCGCCGTGGCTGCAGGCTAGGTAAAACCTTGCTCTCCAGCCGTTGTTCTGATGGACCAATCCAGTGCGTGTGGTCGACGCCTCTTGATCAGTCTGCGACAAGCCACCTCCTTGAATGTCTACTATTGGCGCCTTATAGAGTAATAAGCAAGGGGGATTAAAACAACAAGTATAGACGAGATGTGCCTTGTGCGGCTGACCGGTATGTGCTACCATATCAACATTCTCCTTAGCTGCGATCGCATTGGGCAATACAACGCGCAGGACAGATAAAGTGATTGCATATTTTCTGTAATTTGGCTCAGCGGCTGCCGCCTGAGTTTGAATTCGGCTGTTGCCGACTTGATCGGCAGGTAATATTCCTCTTCAATGCCCGTCACCACCATGACTAATATCTGAGGACGGGTCCGCGAGCACTGATCCTTCAGTGGCCCGAAAGATCAGATGAACTTATTTTGCTCTAATTACTAAACATTATGCTTCCTATTGAGCCTGGTATTACCTGCCTGAACGAGGGTGCCCTACAAAGACGACCCCTTTGGCGTCTAGAATTCAAGAGAAGAATAACAGAGAAAAATAATAGGGACGTTGGTAGAGGTCTGTGGCTTGCTCCGGCTCTGATCACTTCTCCACCTGCAGGTCCGATGCAGGTACAGCTTTTGAGTTCGCCGGTGCCCAGGTACAAGGTAGAGAATGCAGGATCGCGGGTACAAGTGGCTTGTCTCATATCGAGCTGTGTGCCTCCTCCTCTTGCTTGTCCTCCCTTCATATCTCCACCCAACCTAAGTAACTCGGCCACGGGCAACTCTCCAGTGAAATCCCGACACGTCCGAATGGCGAACCGAGAGGCATCCAAGTGTTAGGTACAAGGCCGCCGTCAAGTTCCGGCTGCCTGTTGTCTCATCACATGTACCTCTTCGAGAGGTGGACATCCTGCCATCCACACACACACACACCCGCCCGGAGGCAGACACGCTTTCGTCAAGAGTCTTTCTAGAAATGGTCCCAAAAATGCAAGTGCAATTGGCATCATACACGTAGGTTAAAGGTCGGAATTTCGACCGAATAGGCTTAAGGGAAGGAAGGCTTTTGAAAGTTGAGCGCCACAAGTCCGACACAACGACCGCTCCATCGCCTCGTGTCGTCCTGCGCTAACAGCTGCCACACCATGTTTGAAATCATTGCCCTAATGCGATGGGTGAGGCATTACTGTTCCCGTTCCCGGTACCTGACTCTTACTAGGCCCTTCTCCCGCCCTGACTTTCCCCAAAGCTGCAGCCCAAATGGGTCTTATGTCCTCATTTGGTGGAGACTGGCTGTACCAACGCTGTGGGTTCCAACCGCCAGGCATCATCACAGCTTACAGCTTACCGATCAAGAGAAGAAAGCGCTGCGAGTGTCAGTACTCGGTCTGCTGCAGAGTCTGCAGAGAGGCAGTGTACATCGCCTAATCCACTTTCTCATTCTAGGAAAAGCCAAAGCTGCTGCCTTCTTCCCTCTCTCCTTTCCATATCCGATGATTCCAGCGAGCCTGTTGGGCGTTCCCTCTTCCGTAGCCTCTCGTAAGGGTATCGCATAGAGCCAAGTAGAAGCGCAAAAAGATGGGATTGAACACTTTACTCACGGCGGCTCACCAGACTATTTGCCGGTACTTCTCTCCGCTCCATCTCAGCGCAGGTTCCAGAAATCCGGGGAGCGCTTGAACCCAGCCTACTCTTCGCAGTCAAGACTAGAGTAGATCGTAGAATCGTCCCCAAAATTGCAGGCCAGGGCCTATCGTGGAACTCTATTTTGGCGGGGGGGGCCAAGCTCGCCGTCAATAATTCGGATTTCTAGCCCCGATCAGAAGGTCTTTCCCAACTTCCACACGTCGTCATCCAACGACCCGGGTTCGAGATGATGGACTTGGAAAGGAAGATGGTGACATCTCTCCATGGTTTAATCCACTCGTGATGGGTCAGTGTGAACTCTAAATTCTTGGGTTGTTTTACGCGCTGGATGGTCCAGCTTGGACTAGGAGACCCTTGGCTATATTCTGATGGGTAGGTACATGGAATCTGTCGATCCAATGTACTCCTCCAAGAGTGGTGGTGTTGGGTTCACGGAATTTGCCAGGCTAAATTGGGTCTGGATTCAACCCAACTATGGTGTGCCAGCTCGGTATGAAATCTTGCTGCGTGATGAAAACTGCTGCTTCTCATGATTCAATCTCGAAGGTGCTCGGAATTTCGGGGTCATCGGTGGTCCCCAGGACCTGGCCATGGTGACTTTGCAGTTCCGGTATGGTTCTGAATCCCCGTTCTTTCTACTCAGTTCAAGAAATTCATAGGTGTATACGACAATAGTTGTCCATGAAAATTGTTGTGATATGGAGCAGGTTTGATATGTCAAGGCATCATTGCACCATTATCATAATCTGAATCCCACCATGAATTAGGGAAAGGTCAAAGGCCCAAAAGGGGCCTTGCAAGATCTGGTATTCGCAACAATACAAATACAATAGGCGAAGAAGAAAAAGGTGACGTCTCAAGAAGATAGTCCCAGAAGTTTGCAAAGAATCGGAATTGAAATGATACATAGCCCAGACTCAACGGGTTTGCTTCCTGCTGCCTATTTCCACCAGATTTCCTGAAACTTGCTCTCTCTCCTCGCTATGTGAGCCTCCGGGGGCTGGTCCGGATACTCCTCGCTGCCTACGTGTGTGCGGGCAGTGCTCGGCCGCCGCTCAGTGGGTGTGAACGGGCGGTCGATGCGGTGGGCACCCTCGTTGGCCTCCATGAACTTATCCAGCTGGACGCCGATCCACTTCTCGCACATTCCGGCTTCGATATCCTTATCCAAGTTGACAGCGGTGTCGTCGCTGCCCGAGGACCCGCTCCGCCAGTGTCCCTCGAGGCCGTCGCCGAAGCGCTTCTCGCCGGACCTGGCCGTGGTGCACCGAGGGGTTCCGGCCATGGGGGTTCTGCCGCCGGCGGAATCCGCGTTGGAGACGAAGGCGCTGTGGTGGGCGTACTTATACTGGCCCGTGAAGAGCAGTGAGAGGGGGTGCATGAAGAACGCCAGCGCCGGGAGGGAGGCGGCCACGATGCCGACGCCGCACTCGACGATGGCCCAATACAGGTGCAGGGCGATTGTCAGGAAGACATCGTCGCCGGCCTGGCTGGTTCCGTTGGACATGGTAGGGAGGTCCTGGGACTTGCTTCCACTGAGGGAGAACCCGGCGGCCTCGACGGACATGCGGAGTCGGACGATTGAGGCAGCAACGCTCCTGTGTTGATATTAGTCTCTAAGTATTCATATAATGCTGTCGTGATGCTGTTGTCCACTTACACGATCCCCAGGGCAAAGACCCCGGCGGTGGCGATTATCTTCCCCAATTTCAATTCTGATCCCCAGATCTGGGTGAGGGTTAGCGACATCCTTGCAAGTCCAAAATAGCAACGCCCCTGTTGCAAATGGAGATCAACTTACCAATGGAATGGGGATGAGCGCGATGATGAGATTTGTGAGGAGGTCCGTGAGGCAGAAGGCGAAAACCAGTTGAGGAATCCTGGTGCAGTATTCCAAGTAGGACTCTGCGTCGCCCCAGATTGCGTAGAAGTGAGTACCACATTCAAAGATGTGGGCTCCGAAGAAAGCGACGGTCCAGAGAAGTGTGAAGGCAATGGCCGCGTTTAAAGTATGGTTCCAGGCGCTGCTGTACTCTGAAGTGAAAATTCGCTTATAAAGGAACAAGAAACTGGTCTTGATGAGGCCGAGGCAGGGGCACATGAAGATCAAGAAGTAATAGTCCAGCTGGGTTCAAAGAAAGTCAGCTGGTTTTCCGGAGATATCATAGCTTATAATCTTACCTTGGAAGCAAAAACCATCTTCTCGGTTGAAATCAAGCCGAAATCCTTCATGGTGATGTTGTCCGGGATAGCCAGAGGGTAGGCGATATATCGATGGGTAACACTCCAAATCACCAGCGATGCCATTCCTACTAGAAGAACCTACAATTCCGCAATGTAAGCTTAATTCGATCTCGCCATAAGAATCCTCCCTTGTGCTGGGCGTGGGGACTTGGCTATGATGGGCACATATACATACAGTGGCTGGCACCAACAGCCAGTCGTCCGCCAACCATTTCTGCGATTGCCTCCGCCTGGTCCAGAATCGCAGTGCCACAAAAAATACATCAAATACAATCATCCCAATTCCAACGCCAATGAGGTGCCCAGGCTCGCCATAGTACTTCTGCGCCATGACAGCGCAAATTCGGCCGGCTCGCGGCAATCGTTGCTCGGTAGGAGAAGAAAGAAGGAAAAGGCGCAACGGGCCTGCCGTGCCGCAAGAGAAGGAGGTTGGCGATTGAGCAGAGCAAAGGCATTGGAGCATTTGGCCGGGCGCGATCAGGGAGGGGTGGGAGGGCCAGGCTTATACATGTCAGAGAGGTCCAAAAGTTGAGGGCCTCGGATCGGATGGCCTTCCCCCATCCAACACGGCGGCAGAGCAGCGAGTTCCGAGGGGGAGAGTCTCGGACAGGGATGCATGGGGATTCATGGTAAGGCGCAACAGGTCTCGCTGGCCAGTATTCCAAAACCAACCGCGATGTGGTCTGCACAGGCGAAACAGATGTTGCATCGGCAGGATCCCGGCTAGGGTCGAAAGGCTGCGAGGACGTGGGATCGCTTGTGGGATGCATCCTGGTCTCAAAACGTGGTCGCGCAACCAGGGGTCCGACCCCAAACACGGCCCAGCTGTTTGAGCCTGTGTGGTGTGTGGGTGGGCGGGCACGCGTATTGGTCATACGAGCAAGATGCGATTTCGTCATGAATGTGCGTTTTTCCCCATGTCTGCTGGTGGTGAAAGAGCGCACTCGGCAGCTTTGTCTTGGGGGCGGCTGTTCCTGCGATGGCACCGGGAGTGCAGAGTGCCATTTTCATTCAAGGTTGATCACAGCCGCCTCATGGGATGAGCTGCCCCAAGGTTCAGTACGACCAGCAGGAGGCGGGGTCCAGACATGCAGCTGGCTCCCATGGGCAGCATGCAGTTAGTTCAGTTTCAACCAACTCTCCATAAGGGAGCTAAAAATTACGCCCTGACCTAATAATAATCAATGTCTCTGCAGGTAGCCAACAGATGGAGAGGCTTCTCTACATTATAATTGCTTCGGCGGTTATAGAGGATTAAGGTTTGAACAGACATAATGTAGTACCTTCCCACGGTATCAAGCGGCTGAGATGAAACATGGCTCACCAGAGCTCTTTTCGTGCAAGCTAGAGACCTCGTCCTCTTATAAATGATATTTCAAACAATAACAGTAAAATATCAAGTTATTCTATATTATTTAACTTGATATTATAGTAATAACTGGGCTAATCGTTTTGATGTTGTGTCGAAATCTGAGGCTGTATGCCATGTTTTATTTCAGCCACTGGGGTATGAGGTAGTGTGACACTGTTGAACCATCGGGGGGGTTCTACGCGCGCCAGATGAGCGCTGAGCGAACCAATCCACCCCCAACTTAGTTCTGGAGACACAAACATAAATTTGCATTTACGAAATGTTCTCTTTACCAATATTTTACTTGTACTATTTTACTTAACGGCTCTGATTACTGTAGATATGTTGAAATAGAGCGAAGCATTGGTCAATGGCTGGCGAATGGCTGTCCCACTCGCAACGGGTGCTGATAAGCGATAAGGAATTCCGGCGAAAAAAATTTCCCACCTGATTATCGCTGCGAGCCTCACATCCACTGATAATCTATCCCGCCGCCGCCAATTCCTCGCCGCTTCGCAAATTGCCCTCAATTGGGCACGCACAAGCAGCCATGGCTCCCATATTATCGTCGCAAGACGCCTCATCTATTGCCAAGAAGGAAAAGAAGGAGAAAAAGGACAAGTCCGCCAAGAAGCGTTCTCGAGAAGAAGACGCTGCCGACGCAGAGCGCAAGCACAAGAAGTCAAAGAGCGTTGTTTCAGATCCCCCACCATCCGACATCGCCAATGGTGAAGTGAGCTCCGAGAAGAAGAAGAAAAAGAAGGACAAGAAGAAGAGCGAGGCCCAGGAAGATGTCGCCAACGACGAGAGTCTAGCTGTCAAGGCTGATGATGGTGCTTCGAAACCAGAGAAGAAGAAGAAGAAGAGCAAGAAGGACGGAGTACCCGAAGAGCCTCAGACAGCCGCCGAGTCTGACAAAAAGAAGAAGAAGAAGAAAGACAAGAAAGTGAAGGAGGGCGAGCAGCCAGTGGCCGTTGAGAGCACTGAGGGTAAGAAGAAGTCCAAGAAGCACCAAGAACCGATACCCGACTCCGAGGAGGAAGAGAAACAAGAATCAGCACCAGAACCAGAGGTCGACGCCATGGAGGTCGACGACGCCCCCAAGCCAACCTCGAAATCCTCCAGCAGCAAGATCCACTCGCCGGCCGACATCCCCTCCAACCCCCAATTCCCCTTCTTCAACCAAACTGTCTCTCTCTACGAGCCCATCTATCCAAACGGATGGGCCAACCCCATCTCCGGCTGCGAATCCCAGCACCTCCGCCACCTCCTCAACCGCTACGTCCCATCCCTCCGCGGCGTCCTCCTCGAGTACAGCAATGTCGCTCTAAACGACAAGCCCAGCCGCCAGGGCGCCGCCACCGACGACGACTCCCACGCCGTCCTCTCCTCCCGCAACGAGTTCGGCGGCGGCTTCGGCTGGATCACGGCCGACGTCAAGCTGTTCGTGCCCAGCCGCGGCGCCTGGATGGAGGGCAGTGTCAACCTGCAGACCGAGGGCCACATCGGCGTCGTCTGCTTCGGCAAGTTCAACGCCTCCATCGAGGCGCGCCGCCTGCCGCCCTCGTGGAAGTGGGTGCCCAACGAGGACGCCGAGGACGGCTTCGAGGAGACGGCCTCGGTCTTCACGGGGGCCGACGAGCACGGCGTCGTGCGCCAGATCCACAGCACCGGGTTCTGGGTAGACGGCAGCGGCGACAAGATCAAGGGGAAGACCCGGTTCCGCATACGCAACTTCGACGTGGGCGTGAGCGGCGACTCGACGTACCTGAGCCTGCAGGGCACGATGCTCGACAAGCCGGGCGAGAAGAAGCTGGTCGAGCAGGAGGCCCGCGAGGCGCGTGAGAGGAAGGAGAGGAAGGGCGGGCATGCCAGGAAGAGGGCCCCCGAATTCAGTATGACGAGGTTCCTGGGCGAGGAGCAAGAGGAGAAGGAGAAGGAGAATGAGAGCCAGCCTGCTCCCACTACTCTGGGGGAGCTCAAGACGTTTGAGGAATAAGGGGACCGGGACCACGGAATGTTGTATTATGTTCGGAATCAAAAGAATTTTCCTCCTTAAGCGTGTATTGGTAATTTATTCACTTGGTTGAATGCAAAACAAACCATTTTAGGATTCGTCTAAGTCTCTTCTTGCCATTGTGATTTTCTCACTTCTGGTACTATGCAATTTTGTAGGCTCAAGGAGCGACTATGGTCAATTATTGCTACGTTAAGCTAGGTGCATGTTTGCTACAACTAAAAAGAAGGAGATGAGTTGGCGTCGGTGCCCTGCTGTGAGAACTGGCAATCTATATGTGTGCATCCTTGTTCCATGATAACATAATAGGAAAGTTCATAAACCCAAATGCTCCCCAGTCCCCATATGATCGCTTATCGCTAAAACAAAACAAAAAATAGAACCCAAAGGAAAGTATTAAAAAGAGTGTGGTGTGTGGTGTTTGTTTTGTTTTGGTTATGCGGAAGCCTTCACCATGGGTTCCCACGGTTTGGCCATATTCCAGAGGTAGATCTCCCCCTTGGGCTCGTCGCCGATCAGGCCCTGGACAAATATATGTCTGAACAGCGGCGATGCGTCGAAGAGCGGCGTGACGGGCGGTACACTAACACGCTCCCAGCCGAGGGTGAGCCCGTCGACCCACGACGGCTGGCGGCAGAACGCGTCCACCTTGTCCTCGAAGACGGCGCGGTGCCTCTCCGGGCACTCGTTGGTGACGACCTGGAAGCGCACGCCCTGGATGTCCACGGTGATGCGCTGGGCGGTGTTGGGGGCGCTGGCCAGCACCCACGTGTAGTCGGTCCTGTCCCCGCAGCTCTCCCAGTCGTACCACACCTGGGTGCCGCGCTCTGAGAAGTCCTCGAGGACGAGGCGGGAGCTGGAGTCGAAGGAGAGGGAGCAGTGCTGCCTCGAGATGCCCGGCAGGGCGGGCAGGACGATGTCGCAGGTGCGGGGGTCCGTGCCGAGGATGAAGCTCCCGGGACGCTTGGGGGTCTGGTCGAAGGAGAGCTGGATGGCCCTCTGCGGCCTGCTGACGATGAGGTTGGGGAGTTTGGAGGTGAGGTAGGCGGAGGAGTCGATGGGGATGGTGCGGAAGAAGTTTTCGGTCATATTAGTTGTTTTGTCGGCATTGCTGCCGCGCGCCGTTGGAACCAGCCAGGCGAAGATGTTCTCGAAGGTCGTCATGATGTTTGGGTATCAAAGTCGAGGATATTATATGGACAGTGTAATATGGTATGACAAGGCACTTTGTGTGCTGCAGAAAGAGACTGTAAAATGCAAATGCAAAAATGCAGAGCACGCTGTATAAAGAATGGCAGGAGAAAGATGTCTCGTTATGGAGTCCGACCCGAACGAGATGAATCGGCAAGTCGAAATGCAAACATCAAATGATAGAGAATGGAATATGGAACTGATGATGTGTTTGCCAATGTAGCCTTTCTCGAGCCTTTTTATAGAAGAGTGTTGCTGTGTGAGGACGAGAAGTGCAACAGGCCAAGACGAAGGGCAGGGCTGGTTTAAAACGCGTCGAGGGACCTGGAAACAAGTCGGTTCGAAAAAACATTCGTTCCCTTTCAATCAACGTGCATTTCCTCGTGGTTTGTGGTGGTTGGTGGGCTCTGGGGGGATGCGGTGGCACAACGGGCAGCTCTCAGCCAATCGATCTGGAGACGCGTTCGAACTTGCATACACACACCCAAATCCGATCCCCCAATGATTTGATAACAAGTCAGCTGCATGGCTACCATCTGGGGCAGATCAGACACCCAGTACCAAACACCGCGGTCGAGCCAGGATTTATCTGCACGAGTCTCGCGATGTCGTTGAGTCATCGCATGCCCACTGCCGCGACAGGCCCTGGGGCTCGGCAACAATGGTAGGCCGTCCAGGGCTGCTTGGGGAACCCGAGACCCATGAGTTATTGTCGATCACTCGTGTGAGGGCAATAGGGAAGCAAGTCTGTTACTGCATAACACGCACGTCTTAAGCTTCGCTGTGCATCACTTGGCGTAGCAGTTTGACAAAGGCTGGTGCAGAGCGAGTATTCGTCACATATGTTGGGACAGTGTTTCACCGACGGGCATCCGGAATCCAGTCCGGGCCAGAGGACGCTGGTTGGTTGATTCCATCATCATATCAATCTCATGTTTTGCCAGCTCCGTAGCTGGTCTTTGGGTGAGACTTTCTCGTGATGTGAAGCCTCCACGACACACGACACAAGCCGTGGTGGGGCGAGATTGCCAATTGCATGAAGCGCACTGGACGACAGCACGAAAGTGCAGCCTGAATTTCAAGGCATCTCTCCACAGCCCTGCAGCCGAGCTTGAACCGCCATCCAACTGCACTCTTCGATATCTCCAAACAGCAGAACGGCACATCGTCGACAGCCAATTGATCCACAGCCATGGCTTCCGACACTTCATCAGAGCCCCGGGGTGTGTTCTTTCCCACAATGTGTTCCTCTAGGTCGAAAACAAGACGCTAACCTTCTCCAGCTGCCACCCGCGAGGAGATGCGCGATGCCAAGCTCCCACTTGCCTACCGAGACAGCTGCGCCCATCTTCTGATCCCCCTCAACAAGTGCCGTCGCGAGACCTGGTACGCTCCTTGGAAGTGCACCGTACGTTCTCCCCCCCCCCCCCGCTCGGCCCCTCCCCGCCAATCCCGGAGTCTACCCAGCTTGAGACTCCAGTGGTGAGCGAGTAACTTCGAACCCTGGGTTAACCTCAATGGTGCTATATTTAGGACGAGCGTCACAGCTACGAGAAGTGCCAATACGTCGAATTCAAGAAGCGAGTGGCCAAGATGGACGAGCTACGAGAGGCCAAGGGTGGAGCCAGGAGCAACTGATTCCTTTGCGTTGTCAAATGGACCGATCGCCGGCTTATGTACATGTATGATTAAAATCGGGCAGACCATCGGAATATAAGACGCTGTCGCATCAAAACATCATCATCCTACACCCGATTCGGCCCTTGGATTTTGCCAACGCTGTCTGTTGTGGATATCAGAGGTCGAGTGACGTGTTTCTCTCGGGATGACCTCGAGTGGCTGCCGAGTCGGAGAGCTTGCCACTGCCTCTCGAGCGTGAGGGAGTAGTTGGCCCGGCCAGCTGTCACCCCGCTTGAACACCTACCATCCTGGTTCGGTGGTAACTTGGTCTCGTGTTTCTATTTTGATGTGATGTGCTGGTCAAGATCCCAATGGCCATGTGGACATGTTTTCCTCTTTCTGGGGGATCTTCTGTTGTCTTCGAAGCTTTGGCTTCGCTGTCAGCAGTCAGCCGATGGTTATTCGGTTATTTTGGTTTGCTAATACGCTCAATACGGTTCCAATCTTGTCATCTGAGCGCCTCCGTCACCGAGGCTTCACGTTCTAAGGTATATCCGAGGACAAGACAAGACATACAGCTTTCTCATCTTTCGAGCTGGATAGAATATTCGTGGCCTGTGAAAATCTCAAGTCCCTTCCAAGTAATCCCATTTCTTAGTCAAGTCCAGAGCCAAAACAATCGCATGCAATTCGGTTTCTATATTGAACATATCTCCTACCCTATAGTGGCGGCTACTTTGAACCCCAATTGCTCCAACCAGCATCTCCTTCACTTTGGTATTGGTGCATGCACATGTCAATGTTTTTGTATTATGCCGAGTGTGGTTTTACTACTCTCCCAATAAAATTAAATGCTTAAACAGTAGATTGGCGATGAAGCTATCCTTTTCTTTCTATTGAAATCATCCAGTAAGTTTTATACACATTTTCCGTCGTCAGTAAGTAGATATTCACAATAGATACTGAATGAATCTTAGAGTCAAACTCATACAACAAATGCATATCCTAGCATGGGTGTATTTAATCTAGCCATAGAAGAAATGGTAAGAATCCTCACAAATAGGCTACCAAAGCGTCCGTTGTAGTGAACCATTTATCGATAAGAAATTTCCCATCAAACCGAGCTAACGGACGCTAAAATATCTTGCAGTTCCGAATTGATTTTTTTAGCGGGTCGCGTCGACGAGCGCGGCTGTAGATTGTCAGTGGTAAGGACGTCACTGGCTGCTGGGCCTCACCTTCAGCTTCACTCGGCTTCGCCTTCCTCACGATCTTTCGTTTCTCTTTTTCCATCACCGTCGTCTTTTACCAACCTTTAATTACTTCAGATTGATTCTCCCACCTCACCATGCGGTAGCACTGAACAACATGCCTTCAGACATCCGGCTCCGCCTGACCATCCGCAGGCACGGCATTCCCGAAGTCAAGCTCGTTTGGCCGTGCGCTGCTTCCGAAGATTTTACGATCGCAAAACTCCTAAGCCAAGTCAACGATGCAATCCCTCTCGAGAGCGGCCAGTGGGGTTTTGAGGACTACGCCGTAGAGCTCGCCGATGCCTCTGGCGATAACTTCGAATGCCTGCACTACCAACGGGTTGCAGCCGTTTTCAAGAACGATGACCAAGTCCTGTAGGTTTACTCCTGCAACCCAAATTACACAACATACCCGACAGATGGGACACATGCTAACCGCGGAATTTTTTTAGAATCCGGTCCCTTCTCACCGATGATCTTAAGCGTCGCCGACTTAGTGGTCGCCACCAGATATCGTCTGATGGAAAGCACCTTGTAGATGGCCTTGCCTTTGGCCGGCCCTGGCTGCGCACCCCCGGTGATCGACCTCCAGTTACGCTTCCTCCCCGAAAACGAGCTCGCATTACGTACGATGACGATGAACTCGACGATGAGGAGGACCAGGAAGAAGAGGAGGTGCGAGGAAAGTTGCTTCTGGAAGAGGCGCAACCTTTACGCATAGGTCGTAATGGAAGACTGCTCCTGGACACCTCCGAACCTTTGGTTAGGTACCTGGACAATGGCACGGACGACGAGAATGACCAGGATTATGTTCCCAGCGGTGCCTCTAAGGAGGGACTCTCTGCTGGCGATAACGAAGACGAGGATGATGGGGACGAAGATATAGTCGATGACGGGGAAGATTTGGACGAGGAAATCCGACTCTTGCAAGCAGACAACGAAATCGTTGGCGAGCCTTCATCGCTCGGTGCAATAGATTTACCGACAGAGCCTCCCAGAAATCTGATCCAGGACTTTATCCGTGCCATCGAGGCTCCTTCCGACCCCGTTACAATGATAGCGCTCCAAGCAGCGTTCCCAGTAACCCCCAAAACCACGATCGAGAATCAACTTAGGGAGAATGAGATGGATATTCGAAGAACATATTTGTCTCTGGGCGCATCATATGATGCAGCTCTGAGCTACGACGAGCTACTGGATGGGTGTGTGACCGGACGCTTTGAGCACCAAGCCAAAATTGCAGAAACGGAGGAGGCTCTGGCAAAGGCTCCTGCGAGACCACTAATCCAGGAGGTTGAAACTATTGATGCCCCCCTGGCTTCCCATACTAGAGCTCACGGCAATGGGAACATGGCCGATGACGATACGAGCGAGAGCGGTGATGGGACATCAAGTTCGGATGATAGTAGTTCCAGTTCAGATTCAGATTCCGACTCTGGCCCAGACTCAGAGGAAGACTCAGAGGAAGGCTCGCCAGCTCACCACAACCGTGTGGTACCGCAGAGACCAGTGAGCTCTGATGAAGAATCCAGCTCCGACGACAGTTCAGACAGCGACTCTGACTCCAGCTCCAGCTCTGGAGGAATATCGCTTGTCAATAATACCAAACGCGCAATCGCAGTTGTGGAGGAAGTGGGGAGTTCGAGCGATGAATCCTCTGATTCTTCAAGCGATGACTCCGATAGTTCCGAGAGTAGTTCAGATTATGACTCAATCTCTTCCTCAAAACCTGAAGAAGCCTCATCGAAGCCGCCGGCGGCCTCGACAAGGCCCAGGATTGAGGTGGTGGAGAGCACGCCACTTATCACCGAACTGAAGCAAAAGACAGCTGTATCCTCCCCTGCGACCACTACAGAATCTAATACAGTTGGTCACGGCCAGGGTCTGAGTAGAACTCAGAAGCGGAACGCTCGTAGGAAGATGCTAAACAAACTAAAGAAAGTGGAAGAGCAGAATGAGATTGCTCGGAATATCACAACGGACAGTCTTAGCCAAGAACTCTTGACCAGGAAACAAGCGCTCTTAGATGCTGTGGCTGAAAAAGCTGTAACGGCTGATGACGAAGAGATGGCAGGCGTGGACGGCCAGGGCAGCGAGGAGGTCACTGCATCGAGGCCCCCCAAAAAACAACAGACAGAAACGCCTGTTGCAAATCCAGAAGTTGAAGTGGTCACGAATACCAAGGAATCCTCTACTACAAGTCAACGTCGTATGCGCGTTGATATGGGCGCAGGACGACGGCTCCTTTTTGGTGCTCTGGGGGTCAAGGCTCCAAAATCAAAAGCTGATGAAGAAACTCTCAAGAAGGACTTGATGAAAGATGTTCGCCCCCTTAAGAATCATCGGCACCTCGAGAATGGAGATACCCCCCCATCAGGCCAAGGCTCAAACCCTGCTAACAAGGTTGAGGATTCTCCACCGGACGACGACTGGAAGGAGAAAATCACTTACCGGGCAGTTGAGTGTTGCTACGAAGGTGTGGCACTAAGTGAACCACCGTTTCCGTTCGTCCAACGATGGGATCCTCAGCAACAATACGGGTCTATGCGGAAGCGAAAGCGCGACTCGCAGAATTTCACGCAGGACGAGCCTTACGACGATGAAGAGGGTCAATCGTACGAATACCCTGAACCGTCCGGGGCCCGCTTTGGAAGCGCACACAAGAAGGCTCGAAAAAGTAGAAGCCAAGAGCAGAAAGCGTCCCAAAGGATTGATACACAGGCAACTGATGATATTGTGCTCAACTACGATGACCCACCTACTCAGGAACGGGAGGGCACCCTGAAGAAGGAGACTGAAGACCTCCCTTCTATTCCGGATGATGTCACAAAACTCGCTCTTCTCCAGCGAGATACGGTAAAGCCTGGAATGGTCATTACTTGGAAACAGTTGTCCATGTCGAACAACTGGCAGCCCCAATTGACATCGGTTGCGGGGACTGTGATTTCCGTGAGTGATGGACAGCGGTTGCATGTGGTACTTGCCAAGCGTGATCGTGACCAGCGCGAGAAGCTTTACGATGATGAAACGGGTGAGAGGATATATGATAAATTTGAAATGCCAGATGATTCAGCTGAGGAGGACGACGCAGAGGATGATGGACATCGTGACTTGGGATGGAACGAGCTCATGGAGCCTCGGATTGTCCAGGAGGCGCCATCATCCCCGCAGGCCTCTGAACTTGCGAACAAGCAAGCATCTCCAGCAGAACCCGAAGCTATGGTGCTGGACCGGGTTCGGGTCGAGGAGGTGCAGGGGCAACAAGACCAGGACATGACTGATTCGCTTCCCCAATCAGGCCAGGGCATGGTTCACTTGGAATTCTCGATCCCTTCACTGGATCCGCCGACAACAAATAGCGACGGCAGCCGAGCTGGGGCTTCCCAAAGTCAACCGGGTGACGATCAGACAGGATCTGGTATGCTGCAACAGGAGGAGAAGCCCCTTATCGAAGTCGTGCAGAGTTCAGATGAGTCGGACTCGGATTCGGATTCAGACTCATCCTTCCAAGATGCTGCCGTGTCGCTTGATGCCATTGTTGAAAGCACCAATTCGGAAGCAGGAGATGATGCCAACCAAAGCCTCTCGCAAGGCTCAGACCCGGCCTCAAGCCCGAGCATTCATAGTGGTCGTCAACCTGGAACAGAATTGGAAGTGCCTGACTCGATGAATCAAAGAGAAGATGAAGACGAGGCTGAACCGATTATCTTTGATACAAAACAAGAAGAGAACGGGGTCACACCCAAGGCAAGGCGAGGGTCATCTGGAGATGGATCGAGTTCTTCGGAGCTCCCTTCCATCGAAGAGTTATGGGAAACGGCGCGCACATCGAAACAAACTCGTGGCGTCTTAAAGGCATCCCAGGAATCAACGACGCGCAAAGAAAAAGCTACGGGCGATGTTGAGCCCCAGGGGGGGATGCCGAAACTAAACGATGCGGAGCGTGACGGAGCTACTCCTCGACTCCGACAGAGTACGACACGAAACCTGTTCCCAAATGCTTCACAGCCAATTGTATCACACTCTTTAGAGGATTTGGATGATCTAAATGGCCAAAAGACCAACGGCCGCAGTCTACGCCAACGGACAGGTTTCGCCTCGCCCCTCGGAAAGGATATTTTGCAGTCAAGCCCTGGACCAGCCCCAGTGACATCGGAAGAAGATAACGGTGAGGATGACGAGGATAACGAAGATGATTCATCCAAGAGCAGTAAGGAGAATAGACCGCAAGAGAAGCTTGTGCGGCTAAGTAAGGGCCCTGAGCGGCAACGCATTCGCAGAGAGAAATTCAAGGCCGACCTTAGGCACAAGAGTCTGCCTCTAGCAACAGGTGTACGATCCGGCAAGAAGTACTCACCCAAGACGGGAGGGAGAAGCGTTTCCGTAGTAGGACGAAGAAGTACTAAGAAGATGTGAATATGGTACTTTGATGTGAGATATAGGGAGACTGGGATTGTTTCATATCGCGCTTTCAACCCACTTGTCGCATATCTGACTTGTTAATGTTCATAATTATACCCAGCTAAGACACAGCGAGACAAGTAGATAGCAAAATTAATGGTTACACACAATCAAAAGGTCCCGGCCATCCAGGAATGTTGATGCGGACGGTTGATTGAACCTACCTACGCAGATATCTGACTCCAGAGCCATGTGGCGGATGGCTGGGTGACACACTGGAGAAACATTGACCTCATAGACGCGCGAGGAGGCAGCACCTGTAAAACAAGGAGGGGTCATCGGCTTGGCCAATACGCCAGCTATACGCATTGGCAACACAAGACGTAGCTAACATGTTTGGTGGTCCAGCTGACCATGGAGGTGCGAGCTAGCAGACTAGAGCCCGTCCTTGGGCATCAGGTGCCAAGACGAGTGAACCAGTGTGAGATGGACCTCTCACTGTAGCAATGCGCTCTGTGCACCAAGTCTGGATGAGCTGGATGGATGGCTTTGTGTGTGTGCCGGGAGGTGGCGGGGAGGGACCCGTGCCTCGGCGTGGTCCAGCCAGTCCCTTCAGGGTCTAGGAACGGTCCAGAGTCGAATGTTACCACCATGTTAATAAGGGTCTCGGACAACGGCAAGGTGGAGGGGGAGGGATGGAGATGGAGAGAGGGCTGTCCCGTATTATTCCAGCCAGACTAGCAGGCTTAGTCTTGGCCCTATTCTTTCCCCCGCACAATTCACGACGCCTTCAAACTCACCGCCAATTGCTTTCCGGTTCCTGGACTGGCCTCTTTGTGGGGAGAGGGAGATCCTACGAGTATATTTCTGAACTGGTCGGAATGTTGTGCCTTGGAAATGGGGTGATGGGCGGGCAATGTGGCGGCTGGCGAGTGGGCGGGCTGGTTTCTTGGCGGCGATGGGGAGAGCCCTATGCATGAGAATACCGGCACGCTACATGGCCTTCGCTGACGGCGCCAAGAACGCCGGGATGTGACCGCCGGAGACAGCCAGTGAGTCAAGTGACGAGAGGTCGAGTTGAGTCGAGGAAAGGGAGGGCTTGGGAAGGGAGGGAGATAGGGATCCCTCGCTACCAGAGCAAGCCAAGGGAAGGGAAGCAGAGTGATTGACTGACCTGCCCACCTGAAGCTGGTTACATGCAATCAATAAGGTACATTTAATTAAGCTGTCTGGTGCGAGGTACCTTCCCAAGCCAAGCCAAGCCAGTGCCCAGAATAAGGTACACACAGGCCTTAGTCGTAGCCTAACACGTCCATTCACACGCCCATAAGAAACTGTAATAAGACCTAGGCAGCCAACGCTCTTGTTTTGTTTCGACCTGCAACTCTCAACTCTCCCTCTCCCTCTTCTCGCTGCTTCATCGTGCACCTACTTGTTCTTGTGGTTTGCCCACTGTCAAGACCAGATACAATTTGTGGGTTTGGTTGTATTACTGGTTGCCTCACTGGACCTACTGGTACTATAAGTCCACCAGCCACGGCACTCACCTACAACCAGCTCGACCAGGCAATTCCACAAAGTCAACAACACAATAAAATCTTCAAGTTCTCCCCCGGGTCTCTCCTCGTACGGCAAATTGCTCTTCTCTTCACCCAACCCACCAACCTCGAACCGATCATGAGGGTCCAGGTCGCGTGGGCGGTCTCACTCGCCACCACACTGATCAGCGCTGCCGCCACTACACCCACATCCGACGCTGCTGCACCTGCGCTGTTACAGGTAGTCCCACCACTACAGCAGCAGCAGAACCCCCTCGTGGACCCCTCAGTCCGCGCCCACCAGACCACACCACTGCACAGCGCCGATCAGGACCAGGACCAGGACCACCGCTGGATGGCACCCGTTGTCGTCGAGGCCGGCGCGCAGGGCGGCAGGAGCATGGGCGCCGTCGTGCTCGTCGTCGTGGGTGCCGCGGGCGTCTTCGCCATGGGCCTGGTCTAAGAAGCCTATATCCTTTCTGAAATGATTGACGAAAATGGGCCGGGGCGCAATCTGCTTTGTTGGCGTGTTTTGGGAAATACAGGGCGTTCATGGGAAACACAGCGAGCTGGGAAGACCAACGAATTGGGTAGAAAGAGTGCTCTCTTGTTTTTGGATTTGGTTGGGTGTATAGGCCTGGCCCCGCGGGATACATTGATTGATACCCTTATGGATATGATGTGCTGGACACATTTGATGATAGCACGACTGTATGAGGACGCTACTACGTGAAAAGACGTATCGGAATGGGAATATCAGACTACGATTTACACAAGTGTTGGAGGTTCCTTGCCCATGTGATTGTATGCTAACAGCCATCGCCAACATGGTATTGGAGGTGCTTGAGATGCATATCTAGGGTAGGGATGCATGGCAATCTTAAACGAAGGACCATGCCGGCCTTATCACTGAACATACAAGGGCAATGCGTATTGAAGTAGGACCCTTATTTGATCCCTGCGGGGCTGCCAAGTGGCATAAACGACAGCGTGGGAAGTTGGACGGACATTGTCATCGTCAGTCAGCTGGGAAAGGTAGATACGATTTGGTCCGCAACCCGAAACACCGTTGATTTCATGCTAGTGTATAGAAGGTAGACCTGTCGAAAAGCCGAAACCTCCTCCCCATATTGGCGCCGAATCCATGAGAACGGAAATCAGCCCAACCCGGGCAACCGTGGCCGCCCTCGACGGCGAGCTGTGTCATATAAACCGGCTCTCCGTCTCCTCCCCTCCCTCAATTCACAATCCAGGCCGGAAAAAGACAAAGAGTGGGCAGTGGAGAAAAGGAGACATAGATATTTCGTAACCAGTTTTGTTTCTCTAATAGGTCCATCCCCAGAATGCCAACACTCCAAGATGGGGTTTCCTTTTGCTTTTAGCTTTGGCGCTGTTTCCCTTTTTTGCCCCCCATCTTTTTGAAAGCAAAAAAACACCACAACCAAAACCGTGACCGACCTCCTGCTTCTCCACCAATAAAAAACCAAGGGATGTACAGAGGAAGGGGGATGTAAAATGATGCGCTTATTTCTCCTTCTTGGCCTTGGCACCCTTGACCTTCGCCGTTCCGCGGAGGGTCTTCTGTCGGTTCTTGCGCTGCTTGCCTGTATTGTCGAGCCGCGTTAGCATTTCCACGTATTGGGGGGAGAGTGAGAGAAGACATACGCTGCTGTCTGCTGGCACGCTCGACCTTGGTGCCCAGAGCGACACGGACGAGGCGGTAGTTGGGCTCGAACTTCTTCATGGCCTCGGGGGAGTCATAGACGAGGGCGAAGCCGGTGGTCTTGCCGCCACCGAAGTGGGTGCGCAGACCGAAGACGGAGATCTGTTCCTTCTGAGCCTTGTACAGGCCACCGAGCTTCTCGCGGAGCTCCTCCTTGGAGATGTTGGCACGGTTGGGGTGCAGAATGTCACTGTCAAACGCGATATCAGGTCAGCCTCAGGTTCCCTCGAAATTTGTCATTGAAAGAGCAGTTCCGCGCATGGAACGCGTCCTCTCATCCGATCCGCCTCAATTTTGTCATTCCCTGCGTGCGCAGTGCCTTTCGGAAAAGTGTCGCCGTGTCGAGATCTCAACAAACTCGGGCAGTGCAACAGCATCAGCCCCACGTTTCCGCCCATTCGATCTCGACGAGATGTTTCCTTTGTCGTCGTAATTTCGATTGTTGATCGTATACTGAGGGCAGGCACCGACGCAAGGGAAATTGCTGATGAGGCAGGCGGAGCGGGGAGACGACTCGTCAACGACGGAGGGACCAAGTAGGTAATACTCACACGACCATCTGCTTGCGACCCAAAAGAGGGTTGCGGATGAACTTGCGAGTTCGCAGGGTAACGGGGCTGTCGTTGTCGGCCATGGTTGTCGATGGTCTCTGCAGGAGAATTGGCTGAGGAGAGACTTTTTGGTGGTTGTCGTCGATTGCTGTCGTTCAATGAAGTGGGAAGGGCTACGAAAATTCCGTCCAGGTCGCTAAATTGGGTCCAACCCTAACAAAAATCCGCCCTGTGCGTGCATTCCGCCCGTTTCGTGGGACAGATCACGTGAGCAGCCGCAATTGTCGGCAAAGCCCCGGACCTGTGCGCTTAGTCATGTCATGGTCTTCCTGCTTGAGTGGGGTATTAGGTAAGCGGATCGACTAACTGCTCATGCCGATCTCAGCCAATGAAGCTTCAGCTACTCTCATGCTGGGGCATCACAGGCCGGTGCAGAAGTTCAAGATGAGCAAGGTCTGGTCCAAAGAGGTGGACAGATTCTGCCACCAGTATCTACAGGTCGAGCCTACTCTTGACTTTCCTAGCCCGGAATTTCTTAGACTCAGCGAGGTTCAGGATGCTCTCTATGCTCTGTTGTACGCTGACGGGGCAGTCCGCTATGGGCCTCCAGCACGGTACCAGACAAAGATTTTGAAGGAGCTTGTTGCCAAGGTTGAGGCTAGTATCGATGACTGGGACCAATATGTAAGCTATCCCAAAAATACGCTGCCGGGAGGGAAATGCTGGAACATTCAAGAGTGTTCGTTTCCTTACTCCCGAGCTTAAATGGTCAATTCTGACCTACGAGGTAGGAAGTATCTGAGAACCTGATGAGTACCCTGTCAAGTCTCCTCGCTACACCCGTCCCGGGAGAAGCTGCCTCAGTGCAGCAAAAATGCTATGTCACGTATCACCTCTCAGCTCTGCCTGCCTCTGCGGAGCTCAGGCATGATATCACCTTATTAGAGAACAGATCCCTGATTTCGGCAGGGGGGACAACTGGCCTTCGTACTTGGGAGGCTGCCATCCATCTTGGCCAGTACCTTTCACGCAACCCCGCTGTCGTCCAACACAAGCGTATTCTGGAGTTGGGAGCCGGCACCGGCTATTTGTCGATATTGTGTGCGGACCACCTGGATGCCGCTCATGTCATAGCCTCGGATGGATCAGACGATGTCATCAACAACCTCCCAGACAACTTCTTCCTCAATAACCTCCAGGACTCCACCAAAGTCATCCCCATGGAGGTCAAATGGGGTCATGCGCTAGTTGGCACCGAGGACGAGAAGTGGAACGGGGGCAACACAGTCGACGTCGTGCTGGGGGCCGATGTGACTTACGATAAGAGAGTGATCCCAGCGCTGGTAGGGACTGTTTTGGAGTTGTTTGACTTGTTTCCAACAGTGGAGGTCTACATCGCTGCGACGCAGCGGAATGAGGAGACGTTCTCGGTGTTTCTGGACACTTGTAAGAAGAATGCACTGGTAGTTGAGGATATGGAGTTTCCTGTCATTCCAAGGGGCTTACAGGAGGGGCCATTCTACAGTGATGGTCTCGCCATTAGAATATGTAGACTATCTCGGTCGTGATGAGAATGTGGTCTTCGACGACTCTCACATGTTATAATAGTACCACTACAGGAATGCCGGATACACCTTTCATCATATGCCTAACCGATGGTAAAGAGGGCCACCGGATACCTAAAGAAGAAGTCCCGGTAGCATAGGCAATAACAGTACATTGCAGAGCAGCCGTCCTTACTAGCACTGAGCCTGTCGAACGGTCTACTGACATGGGAATCGACGAGCTGAATTATTTTACTACCTCTCGCTAGGGGAGGAAAAGAACTGACTTTTTTTACTCAATTTACAGTAATCATCACACTGATCGGTAGACAATAAATCCTCTTTGTGGTTTATTGTCTTGACAATATCTTTATTATTGCATTATTCGGGTTGAATGCATGAGTCTATTGTGTCTGTCCGCCCCCCCGTCTGTCTGTAAACTCGTCTGTCTTGTCTGTCTTGCCTGTCCGCTCATCTCCTTTCCTTCATTCATCGTTCCTCCGCCCGCTCCCCTCTCCTCCTCCCCCGTCTCCCCCGTCTCACACTATACCCCCCACCCCCCGCCCCCCTTCCCTCTGCTCTAGCCTTTCAAGGCATTTCCCATCCATTTCTCTTCGCTTGGTCAATGAATCGATCGAGATCTATGTTATACTCAACCGATTCGGCCCTCATCCATTCATTCATGACCCTGCTAGGTCGTTTGAAGATGAGCTTTAACTGCTTCTCTGGTACCGATGCTCCTAAGTCTACAATTTCCCGAAGTGTAGAATTCAAGATGATTTTGCTCGCAGAAATATATGTTGTCGCAAATGCCAGCCACAACTTCCAATCCACCTCCGTATTCGGTAGAGCCCGTGGATAATACGGACCATCCGTAGTTCGACTATCACGCACTAGCTGCTCGGTTTCTCTGCGATAGTTTTCTCCCAACGACGGTTTGAACCGACTAGCTTTATCAAAGTCGAGCATCCAAAGCTGAAAGGGCCGATTTCTTCGTATGGGTGCCCTAGGAGCCATGTCCCTCACGCGGTGAGGATACGACCCGCTCCTAATCGCCTCTTCATCGGCGTCTAGAACAAGGAGGCGTACTTCTGGCGGGGTCAAAGGCCGGCTCCCAAGAACGTACTCGACGCCCAGCATGTTGCAACTAGCAGACCAATGACCTGCTGCGAGGCCCATGGCCATATCTTGTGCTATGGTCAAGGGCTCCATCTCCAACTCCTCGAGCTGGTCAAGGTAAAGAGGGAAGTTTTGTAAAGTCTGGAGCTCCTTTTTCCTCTTATCTGGAGCTATTTCCGATGATCTCTTCCCTAGATAGGGTCGACAGAGACAATTGTTGTTGGCCTTATCAGCAAGAGCTTTTCTCCTATTCTCAGGCTTAAAGTAAAGCTTGATGAGGTTGTCGCGGATCAACTTGGGGAGAGGCATGATTCTCTCCAGGCATATAATCGGGCCTGGTTTCTGACCCTCGTTTTTAACGGGGAATATATGGCCAATATCTTTAAACCATCGACTGGCGCTTTCGGCATCACCCATACCGCCTGACCAGAGATATCGAGGAACCATAGGCATTATGACTTTCTGGAGTTGTTCACTCGTAAATATTGCGTCTGATACTGTGCCGTTGACCTTCTGTCGCATCCTCTGGCCCATAGTAAACTTTTCCCAGAGTTTATCTAGCGAGGTAAGGGTCTTTTTAAGGCAACATCCTGTACCAGGAATCTCGAAAACTGTCCCAAAAGCGCCGCGGCCGATCTGCACCAGTTTCAGTGTACCACGGTTCGCATCCCGAAGCGCCTCCTTGCGTTCCGCGGTAGTCGATGGCACTGCCCAAACAGAAAGCGCCTTCTTGAGAACGTCTCGAGGATAATTTGCATCTCCAGGGCTAGCCTTGGCCAAAGCCTTGACCAAAGCCTTGTCTTTGGACCTTGCTACTTTCTCGCGCTGCGCGTCGGTCACGAGTTGGTCGATCGTCGTCGCCATTGAAAGATGAAAGTTTACGATTCGCTCATGTGCCCGATTTCTCGAGAGACCTTCGCTCAGAGTTGTCTCGTCAGGGCGAGCTGCTTGGCGACGCCTATCCATCATGCATCACTTGGTCAGTTTTTCTTTTTTTTGATGCAGTTGTGGTTCGAAAAACTTCTTCTTCGGTATCGACCTCCTTTGATGAATAAGTTGGCGAAGTGAAAAGGAATGGTTAAGTGAAGTTAAAAAAAAACCAAGGTAAAACAAACACAGAAGGTTCTCGAGCAAACCTCGCCCCAATTTCATGTGTCGGCGAGGTGAGTCACGCCTAGGCATTGCCTACCAACGGTATAAGCAAAGTATGTTGTACGAAAGTTTCCATTAGAATTGTACTTTACAGCATGTAATTTACCCCCGAGTATCAAAGATGCCTATTTATCTCGCCTATCTCTCCTGAAAATTCCGTAGACTCTCTATTCCTTGCAAATAAATTAACATTGAAGATCTACTATCTTACTCTCTTCTCTGGAAGGCTGACTGACACTGCTGATCATGGATCATTATATAGAAATTGGGAGAGGCACCTTTGGCGTTGTCTTTTCGAGCGACTACTCGAATACTGCCGTCAAGAAGACATTTAAAGGTAGCAACACCCTGGCAGTCGAGTTCGAACATGGGCTGGCTACGAGCTTTGCCGTAACCGCAACAGCACCTTTTCTCAAGCACAAGTTCCCAGAACCCGTACCACGTGTGCCGTGGTATGAGTCAAGCCACGGGATCCAAAAACCCTCGGCAAAAGATCCATGGTGGATTGCCAACCAACACCGCTTCCCCTCAACAAACGGCGACGATGTGCCAAATGGAGTGTTTCTGTTTGAACGCATACCGCCAGTGCCCCGGATTCTTCAGGAATCACTTATCCGCCGGTTCTGGCCACCTGAAAAACAGCAGACCGCACTCGACGATCCTGAAAACAGAGATTGCATGATCCGGCCATATCTCCAAGAGCGGTGGGCTTACCATGAGGGCAGGAGACGAAAGAGGCTGAATAACGAGCAAAAGGAGTCCCTCCGCAATTTTTCCGCGTACCTTGACGACTTGCAAGCCATGGGCATCGACTGCCACGCGGTCTCAAGACAAATCGCACTTGGTCTTGCTGTCGGTCATTGGGAAGCGCAACACGACATGACCGACGTGGAGTTCATCATTGCCGGTCGATATCCTTCGTCAGCAAACGCACCAAGAGCCCATACCATGCCGCTCGATGCCTACGACCAAATAGAGGACCTGGGCAACCGGACGATCATGACGGAAGGGATAGACAAGGGCCAAAAGTACGGTCTGCCGGCCAACACCCAAATGTGGTTCGTCGACTTCGACAAATGCAACCGCGTGCGTGTGTGGGATGATACCCTCGCCAAGGACATTCGCAAGCTTGCACTGGGGATCTGCGCCAATGATCCCTACTACCCGAACCCGCTGCCAGATACCCAGCTGGGTTGGGATGTGTTTGTGGCGTTTACCGAGACGTACATCCAGGCCGGGCGCTGTCTGCTGCAGCGGGCCTTTGAGAAGGTTGCGACGAGCGACGAGCACCTGGAGCGGATACTCCAACGGCCGTCCATGGTTATGAGGGAGTGGTCAAAGATTATGATCAATGCGAAGAGGAACAATGAGAGGGAAGTTTATGACGCCCGTGTGAAAATACGAAAGGAGCAAGGATGGAAACGGCCAGATTGGGCGATGTAGGAGCATCCAATATAGTTTCAATACTGAATCATTGAGCGTCTATCTCATGATTACTGTAGACACATCGGCATTCTGATTAGATAGAATTACCGTCATCCGGTAATTATAGCATCTTTAACGCGGACACTCCAACAGTCAACTATACTTATAAGGGAGTGATCAGAAAAGTTTGATAAATTCAAAAAGAAATAATGAGAAGGGAGTTTGTAACGCCTGTATGAAATAATCATATCAAAGGAGTAAGGATGATTGGCCAGCTTGGGTCACAGAGGAATATCTAACACAGTTTCAATACTGAATGATGGAGCAACCATCTCTTACCTGATTTGAGTTTGCCACAGAGTTATCGGAACAGCAAAGGCTAGGTAATAATCAGTACCCAAAAGGCAAAGTACCAAACTTACTAAAATCTATCATTTGTTACTACCGCATTGTTCTCGCCATCGTAGAAAGCGACCGGCCTTCATCGCATCCTGTGCTCCCAGCGAGCATTAGCCACGTCGTGGCAAAGTTGAATGGCAACCTGCTTCTTCAGGTTTGTTCCAGGTTTCAGAAAATCTCCTATACCTAAGCGTCAAAGCACGTCACTCGCAGGCGCCGGAGTAAAAGGTCAATTGGATGACGTGTGGCTGCACGCCATCAGCGCCCCGAGGTCGTACAGCGGTCTGCCCCCATCAGCGGCGTGATAGCTTCCAGCGCGAACATCAATCGGTGATGGGGTCAGCTTATCACGATGAGCAATGGACGGGCTGATAGCAGGCGATGATCCAAGGCCAGTGTTTTCTCCTTTCCTTATACTGGTTGGCTCAAAGAAGCTAGCCAAAACCTGTTTGCCGCAAGATGAGTGTGGCACTGGGATGATCTTTTGCCACGCGGGGATGTTACATGAAAACCCGTGAGATCAAAACGTTCATCTACGGCACCTGCAGGGGCGCTGTCACCCCAGAAGGCTCACTAGCCGATAATGTGGTAGCATTCTGAGGAGACAAGGCGGTGGGAGATGGGAAGCAAGGCTTTGTGATCGTCGTGTGTGTAAGTGGCTGAAGGCTGATAGCTGAGAGACGGGAAGTGAGATAATTGGCGCTTGACATCATGACAGGTACGATAACAATGCGTACAACCAGGAAAAAAGCAAGGAAGCACGGCAGCCAAGCGTAAGTACACGCATGCATGGAGTGATCTAGTCACGGGGCTACGTAAACCAGCGATCGGGGGCGGTCGACGAGCTGCGATCGATGATTCCCGATGATGAGGGACGTTTAGGGTAGGAGAAAGCTGTGGGGGTTACTGTGGCTGGGACGACACTCAATTGCGCACCGCCACAGGAGAGCGCCTCAGCTATTCATCTGGCCACGAGCGCTAGAGGTGGCAGCAATGAGACAGGGACTCGCAAAAGTCCACGCAGAGTCGTAGAATGGCTTGAAACACGCATTCCCCATGTTCTAGAAGCTAGACAGACACGGTTTAGATGATTGACGTAATCTTAAAACAACAAAAATTCCTTCAGGTTCAGGGGGCGAGGATGGCCGACGCCAGGTTCGGGAGCAAAATGTGCCAATTTCCAAGCCCTGCTGGGCAGGTGGCAGGGATGGCGCCGGTAAGTAGGAGCAACTTGCGATCGTTGACGGCGTTCCCGCTTCATTAGCTGGCGAGGCATTGGCCGAAACCCACGATGGAGATCGACGAGGGTAAGCTGCGACAACTCCCCACACATCGATCACTCTTGGGGTCAATCACCACACTCTCTGGATGCGTGCGCATGTACTGTGCGGTTAGAGACGTGTAGCAGGTCTGGCACCGGACCGGGATGGGATCACATCACAACGTGATGCGGAATCCCATGACTGCCACGTTAGGCGAACCGAACGGACGGAGGGCATCCCGGGGGAGCATAACGGGTAAAAGAGACCCTTGGGGAAGGTTGAGCTGCTGCATCGAGCTTATCACTCGGTAAATGCGAATTGGTTAGCCCGGTTATTCTCATCGAGTCGAATCCAGGGTACCACACCACCACAGCTGTGATGGATGGCTGCCAACGTGCTGGGCGCTAGATAGCCCGCTCAGATCTCCCTGGGAAACGATGTGACAGCTCAATCCAATTATTGGCCTCTATTGCAATTGCCTTTCATTTCCGCGCGCTCCCGTTTTGGGCATGCGATGCACAATCTTTAATTTCCCAGGAATGAATAGCCTCCCACTGAATCGCGATTTAGTAGCGGTAGTCTGGGGCTCTAAATGCGGCGGGTCCTGTCCCCTGCGAAGTTTTTCTTCAGTGCTGCTGGTTCACTATTGCGTAATGCAACATTCTCCAGCATGCTGGGTACAACCGGCTGGAGAAGGATGGGATGGGTAATCTGGATCAGGGTCTCGTCGGCGGCATCAGGCGTACAGTACAGTACTCCTCATACGGCCTCACCTCACTTGGCCTCGCCCGGGGCTGGTGGAGGAGCGCCCTGGAGTAGGTAGCAAGTGATCATCCGCTCCGAAACTCTCCTGACAATCCTCCACTGTTTTCTTGCTTTTTGTCTCTCGCGGCATCTATGAAGCGAGTTGATTCAATGGCATCACCCCCCAGCCATTCCATGCATCCTACGCACATCCGTCCGTGACGGGCGTGGGCCGGCAATTGACCGCCGTCTTGATTAGCTTTGGGCAATACATCACATTGTGTCAATGGCACGCCATTGATCCATCCAGCCCGATACATGCGTTCATTTTTAGGTCATTCCCGGACACCAAGCACACCCAGACAAATAGTGTAGCACGCACAGCAATACAATCCACTCAAAGAGCCCCAGCTGCTGCAAAAGCGCTGCAGACTCTGGCCACGCGCCCGCTCATAGTGCCTGTGGCCCACTGAAAAAGCAACGCAGCAGGGCCTGATAATGGCCTCTCTGCCCAATCGTGCCCTCTGCCGTGGCCACGCAACCTCCAACTGTCGGGCTGTAGCAGTGCGGATGGGGATCAGCCAGATGGATGGATATCTCGGGGTGGTCATGGCGGGAATATTGCCCCTCCCTGCCCTCTAGCCGGCGCTCGTTTTGGGGTTGGCAGTTGGCAGCTCACGATAGCGTCCCGTTGATTGCCATTCACTTATCGCCTTCGTATTTTCACCCACACCACCACCTGCCACACCGATCTGTGGTTGGCTGTCTGGGCTAGGCGGCTATTGGGTGCAACACTCTTGTTTTTTTTATTGCCACTCTGCTGTACCGGCCGTTGCTGTAAAACTTTATCGTATTGTGGTCTTCGTAAGCACCGTCGTAACCGCCGTCCAAGCCTCTTCGGATGTTTGCTCCGCGCCTTGGTGAAGGGAGCTGGGAAAAAGAAGTTACCATCGTATCGTGCTGTCGTATCGCTGTTACTGTGTAGACCGGCTGTCATAGTCGCTCGTTCCTGCCCATTTTCGCTCAACGTCCAAGTGACTTGCCTGCCCGCACTGGCTCGGTGCCAAGAATTCCTTATCCAGTCACCAGGATAAGCGGCCGTTGGCGAATTATCGGATGCAGCAAGGCTCCACCGAGCCTGGAGAACCTTCTTTCTGTGCCAGTCCTTCGACTCGTTACATGCCAGCCGACGTCGACGAGCCGGGCTGTCTGTCCCCACGTGTGCAATTGCCATGTACGTTGCGGCCAGAAGCAGCCCAAGACGCCCAAACGACGACGAATCGAGAGCCGTCTCCTAATCACACCCAGACCAGCAAGAATCGCATCCCCGTCCCGTTGGTCAGCCCGCACACATCCCGAATCGACACTGTCTGGCTCTCTTTGCCAGGGCCGGAAGTGACAGGGGACCGCAGGGGGGCATCACAATCTCATTTCAGACCTATCGCAGCCCCGGCCACACCCCCCTGTTCTGTTGGCACGCTAGCCGTGGGTCCCAAAGCTTGCTTGTAACCCATCGACAAGGAAAAGCTCCTTGGCCCAAGTTCGACAGTCCGTCTCATATTAGTACTACATAGTACCTGCCGTCCGCACTCTTCTTCGATAGTTGATCTTCGCAATCTCCCCTTATCATTGCTCCAACTACAGCTCTCCCTGCCAACGACGTCTTCATCGACCAAAGAGCGAGCTGAACTACAGCTTATAATACATCCAACCCTCCTCGATCGCCCCTATCTACCTGCCTCGGACCCATCCAGCCTTGTCAGCTCCGTTGCGGCTTGTCTTGGTTCTTTATAAGCACTCAAAGTTTCCGACCATCCATCTCACCATCATACCAAGCGCACATCCAAGAATTAGAATCCTACTTTGATCTCTCTCGACTGTTACAATACACTGGCACATTGGCCGTTGTCGACCCGAACCCCGTATTCGACTTGTCTCTCACAGTGTCTCATCGCCGTTTAATCAAGACCAACCTGTCACATTTGAGCTTGGCATATGCTTTACAGATGGTGCCGTTAGTAACGCTCCAACACCCAACATCACAACAAGCCTACACTTTCCGACTGGAAACAAATCTATCATAATGGCTGCTGCAACCTGTCACAACTATACCCTGGCCATGCAGGAATACATGGACCTCCAAGTCGAGCGCGACGAGCTCTGCAACCACCTCGACCAGATTCGCCCGGCTCTGAGCATCAACACCGGCTACGGCTCGGTGAGCTCGCCCTCGGCGTCTCCTACTAGGTACTCGGCTTCTGTCTCCTCGTCGGGCTCCTCCCGCCGTCATTCCCGCAGTGGCGAGCGCCGACATCACAGAGTGCATGCTCGCTGCAGTGGCTGGGACGAAACTATCGAGACCTTGGACACCATTCCAGACGAAGAGACTCTCTTCGAGATCACCGCCGAGGAGAGGCGCCTCTTCGCCTTGAACGAGAGCATCAAGCGCGCATTGACTGAGCTCCTCAACTGCGAGTCTGTCCGCTGCGACAGGTCAATGCGCCTCTGGGTGCAATCCCGTCTCATGGAGACTGAGAAGGAACTGCGCTCCGGTCGTCGCCGACGCAGCTCAGGAACGGAGTGATCACCTCCATTCCCACTACTTCTACTTTTCGCTTTCCTTTCTTTCTTTGAACATTGGCCAAAGCACAATGCGCTCAAAGCTTCATTTTCCTTCACACTACATAATTATATTCGAAATTGCTTTGCATCGACAACAGGAGTTCAAGTCATGGCATATGGGACAGGACCATTGCCATTGGGTTCGCAATCAACACGGAAAGGGACTTAAAATAGCGTTCTTTTGGTTTACAGGGTTGCATTTTGATCAACACATTAAGCGGCACCGAGGGCGGTAACATTGCGGTTTGAATTGGATTGAAACTAGGAGAACGGAAGCAACACCAGCTGTGTTGCACGTCTCCGTCATCGGGGAATATGCTCCCTCTTTCTTTTTGGGGCATCACACCACCCCTATGCGCCATGCTGCGCGTGACCATGGGTCTTGCTTTCTACATTTGTACATACTACTTAGCTACACTACGAGCTTCTTTTTTGTATCACTACCGATTGCTGGTGACCCCGGCTACTGAGGTGGCTGAGGAATTGACTTGCCACACCTTCGTACATAGACAATGCACATAGACACACGCGGGGACATGTATCCCACACACACATTGTTGCCCCCCCCATCTCGTGAATCCTGTTGCTCGAGTCAACGTCGGTGAGCTGCTGAGGGTGTGCTGGAAATGGACCTGGAAGTGCGGAGAGCCGGGCAAGCTGGGGCAGAGCTGGTCTCGACTGGTGAAAGCTTATTCTCGGCGCGATCGACACTGCCCTTTCCCACTTCACGTTCTTATCATCCCGACCTATTAGTGATCTCCAGGAGTCTGGACCTAAGCAATGGTGAAAGCTTATATGAGGTGATCAACACTCTGCCCGGGATTTGCGATGCCGCTCTATCCCATTGCTACGTAAATGAGGGCTCCCAAGAAGGCCAAGAGAATCGGTTAGCTTGGAACGGACCACCGGTGAGGGGTTGCTTGCCAGTTCACATTCTCGCTTCGCTGAAGAGGTACGTAAGAAGAAATCCCAGGGCCGGGCTTGGCGGCATCTCCATCCCCGGATTTTCAATTTGGGGGAGGAGAGAGGAGGAAACGTTACGACTCTGCATGCTGGCTGCACGCCAGAGCGAAAGAGGCACCCCGGAGAAAGAGGGGTGCATGTCGGCTGGCCTGACCAGAACTACGTACCGGCATCCGTTTTCCAGCATCTTTTCCTTTCCATGGGATCCCGTGTGTTTTTTCTTTCTCGTCACAGGATGGGCAAAATTGGCTTGATACGGAGAATCGCCCGTATGGGTGCTGGGCCATGAATAGAACGAGCTAATTATCACAAGACCGGGACCCCTTCGTATTACGGATATTTCGTTGGGTCGTATTTAGGAAAATTACGTTGGAGGCTTTTTATGGTGGCGGACGTTGCCGCTCTCCGAGGATTGCGACCCTTAGTCAATGGGGCTGGATTCGAGTCCGCGCCACACAATCAAGCCACAGGCAGAGTACGGACCGTTGCTGAGCTTTATCGATAAGCCGCCGTGAAAAATCCGCTTACATAACCAGTGTTTAATTGGACTGTCGTCATTCGAGCTGGAGCATCACGGCGCGGCGCGCATAGGGACTTTTTCGCAAAGGCTGTACTGCCTCACAACAGATTCGCCTACATTGATGCAGCGACGTCATGTCTGTCCTTCTCGAGACTTCCGCTGGCGACATTGTCATTGACCTACTTGTCGACCATGCGCCCAAGTTATGTGAGAAGTAAGTCTAATCCTACCTCTGGTCTGTCCGTAGGGGAACGCTAACCAGCCGAACCTAGCTTCCTGAAGCTCTGCAAGACAAAGTACTACAACTTCTCCCCCGTCCACTCCGTCCAGAAGGACTTCTCCCTGCAGACCGGCGACCCCCTCGGTCCGCTCTCTAAGGACTCTGATGGCGGATGCTCGATATGGGGTCGCCTGTCCGGCAACCCGTCCGACCGCACATTCCAGGCCCTCTTCCATCCCAAGCTCAAACACCTCGAGAAGGGCACCGTGAGCATGGCGACGGTCCCCGTGTCGGCTGATGACCCCGAAACGCGAGTTGCCGCCTCTCAATTCATCATCACCCTCGGCGAGGACACCGACTACCTGGACGGCAAGGCTGCCATCTTTGGCAAGGTGGTCGAGGGTTTCGACGCACTGGACAAGATCAATACGGCTGTGGTGGACGAGAAGGGCTACCCGCTTGTGGATATCAGGATAAAACATACCGTGATTCTGGATGATCCCTACCCTGACCCTCCTGGTTTGAGAGAGCCGAGCGCGAGCCCTCCCCCATCAGATGCCCAGCTCAAGACGGTCCGGATCGCCGACGAGGCCGCCCTCCTTGAGGATGACGGTGTCGACGAAGCAGAGCTGGAGAAGCGACGACGCGAGAGGGAGGCGAACGCCCAGGCGCTGACGCTGGAGATGATGGGTGACCTGCCATTTGCCGAGGTCAAACCCCCTGAGAATGTGCTCTTCGTCTGCAAGCTGAATCCCGTCACTGGCGATGAGGACCTGGAGCTCATTTTCGGCCGGTTCGGCAAGATCCTCAGCTGTGAGGTGATCCGGGACGGCAAGACGGGCGACAGTCTGCAGTATGCTTTCATCGAGTACGAGGACAAGGCATCCTGTGAGGCGGCGTATTTCAAGATGCAGGGCGTGCTCATCGACGACCGGCGGATCCACGTCGACTTCTCCCAGAGTGTTAGCAAGCTGAGCGATGTCTGGAGGAGCGACACCAACAACAAGCGTCGGGTCAACGCAGGACGTGGTGGTTGGGGCGGTGTTCGAGATCTGGAGAAGCGCAGACAGTACAGAAATGAGGGAGAAAGAGCTGTGGGTAAGGACTACGGCCTGGTGTATAGTAACGAGGAGATGAAGGATCGTCACGAACGTACCGGTGGAGATAAGAGGGGAGAAAATGGCCCTGCACACGAGGAGGAACCGGAGCGAAACGATCGAGTTGAGCCTCGGGGCGGGAGAGGAGGGAGAGGCCCAGGAGGCGACAGGCACAACCAACGCAGCCGAAGCCCACGAAGGAGAGACAGGAGTCGTGATCGGTATCGAGACTCAAAGGATGACCGCCGGCGAGACTACGATCGAGACCATCGCGGGGACAACAGGCAGAGAGACCGAGATCGAGACCGGGACAGGAATCGACGTGATCATGGCCATCGGTCGAGAAGATAGACTGGAATTTTCGCAAGAACCAACAACATTTGATACCCAAAAATTAATGATACCTTCTAGCCGGCCCCCGTTGACTACGCTGACTTCCTCACAAACCTAAGAACTGCTCCACCGCGTTATGCTCGCCTCCTGGCCCTCCTACCAAGCACACAACAGCACGAGAGATTGCTGGAACATTAGACTGCTCAGCAAGGGACACTAAACACCCACGGCCCAACATCTATGATCTCATACAACTCATCAATACGACGAGCGGATGTTCTGCTGAATCCGACTAGCTCTCTGCATGCCTGCAGGACTGCGCATCGGACGTCGAGTGCCCCTCTGGTCATATTGTTCCGGCACGGCATCTTCCACCATGCGCAGCTCCTTCAATCTCTCCCCATCACACGTCTCCATCACACGTTGCATTTCCTGGTGCCATTGTGTTTTGGAAAAGCCTCGTCGGGTGAAAGACTGTCTCTTCCGATGAGAGACAGGACAGGGTATCTACAACCAGTTGCACCACGGCGTACCAGCCTGAATCGCTTAAATGCACGTGGCGATTTAAAATAGATGGCACTGCTTGAGACCTTCTGGGAAACGCTAGGAATAAAATCTGGTCTGATTTTATCTCCAGAAACTGACACAGTGGAATATACGGTTAGCCGATGCTACCATCACCATCCCCTTTGTCTTAAGCATGAGCAAAGTGACACCTCAACGACCAGCCACGAAACCTGCCAAGGCCCCAACCCCTCAGTCTATAGAAAAAAGTAAACTTCAAAATCTACGACGGAGGCCTCGCCCAGCCCAGCAATCCGTGCGTGCCGTGCTTGCGGGCCGCCAAGTCTCTCGGCATTGACGGTCTGAGATCAATTGCATCGCTTCATTACACAAAGGCCTATTCAAAATGCGACCCAACGCCTCGCTGCGAACCTCCTGGCAATATCTTCTGCCTGAGGAAGGGGTTCGTGCCCAAGAGTCGGCTACAACATGTAGTGCCTCCCATCAGGATGCATACCCCCTCCGGGCCACCACCCCTTCCACGTAACTCGCAGCAGACGAACCAAACGGAAGACATGCTGGGTCCCGATTGGGGAGGGCGCCAGTTTGAGTTGGCATGGGAGGATCTTCTCCCACGGCTAAGCAGAACCAACCGATTGCTTGCATTCGGCCACGAACACGCCCCAGGCCACGTTTTTTTCTGGGCCCCGATTGCTCGCCTCCGCCTTCAGACCGGTCACGACAGGACAGAGTGGCATGCATGCGGCGGTGCTTCGTGAGCTATGGCCGTTCTCCCTCCCTCACCGCTGCTTCGGCCGTGGGTTTGGCCAACTGGAAGGGTGGATTGGGTCGACCCAGGCCAGGCTGTGCAACCACACCACGCCCCAGATGCTGTGAAAGCCCAGAATGATGGTTTCCCAGCCATGTAATGCGTGGTGCGTGGACCTCCTCCGACGCGGCACCCCGCTTCATCGTTTTTTCTCGGCCGCTTTCTCGCGGGCCAAACGAGCTGGGGCCCGGATAGCAAGACTAGGCGACGTATCATGCTGCGCGGTAGGTGGTGCCGGGGAAGAGGGAGAAGGAGGAGCGCAAAGGCTCCGCGCAACCACTCCTTGGAAGTTTCAGACCTTACGGTGCTACTTGACTCACCATGCTGTCCTGCGGTGGTGGGTGTGAGGTGCATCGGCCTGCTCGGTCTTGCGCCTAGCTTAATTGCATGGTCCGCTTCGGCTTTTGAGATTCCCCGTGCAGAGCCAAGAGCGGACGTGTAGGATATCTAGTGGACGGGGATAGCTTGGGCCCCTCCCTCATCAGTGTTGATGGTGTCACGAAGGGGGAGGGCCATTCCCTCATGACCCGCTCAGTGCTGTGCGGTCTGGTGCACAGATTCCTGGGCCTCAGGAGAAAGGACCTTTTGCTTGTTCTAGACACAAGACGAGGACCCCAAAACCGGCCATGATGGCTGGATGGGAGAGAGGGGAAAAGGGGAAGACCGGAAAGAAGATATCCGCGGCGGAGTTCCTGCGGACGAAGATCTCAAATGGTGAGCACTAGGTCAGGTCAAGCGGGTGGTGGGGGTTTCACAGGCGACTGCACAGGCCAGTGGGAGGGCCAGCACAAGAAGGTCATGTGTAGCGGTCGTTGTTCCTGTGGTCGGCGAGCTTTGGGCCGATGCTCTGCACGGGGCATCGACTTATCTTCCCACAGGATCTATCAAGCATATCCTCCAGGGCCTCTGAGCCCACCCTATAGTCGATTGTTTGGTGCAGAAGTCTGGCCGATAGACGAGCAATCATGGAGATAAAGGGTAGATACACGCAGCAGAATGGAAAAACATGGTGCAAACTGTATCGAGTGACGAGAGGAGACCCATCTGATCTAGTGTAGAGAGTGTTGCAACCCATCACGCATACTATGGCGGCCTTCTCGTCCTCTCCTCTCCCAAGAAGGGGTCAAAGCTACAGGAAGATAAACCTTAGACATTGATACTCTGTTGCACATAGCTCTACCCTCCGGAGGCGACTACGTGACTCTCCACCTCGCCAGCATGGGAGCACACACAAAGGAGAGTATTCCAACATCGGAATAGTCTCATGTAGACCATGCTCAGAAGTGCAACCACGACCACAGCCCATATTTCCTTCATCCGCTCCTCTATCGACGTGGCTCCCTTCCCATGAGGGCGGAGTTAGTATCCTTCTCTGGGTACATCCCCAGCGTAACATCGCCTCATGAAGAGACGGCAGCGAGGAGAACCGTGCAGACGGCTGCCTACTTTCTCTCCTCTCCTCATTCTGCTCCGTAAATTATGCCTTGGGGACTCAGGTCTCAGACAGCTCATCCACCCTGATGGCCTTGTTGATGCTCTGGAACGCCGTTGTGTCCAATCGTTGAGCGGATGCACGTTGCACGACCCCCCTCCTCTTTACGCGTAGAGCGAGCTTGGTTTTTTTTTGTTGAGATGAAGGCGTCACGGAATGAACGGCACAAATTTTCTGCGTTTAATCTGAAACCTGAAACTTGGTGGCGTTTTGGGCTGTACATGATATTTTCCTTGATAGCGTCATGGAAGTTGCTTGGATGGATGGAACACGCAGGACGTGGATGCCTCGTATCTTTGGCAGGAAGCAAGGTGCCCTTCAAGAGCGGCTACAAGCAATTGAAGTGTCTTTTAGTCCTCGGAATTCTGAGAATAGCAAAGGCAGTGTGCTATTGTAGATCAAGTCCGTCACTATTGCGTCTTCCCAACCTCATTGACCTCAGTATCCTACTCGGAGGGATAGTACTTCTTGCCAAGCTCTAGAATCAGACACTGACTGGGATGGTGACCTGAGGACAGGCTGGACTGAGATCAAAGCGCTGTGCTTCCAATGGTTACCCCCCAAGCTCACTCTGTATGACCGGGGAAGTCGGGTCTCGAGAGGAAAGGGCATTATCCTCTTTCTTGTTGCTGTTGCGTCTTGTCTGAGACAGGCAGAGAGTAGACAGGGGTGGATACCTGGCTCGCCACCTCGCAACGTAGCCATATACCTGGAAGCTGGGCTCCAGACCCCCCTTCTCTGCGATGGATGGCCCCTGCAACGGGATGGGAGGGTGGTATCTCGGATACACGACATCAGGCTGAGATGAGGCTGCCTTCCGCCTACTCCTTGCCCCCCCATGAAGGCAGCAACCCGCACGGGTGCCTGTAGACTGACTGACTGTCTCTCCGCCTGCCTGGATTTTGCGTTGAAGCTTTCGAATCTGGTATAGATGGGCGGGTGTCTGCAGTCTTCCGTGCCAGCGATGAGGTGGTTGGGCTCTGTTCTCTCTTTCCTCAGCGTGCTGGAGCTGTAACGTGCACTTTTGGCCGAGACTGGCAGCATGTCCCATGCTGTGCGTCTAAGCCACGGAGCTCAAATGCATAACCTGCCATTGGGAAATACGGAGGAGAAGCTATGGACGGCGGTTGTTCTCTTTCGAGAGCCGCGAGCGCGGTTAACTGGGCCGGGGCCTCGTTTGACCACGAGAAGTGATCGTGGACCAGAGCGAAGCGCTGTCGGAAAGTTTGTAGAATATTCTGTAGAGTTACTCACCTTCCAAAGTCCACCGCCCAACAGCTACCTGACGTTCAGCCGGCCCCTTGCTTGTGCTCAGTCCTTTTTCTTTCTTGATTAGTGTGTTTGTTGTCCGACGAAGCGGTGCCTGGTGCAATCTGCCATGTCCTTGACATGGAGACACAACAACAATGGGCAGAGGCTGGCACACACGCTCATTGGATGCCATGTGCTACACCCCCCTCCTCCCCAATAGACTAAGGCAGAAGAATCCAAAAGGAGTAGAGATGAAGGATGAACAGGATGGTCGGGATGGGCGAGACTATACGAAACGCATGAATAAGAGATTAGAGAACTCTTCACACGCTCAGGCTTCGAACGCGCGACAGCCAAGCGGCACGGGAGATGATGGGGTGCTCTCTAGATGCCGAGCCTTATTCATGGAGGTTAGGCAGGGTATGACATGAACCTGGCCCCCTTGTCACTAGACATCCTGGCTCTGCGAGCTTTCACGTCTGTTTGTGCGACTTTCCCCACGGATTGGGTGTTACCTCCCAATGGCTACATGGCTTTGCCGATCTGTTCTCGACCTGGGGTGTGCATCAGCCTCTACAATGCTCTCATATCAGACTCTGTGGGCATACGAGATGGCGCGCGTGCTGTGTGAAGGCACGTAGCAGTAGCTATCCGGTTCATCTGGCCCCCTCAATATATGAATTGTATCAACGTCGTCTTAAAGATGGGTCCGGGGCAGAACCAAGCCGTGACCGAATAAGGTAGGATGGTCCGATCGATGAGGGGGATCTCAACGAAGGTGATGTGCATATGCCTGGAACGGCTCCATTGCTGCAGATTCCCATGCTTGGCATGTGCTATATGTTCCCACCCAATATCCACCGCCCAGGACGTTGGGCCAAGGGTGGCTGTACCGTCTATCTATGTTAACCGTGCGTAGTATTCAGAGAAGGGATTGAGTCTTGATCCTATCTTCTTGGGTAGATTTCGTTGCATCAATGACAAACACTATGAGTGGAAAAGGACCGTAAGGAAGGGGGGATCATAGATGTGAGCTTCTCGTGCGACTGGGATCCTCTGCAAGAACTGTCAAGTGAGCAGTGATGCACGCAGAACGCCGCCTACTTCGCTGAGAGGGGCCCGGATTGTTTACTGCGGATGCTTATGATACAGAGAGTTTCTGGTGCGACCGCACGCCAGGAGCCTGGCCGTGTGGCGCATTCTCGCGTCTGTATAATGGGCGCTGGAAGGATCTCTTGGCTTGTCTGCGTTTGTCTTATTACTTACATCATGCAAAGTTATCTCGATGTGGCCAGCCGTCCAGCCACTGTTTTCTCAATCATCAGCTGCCTCACTTTCCGGTCGAGGGACGAGCAAAGTTCCCTTCCCGACGGGAGAAGATAAAGAAGCAAGGTGAAGTAAAAAAAGGAAAAACTGACCAAAACGGGGTTGATAGATACAAGGACCTGAGACCTGGGAGAGTCTCATGCGCCTGTGGCTTTGGAGTTACTCAAGACCAAGAGAGGTGAACGCAGGAGAAACGTGTCTTTGCAGGCACGGACCTTGTACGAGGGTTCGAACAGTACAATTCCACCTGGGACAGCTGCTAGAATAACTCCCCAAGGTAGCTATGGCCGATGGATGCATCTTGGCCGCGATGCGGTTGGGCCCCGTCCATGATAGTAACGCCGTTGTTGCATTGCCAAGGGCCGTTCGAAAAGCGTTCGATATGCGTCATCTAGCTGCATCTTTCCGTTCGCAACGCTCAGGCGAACGGGAAAAAGGAAGGAAAAAAAGAAGAACCTGGTTTCTGGTTTGGCCCGCCGCCTAATACCGACATGGTCCAGGTCTCGGCACTCTCAAGGAGGTCCTATCGCCGGTAATTGATAGTATAGCCACCAAGTCACTCTTGAAGATAGTATGTAGGTAATAACTAATAAGGCTTGATCTGCAGGTCTGCAGCTTACAACGCCCGCCACCTAAACACCCAACGCCGTCAGACGTGCGAAGGCCAAAGCAGCTGGACCCGGTTTTTCGTTTACTTCGCACGCTCTCGTCCACAGTCTGTAACTGCTTTGTCTCTGCCAAGTTGGCCGCCTGCATTTGCTGCCTAGACTTTTGGAAAGTAATGGAAGAGGAAAGAGATGTAAATAGAGACGTCTCGATGTACCATTTCACGACGAGACTTGGCTGCACGCCAATACTGCTGAGCGGTGATGAGTCGCCGGGCCTCGCTGAGGTTTGGCATGACATCTGCCGTGCGACCAGAGGGCATGCTACAGCTATGAGAGCAGCTCAGTAGGCTCTTGACGTGCCTCTGAGAGCACCAGGCAAACTTGCAGTGACTGATACCTGGCAAACATGGCCCCGTCTGCTGGTGGGGCGGCCATGGCAGCAAACGCATGCAGGCTGTTGCGCGCGTTTACACAACACAACAGACGTTGACCTGTGCGGTCAGCCAAGAGTTGAGCAGTCTGTCCGGAGGGGGAGTGAGGTCAAGAGGGGGTTGTCTAAAAGTCACCCCTCGAAGACGTACACCAGGCTTCTGAGAGAGATACACCTCCCAGATTCGACTATAAGAACCGTCCTTCCCTCTCCCTTCCTCGTCCTCAATCTCTCATCACTCTCAACCTTTTCAACACTCTCAACTCTTCTTCTCAATCTTCTATCTTCCATCGAGTCAATCTCCTTCTTCTCCATCTTCCATCTAGTCAATCTCCTTTGGTGGCAATCTGCTGTTTTACTCTCGCCTTCTCCTGATCATTGCATCACTCTCTTGCTTCACCAAGTCTTCCTTACACACTTGCATCAACTTCCCCTTCGCCGCCTTCCGTCATCCTCCAGTCACCTCTACTTACGTGTGTCTGCTCGAATGTAAGTTGTGCCAGGTATAAGAAGCCTGGACAACAAGTTAACCAACACACAAGTTCTTTAGACAAACTCTTGACTTCACTATTCACCATGGTCAACAACGGATATTCTTGCCAGCAAGACAACTTTCGCTTCACCCCATTTCAATCTGAATATCGCCCCCCGTACGCTTCACCGGATTCTCGGAGTGGTAAGCCCAATTGGCCCCCCACTCCTAATGCCCATGGTGCGATGACAGGTGCTGACGATGAAGTGACAGATGAATCCAACACGAACAGAAAGAGAATTGCTGTTGCGGTACGTTTTACAGACTTCTTGTTGATGATGATTGGTCTAACCATGCATGAAAGTGTGGACGTTGCCGAAAGAGAAAGATCCGTTGCTCAGGCGATAATGGCACTGGAGAGCCTTGCTTGAACTGCAGGAATGCCGGTACATCTCCTTGTCAATTTCTTCGAGTAAGTCTCCTTTCCTATCCCCTCCTCAGTTCCGTTTCTGGCTCGCCTGTCCCTTGCAGTGGCTAACACTCTGCTCAACTTCTCCTTTCCCTATAGGTGTCGTCGCTTGAAACCAATCTTAAGGACAGTGGACGTCCCTCCCAGGTCCTCCCTTACGAGGGATACTCTAGGTCATACCCCGGATGCGCTGAAGAAGCGCGGGCTAGACTGGCTGCACAATCTACCGCCCCTCTTCCCTCCATGTACCAAGAGACTGGGTCTCCATCCTGGGCCCAGGACCCATTCTCCTCGACCACCTATAAATCTGGACAAGGTAGTCCAGAGAAGCCATACTCATGGACCACTGGCACCTATTATTGTCAACTGCCCGAGGCTGATGCCTCATCTCCCGACACCTTTGGCAATATGTATGCCCAGGTGCAGGATGCACGCTGCCAACTGGTCCCGCATGACATGGCTCCTATGAAGCACTTCAGTTATCTCAACTCCGACCCTGGGTCATACACCTTCACTCCACAGCCGACCACCGCCATGTCTACTACAGCCGCTATGGTTGACAGAAGCCCGGGTGCATCGGGAAGTAGCTATCCCCTGAACACAATCCCTCATGGTCTGCTGCCGTCACTTATGACGGAAAAGCTTCACCTGCATGACACCGCCTCCAGCAATGACCAGGGTTTGGGGAGCAAGTCAAGCCCTTCTTCAACCAGCTCGCTCCAGCCTTTGACCCCCTCTACTAGTTATGGTAGCTACACCACCTCTCCAGGATCTGCCTACTCCGGTATGATCCCTACTACTCAGGGAGAATCTGCTCATACCTATAATGGGTTGGTTGGCACGGCGGCCCCTCTACCTACGCAGTTTCCGCATCCACCTACTAGCACCTATGTCTACACTGACATGAGCGCTCAGGCAGCAGCTCTTGCTGCTTCTAGTCAGCGAGTGGCCCAGGCTGGTTCATCTCCTGTTTCACAGTTTCAGGCTCAGCAGAGCTTGTATCCTGATGGTCTGTCTGAGGTTGAGCGCAAGCCTCCTACTATGAACTAGTTGCCCTGTTATCAATCTGCCCGTCACTGGCCATCCTGTCTTTGGCGATCGATGGTGTCCTCTGGCTCAATCCAGAGAAACATCCTTCAGCACTGCCCATGTTCCTCGAGCTTCTCCCGAACATGCAGTCTAGGCGAGCACGCCGAACCCATCATTCTTTCGTGGAAAACCTCAACGTCCGGTATCTATCCTGGTGATGATATCTGGTTTGATGAAAAAAAAAATCTCTTTTACGGTTGGTATCCTCGTTTTGTGTTAGAGTTGGCGGCAGGCTTTTAGGCTTGGTATTGGAAGTGTCTGGTTTCACACGCATGTACTTACCTTGCCGTCCTTCGGATGAGCACGACCGGCTTAGTATTTTTGGTTTGGTATTTTTTGGTTTTGGTTTTGGTTTGGTTCTGTTCTTTTTTTCTGTTTCTTTTCTAAAAGGGGGGTGTGAAAAAGAGGGGAAAAAAAAGAGAGCGAAGACGAGAAGACGAAAAGTTTACAGGTTGCGTTAGTTAAGGAAAACAGTACTAAGGAATAAAAACCCAAGGGTTCAGGGTATGTTTATTTCGTGCCATATAATCGGTGATATGCCCCTTTTACACTTGTAGAGAGCGCACGCTGCGATGGCTCGCCCTCGAATTGTACATTTTTTGCATTTCCTGCTACTCCTGATCTCTTCATCTGTGCCAATTCAACTTGGGCAGCAAAACTAGGGAGTATGTGGAAATGGAGGCACAAATCGAGGAGTAGCTCGAGGCTCCTGGCTGTTGTGCGAGAGAGTGACCCGAGATTGACGGCTGTCAAGGGCTGCCAGGTTGAGGAACGATCACAAACAATCTGACGTGGTGACTCCCAAGGGGAAGCACATAACTGTCAGATTTCCGTTTCTAGAGCCCAGTCCGTCCTAGACCCCTTGGCCAACAGAATGTGATAGGTATGACCGACTGTGGTCTGTCACCGGTCTGGCTTTGGAAACATGCCAGAAGTGGGATTCACATGACGGTTGATGGTGCCCAGAAAGTTCCGATCGAGGGTTGCCTCGTGGCAGGACGGATGCATTCCGTGTTAAACAGACAAGGAGGATTTACAGTGCCACCGCAGCTGTCTTGGAGAACCCGAGGGCTTGAAGGAGGAGTCGAGATACGATGGCTTGATGTCGAGCGCGGGACTCGGCCCGGTTCGGACGCCAACAATGCGAGCCCTACAGATTTTGGGGCACAGGAGCAGCGAGAAAGATGATTACAAGTAGTTGATTCACAAGAGAGGCACATGGGGGAAGCTGATGATTTGGCTGGCTGGTCATTGGGTCCATACCTTCCCAGTTAATCCTGGGAAACCAACCTTCGTCTCAGTGATGGATAACTAGGTACCTAATCGGCAGCACAAATTGTTAGGTGTATGAGGTACTGTTCTAACCCTGCTTCAGCTTGCATGATTACAGGCACCACATAAATACAAAACTGAGTGTTGGAGAAACATGTTGAAGCGAAATGCATGCGTAGTAGGATTTGAAGCGAACGAAGGTGTTTTATTGTTCTGATGCATTGGAGGTGATTAGTGATTTCGGCTTTGCAATAGACCATGGAGAGACTGGAGTCTTTAATCTTGGGGAGATCATCACCCTGACGCAGGTGATCCACAGCGGGGTGCTCTTTCCGCCAGGAAGGCATGAGCGAACTGAATGGTGGAGCAACTGGCGGCAGCTTGAATTGACAAGGAACTGCTTTACCTGTTCATTATTATCATCCCGTTCAGAGGTGTCGTATCCTCGCTCCTCACTCAGCAATCGCCTTCGCCTTATTCAAATACATTTCCAACGCATTTCCTCCCCACCGCTAATCTTCAGAGACTGCTGCCACCTGTTGGGAGGTAGGTTGACGTCAATACCAACTCCCCCGCTATCACAGCTAGGGTCGCTCAGCTCAGCTGCAAGCTACATTGCCTGCTTGCTTGTTCCTGGCATCCTGCATCCCCTCACCCCGCCATATCTGCTCTTCCGCAGCGCCTGTCGACAAGATGCTTCCACCACCGCTCCTGCGCCTTCAATGTGGTGTCAACTCCTACGAGTGGGGTAAGATTGGCAGCGACTCTGCCGCTGCCCGTTACGCGGCTGCGACACCCTCCTCCAATTTCAGCATCCAGTCCGAGCAGCCCTACGCAGAGGTATGATGCCTTCATTCACCCAAGAGAGAATTCATGGCTCTGACGAAATGGTAGCTGTGGATGGGCACGCATCCAAAGAACCCCTCCAGAGATCTCGGAACCGGTCGCACCCTCCTCGAGCTCTTCAGCGAGAACAAAGCACTCCTCTCTTCTGAAATCGTCTCGAAATATGGCGACAACCTGCCCTTTCTGTTCAAAGTGCTCTCCATCAACAAAGCGCTGTCGATTCAAGCCCATCCAAACAAAACCCTGGCAGAGCAGCTTCATGCCCGAGATCCAAAAAACTACCCCGACGATAATCACAAGCCCGAGATGGCTATTGCCATCACGCCGTTTGAGGGTTTCTGCGGTTTCCGTCCCCTGACTGAAATAGCCCATTTCCTCCAGTCTGTACCTCCGTTGAGGACACTGGTGGGAGAAGATGCTGCCTCACGGTTCATAAAAATTGCCAAGGATGAGCATGCAGACACCGCTGCACAGAAGGATGCTTTAAAACAGGCATTTGCTGGTCTCATGTCTTCATCGGCGGAGAGCATTGGCCGCGAGATCGCTAACCTTGTTGAACTGGCCAAGTCCAAGGGTGGCGAGTTCGCTGATGGAGGTGTTCCGTCTACATCGGGCGAGATCCTCTCTGAATTAGTAACTCGGCTCAACAGCCAGTTCGGGTCTGACATTGGCCTATTTGTGGCCTTCTTCCTCAACTATGTTACTCTGCAGCCTGGCGAAGCCTTGTTTCTTGTCGCAGATGATATCCACGCATACATATCTGGGGACATCATTGAGTGCATGGCCGCTTCGGACAATGTCGTCCGCGCAGGGCTGACTCCCAAGTTTAAGGACACAGATACCTTGGTATCCATGTTGACTTACAACTTCGCCCCTATCGAGGAGCAAAAGATGAAACCTACAGAGTACCCTTACGCTACCCTGAATCGCAAAGGCTATAGTTCAGCCTCATCCGTGGACCTGTACGACCCTCCTATTGAGGAATTCAGTGTTGTTCGTGCCGCACTCTATGGTGACGGAAGCAAAGCAACTTTTGAACCTCTGGCAGGCCCAAGCATAATTATCTGCACCGGCGGCAAGGGAAAGATTTCCGTCGGTCCTAAGACGGAGGAAATCAAGGAGGGATACGTTTACTTTGTCGGTGCTACTGCGGAATGCGTTCTGGAATCCCAAGGTGAGGATGGCGATGAGTTCGTCACCTTCAAGGCATTCTGCGAGATCGCCGAGGGCGACAAGGAAAAGCTATGATTTTGGCCCATTGTGGCTTACGAGAGATGAAAGCATTTATGCAGTGCGAATGGTACAGACACGATAGAAAAATCAAACTCATAATGGCGGGCCAGATCCGATACCTGTTAAGATGATGCAATTGCGGTTAGATTGTATCAATTTGAAAGGGCCATGGGTGAACAATAGAAACTAATCTTCCCAAATCAATCATATATGTGTATAGAAGAAGCTCTTTCTATTGTTTCCTGCTCTGCGAAGCATTGTTTTTGGCTGCTCCGCAGTTCTCCGCTGTTAATACAGTGGGGCCAAGCTTGACCTCTTGACCGCCTTATTCTGCCGTTCGACAACCGACATCGCCCATTGACATCTAGATACCGTGAAGCTCAAGCTTACACAACGACGGGATCGAAGGACGGGGCACGACACAGAATAAGATGGGCCAAACTCGTCTCTGGCTAGCCTCCCTATTTTCTTCGCATCCCCGACGTTAAGAAACCAAACCCGAACCAATAATCAACCCCTCTTTCCTCGCGCCCTTGTTCGCGTGCAGCTAGCGTCGCATCCAGAAGCTCAAGCGACATGTCGTCGCGCAACCGAAGCGGCCGCGGGTCGAACCGCAACAATGGGAACAATGCCAACAGCGACCACGGCGAGGAGGCGCAGCTCTGGGAGTCCATAAAAGCGCGGGTCAGCGAGGTGGTGGTGGGCGTCAACGCGGAGAGCAAGGGCCTGTCCAAGCTGGTCGAGATGGACAAGGAGATGGGGAGCATGGACTCGGAGAAGATCCCCGGCGCGTCGCTCAAGGAGATGGAGCAGCTGTGCCGCGCGGGAGTCAGGCAGTCGGACGACAACATCCTCAAGGCCAGGGAGCTGGTGGACCAGCTCAAGATCCTGCGCGCCGTGTGCGTCGCCAAGGAGCAGGCCGAGGCGGCCGTCGCGGGCCCGTCCAAGAGGAGCTCGACGAGGGACAACGCCGCCTCCGCGGCTGCGCTGTACGATTTCGACGGCGCGGGCGACTCGCCCGTGCCGAGCCCCCATGCGTCCGGGTCGCAGCGCAAGTTCGGCGACCGTGTGAACCCTCGGGAGCGAGACCGCGAGAGCCAGAGGGGGGACAGGGACAGAGATAGCATGCCGCCCAAGGCGGAGAGTGTCGAGCCGCAGGGAGTCTCGACACCTCTCGGCCTGACGGGCGGCGCAGTGAGCAGATCCAAGGTCGTCTTCTCCAAGGGGGAGTCGGTCGCCTTCAAGCCAAAGACGGTCAGCGGGGAGGCCGCCTCGGACTGGATACTAGGCGAGGTGGCACAGGTACTGGGCGAGGGCAAGAGCCGGCGGTACAAGGTGATTGACGTCGAGCCGGAAGAACAGAGCAAGCAGAAGGAGTACCGCACGAGCGCGAGCAGCATGATACCCATTACACCAGAGAGCCAGGCCTCGACGCTGGGCCCGTGGGAGCCGAAGACGACGGTGCTGGCCCTCTATCCGAACACTACGACATTTTACAGGGCAGAGGTGCACAGCATGGACGAGGATGGCCGGGTCAACCTAAAGTTTGAGGGGGAGAACGACTCCTCGACTCTTCAGCAGGTGGAACGCCGGTTCGTCATTGAGTATCGACCTTGAAATGGGCCGAGATCCTTTTGGCTTAGAGAGAATTGTCTGGTAACCTATTTGTCTGTGGGCTGGATGGCGGGGGCGGGGTGATTTGTTAGTCAATGGGTATTTGCAAGCTTGGCGTTGTGGTATAGTATTATCAAGGGATTTAAGGCCGGATTTATCTTACTTGCTATTTTCTCCCCCCTCCATTCACTCTATGGGTGGGGAACATGGCCATAGTACTGGGAGAGTTGGAGGAGGGCCTACATAAAATCGTTCTAGATGGGTTTGGGAATAAATGGAGAGTTGCGTCTCAACGTTGTTTTGTCCGTGTTTGAGGAGCCGCAGAGCCAGGCCCCTGCTGACTTTGCGGTGCCGCAGTTTTGCTGATCATTCGCTCGAGCAACGGCTCCGGATTGTAGGTGTGTTGCATCGGGTGTGCCAACGGGTGTCATCCATCACCAGTTGCTCGCAACCACACTCCAAATTATTCCTTTTGATTACGCTAATAAGTCCCGTCTACTGGTATTGGTGCACTCGTAGGCTGTTGTAAAGCAGCCCCATGACCTGGCTTATCTGCCCCTGAGCGCCAGCCACCAGAAAGCAAGAGGCCACCCTTTTTAGCCCTTAATTTAACATGGACCTGCCCTGCAGGGCTATTTGGCTAGCGGTGCGGGTCTGTCGGTACCTGCAGCAGTGCAGTGGCTGGATCCCACAGGGGCCATTCAGGTGCAGTTGGGGATGGATATCGGGCACCAGGCTGTCCATGACTCGGATTGCGGGCTGAGGACTCTCAGATGGCTGCATAAATGTGCGTGTTGAAGTGATGGGTATCACATCACTCGATTCACAGGCGTGATGCAACGTTGTGTTGTGATCCCACATACTCTTACATTACGAGTCCATGGAAGAGCTTCACTAACAAAGATACCTACGTGGCCAGCGCAGACAGGTACCTGCTCAATTGCTGCGAGTGCCGTAATTCTAGGTACCTGCGAGGCCTGGACATTGATGGCAGCTTTGGTAGCCTGATGGGCGGACAGGGACCCAATCCACTCTCGTGCCGCACTAGTCCGAGTCGGGCATCCACCTCTCTCCAGCGCTATGAACTCCTAAAATTTGTGGTTCCTTTGGGAGGACGAGGTCCCTGTGGGCTTTAATGACGAGAAACCCTGATCTCCCGAGCTGCGACGAGCGGCCCGCCTGTTCCCTCCCTCCTCACACGTTCACGTCGACTATCTCGGACTGACTGTAGGCCGTGTGTGCTTTCCCCGGCATATATCGATTCTCCACCATTGCCAACCCCCATCGCCTGGTCTTACATCTCACTTCCCATCCTGCCTGTCAACCACTTTCCCCTGTCCTCAACAATAACATCCCGCCTCGACCGCCCCCTATCGTCCTCGTCACTCGTTTTGGGCCTTGATTCTTCGTTTAGCCTTCTGCACACCACAAAAGCAGATCGTGGATTCTCCGCAGAAATCGTAAGTAAACAAAACCCTGCGCTGCCTCGAGGTGTTTTGGCTCGCCGGTGCCCTGGCCTGCGCGACTCGGTATCTGCCAAGTCAAGTGACGACGCCGCATTACCGTCGGAGATTCGCTCTACGACCAATTGGGATCGCTTGTGCCGCTACTTGTCAAGTCTGGAAAGGAGACAGGGCTAACCAAATTGTTTCTCTCTCAGCAGAATTCAAACTCGTGACGACCTCATCCAACGCTCAAGTCTCGCAACTCAATCAGCTCTTCCCCCGAAATAGCTCCTGAATCCCGACCGTCCCCCTCGACAGCCCCCCCCAAGGAACCCCTGTGATCTCTCCTATCCAAGATCTCAACGATAGTGTGTATTCATCCCGCTGTGGGTGACAACTACTCGCCAAAATGGGTGGCTCAATAAGCAAGATGATGGGCAAGATCTTCTCGTCCAAGGAGATGCGCCTGCTGATGCTGGGTCTCGACGCTGCTGGAAAGACCACCATTCTCTACAAGCTCAAGCTCGGCCAGGATGTGACGACTATTCCTACCGTCGGTTTCAACGTCGAGACCGTCACATACAAGAACGTCAAGTTCAACGTTTGGGATGTCGGTGGTCAGGACAAGATTCGTCCTCTTTGGAGACACTACTTCAGCGGTAAGTTCCATCAAGGCCGCGCGTGATAATCTCATGGACAAGCAAGTCGCTGATGTTTATTGAACCACATAGGTACCCAAGGATTGATCTTCGTGATTGATTCTTGTGACCGCGCCCGAATTGACGAGGCCAGACAGGAGCTGCACCGCATTATCAACGACCGCGAGATGAAGGACAGCTTACTACTGGTGTTTGCCAACAAGCAGGATCTCAGTGATGGTAAGCCACCCTTCTCCGGTTTCATACTCCGGGACCTTCAATTATCTGTTATAATTGACCGTACTAACGCATCGCAGCCTTGACGCCCCAAGAAGTCACTGAACAGCTCCAACTCTCAAAGCTCAAGGACAAGCTCTGGTACGTCGTGCCCAGTTGCGCGACCACTGGCGAGGGCCTGATGGAGGGTTTGGCATGGCTCTCCAACAATGTCAAGGCTATTCCTGCTCCACCTCCCAAGAAGTAATCTCTTATCGACTCGAGATATTGCCTGCGTATGTTCCGGGCGTAATGCCAGCACCACCGCACAGCTCGCATCCTTGCTGCTCTATTCCTCCTGAAAGGAGGAAACGACGAAACGACGACCACTGCGCCGCTCCCTAGCGACTTACCCCCTAACCCCTGCACACCGCCACTAGCAATGAGTTTCGACTCCCAATATTCTGGGTTGCCTATCCGAGAGAGAGATTGTTTCGACCACGTTGCGAAATGAGCGTGCTCCGACCATACGTCACCATCCACCAAGCGAAGATCTATGTTCATCACACCTTTAATTCAACGGAGCACTCGAGTACTAATATTGGGCGTATGGAGAAGGACGACGGAAGAAGAGGAAGACATCATGGGATTTAAAAATACAGCAAAGGGCCTTTTTTTTCCTCCTGCAATTTTCTTACGCATTATTGTGCCATTCTTGTCTATATTTCGTTTCTCAATCCCTTTGATATTTGTTTTCAATCTCTTCCCTCGTCAACTTTCATATCCCCAAGATATACCCGCATCTTGCTACTCAATTTCACTCGTGCAAACAGTTTTCTCTCTCACTCTCACCTAGATGTGTTTTTCTCGGCATGCTCAGCTTGGTTTCGTGCTCTGGCATGGGGATAGATGGGCATGCCGTGGAGCGCGTTTAGGGGAGGAAACCAACCTAGATGTGAATGTTTTACGTCAATTTCCTTGTACTTTCTTTTCTGTCCTTTTTTTTTCTAGCCCTCCCTCCCAGGGATTAACGTCTTGCGCATGTAATTCTATAATATTATTTGATCCAGATAGTAATGATAGATCCTGCTTGTCCGGGAATTATACTCATCCGTGGCACTGGGTTGGATGTGAGGTGCGGCACAGGAGCTCTTGAAGCTGTTAAAGTAGATTTATGTTGAAGTAGACCAACGTGTTTTCTGGTCTGTGAATTGGCTAGGTACTTGTAAATTACGAAGCCTGGTTCAATCTATGCTTGAGCCCGAGGAAAAATAAAACATGCTGAACCAAGACAAACCTAACCTCCCAGTAGATAGATATGCACTCCCTCGGGTATCAGCCAACCCAGCAAACCCAAACAGAATAAGCACGTGCGCCAAACTCGTCTTTCAAACAAATGCCCAAGAAAAACGAACAAAAGAAAGAGAAAAGAGACCAAAATGCCCAACACTCCGTTGCTAATAAATGCGCTCTCTGCCCACGACAAACCCGGTAATGATGCAAAAGCCCAACAGGGAAATGATGACAGTGACTGAAGGAAAGAAACTATACGGGAATCAATAGCGCTACTCCTTGAGCCGCTTAGATGGCCGGAAGTCTTCCTGGGCCATGCTCCGCTTCGTGCCGGGGAGGCTGCTCGTGCGGATGTCGTTGTCGTCCTGGCTGACGCGGCGACGGGGGTAGTCGACCTGGAGACCCTCAAAGGCGTTGGCCAGGACGCCAGAGGAGAAGAAGGGATGCTGGAGTGCCTGGGCGGCGGTGAGACGCTTCTGGGGGTCGTATTCCAGAAGACCAGCGAGGAGTTTGTAACCCTCGGCGCCCAGCGAGGCTAGCGGGGACTGGTTGGAGCCGGAACTGGACGGGTTTGATGTTGTCCCCGCGTGGTTGATTGTGTTGTAATACCACTTTTCAAGACTGGACGTTGTGGGATATGCCCTGGAACTTTGGTGGTGGTGGTGATGATGAGAATGGTGATGATCAGTGTTGGGGGGGCGGACAGAGCTGAGCTGGTTGTAGTCCGGCATGGAGCTCAGTAACGGCCAGCGTTCTCTGGTCGGCATCCCCATGATCTCGACAATCTTCTGCATCTGGTTCCTCTGGAAGGGGACAGTCTTCTTGCTGTCGAGCTTAGCCTCCTCTCCCTTGAAAATGGGCCGCAGAGACAAGAGCTCCGCAAATATACACCCAATGGCCCAGAGATCGATCGCGGGAGTGTAATGGTAGGAACCGAGGATTAGCTCGGGTGCACGGTACCAGATAGTCACGACCACTTTATCACCGCCGAAAAGCGAGGCAAGAGGTTTGTCGAAGCGTCGGGCAAGTCCTAGATCACCAATCTTGACACGTCCCCCTTCCGTCACCATGATATTGGCGGGTTTGAGATCTCGGTGGAGAACCCAGGAGGTGTGCAAGTAGTGGCAGCCATTGAGCAGCTGGAACAGCAAACTCTTCACGACGGCCGGCGGGATGGGTCGTCGGGGTCCTGGGGGCTGAGTGGTGTGGTGGTGGATGATCTGGAGCAGGTCATGCTCGGCAAACTCGAAGACCATGAAGATGCACTTATCCTCGAGAAGGGTCTCCACCAGCCGGATGACATTGATGTGCTTCAGCTCTGCGCACAAGCTCATCTCACGGATTGCAGATTGGGAGATGCCAGTGTAGCTAACCTGCTCACCCTCCTTATCCGGTTTGAACTTTTTGATGGCTACCTGCAGGATGCCCTTGTTAGGGCCATCCTTGGCTGGGGTGGCGAGGGCATCTTGGCCAGCCGAGACAAGCGTGCGGGCGGTGGCCTTGTACACGCGACCATACGTTCCACTGCTGATGAAGCCGACGATACGGTACCGTTCCGTCACGCGTGTCTTGGGCTGGTATCCGATACCACCCCGATCATGGGGATCTGCGAAGCGGTGGTGAGTTGACGGCGAGACGGTATATGGATAAAAGGGGCCGCCTGGGCGGTGGCGTAGGCTCATGATCCTTCACTCCTGCTCTCGCTACAATCTCTTGATAGAGCCCAACGTCATAGCAACATGGATTCGATGGAGAGCATCAGCGAGGTGGGAGGATAAAGGCAAGAAGAGGTAAAGGGAAGCAGATGAGGCGAGGTTGTGGTGGAGAGGTGTGAGGTCGGGATTAACTTGACCCAACTCCGGGACGTGCGGTACAATTACCCAGAAGGGGAGGAAGGTGCTGGGACGGCCTAAAAACGGTAGCGCAACCGATCTGGCCTCTGGCCTGGCCCAGCCTCGGCGAACCGAACCCCAATCCAACGGGGAATGCCTTGGGCCAGCGAGCGCATGGGGTAGGGCAGGGCAGGGGGATGGAGAGGTATGCGGGAGGAGAGGAAATCCAGCGTCATATGAGACACATGCAGGGCATTGGGGGAACAGAAGGAAAGAAGAATATGCACATACCCTCCAAGGCAGCCTGCAAGCTCCTCTTCAGCGCCTGGCTTCTATTACTCGTGCTACCAGCTCCAGGCCCATGGATGCTGCCGGAACCTGGCCCCGACGCCCCGGTCGGCGGATTGGTCAGGCTCATCCACACAAAACACTGCACTAACTTCCGGAACGCGACTCAGTAATAGCTGATCAGTTGATAGTGGGTGTCAACCGTCAACCGACGCCCTAGCAGGCTGAGCTGTATGCGCTGTCTGCGCTGCGTGTGCCGGAGGCGCTGCTGCTACGTGTTAGCCTCTGCTGGCACCGCGCAACCCTCTTCCGAGAGAAGGAGGTGGACCGGAAGCAGGCTAGCAGGCGGGTAAGGCGAATCGCGAACCGACAGCCAGCTGCGACTGGCAAAACAAAACATCAACCCAGGGGCATGCGCGCGCTCTGAAGGGATCTGAATCGTGGCCTGTCTCTCGCACTCGCCCTCCTCTCGCTCCTCTCCCTGCTTCAGCTATCGGCTCTGCAGCCAGGGTGGGTTGCGGCGTGCGCAGTAGACGGCAGCAACGAGACCTCGGTGCTCCGCTCGCAACCCTCACGCTGTCCCTCCTCCCTCACTTGCTCACGCGCGCGGGGCGAAGTCGATGCTGTAGATACTATGCACGCAATGGAACTGGTATTATCCGCGGGCCCAAGCTGGCGGTGGGGTCAAATTGGGGATCCGAGAGGGGAGGGGGCCTAGGCTCGGCTGTACAAGTGGTAAATTTAGGTAGATTGGGAATTGATCGCTTTGGAGGGGGGATTGAGCTGTCTCCGTTTTTCGGGTTGCGCTCGGGCTCCAAACATGGGCAAAAGCAGGATTAGGGCGCGCGACGATGCAGCATCTGGAGTTGCCAACGGGAGGTTTGCATGCGACGGCGCGAAATGGCAATGCAGGGTGAAGGGAAAGGTTCAATTGCACGTCGCGCCGCACATGTGCCTCAAATTTCAGGACCACACTCCATTTGCTCGCCTATCAACAGTTAATACGGAGCGCTGCGACTGTGATTGCGCTAGAGCCTTGCATGCCTAATGCCTGATGTGCCCAGCCACTTGCAGCTGAGCCACACATGCATGCCACACACACTGCTGTCGGCCAGGCCGCCCCGGAGCTGAATACGATGTTTCACGCATCATGTACGCAGGCAGCTCTAGATTTCAGACCCATGGCCGCCTCGGAGAAACAGTGAAATGAGACCGATCTGCAGGCTTTGCTTTTGTCTTGTTCTTAGCTAGAAAATAGATAATGTAGTCATCATCACTGCAGCCCTCCCTCACCCCCCTTCTAACCTATCTGCTGCTCTCACGCCCCCTCCCACACTCATCGCTCGCAATTGTGCTGTGTAATGTCACAAGTCTAACCGCTTTACCTAGGTCCAAGCTTCTCCAGGACTCTCGGGCCTTGCTCCTCCCACTCAGCCTTGGTCACCCACATGCTCTCCTTATCTGCCATGATGTTGGCCAGCACCGCACCACCCAGGAACACCATGTGCCTTCTCCTGGGGGGATCTTCAATCCGGACCTTGAACTTGCTGAGACGCTCAGGGTTGCCCTGCAGCGCCCGCGTGAGCCACAGCTGCTTCAGCTCCTTCTCCAGACGGGATGGCAGCCCGGGGTACATGCTGCTACCGCCGGAAAGCACAATGGCCTTGAAGAGAGACGAGCGAATGTCCACATCAGCTGACTGGATCGTGTTGAAGAGGAACTCGCCCAGGCCGGGTGAATCGCTGTCGACGAGGTGAGGCTGGAAGAGACACTCGGGCGCCTCGAAGCGCTCGCTGCCCACACGGATGACTCGACCGTCCGGTAGGGTGTAGTCCTCGACGAGCACCGTCGTGTCCTCGCTGAGGCGCTTGTCGAGCTCGAGATCGTATGACACGTAGCATAGCTTCTCCTTGATCTGCCGCACTGTCTCGAAGTCTGCTGTTCGGTTCAGTGCATATCCGCGGCGTAGCAGGAGCTTGATGAGGTTGCGAGTGACGTCACGGCCGGCGACATCGAGGCGCTTTGTGAGATGGTTGAGCACGACGGATTCGTACACGGGGACAATGTGGGTGACACCATCGCCAGAGTCGACAACGACACCAGAGCTCAGACCTGCGGGTCAGACTTCAGTCAGCATAGCTCCGCTTGATCAACCTCGCATCTCCCCTATCCCATTCCCCCATCCCTGAAAGAAATAGCTCTGGAACGAAACCCACCTTGTGCGTAAAGTGCCAAAACGGCCTGGATAGCGACGTAGACGCCCCCGAAGCCGTATCGATCGAACATAACCTCGCACATCTGCTCGCGGTTCTTCAATGGGTTCATTGGGGGCTCGGTCAGCAAGATCTTCTGGCCTTCGGTGTTGATTTTCAATTTCTCGTAAAACGTGTAGTCCCAGAGGTGCTGGATATCGTCCCACTTCTTGACAATGCCGTTCTCCATGGGGTAGCTGATCTGGAGCATGTTGCGGGCGGCGGCGGCCTCGTCACCGCACATGATGTCCTTGATGACAACATCGCTGTTCGACTTCTCTTCTGAACGCAGGATCGGCCGGCCGACGATAGAGGGGAACTGGTGCTCGGGGAAGTTCTGGGCTGCGTAGCCGACCTTGAGGAAGCCGGTACCGCCGTCGAGGACTGTTTGATAATGACGATGGCTCGTATTAGCTCAGCTGGCTCCGGGGTAGCTCCCAGTCTGCGGGAGGCGTTTGGGATTGTTCCGACATACCAATGGGGGGAGGATTGGCCATATTGGCGAAGAAAACGGACGGGAGGTGGCGGGCTTGGGATGTGGCTGCGGGAGTGATCCTCGCTGCTGGTGTTGAGGAGGAGACGGGTCAGTACAGCGTGGCTGGGTGCCTACCAACGTTGCGGTATGGTTGCGTGGATGGAGCAGTCCATGGTGGGGTTCGTTCTTACGCCTGTCGTCAGAGCCAAGAGCTCTCACCGGGGCCAATCACGTGATACCCCGCGCCGTCTCCAACTGCCGACATGTTATCTTTCGAGATATACAGCTACGGATTGGTATTTGTTAATGTTACTATCCTAGATGTCGCTTCTTATCTCAATGTTTCACAAAATTCCCATTGGCTTGTATTATATATGGAGGGGAAGGAGAGATAGCACCCACATCAAATTGAACTCTTAAGATGATCTTTCTCTTCCATGACTCATCTTCCTCCTCCATCACAATCACCTTAAGAACAATCCAAAAACAACCATGCGTGTCCTCATATTGAATCCGAATTCGTCTCAGGACATGACGCGGGGAATGCTTGCTGCGACAGACGCACTCAAGCTGGGAGATGTACGATACTGACCCAGCACCACTCTTCCTCTCTATCTAAACTACTAACCAGCAGCCTCAAACAGTCCATAAAGATCAGCACTTACACAGCTCCAAGCACCTCTCCAGCAAGCATCAACGACGACACGGACATCAAAGCCAGCGAAGAGGCCGTCTGTCAGGACATCGCCAACAAATCTCTCTCACTGGACCAATACGACGCCGTCCTCGTCGCCTGCTTCAGCGTCCACACCTTGGTCCCCCGCCTCCCCGCCCTCACCTCCGCATCCGTCACCGGCATCTTTGAGGCGAGCATCCTCACCGCGCAGCTCCTCCTCCAGCCCTACACCGACCAGAAATGGGGCATCGTCACCACGGGTAAGTTCTGGGAGGACCACCTCGCCGCCGGCGTGAGGTCCTTCTTCGGCCAGGCGCCGCGGGAGGACGCGGGCCAGGGCAGCAGCAACTTCGCGGGCGTGTTTTCCACCGGCCTCACCGCCGGCGACTTCCACCGCGTGCCGCAGGAAGAGGTCGACGCCAAGCTCAGGGAGGCCACGGGCAAGCTGCTCAGGTCCGGCGACGTGCGCTGCGTGGTCATGGGCTGCGGGGGGATGGCCGGCCTGGAGCGCGTGATCCGCTCGACGGCCGCGGAGCTCATTGGGGAGGACTTCGCGAGGGGCCTCTACGTGGTGGACGGTGTCAGGGCGGGCGTCCTACAACTGGAGCAGCTGGTTCGCAGCAAGCAGGTATTTGTGTAATGTGTAGCTGGAAAGAAAGTATCTTGATCTATCGAGAAATAAAGAACAGTGACATGCTATGAAATCACTCCAAGCGACGTTCGCGACCCCATACCTCATCCGCATCCTTCTTGCCCTTTGTCTCTGGAACCCGCGAAAGCACGAAGAGGCTGCAGCCGGCAGCCAAGGCGGCGAAGACGAAGTAGACCCAGCCCTGCCCACCGAAGGCGTTGTTGAGCGCCGTGTTGAGGATAGGGAAGAACTGGGCGACGATGAACGTTGCAACGTAGTTGGCTCCCAACGCCCAGCTCTGCGTGGCGCCCACAGCTTCCTGTCCGACAAGCTCGGAAGCCAGGATGAAGGGTACTGGCCCTAGACCAACCGCGAAGAAACCGACGAAGAATAGGACGGCGAATGCAGAGAGGACCTTGGCGCCGAAGACGATGGACAGAGCGAGAGCAAGAGAGCTAGAGCCCTGGCCGATAATGGAGATGAGCAGACACGTCTTGCGTCCGAGTCTATCAGGCAGGGGCGAGCAAGCAACTGTGGTGAGGAGGTTGACCACCGAAATAAGGATGGTCAGGAGGGCCGAGGAGATGGGGAGAAGGTCGGCAAGGAGCGAGACTGAGTACATAATGATCGAATTGATGCCGCAGAGCTGCTGGGTGAACATGACACCAACCACGGCGATAATGGCCGGGCGGGTGTTGGGGTCTCGAAGAACATCGGCGAAACCAAGGTGGACGGTCGAAGCTGTCACCACCCTGGATGTGGATGGCTCTGCAGGAGCATCCTCTTGAGCGAGAAGCCGGGCTTCTTCGTTGGCACCATCTTCCCCTCCTTCCTGGCCCCAGCCTGCCACCTCCTCTTGAATGTTGACGCCTTTGCCTCGGATCCTCTGCAGGGTTCGCCCGGCCTCTGTGACTTTCCCATTCGCAGCCAACCACGACGGACTCTCTGTCAGGAATACAGATCCCAGGGCCTGGATTGCACCGATGCAGATACCGGTGGCCAGAATCAACCTCCACCTATTACCGTAGCTCAAGAAGTAACCGAGTGTCTGGGTGATGAGAATTCCGACGTTGATCGACACCTGGGTCATGGCGCCAAACAAACCACGCTCCTTTGGCGGAGCCACCTCGCTGATGTACAAGGGAACGATGACGGTCGAGGCACCAGCAGCAATCCCGGAGAGGAACCGGCCGATGCACATGAACAGCACGCTCCCGGACAGTGTTTCGATCAAAGAGCCGACTGTATAGAGTATGGCGGTAATGCGCATGGCGGGGAGTCGACCGCGGCGGGAGGAGAAAGGCCCAGCGTAGAGGGCGCCCAGGAGGGCACCGAGGGTGAAGATGGCCGTGATAGTCGCGAATGCGGCATCGTCCATTGGGATACAATCGGGGAGACTCGTCGAGCGGGTTGTCGGCTGTCCTCGCAAGGTCGCTATGACTCGAGACACCACATTTGGGGTCGACGTTTCGTGGCAGGTAATGACATTTTGGGGGGCGTTCAGCTCGGCCTAGAAAGAGCAAGTGAATTGGTTAGATCTCTGAGGCAACTTCTTGGTCTGGGAGCGTTGAGATGGCAGCGGATTGGAGCGTGATGCTTCTGGGAGAGGACGCACCAAGTGGTAGCCAAACTGCAGCGAGCCGCTTGTAGCGATGATAATCAGGAGAATCAGGTAGGTGGTGATATCTTGGAGAAACTGCCCCAAGCCCTGGTCGGCCATCTTGGATCGTCTCGCTCCGCAACAGAGAGCTTTGGTGCTTGACAGGTAGAGGGGAGAGTTGGCTTGATGAAGGTCACACGGAAGGATATGTATTCGCTTAGACGGGGTCCGCCCGGTTAAGTACTACAGGCACTAATTCACATGACTATTTGAGTGACCATCTGATAATAAAGTTACTCAAGAATTCCAGGCGGTTATACTCTGACGGCAGCAATCCTCCGTTTCATGAGGGGTAAGAATTTACGACTATATTGATTCCGTATGATGCTGTTGCGCGTAAGTGCAGTCTATTTAACTTGGTCATTTGGTATGGAGGTTTGATCAGTGAGGTGAAGCAATTTAGCGACCAGAAGCGCTATCGGGGCCTGCAGCCCGCTATTGCTCAGCACTCAGATCCGCTAGAATCCTGCGACCAGGCCGAGCAGCATCTTGCTCATGCGTCGGCTCCCTGTCCTTCTCAAAGATTCCTGCCTGCACCCATTCCTGCACCGATGGATGCTCGAACAGCCGCTCGACGTATTCGCCGGCGGGCCCGGGGAACGTGATGCCATAGGTCTTGAACCTGCAAGCCACGGGCGCGTAGAAGGCATCCGCCGCAGTGAACTCAGCACCTGCGAGCCACGGGCCGCCGAACCTGGTGAGGCCCTCGGTGAAGAGAGTCTCCAGCCGCGCCAGATCGCGTTTCAGCCCGTCGCTGTGCTCCGGCAGCTCGATACGCAGGCCCACGTTCATGCCACACTCCTCCCGGAGGGCCTCGAAGGACGAGTGCATCTCCGAGGCGGCGCAACGAGCGAACGCCCGGGCCGTCGGGTCGCTGGGCCAGACTCCCGCGTGCTTCTCGGCGATGTACTCGACGATGGCCAGGGAGTCCCAGACGTAGAACTTGTCGTGGGCCGAGTCGTGGAGGCACGGGACCTTGCCGGAGGGCGAGAAGGCGAGGAAGTCGGGCTGACGGTAGCCCGGCTTAAACATGAACAGGGCTTCTTCGAATGGAATGTCGAGAACCTTGAAGACGAGCCACGGTCGCATCGACCACGACGAGTAGCGCTTGTTGGCGATGTGGAGCTTGTAAGTCATCTTGAATCCTGGGTGAGAGGTCTGCCTGTTGTGTGTCTCCAACCAGATTTGAATATCTCAGGTTCTGATAGAATTTTTGGTACGTGTGTCTGGATATCCGGACTCGACTCGCTTCTCTTGTGGAGTTGATGGGTCAATCGGATTTCAAGAGCATACACTGAAGCAGATTATTTTATGACTGATGCAAGAACAAGTCAAACGAGACACAGTTCTCGTCGTCGATACATCTTATACTTCTACAATACGCCCTGCGTGTATTCCAACACCTCACGTCCCATAGCATTCACTACTTCACCGATTCCGGCTTCATCATGTTTGTCACCAAGGGCGTCGATGACTCAAGCGGGGTAGCTGGACACGAGCCTGATGGGCCAATTATCACGATCTGCGTATCTCGTATCAGCTTGAGTGCTTTTGTTTGTCCTGGCTGTCTAATGCTCATATATGTTAATGAAATGAATGATTCTCCAACCCCCCTGGCTTTCCCTTTTTGACTCTCATCACAATCTCCAAGTGTTTTCTCGTCAGCGCTGTCTTCTCCCGTAGAGCCAGCAGCCGCGCTGTCTTGACCACATTCTTAATCTGCCGCCCATTAAACTCGTGTTCCGCAAGCGAATCCAGCTCCTCCTCGGCCACGTCGATCTTGTCCGACCTGGCAGGCAGGAACGTCCGCCAGATGTGCCGTCGGCTCGCCGCGTCGAGTGCAGGGTAGTGCAGGGTCAGGTCGATGCGGGACTCGAACGCGGGGTCGAACGAGCCGAGCCGGTTCGTGGTGAGGAACATGACGCCCTGGTAGTACTCGAGCAGGCGGAGGAAGACGGAGACGAGCTGGTTGCGGTGGAGGTCCGACTGGGTGCGGTTCTCGAGGAAAACGTCGCACTCGTCGATGAGGAGCACCGCCTTCCACCTCTGCGACAGCTCGAGGACGCGGTTGAGGCTGCGCTCGACTGACTCGGCCGTGAGACCCAGCTCGCCTGCGCTGAGGCTGTATAGAGGTTTGTGCATCGCCTCGGCCACTAGAGAGGTCAGTGCTCGTCCATTGGCATTGTGCCTGCCGGTCTATTGAGAGGGAGTATATGTACCTGATTCGGACGTGAGTGTTTTGCCTGTGCCTGGCTCTCCACTCAACAGCATAATTATTCCCTTTCCTGCGTCGCAAGTTAGTCAAGGCTCCGTAGCGTGTGGGAGGTAGATGGTCTTGCCTTTTCCTTCAATGATGTCGTCAAAGTCATCGTCCGTTTGGGACATTTGCGCGTCTACAAACGCCCATATGATTGACTTGTAATCATGAGGGAGGACAAGTTGCCCGAACGCTGTATCGTTCCAGGCAATATCTGTCAACTTGTCGACTTGGAACAGAGCTAGTGATGTGTCAATGTCACATGAGCGAGAGGATTGCTAGGGAGATGAATCTGATCGGTGCCTACCCCAGCTCTTGGTCTTGAAGCAATACCCTTTGACAAGAGGTGTACACAATGCATGCTGGTCGGGGTAGAGAACTGCAGAGTCTGGAAATGGTTAGTTACGCGGCGTCGTGTGTGATCTCTGCGTGACCGAGTCGCTACTGGGTGTAGGGATTGTAATGAGAAGGGAAGGGCTGCTGACTCTTGTTCTTGTGGTTCCTTTCAGTGAATCGTTTCTTGGCTAGCTTTGCCTTTTCTTTTACCTTCAAGAGAGGCTCAGGCATGCGAAGATCCGTACCATCTTCGATACTGGCTGTCGCCTCCGCAAATTCAGACGGTCTTGAGAGCGGTAGCAGCTCCGACCTTGAAGGTACCGCTGAATTAGGGTTGCTATCAATCATGACCCTTCCACGTTCCATCTACATGTTGGTTAGTGAGAGCTCCCAGCTCACGGCAGATGATGAGGTTTCAGCTTACATGCTGTCTCTCGGGGACCCCGGAAGGCGGACTAAGCAACATGTATGGCCCAGAATATGCCTTGTAGTGGCATCCCCTTAGCATCTCAAACTTTCTCCCTCGCTCTTGAAGCATGGCGCGTACAGGGGCTATGTCTGAATAGATGTGACTGGGGAGAATATCGAGATCCTCAATTGGTTTGATGCCCTCAAAGCCCTGCATCTCCAACGTCCGTGTCCTGTCGCCAAACTTGTCGCCATCAGTGTCGATGTATCGGCACGAGATCTCGTACGTAGTTTGATCTCGAGCCTCCTTATACTCACCGCGATCCACTAGCCACAGTCGGTCCACAGACTCGTGTCTTGACAGAACCTCTATCCCTGGCTCAAAGAGTGTCCAGAGGTAGTCGAACGTCATGACATTGTTCTTCAGCAAGTCGGCCGCTCGATCGAAATGCGGCGACAACTCCGAGTAAATGATCTCAAACAGGATATCGTAGTGCTCTCGTGGTGTCTTGTCCTCGTCGTTTCCCTGCGCCGGCCGCGCTTGGACAAACTCGGCCCACTGGTGGAAGAACTCGAGGAAGGGCGCGGTGAACTGCAGGTTTTTGAGGTTCGTGTTGACGCTCTTGTAGTCCTTGAAGACGGGATGGAGAATGGCCCTTAGATACGGGCTCTGCACATCAATGGAGTGTAGCGCCAGGATTGGCTCGCCGTACTCGCCGTCTCGCTTCTCGCGGCGAACCACCAGAGCGTACTTGTCAATGTCGGAAGCTGACTGGGATACGATGCCGGCGATCTCCTCGGGCGACCACTCCTGCCACGGCTGGAGGGACTTTTCCGTCCGGTAGAGATCCTTTGTCGCAGAAACCACACCATGCTCAGGCCTGGCAGAGGCCGTTGCGCCGCCATGATGTGATGGAGGTTGGGAGTTGATGCCTCTAGGCACTCTTGGGAAGCCATCGGGCTGCGCAGAGGAGGCCTTGGCTTTCCGCCGTCTTTCCTTGATGTTTTCCATTTCTGGATCCCTCACGACAGCGCGTATTTTGTTGTTAAGTGTGCCTGTTTTGCCAGGCGACTACCTCGACCAGCCGCGGGATGACCACTGACATACAGCTTCTGCGGCCGACCCAAAACCACGTTGAAATTTGGCAGCGAGGATCCGGGATGACGAGTAGCTGCGAATCTGTGACCGGACGCTTGAACTTGCGGCCTGAACTCGGTTTGCGATGATGACAGATATCAGCCAACAGGCAGATGGATGGCTTGTTGGTCGTGCTGAGTCCTTGAGGACTTGAACTGCCCCACGCAGAACTCCACCCAGATCAGCCAACCTCACATCATCTTCATCACCATCGCCATCATAATTATCACTACCATCACCATCAACATCATCATCATAACCACTGTCAACATTAATACCATCATCATCACTATCGACATCATCATCACCGGTATCATCACGGCAGCAGCAGTCAACTACATCGACACGATACGGGTATCATCTACAGATCTATTCTATCTAGGTAGGTTTTTATTGTCAGGAAATTAGAGAAACTCGCCATCAGTCTCACCCTCAAGCTTCTCCAATCTCTAGTATCACCACTGGTGTTCATGAACGGCCCTGCCTGTGTCCATGTCCATGTGTTGGATGCTCCGGAGGGATCTTTGACCAGTAAGTAACACACAAGCGATGAGCGTCAATGGACCGACGGGTTTAGGCATGCGTTGGAGGTCCAACAAAGTTCCATCCCACTGTCTAAAACGGAACTGCTACCCGGGCATATTGTCTTGCAAAGCGGCATAACGCAGAAACGCTATGCAGGAGCCGTTGCCTCGCATGAGTCGCGACCGTCAAGCCGCGTCTTGCTTCATCGATGTGGGCGGTGTCACGCCGGCCAAGGGAGATCCATCATGCGCCGCCATGTACCACCAGGAGGACTGGACTCTTGCAGCTGGCAACCTCCACTCCTGCTGTGCTCCTGGCCGTCGTCAAAATCTGCAGGGCTTCTATTGGAGTGACCGGCGGCGATGACGCCCCTCGTTTTCTAGCGTCCATGCACGGCAAGCAGTTTTCTGAATAGCGCCCGAGCCCACGCCCGCAAGGACGAGCTCTGTGATACCCCGGTGGCCTGACCCACGGATGCGAGCAGGCCAAGACGTATCAGGATTCCCGTGCCTCCGAGCGTTAGGCTCTCCATCTAGAGCGGCCCCCCCTTCCTCTCTGGAAGAAGGCCTGGGCCTAGAGCGCGATATCGAAGGTGACTGGAGATTACGTTGCGGTTACAGAGCAATTTGGTCTTCATGTAGGAAAGTGATTCAAAAGAAGGAAGAATTTTTTTTTTCCTAGCGATAGCAAATAAGGAGCGACATCGCGAACGTAGTCTGACAAAATGACAGTGCAGGGCATGGCAAAATGCCAGATGCCAACATAGAAGCTGTCCAAGCACAAGGCCAATGCAGTGTAGCCTGAAAAAATGAGCATGGAAGGGCATGGTGAATGTCATATGCCAACACACAGACTGCCCAAGCACGACAGCAGCATCACTACTGCCAGTGCAACTAGGGATAGCGGCCGAAGCCCTCCCGCAATTGTGACCGAAGGGCTCTAATCCTCCACGGTTTTGGCGTCTGTGTCCTGGAGGGTTGTAGTCGCTGGTGCAAATCCTTGATCTTCACCGCCATTGATCGCGAGCTGAACGAGGGATGGGCTTTGGAATTCTAGATTGAACTCATGACCAAAGCTTGGAACTGCTTTCCAATGGTCCTCCGACTCCATGGAAGTAAAAGTCCCGCCAAAAATGGCAAACGATGGCTGTGAGATGAAATCCACCGTTTGGCTTATAGATTTAGCTGCTTTGCTGGGGCTATAGAAGCAACCGTGTGTGGCCATGTCCTTATAATCGTAGGCAAAATCCTTGATCACACTCATATTGGGTACCTTCATCTCCAGCTTGAGCCAAAGGCTTGAGTAGATCATCAAAAGATCTAATTCAATGGCGAAATGGACTATTCCATACAGATTCTTATCTAGGTTTTTGGGGAATGGCCGGCGAGGATCTGACATGAGAGGCCCAAGGCGGTCGAGCAGGATATCCTTGAGCCGGGAAGGCTCTGTGTGCCATCTTCTTCCCGTGGCATGGAGGGTCATTTCTGCTGTCATAGAGCGCCAATTATGAAAGCGGACATTGAAGTTGCTGTTCATGCCTTCTTCGCTGTCGGGGCCGTCGAGATAACCTGGTCACTAATCAGCTATTTCATCCGTGTAGGGGGGGTCAAAGGAAGGGGATGCATCATGCCGTACCTCGCAAGGCGTATTGCTGCTGGCCGTATATCTTCCACATTTCGCACGACCACTTGTCCTGGCATTCAGGCGAGAAAAGATGGTCGTACAGAAGCCGAAAGATCCATGCCTCGAAAAAGCACTGAGCCCTCAATCTTTCGCTTGACTCCATCCACTCTTGGGCATGAGATGCCCAAACCTCGATTTCTGCTTGATTCTCTTTGGAGAGATCCTTCCACATATACGAGGGTGGAAAGTTATCGTGTGCCAAGAGCCATACTCTGGTTGTCAAAATGTTCCAAACCTCGCGGAAAATACTATCTGGGCGATGAAGCCGTAGATGCCATTCATCATATATCCTTGCCCGTTGTTTTTCGTCGGGGATAGGCCACTTGGGCGTTGTATCAAATTCATAATCCTCCTGGGCTGTTTCCCGGCCCAGATGTTCCTCACTACAGACACCGCTGCTCTCAGCGCCATCAGGTTCTCCGGTTCCAACCTTAGCAGATGAGTCACAGGGGCGCTTGGGGCTGGGGGACCTCGTCCTAGAATCTCGTGGGGCTTTGCGTTTCATTCCCGCCCTCTCCTCAGCGGAAGAAGACGCTGTGCCCTCGGAGTGCTGCATTCTAGGCGATGTCTTGATGAGGTTTGGGACAGGCGGGAAGCACAACTGGCGGCAGGGCGGATATGCAGTTATATATTGAACTGTGCGATCCGAAATGATGGCTGGCGGCATATGACATTGCTGTGTTGTGCGTGGCAAGGAGACAAATGCCCTTTCATCATGGAAGCGACGAGAACAAAACACGCACCACGTTTCTGTTTCTGTGACGGGGTGGCGGAGAAACGCATGTCTCTCTCTTTGTTGTCGTCGGCCGATCCGTGGAGTATGACAAAGAGTAAGTAGTTGATATCTGCCCGTGTGCCACACGTATGCTGCCCCCCTACTCCTGTCCTTCATGCGTATAATCACGGGCCAGTTGGCTCAAGCGCCCCCCTGCGTCCGTTCCCAAGCAACTCTTGTCTGCCAATGATATGGCACAGTTCAACTTGCACGGGTGTGGGTGGTAGTCTAAAGCTGGCAGCCGTGGGCGAGAAGCTGCCTTACAAGCGGCCACCGAATGTGATACAGAACTTAGTGTAGCCGGCATGAAAAGCATTCCGCCCTTTCCCCCAAAGTGAAGAGGGATTGTCTGCCCCTTGAACGTTGAGGGAACTCAGTATATTATTTTGCTGACAACCCGGATTGTTGAAGTAATTGAATAGACAACCACAATCGCTTCCCCGAACCGAATTCCTTTCTTGCTACCATTCTTTCACTTCACATAGACTTGCTGTTTACTTCGTGTGACAGTCCATTCAGTTTCTCTGTGCAGTTGTTCCCCTTTTAGAGCAATTTGAGTTCACCATGACCTCGACTGCCTGCGAATGCGCGCAGAGGTGCCTGTTCGTGGGCCTTGATTTCGGCACCACGCGAGTACTCCCCAAAGGTTTCCTTTCTATCTGATGTTGCTGACAATTTATTCTGTAGATACTCCGGAGCCGCATGTGTCCTCGCCTGGCACTGCAAGGAGCATCAATATTTCGCGGAAATCAGCTCAGCCGAGGTGAAGAAGTTCCCGACATGCCTAGGCGTCTCGAGCCAAGGTGCAATGCGCTTTGTGCCTGCAATTGAGTATTGTGGAGTGGGAGAAACCCTTCTTCACTTATTCAAGCTGGACTTGATGTCACATGAACCCTGGACCTCGAACCGCGAAGATGCAGCCGTGGCCACGACACTCAATGCGAGATGGAGAAGCCAACTCTCAACTACCGATGACATAACGCCAGTTGCAATTTACCTGGGAGGCTTGTTTGGGCATACAATCAAGACGCTGGAACACTGGATCAGGGGGCGCAACGCAGCGGAAGTCAGTGTCGTCGTAGTGCTCGCCTCGCCAGCTTGCTGGAACACTGAGACCAACGCCCGTTTCCAAAGAGCCGTCCAATTGTCTGGTATCAGCAGCCAGCAAATTATTGGCGACCGAACTCGTGAGACTCGCATTGTATTTGATAGCGAGCATATGGCTGCGTTGAGGGGAATCAGAAAGCAAGAGGGACTACGGTACTTTGGTCCACGAAGAGTCAGTACCTGCTTGATTTTAGGAAGCATTACTAGATCGTTCTAACAAACAACAGAAACCGGAAAAGTTCATCGTCGTTGATGTTGGCGGGGTGACTATAGTAAGCTTATTCTTCCTCTGTTCCTGAACTGACTATACGGGGATAATGACAACTCCAGGATGCAGTGGTAGATCGGAACGCACCAGGAGGCTCACCTTCCAAGTCCCGCTTAGGAGGCTCCCTCCTCGTCGATTGCCATTTTACGGACTTCCAAGAAGAATGGATCAGAAAGACTTTCCCCATGATACCAGAGCAGGACCAAGATCTCTATCGCGAGAGAGTGAAGGTGTCGTTAGCGTGGTGGCAACACATGCAGAAGTTCAACTATCTCCCTCACATCCCAGGTCCGCCACTTGAGGTGAAACTCCTTGAGAAAACATTGACAATTGGCCGGTATATTCCTTCAACCTTGATCCCAGCTGATGGAATACATGCTAACAACTTTCTGCCTGCTTTCAGAGAAGAGTTCAAGGAGTTCTTCAAGGACACTGTAGAGATCATCGCCAAGGTTGTGGAGGACCTGTTCGACGAGGAGCTTGAGCAGACCGGCGATGCTCCGAAGGTAAGGTCCCTCCATCCAGTTTGCCCCCCATTTGCTCACCATATGCTGACTGCACTGGCTGACCAAGTTCGTGACTTTGACTGGAGGGTTTTCCCATTGCCAATGGCTCTTCGTGGCACTGGCGGACCGATTGAAAGAGTCGCCGGCACGAAACCTTTTTGTGGCACCTGTAAGCACTCAATCCCGGTGAGTCCAAAACAATCGTTCCAGTTTCGGCGTTCGCGGTGTCTAACTGGCGTAGCTGGAATGCTGTTGCGATTGGGGCTGCATACATATACTGGACATTGAGCCAGCCAGACGCAGAGCCCCAAGGAGAAGCGCCAGGCGATGAAGCTGAGGACAATGAATGAAGCCTTGGCCACATGCTTTGACACTGTCCAAAGATGGATTTTCTTCCCGTTCGTTCTTTTTGAAACGGTTCTGTCGCTAAGATTGACTTTCACTGTGGTTTTCTTTACGGAATAAATTGGACAAGAGTAGAGGAGGAAGAAGGAGAGGAGAGGAGAAAAGTTTTGTCTTTGAAGTGAATTCTTGATTTGATGCAAATTTTAAATGTCATTTTTCGTCCCACATCGTCCCTTGTGTCTTCTACAGCTCCTTAATTTAGACTCCAGCCTCGGCTTCCGTAGATCAACTTTCTGAGACGGCTCGGACTTTGCGCAGGCTGTCATCTGACGGCTGTGATTTAGCGACCTGGGCCGTAGCCAGACTGCCATACATGTTGCTACCTAGTCAAGCCTGATGCATCGGTCATGGCTAGCGAAAGGATCACAGAGCTTGGACTCATCGCCGTGCCAGATCGCATCAGGAGTCCGACGGCGGCGGGCGCGGTACACACTGCCGAGATCCGGGCTGTACGCCTACCCTCACGATGTCATCAACGAGCTTACCGCCAAGGCGCCGCTTGCGACATCGACTCTCACGCAATCTCCTCCGCCTGAGATGGGACTGGCGGCGGCTTCGGCTGGGTTGGGAGTTTGGGGACATGCCTTCTCCCACGTGCGCGCGAATCCCCTCGGCGATTCTGAGCACCGATCTCCAAAGATCACCATCCCTCCAAATCAGCATTGTGGTCGCAGAATGAAAGACTGGGGAGCATGCTCAGGGCACGTGCTGAGCCAAGAAATAATGCTTTCTCCACGCCGTTGGTTTGGGGCGATCCAATAATGAGACTGGGCATATGCCAATGGCTACAAACCATGTTGACAGAGTACATACTGGTGTGTCTGGGAGGTTTATACCAAGGTAAGATTCGTTGAGACTTTCCGTCGCTTCTTTGTAGGTCCCCCATCTGGACAGATGCGTTGCCGGCCCAATGCTGCACTTCTGACGACAGTTGATGAGATGTGACACTGGTAGGATGAAACGCTGGACAACAAGGTATCAATGGCCCGAGACATGTGATATGGACAGGTTCTCTTTGTGTCATGGTGTAGTATGATGAGTCCAAAAGAACCTGTCCCATTGTCCTCCCACCGCCTCAGACTCGAAGCAGCGCGGCGGACAAAGCTCAAGAGCACTCAAACACCGCTGTGTTCGATCTTCCCTGTTGCCTAGAGATTTCTTAATGAGGCTAGACAGAGCAGAGGCAACTGATGCCCGTCAAGGACCCTTCTCTGCCCGAGCCTCCGATCCGGCTGACTCGAACCGCGAATCGATATTCCACAGCCAAAAATGCGGAGGCATGATTGACCACAGCCTCGGTCATTTTTCCAAATGATTTTCCTCCGTACTGATTCAGTGTCCTCCTTGTATACACCACAGACAATTGAGCCCTAGTCACTTTGCGCAGTTCTTCCAAGATGACGCTTCAATCTTCTCGTGGCGCCCGGAATGAATTGAACTCGGCGCCCGAAATGAATTGAACTCAGCTCCCTGCCCGTGTGCGAGGCCTGCTCTCTTCGCCGACCTAGACGTTGGGATACTGTGAGTGTTCAAAACTTTTCCGGCCAAACGCAGGGCGACGAAGGAGAAGAACCGGACGGAGCGAGGAGCGAGGGTGTTAATTTGCATTTAATTCTGCATAATTATCACACTGCAGCCCCGAGCCTTCATTCTTTTCTTCTGGCCCGAGACTTGATTTGACTGCAGATGTTCCTATTCCTTTTGAATTAATGTGGAGGCCCTCTCAAACTGTTGGATCTTCGGCCACGTAGCGATTTCTGTCCCGTTGGTGAGCGCGACTTGGTCAACAACATGCCAGAACACTTTGCTTATGGATCAGACTACGTGGATTTTTTTATTCAAGGTTTGGATACTTGCCCTGCTCTCATTTCAAACTCTCTACGCTCTCGTATCTGCGTAGATGCCACCCTATCAGATGTAAATGACCGCGCCGGAGGGCTACAGAACTTCCTTTACCATTGTTCAATCCACCAAACAGACCAGCCGCCGCGCTTTTTGCTGGCTTAGACGCCGATTCCGGCTGACGCGGATCGAGTCGCGCCAAGGGTTCATGAGGCCTCGCCGCATTTTTAATCGTTGAGAGGCTTGGGCTGGGGTTTCCACTTGCCAAGGTGGCCAAGTGCTCATTACAGCCTACATACGAGAGCCTTGGAAGCCGGCGAGCAGCGAATGAGTCTTGTAGGTAGTCTACGTGCGCGATGGGAGGGATCGATTGAGATCCGCGCTGCCTAGCTGCGCATCGCCAGGGTGATTTCGTCGCGTGTTAGAGGCATCCTGTACACGCTACTGCTGGTATGACGCGATTGCATGACGAAGAGGCTCAATCTGTGCTCGATGCACGTCACGCTTCGTCGGTCTTTGAGTCGGCCGCACTGAAAACTTGTCTCGTTTGAATTGGGGGATCCCTCGCCCGGTGGTGATCGCTTTGGCGGAGCCATGAGATTGATCTCATGTACCTATGCTTCGATGTAGGCGGCCTTCTTCTCGGCGAGCATAACAGTATTGAAGGGGGGAGGCAAGCAGCAGCCGAGGAGTATCGTCCACCTACGCCAAATATGCCTTGGTGTGATGATAACAGCGTTGCGTAATCTTATATAGAGCGTTAATGTTTCCATCCAACGAGCTGCCCAGTTCACATGATCCCCCGTGATGATCAAATAGCCAACGAGCCACCTTTTGTCGCCTGCGATAGCTCTATTTGCCGTCCGTAAAGCTAGGAAGAGATATTATGACTCCTACTAATTGCCCAAGGAACGTAAATTGACAAGAGATTGCAATAACAGATCCCGTGATGGTTAAACTGTGAATTTTGAAACGAAATCCCTACACTGATTGCAATCTTTCTGCAAAATATAGCACCGAGGCTCCTAATTTTGTATAGAGTTTATAGATAGGTAAGCCTGGCTGGATGTTCCTGATTCTAGTGTGACTTGTGAGAAGATTACTTGAAGTTGGTTGTAGTTCAATGAACATCCTAAGAAGCGCACAAATGAAACTTTGATCAAGACGCCGGAGGTTTTACCACATGCAAGCTATGATAATCACTGATGCCACTGACTGATGCTTAGACAATAGGCGGAGTATACAACTTAGTGAAAGTCACGGTCTTTCTTACCTGGGAGTTCAGTTGTGTATTCATGATCCCAATGTCGCCTTTCAACTATTACATATTATGAACAAAGGGACAGAGTTGCAGTGATTCATCTTGAATGAGTGTGACCACCATCTTCAACATGATGTTTCCCTAAGGAACAAGTCTCAGCAAGTTAAGAGAATACGAGTAAATTGTTAGTTGTGGACATATCACTCAGTGAGCATTTTCAGAACTCGTTTCGAACTGATAGTACACTTCCATAGTCCAACGGACTTGTCGACTGTGAACACATAGTCTTTGACATACGGTTTAGTAGGAACAAACATGTGATTGAAAGCATGCAGATGATTCACTGACGAGACTGCAACATCAAAGACTCACTGTGTCAATCACAGTGAATGGGAGGCAACACGGAATCTATAAATGGGTAGTTGCACAATCAATATTTTGTCCGACTATATATACTCCTTCTTCATTTCGCTAAAACTTCAATCCCCAAAGCTCAGGCAATTTAACCTACGAACTCACAAATCTCTCGATCAGTTTACTTTCAACTTCAAAAACCATACTCGACCCCCATCTCGATATGACTAAGTCTGGCAAATGCCCCGTGTGCAAACGCATGCTCAGGGGACCTCCTTCCATTGTGCCAAATGATAAGATGCAACCATGTTACGACTGCGCCGAACCTTGTATGGAGTGTTTAGGTTATGGCGGTAATACCTGCAGAATCCAATTCTGCAAGGCTGGTTGGATCCCTTTGCCCTTCAACATAAACTTCCAGACAGATCAAGGGACCAAGAAATGCGAAACTTGTCAGAACGCCAGGGTTGTTGTCCCGGGCGGATACATTGCCTGTGAAAACACTGACCATGGTCGATAATATCGTCTCAAGCTACTCTCATCAACAAGTGGGTTGTATGTTTATTCTTCGCGATTCAGAGCTGGAGTCTGAAGCACACCGACTGATGTGACATGGAGATACGATGGGACATGGTACAAGGAGTAGGAGATTTGAAGACTATCTAAGTGAGATTTTTAGAACAATTTTAGGAGCTGAAGATGCAAGAGTAAGCCAAGGCGATACTCTCTTTTCAAAGAAAATGAACTTTCAAGGCTAGCTGAAACTTCCCGGAAATTTGGGCCAACGTTGTGGGGCATCCGTGAATATGTCTCTCCCAACTCCAAAGCAGTGAGCAAGAAACGTTTCTCGGGTGGTACTCAATGAGGCCAAAAATAATTGAGGCATTATATGACATCATACCTCACGGAATCTGTGTTCATCGGTAGTGAATCGTGATCGAACTTAGAGAGGAGCTTGCGCCCTTGAGTGAAGTTCCCAAGCTGAAGTCAGTTGATGGCTAAGAATGGAGGATATAAAATCATATATCCTGGTCGTGTTTCACATTGAGGATACTGAAACCCAAGCACTCCCTGCGGACATCGCCTTGTTCTTTGCAAAATCACATAGGATTCTTGGCCATGGCTCTGCTCAACTCCTCAGGCTTTGATACCGTCGCTCGGACGAATAAAAATAGGGCTAATGGAATGTCCTTAGCTAAAAATAGTATTAATTGTGTAATGAGAGGGTGATGATTTGACTAAAAGTGCCATACCTGTGAGCCAGCCTCCTCAATAGAAGAGGTTGTGAAGGAAGTCGATTTGAAAGTCGACCATATAACTAACTATACGCAACCTTATGGTAGCATAAATTGGAAATTCTAGGTACGAAATGAACACAAGTTGAGTATTTGACTGACATTTAATAGAAAATGTCTATTTTTCATGAGTGCTAGCTTGTATTTCGTGAAATGTAGTAGGGTTGAGGGGTGTCTAGGGTATGTCTAAGAGTGTTATCACCTTGACCTCAGATCTTATTAACCCAGCAGGCCATTATCAAAAGTAAGAAAATATCCGGATTTTCGGGCCCTCCCGTGTTTATTTCAGTAAGATGAGACCATTTAGGTGGGCATCTAAGCTACATTTTGCAAAACAACAATGTTGAACCGTGGTTTCAGATGTAAGATGAAAAATATAGAAGCCGCACACTCAATGGGAGTGACTGTACCTCACTGGAACTAGTTTTTTTAAGCTTTTGTTACATAGAGTGAACCTGCGCTGCTCAATAGATCAAATGCCATTATTCTACCCTAGCAATAGCATGCTGATGTAGTAAAAATTCCCCAAAGTCGGTGGTGGTCCCCTCATTGCCGCTGAAATGCGTGTGGCAAGGTCTGGTGCTTTGGCAAAGCGAATTCACTTTATTTACATCCATTCGCTACAATTCTTCTACATTACCTTCTAGAACCTCGTATCGGAGGGGTAACAATTTCAAATTCCTGATCTCATATCAAGTTATGACGAGAAATTTCGTCGCGTGTTGACAGCTAGCCATACGCTACATTGCGGACTACTTTTCATTATGGCTATTTTGCGGTGTGGGATGCCGAGATGTGCGCTGTTTAGCTTGGTTTCTGTCACTGCTGAAAGCTCCTCTGCTCATAATGACTTGGAAGATCTCATTGTGATAGAGCAGGGATTGGGCCCATATTAACATGCAAAGCCCCTAAATCGGAGGATCATACAGGGAGCTGTCGTCTTTGTTCTAAATTCGATTGGTCCGTCACTTTTCTCAACATGGGTCTGGGCAATAGTAGCTACCTCACGTTAGCTCCTTCGGAAAGACCCCGACTCCCAGCTTGGAATTTGAGCTGCGGTTCCTTTGAGACGTGGCTGGCTGAGTTGTCGCTGAGTGTGGATCTGTCTTTGCCTTCAGCAGTAAATGTGAGACTTTACTTTCCGCTTCGGACATTTGGCAAGCAGCTGCCCTTAACGCCAACTTGGCATTGCCCATGGATGTTGAGCTACGGGCCGGTGACTGAGATTGAGATCAACAAATACGGCAACAGTATCCAGTAGCTAGGACGCAGTAGGTATGGGAACCTCAACGAAACTGCCTTAGTGATGGAAGGTGATGGGCGCCATAGTAAGCAACATTTGGTTCGGATAATTTGAAGATCGATATCCCGAGACACTGGACGTAACGTAGCCCTATGTGGGCGGAGTACCATCAGAGCATTGGTAGATTGCGATCTTGTTTCAAGGTCCCTTTTCTCCCTTCTCCTTCTTCTACCCTAATCTGGCTACCAAGTTCCTCACTTTGGTCATCTAGAGCTATGATTAGGTGACCTTCTCGAAGCCCCCACCCATTCCTTGGTATGCATGAATGCCTGTTTCACCCCAGTAGGGTACGGGCACAACTATCTCAGCCACAGCAAGCAAGTAGAACCGATGGTGTCATTAGGTCGGGCCAGATTCCAGTCTCCTGTCTTTGGTGGTAGACAACTGGGGGCTGGCTGTCTCAGTCATGTCTTCCATCCAGGCGCCCCGAGCCCCGGGCCTCGGGCCCCTCGCGTAAATTTTTCTTACCGTTCTTTCTTTTCGTAAATCAAAAGTAAAAACTGAGAGGTTCTGGCAGCGTGAAGTGGATTCTCGTTGAGCATTGTATTGCGGAAAATAAACGAAGCATTGCCTTTTTGTATCGGGCAGCTCTACCCTTCTCAGAGCTAGCTCATACCACTGCTGTTCAACCTTTTGAAGCATCTATCTTCTAATTAGCCTCAAGGTTGCGGTCAACAGCTTAACTCATCCGGAATTTCAAGTCTGGAAAATCTTGAAAAATTGTATATTCGATAATCACAAATTCCTCCCTGGCGCGGACATAAAAAAAAATGGCGAGAAACCCGAGCGACGAGGGTTTAGGACCCAATAATCAAGGTAATGGTACCTGTAGGCCACAAGAAAATGGCCATCGCGAATCAAATGGGGCCATTTCGAGCCCCAACGGAGGCAGAGATGGGACGTTGCCTGTCAAAATGTCCCGTGAGAAGTTGGACGGCGAGGCAATGGCCGAATACTGGCGTAACCGGCTGGAAAATGCCACACCAGCCTCATTTCCACCCAGGGCCTCAGGGGCAGGCGAATTGAATGAGGGTGGAAACACGAAGTTGTACGGGAAGACGGTCGACATCCCTCAGATTGGCAGCCTCCCAGTCCAGCTGTCAACACTCCTCCAGGCCGCATGGGCGATGGTCATGTCGCGGCATTCTGACTCCGAGGATGTAACGCTTGGTTATGTCCTCTCGGCTAGAGATGGGGGGGATCTGGGCTCGGCTGGCTCCACGGCTGTCACAGTTCCCATGAGATTTCACTTGCTGAAGGAGGAATCAGCACTGCGCTTCCTTCAGTCTGTTGAAAATCAATCACGAGAGATCGCGCCTTTTGCGACATTTGGCATCAAAAACATTGCCAGAGTAAGCCAGGATGCAGAATCGTCCTGTGCGTTCACGAGCCTGATGGCCTTTCAACGGATAGAAGACACTATCACACCTGGGAAAGGTGCCACGAAAAAGGGCCACTGGGCCGTGAATGATTTTTTCTCTACTGGACAGTCACTTCTCTGTCAGTGTTTGGTGCAGGAAGGGCATATTGAGATCGACCTAAAGTATCGATCTGATATTATTGGCGACAACACCGTCTGCGCTCTCGCCCACCACTATGAGAGCGCCATTCGGGGCCTCGCAGTGGGAGGACCTGCCATGAAACTCGGAGATATCAGCTTGGCAGGCTCGTGGGACGTTCAGCAGGCTACGGTATGGAACCAGGCTCGTCCCGAAACAACTTATGCATGCTGGCATGACAAGGTTGAGGAGCAGGCTGAGAAGCATCCCGACACCGTCGCTCTCCATGCCTGGGATGGTGTGCTGACTTACCAAGCCTTGAGCGAAATGTCGGACCGTATTTGCTCCTTCTTGATGAGCGAGTGGAACGTACAAGAGGGCGAAAACGTGATCGTCTTCTACGAGAAATCACTCTGGTATACGGTATGTATCCTGGCCCTCAGCAAGGCCGGTGCTACCTGGGTGCCACTCGACCCTTCCCACCCGAGGGAGAGGCGGCGGGCGATTGTCAAGCAAGCATCTGCTCGACTTGGCCTGACATCTCCGAAGCTCTATGGCGAGTGTAAATTTCTGGTCGACGATGTTGTCCAAGTCGACTTTGATCTTGATAGCCGCCTCTTCATGAACAGCTTCACGAGTGAGGAGGATGAGGTCAAGCCCTCGAGGCCAGTATCCCCATCCAGCGCGGCATACATCCTATTCACATCAGGAAGCACTGGAGTTCCAAAGGGATTTGTCATTGAGCACAAATCTTTGGCTACGAGTCAAGTTACGCTTTGGAACAAGCTCCGTTCTCCCCCTGGCACTCGCGTATTGCAGTTTGCAGCTCACGTGTTTGACTTCGCAATCATGGAACTGATTGGCTCGCTGATGGCGGGAGCGTCCCTTTACATCCCGTCTGAAGAGGACAAGATGGACAACCTTGCAGCATACATCAATTCAAATGCTATCCAGCATCTTATCCTGACACCTTCTGTAGTGAGGACATTGCGAGCCAAGGACCTTCCAACGGTGAATCTGATTTTCTTGGGTGGTGAGACGGTTACCCAGGAGATTTTGGACAATTGGTTCGGCAGAGTGCGGTTATTCAACGCATGGGGCCCTGCAGAGGCAACTGTCTGCAGCAGTTTTCATGAATATCGATCCAAGAGCGACCACCCGTCCACCGTGGGCAAATCTACGGGAGGCTTTTGCTGGATCGTGGACCCTGAGAACCATGAGAAGCTGGCTCCGATTGGTGCTGTCGGTGAAGTTATTATACAGGGACCGACGATCACGCGCGAGTATCTCGGCGACAAAGCGAAGACGGAACAGACGGTTAAGCCTGCACCACAGTGGGCTCCATTCCGAGATGAAGAGGGATGGGATAGGATCTACAAATCTGGGGACCTTTGTTTTTACAATTCTGATGGCGACATGCAGTTTGTGTCTCGAAAGGATACGCAGATCAAAATCAGAGGTCTCCGAGTAGAGCTTGGAGAGGTTGAGCATCATGTGCTCGAAGGCTTGTCTGGTGTTCGACATGTGGCTGTCGATGTGATCAGAGCGGGAAATTCATCCAACCTTGTGGCGTACTTCTGCTACAATGATGAAATGCGTGTCAACATGGCCACTGACCAATCGATATTTCTCCCATTTACTGCCGATCTTGCTCGGCGCGTTATGGAGTTGGTTGGCAAGCTCAATCTTCATCTCCCGTCATATATGGTCCCGACAATTTTCATCCCCTGCAGCATCATGCCAGCCAACACATCTCTGAAACTGGATAGAAAGACGCTGGCAAAGGCAGTTGATACCCTGAGCCATTCCGCACTTTCAGGCTACTCACTCGCGAACCTCCCTAAACGCCAGCCGGAGACTGTGATGGAGTACAGAATGCAAGCCTTGTGGGCGCACGTTTTGGATATTCCCGAAGAAGGGATCGGAAGAGACGACAGTTTCCTTCGTCTAGGGGGCGATTCGATCAAGGCTGCCCAGCTTTCCGCGGTTGCTCGCGACTCTGGTGTACAGATCTCGGTCAAGGACACCTTCCTAGATCCGCGATTATCTGCTGTTTCAACCCGCGCTTGTACAATCGAGGCTGACCGCAGACCTAGCGGAGAAATCAGACCATTTGATCTGCTTCCGAGCGGCATGAAGGAAATTGTACTCAGCCCCGAGATTCGGGCAAGATGTGATCTCAAGAATGGACAGATCATTGAGAATGCTTTGCCCGTTACTTCATTGCAAGAGGGGTTCATGGCACTCTCTGCGAAACAATCTGGATCATATATGGCAAAGTGGGTTTACCGCATCGCGGAGCATGTTGATTTGGATGACTTCCGCGAGGCTTGGGAAGCCACTGTCGAAGCCTGCAGCAATCTACGGACCAGGTTGGTCAGGGTGTCGAACCAAACAGTCCAGCTCTATATTAAGAACGACGTCGATTGGGAGGATACAGCAAGGATGGACCTTCGCGCTCTCTTGCTCAAGGTAAAGGGCATGGAAATGGGTCTTGGTTCTCGTCTCTGTCGATACGCCCTCGTGCAAGGCTCGAGTCCATCGGAAAACTTCTTTGTTTTTGTTGCCCATCACGCCATCTATGACGGCTGGACCATGCGGCTGATTCTTGGGACTTTGTCTGAAATTTACAAGGGGACTGCGGTTACCGAACTAAAGCCATATGACTATTTCATCAAATACATTCTGGATACCAATCTTCATGCTGCCAGAGCGTACTGGAAACACCAGTTGCAGGATGCTTGTCGTCCCGCCTTTCCAGCTCTTGGAGCTCAAGGCCATGACAACGGTCAGACAAAGCTTCTGAGGAGGACATTCGATTTTCTACCTCTGGATGGATCAATCACGAAAGCAACTCTGATGCGAGCAGCTTGGGCAATTGTTTTGGCAAGGTATTCTGAGACGGATGATATCTGTTTTGGTACTTCGATCTCAGGTCGCCAGGCACCCGTCCCAGATATCGCTGAAATGACTGGTCTCGCAGTGGCTACAGTTCCTGTACATATTCAAATGAACCCCGAGCACCTCGTATCTGAATTTCTTGAACAGGTGCAGCTACAGTCAACTGAAATGGTACCTTTTGAGCAGTTTGGCCTTCAAAACATTTCCAAACTGGGGACCGACCTCCAGGAATGTTGTGATTTCTCGAGTCTCCTTGTCGTCCAGCCCATTCAGACTATGGGAGAGATAGGAAAAGACGCCGATCGGATTTTGCTGGACCCGGACAGCCCTGAAGTAGATGACGAGAGGGATCTCGACGGGTATTTTACCATTCCTCTGGTTGTTCAAGCTTTGGTGTCGGAGAGTAGAACCGAGCTCATTCTCACTTACAAGACGGGCATTGTTAGCGAATACCACGCCAATGCTATCTGTAGTCAGATTGAACACGTTACAAATAGCCTTGTTTCCAATCCTAAGCTGCCATTGAGCGAAATATCCGTCGCTGGGTCATGGGATTTAGAGCAGGCAAGGAGTTCTTCAAGCAAGGTCACAGATGTTGTTCAAGCTGTGCTCAACGGCATTGCCCCAGGGAAGACGAACAATGGATCGCAGTCAAAGCTCATCGGGACTGGTGAACAAGTTGGTCCTGGATTCGGTTGGGTTGTAGAACCTGAAAATTATAAGAAGCTCACACCCATCGGGGCCGTTGGCGAAATTATGATACAAGGCCCAGCACTGTCCGGCGCGTCCCTCTCTACCAAGAGCTTGCTTGCTTTAGAAGCGCCCGAATGGGCCTTGAACAGCCAAGGAGGCAACTGGAATCAGTTTTATCCAACCGGAGAGCTTGGATTCATTAACTCGAAGGGCTCGATGGAATTTTTCTGTCGCAAGGAAGACCAAGTCAAAATAAAGGGATTCCGGGTTAGACTGTTTGAAGTTGAAGAGACAATCCGATCAACTCTGGGACGGACTTGCCAAGTAGTTGTTAGCACCTTCAACGGTGCATCTGGCATGGCTCTTGCTGCATTCCTCTACTTTAGCGACGGACAAAATGGTGAAGAGTCCACCGGTAACGGAGACCGAGCAACCGACTTGTTCATGCCAATCGGCTCCGAGTTGCAGAAGGAGCTTGCAACGGCAGTGAGCAAACTCAGCGTCACTATCCCTCGGCATATGGTTCCCAAACTGTTCATTCCTTGTCGATACATCCCAGTTACCGAATCATCTAGGCCGGATCGACAGGCATTGGATGAACAAAGAGCCAAGCTGAACGTTGAACAGATGCATCACTACTCGCTCGCTGATGCAATCAAAGTCATGCCAGATACGCCGATGGAAATGACTATTCAGCAGCTATGGGCTGATTTATTCAACTTGCCGAAACACGCCATTGGAAAGCACGAGAATTTCCTGAGTATCGGCGGTGACTCAATTACTGCCATCCATTTTGTCTCAGCAGCGCAGAATTCTGGGATTAAGTTATCTGTGAGAGACATTTTCAATGACCCTAGGCTCTCTGCCGTCGCGAGATCAGCGGCGGCTATTACTGAGATTGAGTCCGAAATGACACTCAATCCATTTGAGTTGCTCGAAGCGAAAGTGAGGGATTCCGTGCTCAGAAATGATGTACGGGAGACGTGTGGATTGAGCAACCAAATGGTGATTGAGAACGCCATGCCCGTGACCTCACTCCAAGAAGGTCTTATGGCTCTCTCAGTAAAGCATCCCGGCTCGTATATTGCGAAGTTTGTCTATCGTATTGCTGAAGACGTCGATATTGAGAAATTCCGCGCCGCTTGGGAGAAGACAGTGGAGGTTTGTGGCAACCTCCGCAGCAGAATTGTGCGAGTCTTGAACCATACCATTCAACTATATGTGAAAGACGATGTGACGTGGGAGCACACCGCAAACAAGAGTTTGCGGATGTTCATCAATGAAGCTAACAGCTTGGAAATGACCTTTGGATCCCGCCTCAACCGCTATGCACTGGTCCACGAGGCTGGGGCCCGGAATTACTTCGTCTTGGTTGCACATCACGCTTCGTACGATGGATGGACACTTCAACTGATGCTGAGGGTGCTATCGAACGTATATCGAGGAGAACCTTACACGGCTAAGTCGTTCGACTACTTCATGAAGTATGTCCAATCACTGGACAACGACGAGGCAAGCACATTCTGGAAGAAGCAACTTGAGGGCGCGATGCCAGCCAGCTTCCCCCGCCCCGTGAAGAAGAATCAGGCTCCAGATACCAGGATTATCAACAAAGCAATGGAGATCCCTAACGTTGATCACGACGCTTCCATTACGAAAGCTACTCTCATTCGTGCTGCTTGGGCCATCGTCCTCGCGAGGCATTCTAATACCGATGATATCACCTTCGCCACATCCATTTCTGGCCGTCAGGCGCCTGTTACAGGTCTCGCTGATATTCCTGGCCCAGCTGTGTCAACGTTGCCTGTCCGTGTCCGTCTGGGGGGACCATCGACCATATCTCAGTTCTTGCACAACATTCAAAAGCAAGCAGCCGAGATGATCCCATATGAACAATTTGGGCTTCAGAAGATAGGGAAGCTTAGCGCTGAAATCAAAGAGCTCTGCAACTTCACCAGTCTGTTGGTCGTCCAGCCGTATCAAAAGATGGCCGAGATCGGTCGGGATGTTGAGTCCATTGTAGTCCCCGAGGGCTTGGAGGATCAACAGGATGAAAAGAATCTTAGTGGATACTTTAGCATGCCTCTGGTATTTCAAGTGGTCATCTCTGACGATGAGTTCGTAACGAATCTGACGTACGATTTGAACGTTGTCAGTGAGCTTCAGGCCACCGCGCTACTACATCAGGTTGAGCATGTCGTTCAAGAGCTCCTCCACAACATGGATAGGCCACTGGCAGATTTATCCGTGGCTGGAAAATGGGATATAAGCCAGGCGTATGCCATGAACAGCGATGTACCCGACATTGTTGACTCAACGTTTCATCAAATGATCGAGAAACATGCCGTAATTCGGCCTAACGCTGTTGCCCTTCAAGCCTGGGACGCAACTTTCACATATAAGCAATACAATGAATCGGCCAACCGGTTGGCAAAGCACCTCACCTCACGTCGTTTGATAAGCCCGGGAGATCTTGTGCACGTTTGCTTCGAGAAGTCTGCTTGGCACTTTGTATCCATCTTGGCCATCAACAAGGCCGGCGCCACATGGATTCCTCTAGATCCATCACACCCTCAGCAACGACATAGGCAAATCATCACACAGACGGGATCAAAGGTAATCCTGACATCTCCCATGCACGCTAAGTCTTGTTCTAAGGTTATCGATACTGTCGTCGAAGTGTCGCTGGAGCTGGATAATCAACTTCTTAGGGATAAGAAGATCAGCAATAGAAATCTTGATTTATCTGTGTCGTCCAAGACTGCTTGTTACATTCTTTTCACCTCTGGATCTACTGGAGTACCCAAAGGCCTCGTGATGGAACACTTGGCCGTTTGCACAAGCGAGGTGGCAACTGCTAAACGGGTCGGCCTTAACCCTGAGGTCAAGATGCTTCAGTTTGCTGCCTTCGTCTTTGATTTATCTATCGGAGAAATTATTGGCGCTTTAATCACTGGCGCTACATTGTGCATTCCCTCAGAAACAGATCGCATCAACCACCTGGAGAGGTATATTCAAGATAACAAGGTCACATGGGCGTATTTAACACCTGCCTTCGTGCGAACCTTGAAGCCGGAAGATGTTCCCTCCCTCGAGCTGCTATTGCTGGCAGGAGAGGCCGTTGGGAAAGACGTCTTTGATACTTGGATGAACAAACTGAGATTTTTGAACGCTTGGGGACCAGCCGAAACGTGCTGCCTCACAACTATTCATGAATGGAAGTCAGATCTTGAATCACCTCTCACTATCGGGATGCCGGTTGGAAGTCACTGTTGGATCGTGGAACCCGATAATCCGTACAAGCTCGCGCCCACAGGAGCTCTTGGTGAAGTCCTGATCCAAGCTCCCACAATCCTTCGGGAATACCTCGACAATGTTGAGAAAACATCTGCTTCGGTTCTCAGTGGCACGCCCCAATGGGCCCCTAACACCGATAAGCCTCATTGGGGACGGTTCTTCCTGAGTGGAGATCTATGCTTCCAGAACGCCAACGGCCATCTTGAATTCTCCGCAAGAAAAGATACCCAGATAAAGATTCGCGGGCTGCGCGTTGAGGTTGAAGAAATCGAGCATCAAATCCGGAATTGTCTGCCGGAAGTATGTCAAGTTGCGGTTGACGTCTTTAAGACAAACAGCGGGAAACAGTTGTCAGCTTACCTTTGCTTCAACAAAGAGAACCGGGTAGACAAGAAGAATATTTGCTGGGACGGCATGTTCGCCGCTATGAGCCCCGAACTTTACGATAAGACGCTGGAGCTCTCTGGAAGGCTCAAGGCTGCCCTCCCTTCATATATGGTTCCTGCCACATTCATTCCTTGCGCCTATATGCCCTTTATTACTTCTTCGAAACTAGACAGGAATAGACTTCGCGTTGAAACAGAGAAATTGAGCCCACTCCAACTTTCAGACTACTCCTTGCAGAACACGGAGAAACGCGCACCCCAAACAGACATGGAGCGCGATTTACAGACGATCTGGGCATCTGTGTTAAAGACATCGGTTGATATGATCGGTAGGGATGATAGTTTTCTTGCTATTGGTGGCGATTCCATCGCAGCGATCAACCTTATGCAGGAGGCCCGAAGCCAAGGCATTTCAATCACTGCGGATGACGTCTTCAGGCACCCGCAGCTCTTGGAACTTGCATTACGAGCTCGCAGAGTTGATGTAAATTCACTGAGCAGCGCAGAAGCAAAACCCTTCGAACTTCTCACCACGGAAGAGAGCGAGTTCATCTCGAACGACATCCATCGGCTCTGTAAGCTACCAGGAGATTGTGAGATCGAAGATGCTTTCCCTTGTTCACCTCTCCAGGAGGGTCTTATTTCTCTATCGGTCAAACAAACGGGATCATACATCACGAAATATTTCCTTCGCATATCTGAGAACATCGACCTGCAGAAATTCAAGGCTGCCTGGGAGCATGCCGTGCGTCTCAATGGAAATCTGAGGACCCGAATAGTTGCTCCCCATGGAAGACCAATTCAGGCGATATTCAAGAACGATTTTGCCTGGGAATCCGCGGCCGGCATGGACCTGGTTGCATTCACGCAAGCCAGCCAGAAGTATGAAATGTCATTTGGAGATCCTCTCAATCGCTACGCAATCATTACTGAAGACTCCGGAAAGTCATATTTCGTCTGGGTTGCGCATCATTCAGTGATTGATGGCTGGTGCCTGCAGCTCGCTTTCAGGACTCTGTATGAGTCTTACTGGGGAGAGGCAATTACCAAGCTGCCCAGCTATGCAACCTTTATTAAACATACTATCGACCAGGACGTTGATGCAGCTGCGTCTTTCTGGGAGCAGCAGTTGGAAGGGGCTACTCGAGCTATCTTCCCAATCTCTCCGGCAAATAATAGTAAACCAACCTTCGCATTTAAACGTCATAAAATCTTGACGAATGCTAAACACAGTGAGGGTTCAGTTACCAAGGCCACAATGCTGAGGGCTGCCTGGTCATTGGTCCTAGCTCGCCATTGCAACACCCGTGATATTTGCTTTGGTGCCACAGTCTCCGGAAGAAGTGCTGCTGTTGATGGATTGCAGGACATGCCAGGGCCTGCAATCGCCACCATTCCAGTTCGCATAAAGATCATTGATTGTGAAAAAGTGAAGCAATTCTTGACGTCAGTGCAGAATCACGCGACCGATATGGGCTCGTATGAGCAATTCGGGCTTCAGAACATTGCCAGGATCAATGCATCGGCGAGGGAAGCTTGCCAGTTCTCCAGCCTGATGGTTATTCGGCCAAAGGAGTTCATCTCAGGAGACGATAGTCGTACCATTCTCGAAGCTGACCAGGCTATCGATATCACTGAGAATGAAATGGTCAATTATTTCAATTATCCGCTCATCTTGGAGGCCGACATCGCCGATAACCATATTGGCATTCGGCTTGCCTACGATGTCAAGGCCATGTCAGCAGAGTTGACCGAGGCTATTGCTCATCAGCTTGACACAGTTATGCAGCAGTTGGCAAGCCATCCCTTGAAGTCTATCAGCGAAATATCTCTTGTTGATGACTGGGACAAAGAACACGCCTTGCGTCACCAGAACTTGAAGCCGTCTACTGATCTATGCATCCATGAAATGATCCGGGCTCAAATTAAGAAGACGCCAAAGCTCCCTGCAGTCACCTCTTGGGACGGAGACATGACATACGCGGAATTGGGTTCCTACGCTGAGCGACTCGCGTCAAGGCTCAGCTCTCTTGGCGTTGGGCCCGAGGTTATCGTGGGTATTTGCTTCTCTAAATCAATATGGGCAGTCGTTTCAATGATCGCTATCAACATGGCAGGGGGAGCATTCGTTCCTCTGGACACAGCTGCTCCAGTGTCTCGTTTGAAGGGCATCTTGGAGGATACTGGTTCATCTATGCTGTTGTTCGCACCAGAACACAAAAAACTAGCTACTTCTCTCGGGGTTTCGGCTCACGCTATTGATCAGCGTACGATCCTCGATCTGAGTGAGCCTAGCCACCCAGTCACTTCTGGCGTCTCCCCTGAGAATGCTAGCTTCGTGATGTTCACATCAGGTTCCACCGGCAAGCCCAAGGGGATGATCTTTGAGCATCGGAACACATGCTCGACATCGAACAGCCACGGCGCTATCCAAGATTGGGGCCCTGGCACCCGGGTTTTCAGCTACTCTATGTATACATTTGACATTGGTATTATTGACGTTATGGTGTCGCTCTCGCGAGGCGCGTGCTTGTGCATTCCATCCGAGTGGGAGCGTTATAATGACATCCACGGAGCTATTAACAGGATGAAGGCCAACTGGTCCTTCTTCACACCTACTCTTGCTGGGTTAGTCAACCCGATAGAGATACCAACAATAGCTCATGTCGGTTTGGGCGGCGAGAATGTGACCAAGCAAGTTGTTGATAGGTGGAGAGGCCATGCCACGCTTCACAACCTTTACGGACCAGCAGAAGCATCTATTTGCGGTTGGCTTGCTGACGTAGGCATTGTCTCAAAGCCTAGTAATATTGGAGTACCGTCGTCTTCCGCTTGGTGGGTTGTTGAGCCTGATAATGCTAAGCAGTTTGTGCCAATTGGATGTGTTGGAGAACTACTAATCCAAGGCCCCATGATGGCCCGGGGTTATATCAACCCAGACAAGGCGTCGGCCCAGGCGTGGCTACGGGACGTGGATTGGTTGCCAGGCAGCGTGCCTAACAAAGCCTACCTCACCGGTGACCTTGTTCGCCGCCTCGAAGACGGTACATTTGAATACATGGGCAGAAAAGACACCCAGGTTAAGCTTCATGGGCAGCGCGTTGAGCTGGGAGAGATAGAAACGCGTCTCACGATGAGTCTTACCCACGATATGGGTTGTGTGGTTGATACCATGGTCAATGAGAGTGATATGACCAACACGTTGGTCGCCCTTCTCTGGTACACAAGCGGAAAGCTTTCGCAAGCTCAGGACCTAAATATCCTCAACGAGGTGACAGAGGACATGAAGGTGATGATTACCGATCTGGAATCTTCTTTAAGTGAAGAATTGCCTCCTTACATGGTCCCCAGTGTTTATTTGATCTTCCAGGGCATGCCAGAGCGGAAGAGTTCAGGGAAGATCGATAGACGTAAGCTTTGCTACATTGCCAAGCACACTTCAGCCAAGCAGAGGCTTCAGTTCTCGCCTGGAGGTGGCAGCCGGGAGCAACCGGTTTCAGAGCAGGAGTTTCAACTTCGTGATCTGTGGGCTGAGGTTCTCCAAATCGATGGGAACGATATTGGTAGACACGACAGCTTCCTGAAGGCAGGGGGAGACTCCATCAGTGCGATCAAGCTTGTTACGATCGCACGTCAATCAGGTTTGTCCCTGGACGTTGGCGCCGTATTCCGTGACCCCCGGCTTTCGGCAATGTCTGCTGCTGCTACCCCGATGAAGGAGGAGTCAAAGAAAGATCTTGACCCGTTCGTTTTGATGGGAGATAATGCTGAACGTGCTCTTGTGGAAGCGGTGACAAGATGTGGTCTCCGTGACTCCAGTCAAATTGATGATATCTACCCTTGTACAGCATTCCAGACCGGCTTAATGGCACTCACAGTCAAAGAACCTGGCTCGTACATCGCTCATCATTCATTCCGACTACCGAAACAAGTTGATGTGGCAGCTTTCAAGTCTGCCTGGGAGCGAACTATGGAGTTGTGCCCCAACATGCGAACACGAATCGTCCAATTCCAAGGCTCTGCCGTTCAAGTCATTGTCAACGGTAGTTGTGCATGGGAAGAGCTTGACTTCAACCCATCTTCTAGTTCGAAGAGCAATGGATTAGGCAAGGTGACGATGACGTATGGCCAGCCTCTCAATAGATACTGCCTCCATAAGGATCAGGAGGGCGTCACATACTTCCTTTGGCTCAGCCACCACACCGTTTTCGACGGCTGGACTATCCGGGTCATTATGGACTCGTTCCATCGCCTCTATAGGAACGAACCAGTGGCTAGAAACGGACTTTACAACTCTTTTATTGAATACACTCTTCGGGCAAGCGAAGAGGCAAACGAGGTCTTTTGGGAGAGACAGCTTGATGGTGCTCGGCGAGCATCGTTCCCGCCTAAGCCAACCTCCGGCGCCAGCGAAACGCACATGTTCAACAAGCAGCTAGTCTTCTCCGAATCCCGAAAGGGAGATGTTACTCGAGCTACGGTTCTGCGTGCTGCATGGGCTCTGGTTCTGGCTCGATATTCTGACACAGATGATATCACATTTGCAGCGTCAGTCTCTGGTCGTAATGCCCCAGTGAGAGGAATTGAGACGATACCCGGTGTGATGGTCGCAACTGTTCCTATTCGTGTTCGAATGGATCCCGAGCAACGCGTGAGCAGATTCTTGGAAGAGATTCAAAACCAGTCAACTGAGATGATGGCTTATGAGCAATTTGGTCTGGACAAGATCGCAAAAGTGAGCGGCGACGCCAAAGAAGCCTGTGATTTCTCCAGCTTGGCTGTCATCCAGCCTGTCCAACAACTGCATATCTCAAAGTCAGACTGCGGGGAGCTTCTCATCCCTGTTGTTAATGAGGAGGAGGGCATGCAGAGGTCCCTTCAAGGGTATTTTACATATCCTCTGGTTTTGCAGTGTGCTTTGGATGATAAAGAAGTCCACTTGAGTCTGATTTTCGACTCCAAGACCCTGCAGAGAGGAACAATCGAGGCTATTGCAAACCAATTCGAGCATGTCATGCAGGGACTCCTTGCGAACAACAGCCAGAAGCGATTGGGTGATTTATCAATGGTTTCTCCATGGGACGTGGAAACTGCCATCTCTCGCAACCCAGTGCCTGAAGTCTCTAACGAGTGTATGCACCATGTTGTTGAGCGTTTGGCGGCAGAGTCACCGAACAAACAAGCAGTTTACGCATGGGACGGATCACTGACGTATTATGAACTGAATAGTGCAGCTAATAAGCTCGCTCACTTCTTGGTCAACAGCTATAATGTCAAGACAGGTGACGTTGTTCACGTCAGTATGCAAAAGTCGAAATGGTATATGGTTGCGATTCTCGCTGTGAACAAGGCTGGTGCTGCCTTTTCACCCATTGACCCCGAGCATCCACTCCAACGTAAACAGAAGGTTATTCAGACAACTGGAGCCAAGGTCTTGCTATCTTGCAGTAAATTTGCGCCAGCCTGCCTGGAGCTCATGGACAGTGTTATCCAAATCGACGATGGTCTCGAGTCTCGATTGCCAAACACATCTAGAGGTCCACGAGTCAATGTTTCGCCAAGCGATGCCTCGTATATTCTCTTTACGTCTGGAAGCACTGGAACGCCCAAAGGATTTATTATGGAGCACGGAGCTTTGTGCTCATCAGCGCAAGCTATCGCTAAACGTCTTTCTCTGGGAGCATCTCCTCGCATTCTCCAGTTTGCTAATGTCATCTTTGATTTTTCTATTGGTGAAATCTTTCAAGCTATCTTCAATGGCGGCTGTATCTGTATACCGTCCGACCACATGAGAATGAACAACATACAAGAGTTTGTACGAAGTGCTCGTGTTAACTGCGTTTCTCTAACCCCTTCGTTCATATCTACCCTTAGTCCCGAGCAAGTTCCTGGCCTGGAGATCATGATCTTCGCGGGAGAGAAGGTACCACAAGACCTATTTAATCGATGGTTCGGAAAGGTCCGCCTGATCAATATGTGGGGGCCTGGAGAGACATGTTTCAGCAGCTCGACCCATGAATTCACATCTCCAGAAGAATACACCGATACTATTGGACGACCAGTAGGCTCATGCTGCTGGATAGTCGACCCGGAGGACCCTGCTAAGCTAGCACCGATAGGAACCGTTGGTGAGGTCTTAATTCAGGGCCCGACTCTTCTGCGCGAGTATCTTGGCGACCCAGTCAGGACCAAAGAGACTATTCTCGATACTCTTCCTTCATGCGCACTAGATGGACAGAGACAGCGGTTTAATCGGGGTTACCGGTCTGGTGATCTTGCATACTACGATTCATCAGGAAATCTACGTTTTGTCAGTCGCAAAGACACTCAGGTCAAGATAAGAGGTCTGCGTGTTGAACTGGGCGAGATAGAGCATAATCTCCTCATGAGCTTAGAGGGAGCTAAGCAAGTCGCGGTCGATGTCCTCCGAAGCGGAGAAGCAACTAGTCTCGTAGCCTACTTCTCATTTTCCAATGAAAAGTATCCTGCTTCGGACGAGAAATCGCAAACCGGCGAGATGTTTGCCCAAATCACAGCAGATTTAAAGCCGAGATTGTTGAAGCTCGTGGGCGCTTTGAAACTTATTCTCCCTACGTACATGGTGCCCTCAACCTTCATACCTTGTTCGTTCATGCCAGTGGGCGGGTCGTCAAAGTTGGACAGGAGAACTCTTTTGGCAAACACTCAGCGCTTAAGCAAGGAAGCCCTTCATCACTATTCCCTTGTGGACGATGAGAAGAGGCCCCCCGAGACCTCGATGGAGATTCGCATACAGGGGCTGTGGGCCTCGATTTTGAATCTTCCCGCCACATCTATTGGTCTGGATGACAATTTCTTCCAAGTCGGCGGCGACTCTATTTCAGCCATTCAGCTAGTGGCTAAGGCGCGTGAGGTAGGAGTTGAGCTGACCGTTAAGAGTATCTTTGACGACGCTAGGCTGTTCGCTGTGGCTTCTTCCGCCACTGAGTTCACTGTCAAACAGGACGAGTCTGAGGAGTTGGAGCCTTTTGATCTCATTCCCGACCACTTGTTTGATCTTGATTGGGAGACTGAGATAAGAGAAATGTGCAAGCTTTCCCCAGATCAATTACTTGAAAACGTGATGCCGGTCACCGAGTTCCAGAACGGCTTGATGGCTCTCACAGTGAAACAACCTGGATCACATATTGCTAAGTGGGTTTACAAGATTTCCGACCAGATCAGCACACCTCGATTCCGAAATGCTTGGGTGAAAACGGTCAACTCTTGTGGAAACCTCCGAACCCGAATCGTCCATCTTGAACAGACCACTCTGCAAGCAGTAGTGGCTGGTGACTTCGCATGGGAAGACACGACTGGACTAAATCTAAACCAATATATGGCATCAATCAACTTGGCGGACATGACATATGGTACTCGTCTCAACCGGTGGGCTCTTGTCTTGGATCCGGATGGAAACAGATATTTTGTTCTCATTTGCCACCATGCCACATACGATGGTTGGACGATGCGACTTATGCATAGGACACTGGCCCAAGCAATTTCAAGATCCAAGGGACCTAGTCCCAAGTCGTTCGACAACTTCATCCGCTACAATGAGAGCCTCGACCAAGAGGCAAGTCGCAAGTACTGGCGCGAGCAGCTCCAAGGTGCGATGCCTGCCGCGTTTCCTACGCCGAAGGAAAAGCCAGCTACAGGCAAAACACTAAAGATCTCAAGGCCCGTTCAAACATTGGCCTCTCGCCACCCAAACATTACACAGGCTACGATCGTAAGGGCTGCCTGGGCTATGCTGCTTGGCCGGTACTGCGACTCAAATGATGTCTGCTTTGGTGCCTCAGTTTCAGGTCGCCAGGCGCCACTAGCTGAAATCACTGAAGTAGCAGGGCCAGTAGTTGCAACTATGCCGATCCGAGTTCACCTAGACCGCGATCTATCGACTTCAAGATACTTGCAGAACATTCAAGGCCAGGCGACTGAGCTTATCCAGCACGAACAGTATGGCCTGCGAAGAATAATGCAACTTGGCAATGACATTCGGAACGCCTGCAAATTCTCTAACTTGCTGGTTGTTCAACCGTACGAGAAGATGGGCGAAGTAGGAAACGAATCGGATGAGATGCTAACCCTATGCCAAGACTACGAGGGCGCAAATTCCTCCCTGGAAGGCTACTTCAACTACCCGCTTGTTGTCCAGGCACTTGTCGCTTCATCTTCCATTGAACTTCATGTGACATACAACTCTGCCCACTTCAATACCTTGCAAGCAACACGGCTTGTGAACCAACTTGAGCACTATATCAGTCTTCTTATGACTGAGACGACGAAGCCACTGGGGCAACTCTCATTGGCAGGCTCATGGGATGTTAACCAGTCCATTGAGCTGAACAGCGAGATTCCCGAGGTTATAGACGCAACTTTCCATGGATTAGTTTCTGAGCAAGCAACAATCCGACCTGACGCGATCGCTATCGAAGCATCGGATGCCAATCTCTCGTACTCGGAATTAAATCGACATAGTGATTACCTTGCAGATCACCTAGTCGCATTGAATGTTAAAAGAGGCGACTTAGTTCATGTTTGTTTCGAAAAGTCTGCTTGGCTTTTCGTCTCCATTCTAGCTATTAATAAAGCGGGAGCGGCTTGGGTTCCTCTTGATCCGGGTCATCCTAGGCATCGTCACCAGCAGATAGTAGCTCAGACCCGTTCATCACTTATCCTCACGTCCTCGAAGCATTTGGATCTTTGCTCAGGTCTTGTGAAGACTTCTCTGGTGGTCACGTCAGAATTGATTGCAGACCTTGCTTCCAGCTCAAAGGCCACTCCTAGCACTCTTGGTAATAGATTGAACAGTGTTGCATCCCCCGTCGATGCTTGTTACGTGCTGTTCACTTCGGGAAGCACAGGTACACCAAAGGGCCTGGTTATGCAACATCGTGCCGCATGTAGCAGTCAGCGAGCGATCGGGAACCGCTTGGGGATGAACCCGAAAGTCAAGATGCTGCAATTTGCTGCCTCAGTGTTTGATGCTTTCATTGGCGAAACGATCGCTCCTTTGATCGCCGGAGCAACAGTTTGTGTTCCTTCAGACTATGCGCGATTGAATTCTCTTGTCAAGTATATTCGGGATTGTAAGGTGAACTGGGCCATGTTGACGCCCTCCTTCGCTCGTACAATTAAGCCCGAGTCTGTTCCTTCCATCAAGTTGCTGATGCTCACTGGCGAGGCGATCCCTCGGGATGTGTTTGAGGCTTGGGTGACAAAGGTCCGACTTATAAATGGCTGGGGACCAGCTGAGACCTGTGTGTTTAGCGCTCTACATGAATGGACATCGATCGAGGAATCAACAATGACAATTGGCAAGCCTGTGGCTTCATTCTGCTGGCTGGTCAACCCAGCAAACCCTCTGCAACTTGCCCCAACGGGCACACTTGGTGAGGTTATCATTCAAGGGCCTACGCTGCTTCGTGAGTACCTCGATGATACTAAGAGGACTGCGGAGGCACTTTTGACAGGAAAGCCGAACTGGGCGTATGACTCTGGCGAAAGAGGATGGAATCGTTTCTATAAAACTGGCGATCTTTGCTTCTACAATGACCGGGGCCTGCTGGAGTTTTCATCACGGAAAGATACCCAGTTGAAGATTCGTGGTCAACGTGTGGAAGTCGGGGAAGTAGAGCACCAAATCAGAACTCTTATGCCGGATTTCTCTCAAGTGGCGGTTGATGCTGTTCGAGGAGAGGGTGGCGTGCATCTTTTTGCCTACATCTGCAATAATGCCGACACAACGGTTCGAAAGCAGTCAGAGGGCAATAATCATCTGTTCATGGAGCTTGATGATGATCTTCGCAACCAGATCGGGGACCTGACCAGACAGCTCCGTGCTCTTTTGCCATCTTATATGATCCCCAAGGCTATAATCCCATGTGCATATATGCCGTTCATAACATCGACCAAGCTTGACCGCAAGACCCTCAACATAGAGGCAGCAAAATTGTCTTCATCACAGATTGCCGAATACGCCTTGCAAAACACCGTGAAGCGAAAGCCAGAGACAGAGATGGAGGTTCTTCTTCAAGGCCTTTGGGCTAAGGTCCTGAATCTGCCACCAGACAGCATCGGTAGGGACGATAGTTTCCTTGCAATCGGTGGCGATTCCATCGCAGCCGTTCATTTGATGACCGCTGCCCGCGAGAAGGAAATTCGAATTAGTGTTGACGACGTCTTTCGGAGTCCCCAGCTCCTTGAACTAGCTCTTCGTGCCGGCGAAAAAGAGTCTCCCAAGCTCAACGTGCTTGAGATTCAGCCTTTCGAGCTACTGAATGAGGAAGAGAAAACAATGGTTCAGAACGGACGGGTTCATGAGATATGTAACCTTCCACCCAACAGCATAATTGAAGACGCCTTCCCATGCTCCCCTCTACAAGAAGGTCTCATTTCCCTCGCAGTTAAGCAAACTGGGTCTTACATCACCAAGTACGTCTTCAAAATAGACAAGAGCACTGATTTGAATCGCCTACGCAAAGCGTGGGAGCGTACTGCTGTATTAAACGCCAACATGAGAACAAGGATCATATCGTCAGGAGCACGCTCAGTCCAGGTTCTAGTCAAGGATGACATTGAATGGGAGTCTGCTGAAGGCTTGGATCTCCATGCATTCATTAAGGTCACCCAAGGCTACAAGATGGAGTTTGGGTCCCGCCTCAACCGCTTCGCGATATTAAAGACGCCTTCAGGCGACTCTTACTTCGTGTGGATCGCTCACCATTCTATTATGGATGGCTGGTCCTTTAATCTTGCGTTCCAGGTTCTCCACGAATGCTTCTGGGACCAGCAACCTGCAAAGATTTCGCCTTACGTTGCATTCATCAAGCATACGATGGATCTCGATCACGATGCCGCGAGCTCATTCTGGGCCAAGCAGCTGGAAGGCGCCACGAGGCCGCAATTTCCCTCAACGAGTTCAAATAACACCCAAGCAACATTCAGGTTCCTCCATCATGATATTAACACCTCACGAGTTTCGAAATCCTCGGTTACGACCGCCACAGTTCTGAGAGCTAGCTGGGCCATGGTGTTAGCTCGCCACTGTAATAGTGAAGACGTTTGTTTCGGTGCTACTTTGTCTGGTCGCAACGCCGATATCGAAGGCCTTCAGAATATGGCTGGCCCAGCTATCGCCACGATTCCTGTTCGCGTTCAACTGGACTATACCTCCACTGTTACTGAGTTTCTACAAGCCATTCAAGCGCAGGCAACTGATATGGCGGTTTATGAACAGTTCGGCTTGCAAAAAATCGGCAGGGTTAGTAATGATGCAAGAAACGCCTGTCAATTCTCGACTCTAATGATCATTCGGCCAAGAGAGTCTCACGCTGCTGTGGACGGTCAAATGATCTTTGATATTAGTGAACACAACACGGTCACAGAAGACGAAATGGCCCACTACTTCAACTACCCACTTGTTTTGGAGATGGATCTTTACCCTGATCATACCAAGATCCGAATTTGTTATGATGAAGCGGCAGTATCCTCTGATCTCGCAGAGGCTCTTGTCCACCAGCTGGAAACTGTCACCAAACAGCTTCTTTCAAGCACATCTCAACGTCTAGACAAAGTCTCTCTTATCGATGAGTGGGATATTCAAAATGCGCTGCAGCATCAGAAGCTTCAAGATTCAACAAATGCTTGCATTCATGAAATGATCCGGACGCAGATTAAATCCACACCTAATGCTCCTGCTCTTACATCTTGGGATGGTGAGATGACTTACTCAGAAGTAGGTTACCATGCTGAAATGCTTGCCAGCCATTTGGCATCTATTGGCGTTGGACCAGGCGTCTTTGTTCCAATCAACTTTTCTAAGTCTGTCTGGGCTGTTATCTCTATGCTTGCAGTCAACATGGCTGGTGGTGCTTTTGTGCCACTGGATCCCTCCGCCCCAGCTCAGCGCCAACAGGGCATTCTAAAAGATACAAAAGCGTCTTTGATTCTCACGGCTGCGGAGCATGAACGTGATACACATGACCTCGGAAAAAAGGTTCTTGTCATTGAAAAGGGCAATATTCTCAAGATGTCGAAGTCTTCGTCAAAGCCTGTTCGATCAAATGTGACCTTTACCGACCCTAGTCATATTATGTTTACGTCTGGTTCAACTGGAAAACCAAAGGGAATAGTGTTTGAACACCGAAATATCTGCTCTACCTCTGACAGTCATGGTGTCATCCAAAAATGGGGCCCCGGAACGCGTGTCTTCACTTATTCTGCATACACGTTTGATATAGGGGTTATCGATGTTATGGTTGCTCTATCGCGCGGTGCATGCCTCTGTATCCCCTCAGAATGGCAACGGTATAATGATATTCATGGTGCAATTAATACCATGAAAGCTAACTGGTCTTTCTTCACACCGACTATGGCTGGATTAGTGAATCCTTCCCTAATTCCAACAATTAAGAACGTAGGCTTAGGAGGAGAAAATGTGACCACCCTTGTGGTTGACAATTGGCGGGGTCACGCAACCCTTCATAACCTCTACGGACCTGCTGAGGGTTCAATCTGTGGTTGGATCGCTGATGTTGGAATCGTTTCAAAGCCAAATAACATCGGCATTCCTTCTTCCTCAGCATGGTGGGTTGTAGAACCAGATAACCACAGGCAACTTGTTCCAATCGGATGTGTCGGTGAGCTCATGATTCAAGGACCGATGGTGGCCCGTGGATACATTGGTGTTGAAGAAGAGCTTTGTGCCGCTTGGTTGGAGGATGTTTCTTGGCTTCCTGGAGATATGCCGACCAAGGCGTATCTCACAGGTGATCTTGTCCGCCGACTTGGAGATGGAAACTTCGAGTATCTCGGACGTAAGGATACTCAGATCAAATTGCATGGGCAGAGGGTCGAACTCGGAGAAGTCGAGTCACATTTAGAGGAAAGCCTGCCGTCGGGAATGAGCTGTGTTGTTGATGCCATTTCAGACAAAGAAGCAGGCACCAACACACTCGTTGCTCTCATGTGGTCTACTGAATCTGTTTCAAGCAACACACACCTCCAACTAGTTGAAGATGTCACAGAGGGAACCCGAACACTCGTTTCTCAGCTTGACTCGTCTTTGAAACTTATTTTGCCTAGCTATATGGTCCCTAGCATGTACTTTATCTTCGATGGAGTACCCGAGAGAAAGACATCTGGAAAGATTGACAGGCGTAAGCTCTGTTCAATCGCTCAGGGCGCATCGGCCAAGGAAAGGCTTAGGTTTTCCCCAGCCAGCCATGGCTACGAGGCGCCGGTAACCGACCTTGAATTCAAGATCCGAAACATCTGGGCCCAGCTTTTGCGAATTGAAGCTAGTGAAATCGGCCGCCATGATAGTTTCCTGAGCATTGGGGGAGATTCAATAAGTGCCATTAGATTGGTAACTGTTGCCCGTGAGAATGATCTCGCTCTGGATGTTAAGACAATTTTCGAGGATCCAAGGCTCTCTGCAGTCGCAGCTTCCTGCCGGCCGGCGGCCAACACTCTATCCAAAAACCCCGATCCATTCAGCTTATTGGAACAAAATGAAACACAGGCTCTGATGGAGACAGTTAAAGCACAGGCCAATATTACTGACAAGGAACGAATCGAGGACGTTTTTCCTTGTACCCCACTTCAATCTGGTCTGATGGCTTTATCAGTGAAGCAGCCAGGTTCCTACATCGCCAAGCGAGCGTTCAAGATGAGAAAGAACATTGACTTAAACGCTTTCAGGAAGGCGTGGGAAGGCACAGCTGATATTTGCAGCTGTCTCCGGACCAGAATTGTGGACGCTGAGGGAAGAGCCTTCCAAGCCGTTATCAGAGATGATGTTGACATCGAAACTTTGTCCAATAAGTCGAGCTTAGAGATTCTCCAGAAAACCTCCAGCACAGTTTCAATGACTTATGGCTCAAAGTTGAACAGATTCTGCCTTGGCCAAGACGAATTAGGCATCAACTATTTCTTCTGGGTCAGCCACCATAGCGTCTTCGATGGATGGAGCGTTTCTATCATCATGAGAATCTTGAGGCAGTTGTATGACAATGTGCCAATATCAACACTGAGGTCTTACCCGACGTTTATTGAGTACACGATGCAGTCTACGCAATCGGCAGCGAAGAGCTTTTGGGAGCAACGTCTACAGGGAGCTAACCGTACACGTTTCCCACCCACACCTTCTGGTAGCACTGGAAAGGGCAACAATGCGAGCAGAAACTTTAGCAAGACCTTGGCTCTGGCAAAATCCAAATCATCATCCATCACTCAGGCTACTTTGCTACGTGCTGCCTGGGCAGTGCTTTTGGCAACTTACAGCGAGACAGATGATGTCACATTTGGAATCACTGTTTCCGGGCGCAACGCCCCAATAGATGGAATCGAGGATATAGCTGGTCCGATGATTGCCACTTCCCCCGTCCGTATACAGCTGGATAGCAATAAGTCAATCGAGAAGTTCCTCCAGGAAGTTCAAACACAAGCGAATGAAACAATTCCCTATGAGCAGTTTGGTCTGCAAAACATCTCAAAGATCGGGCCTTCTCACAAGGAGGTTTGTGATTTCTCCAGTTTGATCGTTATGCAGCCAGGAAACAAGGTCGGTCTAATGACTGGTGAATCGGATGACCTCCTTACAATGGCAGAATTGGAACGAGGCGCAGCTGAGCAAACGCTTCAGGATTACTTCAACTACCCTATCGTCATGCAAGGCATGATGATTGGTGACCAAATTCATCTAGCCTTTACTTACAACAATGAAAGCTTGAAAGAAATCCAAGTCGAAGCCTTGGCTCACCAACTTGAGCAAATACTTAATGAATTCTCCCACCAAAGCCGTCATAAATCCATCAAAGATATACGACTCAGTTCGCCGTGGGATGTGGAAACGGCCTTGCTTCGCAACCCTGCTCCAGAGGCGGTTCAGCTATGTGCCCACCATGTTGTTGAACGGCACGCCAGGGAATCGCCCGACTCACCCGCGGTACACGCTTGGGACGGCGATCTGACTTACAAAGAGTTGAACGATATGGCCAATCGATTCGCTTCTCACCTCATCAACAAGTACGCTGTGCAAGTCAAGGATATTGTCCACGTTTCCTTTGACAAGTCGATGTGGTATTTCGTTGCAATCCTTGCTATACATAAAGCCGGGGCCGCATTCTCTCCTATAGACCCGACTCACCCAACCCAGAGGAAACATCAGATCATCGAGCAAACGAAAGCGAAGGTCATGATTGTCTCCGCAGGTCTTGCAAGTACAGCCTCTCATTTGACCAAGCACACCATCGAGCTCACAGCTGCACTATGCAAGACACTTAGTATAGATACCGACAAACTGTCAGCTATAAAAGTGTCACCTGATAATCTCGCATACGTACTGTTTACATCAGGTAGCACAGGACTACCAAAGGGGTTCTTAATGGAGCACCGCTCTCTGTGCTCAGCGCAAAATGCCATTGGGACCAGGGTCGGGCTTACTCCTGAAGCTCGAGTCCTCCAGTTTGCCAATTTCGTCTTTGATTTCGCAATCGGAGAGATCTTTTTGGCACAATGGTGCGGAGGATGTATCTGCGTGCCGTCAGAGAAAACGAGAATGAACAACATCCCTGAATTTATTCGTTCAGCACGAGTAAACAGCGGATTTTTGAGCCCATCTTTCACCCAAACCTTGGTGCCCGAGGACGTTCCATCCTTGAATCTTCTTATTCTGGCTGGAGAAGCAGTGCCACGCGATCTGATGGAGAGATGGTTCGGAAAGGTCCGTCTCCTGAATGGCTGGGGTCCTGGAGAAACGTGCGTTGTCAGCTCTATTCATGAATATAAGTCATTGGATGACTCGCCAACAACCATTGGCCGCCCAGTTGGCAGTTATTGCTGGGTTGTGAACCCAGATGACTCGAGTAAGCTGGCACCCATCGGAACAATCGGTGAGATAATGGTCCAAGGTCCTACAGTATTACGCGAATACCTTGGAGCACCCGAGAAGAACAGGGCTTTGATCTCTTCCACTCCACCAGAGTGGTCGCCGAACCAGCATGATCAGTATTTGAGGCGTTCTTTCAAGTCCGGTGATCTCGCTAGATACAATGCAGATGGTGTTCTTGAGTTTATCAGCCGAAAAGATACGCAGGTCAAAGTCCGCGGCTTACGAATAGAGCTTGACGAAATCGAACATAGCATTTCTGCAAACTTGCAAGGAGTGTCCCAAGTGGCAGTTGGTGTCTTCAAGTCCCATGGCGCGACTAACCTTGTGGCGTATATTTCTTTCTCAACGGCAAAACTGCTATCAGATGACATGGCAAGTTCATCACCATTCCTAGATATTTCATCAGAGCTGGCGGGCAAGCTCACGGCATTAGTTAGCCAGCTGAAGCTATTGCTCCCATCGTATATGGTCCCGGCAATGTTCGTCCCCTGCAGCTTCATGCCAATCAACAAGTCTTCCAAACTTGATCGAATTCTTTTGACCCGGCAAACTTCTGAGCTATCTATTGATCGCATCCGTCATTATTCCCTTCTTGACACTGTGGTCAAGAGAGGACCGGAAACAGCAATGGAGAGCCGCATGACAGAACTCTGGGCGTCTGTTCTTGAGCTACCAACAGAGTCTATTTCTCGTGATGATAATTTCTTACAAATTGGTGGAGATTCAATCTTGGCAATTCGTCTCGTGAATATGGCCCGGGAGGCTGGCATCGAAATAGAAGTGCAACAGATCTTCGACGACCCGCGTCTCTGCATGATAGCTTCCCGGGCTGTTGCGATCGACACTGTCAAGGACCGAAACATTGAACTGGAGCCTTTTGATCTGCTCCCCAAGCACCTTCAAGAGTTTGATTGGGAGACCGAGGCGTTAGAGCTGTGTGACCTGTCAGACGAGGAAGAGATTGAAAACGCCATGCCTGTTACAGCCTTCCAAGAAGGACTCATGTCGCTTTCTGTCAAACAGCCAGGATCTCATATTGCGAGATGGGTGTATAAACTGTCGAAGTCTACGGATGTCAAGAAGTTTAGGAAGGCATGGGGAAGAACTGTTCGTTATTGTCGCAACCTGCGTACACGTATTATCAACATCTCAAATACAGCACTCCAGCTTGTGCTAGTGAACGACACGGAATGGGAAAAGACAAAGGGGATGGACCTTAATCAATTCATGGCCCAGCACAAAAATATCAACATGACTCTCGGCACTCGCCTCAACCGCTGGGCCATGGTAGAATCAAACGGCGATAACTACTTCGTCCTCATCTGCCATCATGCTACATACGATGGATGGACCATGCGGCTTATGCTGCAAACATTGACTGAGGCATACAACCAAGTCAATGGGCAAGTTCCAAAGACTTTTGATTACTTCATCCGATACACTGAAAGCATGGACCGTGATGCCGCGAGGCAGTACTGGCTTGACCAGCTTCAGGATGCTAAATCGGCAAGGTTCCCCAGTATGAAGCGCAACTATAAGAGCAGTTCGGCGCATGTGATGCAAAAAACCTTGAGTCTATCAGCTTCTTCGCACTCCTCCATCACTCAGGCTACACTTGTGAGAGCTGCTTGGGCTTTGCTGCTGTCTAGGTACTGTGAAACGGACAGTGTATGCTTTGGTACAACGATCTCTGGCCGGCAGGCGCCTGTACACAATATCAGTGACATTTCAGGTCCTCATGTCACCACGTTACCCATTCACGTTCGACTAGATCAAGCTACTTCCGTTGCAAAGTACCTACAGCAAGTGCAAAATCAATCCACAAAGATGATCCCTTATGAGCAATATGGGTTGCAAAATATTCTCAAACTCGGCCCCAGTATCCGTGAAGCCTGTACATTTTCCAGTTTGTTGGTTATCCAACCTTACGAGAACATGGCCAAGGTCGGAAGTGACTCAGAAGCTCTGTTCACCCAGCACGACTATAATGATGGCGAGTCTTCCATGGAAGATTACTTTACGTACCCTCTCGTCGTTCAGGCGCTTGTTTCGTCCTCGGTGTTGACTCTCAACATTACTTACGATGTTGGCGAACTCACTGAATTCCAGATCACTGCCCTTGTTCACCAGCTCGAGCACATAATGGATATCTTATGCACCGAGACAACGAAGCCGTTGGCTGATCTTTCCTTTGCAAGTTCCTGGGATGTGGAACAGGCTTTAGCACTCAATGATATTCCAGAAGTGACTGATGCCACCTTCCATGACCTCGTCTCAGACCAGGCACAGCTGAATCCAGACGCTGTCGCGATTGAAGCATGGGATGGTGTAATGACATACAAAGAGCTTGACCTCAGCTCAGGCTATCTAGCCTCACACTTGCGATCTCGATTCGACATTCAGCTGGGTGATCTCATACATGTTTGTTTCGAGAAATCGCTTTGGTATTTTGTTACAATCCTAGCTGTCAATAAAGCTGGTGGAGCATGGGTTCCTCTAGACCCCTCACATCCCATTAAACGCCAACAAGACATAGTAAAGCAAACGGGATCCCGTCTCATCCTCACATCAAAACTACATTCTGGCCTAGCTTCCAGTCTCGATGCGGAAGCAGTGGAGGTTACGGCAGAGCTCCTGAAGTCTGTAAGCTCGAACGGGCTGACTCCTCATACATCAGTGAACATCGCCTCTCCTACTCATGCTTGCTATGCCCTTTTCACATCTGGTAGTACCGGAACACCAAAGGGGTTCGTCATGGAGCATCATGCTATATGCACCAAGGAGAGACTTGTTGCCAAGCACCTAGGCCTAACACCGGGCGTAAAAATGCTACAGTTTTCGTCCTTTGTTTTTGATCTCTCGATCGGAGAGATTATCAACCCATTGATCAGCGGTGCTACGGTATGCGTTCCATCGGAAGAGATCCGAATGAACGATTTGACTTCCTTCATCCGATCGAAGCAGATCAGCTGGCTCTACCTGACCCCATCGTTTGCTCGAACGATAAAACCAGAAACAGTACCCTCTGTTGAATTGTTAGTGCTCGCAGGTGAGGCAGTTCCTAGAGATGTGTTTGAGATGTGGGTAGGCAAGGTTCGCGTTCTCAACGCCTGGGGCCCAGCCGAGACTGTCTGTCTCAGCACTCTGCACGAATGGACCTCCAAGGACGAATCGCCTCTAACGCTCGGAAGACCTATTGGTGTTTTGTGCTACATCGTAGACCCTTCAAACCCGTACAAGTTATGTCCAGTTGGCACGATGGGCGAGGTAATGATTCAGGGCCCTGCGCTCCTCCGTGAGTACCTGGCTGACCCCAAGAAAACGGCCGAAACTACCGTAAGCGATTTACCGTCGTGGGCTTATCGCGGTAATAAATCCTGGAATCGTTTCTACAAGTCAGGTGACATTTGCTTTCAAAATGCTCAAGGTCTTCTCGAATTCTCGAGTCGCAAAGACACCCAAGTCAAGATTCGAGGTTTACGTGTTGAGCTTGGCGAAGTTGAACACCAGTTACAATCAATATTACCGGGTGCCTGTCAGGTTGCGGTCGATGTTCACTCTGCCGAGTCAGGCAAATGCCTCGTGGCGTATGTTTGCTTTAGCATGGAAAGTAAGCCGACCACTTCGCTCGACCAGAGTGACCTCGAGGAAATGTTCGCTTCCATTGACGAAGACCTGCATGGCCAAATGTCTGCTTTGTCGGGAGAGCTTAAAGTGACGCTTCCACGATATATGGTCCCGACGTATTTCATTCCCTGCAGCTTCATGCCGCTCATGACCTCCTCGAAAATGGACAGGAAGCTTTTAAAAGCCCAGACCATGGCGTTGAATCTTGAGCGTCTTGCTGAATACTCATTACAGTCACAGCACAAGCGTCCAGCAGAGACTGCAATGGAAAAGGCTATGCAAAAAGTCTGGTCTCAAGTGTTGAAGATCGCGCCCGAGGAGATTGGGCTCGATGATAGCTTCCTGGCTCTGGGCGGCGATTCAATCACGGCCATATACGCTGTCTCTGCCGCTCGCGAGGCTGGCATAAAAATAGCGGTACACCAGATTTTCAAAGATCCTCGGCTTTTCATGGTCGCCTCGGAGGCGATTGCAGACCTGGGAGGTGACTCTCAAAGCATAGCTCCATTTGAATTACTTCCGCGGGATTTGGATACCTCTGAATGGGAGAGCGAAGCGAGAACAGTATGTTCGTTATCATCAACAGACCATATAGAAAACGCAATGCCCGTGACTTCGTTCCAGGAGGGATTGGTGGCTATTTCCGTACAGCAGCCAGGGTCATACATCGCACGATGGATTTACAGGATATCCGACGACACTGATCTAGGTCGCTTCAAAGAAGCTTGGATTAGCACTCTTCGTACGTGTGCAAACCTAAGAACTCGAATCGTTCGTATCGGCCAGGCTACTCTTCAGCTTTCGATTAAGGATGACTTTGAGTGGGAAAACACCGAGGGCCTGACTATACAAGATTATTTGACTAAGGTTGATGATATGACTATGACTCTAGGATCGCGGCTTGGTCGTTGGGCCATCGTTGGAGACGACTTTGATGCCAAGGACAAATATTTTGTTCTCGTTCTTCATCATGCAGTGTATGATGGCTGGGCACTCCAACTGATCCTCCGAATCTTCGCTTCCTACTATCACGGTAGTGAGATGCCAGCCCCAAAGTCGTTTGATCATTTTATCAAATACACAGAAAGCATAGATCTACAAGAAGCTTCTCAGTACTGGGCCAAGTCGTTGGGAGGTGCAAAATGTGCCACGTTCCCACGAACTTCAGACGGTGCTGCCGGAGCCAAAGTCAACGTCATGAACAAGACTATCACTCTCCAACCATCTGCTCATCGCTCCATCACCAAAGCCACTATTATGAGAGCAGCTTGGGCCTTGGTCCTAGCGCAATATTGCGAGACGGATGATATTTGTTTCGGCACATCTGTGTCTGGCCGTCAGGCACCAGTATCGGACGTCACCAATATTCTAGGCCCTGTTGTTACGACCCTTCCAGTTCGTGTGTTATTGGATGGACACGCTTCCATTTCTTCTTTCTTGCAGAAGATCCAGTCACAGGCTACTGAAATGATACCGTACGAACAGTATGGCCTACAAAACATCTTCAAACTGGGTGAAGATATTCGACAAGCCTGCACGTTTTCTAGTCTTTTGGTGATCCAGCCATATGAGAAAATGTCAGAAGTCGGAAGCCAATCGACAGCCATGATGATTCCCTCCATGGCCGGCAGGGACAAGTCACAAGCCATGGATGGATATTTCACGTTCCCTCTAGTTGTTCAAGCTCTACTGTCGGACACTCAAATCGATCTCAACATAACGTACAACTCAGCTCATTTGACCGAAGGTCAGATGACAGGTTTGATCAGTCAACTGGCCCATGTTATTGAAGGTCTAAATGCTGAAACAACCACCGCGTTGAGAGACCTGTCTATAACGAGCCCCTGGGATGTAGAGATGTCCTCTAGGCTCGCTCACAATGACGTTGAAATTGTCAACTCGACATTCCACGATCTATTTGCCAAGCAGGTCAGGATACGCCCTGATGCTATTGCAATCCGTGCATGGGATTTCACCTTCTCTTATAGTGAAGTCGAGCGCTATACAAACTCCCTCGCGGCACACCTCGTTCACTCTTTTAAGGTTCAAAAGGGCGACTTAGTTCACGTTCGCTTTGAAAAGTCGGCTTGGTATTTTATTTCTATCTTGGCAATCAATAAAGCAGGAGCTGCTTGGGTGCCACTTGATCCTTCGCAGCCTCAACAGCGGCAGCAACAGATCGTCTCGCAAACAAAATCGACCTTGATTCTGACGTCTCGAAGACACGCAAAGATGTCATTGAAGCTTATTGACCGAGTTCTTGAAGTTGATTCAAAGTTCATGGCAAAGCTTCCCAAAAAGAGCGTCAAGTCTCTTTCCTCACCAGGGGATGCTTGTTATGTTATCTTCACCTCTGGAAGTACTGGCGTGCCAAAAGGATTCGTTATGGAACATCGGGCAGTCTGTACAAGTCAGACAGAGATTGCAAGTAGGTTAAACTTGGACCAGGATGTCAACATGATCCAATTTGCCTCCTTCGTATTTGATCTCTCGATTGGTGAGATTATTGGGCCCCTGATCATGGGAGCGACGGTTTGTGTTCCTTCCGACGAGATGCGAATGAGCAACCACGACTTAGTCTCTTTCATCAACGAGACTAACGTCACATGGTTCTATCTTACGCCCTCTTTTGCGCGGTCTATCAGACCAGAGTCTGTTCCGTCTCTGAAACTCTTACTTTTCGCTGGCGAGGCAGTTGGACGAGATGTTTTTGAAACATGGGTTACAAAGGTTAGATTGATCAACGGATGGGGCCCAGCAGAGACCTGCTGCTTTAGTGCTATCCACGAGTGGACTTCAGTTAATGAGTCTCCACTGACAATCGGAAGACCAGTGGGATCACAGTGCTGGATCGTGTCTCCGGATGATCCTACAAAGCTTGCTCCAGTTGGAACGTTAGGAGAGGTTTTGATTCAGGGACCAACTTTGCTTCGCGAATACTTAGGTGACCCTAAGCGAACTGCGGACACTATTCTGAAGCACAACCCAAGCTGGGCTTCCAACTCCGGTTCAGAACATTGGCAGTCTTTTTACAAATCCGGAGATCTCTGTTCATGGAACTCGCAGGGCCTGCTAGAATACTACTCTCGAAAGGATACACAGGTCAAGATCCGTGGGCTGCGTGTCGAACTTAGCGAAGTTGAGCATAATATTCTCTCTAACCTGCCCGAGTCTTGCCAGGTCGTAGTCGGTCTGCTTGAATGCGAGATAGGTAAACATCTTGCTGCCTATGTTTGTCTGTCCAATTCGACACGCTCACCTGGAGAGGGACTTGATTATGATGACCTCTTCTCGGACCTCGATTCAAGCCTTAACAAACAGTTCACTGAGATTATTGGCAACCTGGGAGCTAGCCTACCAAAATATATGATTCCTAGTCTCTTTATCCCCTGCAGTTATATGCCAGTTGTAACATCTTCCAAACTGGACCGAAGAACTTTGCAGAACGAAGCAATGAAGCTGAATCGAAACCAATTAGAGATTTATGCCTTGAAAACAACCGAAAAGCGCTCCCCAGAGACTGAGATGGAAAGGCATATGCAAGAAATCTGGGCAAAGGCATTGAATCGTCCTCTGGACACGATTGGCTGCGACGACAGCTTTCTTGTGTTAGGAGGAGATTCGATAACAGCCATCAACGCCGTATCAATTGCTCGTGAAGCTGGTATATTGTTCACAGTGAACGATATATTCAAGGACCCCCGTTTGTGCTCCGTTGCCTCTGTGGCTTCCAACCTAGAACCAGGGGAAGAGCAAGAAGAGATCAAACCTTTTGACCTGCTTCCTAAGCGATTAGCTAGTACTTCTTGGGAAGAGGAGGCCAGACAGATATGTGAAATATCGCCAGATGTGAACATTGAAAATGCCATGCCTGTCACGCCCTTCCAGGAAGGGCTCATGGCCCTCTCCGTTAAGCAGCCCGGCTCGTATATTGCCAAATGGGTTTATAGTATACCAGACGGAGTGGATATCAATCGCCTCAAGGCCGCATGCGAGAACACGGTCAACGTCTGCGGCAATCTTAGGACAAGACTCGTCAGCGTTTCTCAGATGACCTTACAACTTGTTCTGCAAGAGAAGCTCTCATGGGAGCAGCCCGGTATTGCCGAAATCGAAGAATATATGGATGAGATTGGCCAAATGACCATGACATACGGTTCAAGACTCAGTCGTTGGGCCCTGATTCAAGAGCCCTGTGGAAAATCCTACTTGGTTCTCGTGGCCCATCATGCCATCTACGATGGATGGACCTTGCAGTTGGTCCTTCGAACTATTGGCAACTCTTACTATGCTTCGGGCCTCCCAGCACCCACATCGTTTGACTACTTTATGCGCTATGTTGGAAGCCTAAATGGCAAGTCGGGTGAAGAGTATTGGCGAAACCAACTGGCCGACTCCAAGCGCAGCGTCTTCCCTGAGTCAACTAAGAAATCCCGTGTCAGCGGGGATCACGTTTGCCGACGTGAAATCACTTTGCCTAGCTCATCAGACAAGTCCATTACCAAAGCCACCATTGTGAGAGCAGCGTGGGCACTGATGCTGGCACAGTATTGTGCCACAGATGATGTATGCTTTGGCACGTCCATATCCGGTCGCCAGGCTCCCGTGAGCGGCATAACGGAAATTGCCGGGCCTATGATCGCCACTCTGCCGATCCGGGTTCGTATTAATTGTGACACATCGGCTATGGAGTTCCTACAAATGATCCAGACTCAAGCTACAGAAATGGTTCCTCATGAGCAATACGGCCTTCACAGTATCCTGAAACTTGGAGACGAGATCCGAGATGCCTGCAACTTCACCAGTTTACTGGTTGTCCAGCCCTATGAGAAAATGTCAGAGGTTGGAAGCCAGTCAAAGGCCGTCTTAGTTCCGTATGGAGGTGGCAAAGCCCAGTCGTTGAATGGGTACTTCAGCTTCCCACTCGTCGTCCAGGCCTTAGTCTCTGATACCAGCATGCAGCTGGTACTCTCATACGATGGCTCCAAGCATACCGAGAGGCAAATAACAGGGTTAGCGAATCAACTCGACCATTTGATTCAGATTCTCTCTACACAAGCCAGTGAAAAACTCCATAAGCTTTCCTTGGCCAGCCCCTGGGATGTTCAACAAGCGAGTGAATTTAATTGCGAAACGTCAGAAGTTGTCCACTCCACCTTTCCCGAACTGGTGTCTGCTCAGGCCAAACAGCGCGGTGATTCCGTGGCTATTCGGGCGTGGGATGCTACTCTCACCTATCAAGAACTCGATAGGTATTCCGACTACCTAGCATCGCACCTCATATCATCTTTCAATGTTAAACGAGGAGACTATGTGCATGTCTGCTTCGAGAAGTCAGCTTGGCACTTCGTCTCAATCTTGGCAATCAATAAAGCCGGTGGCGCTTGGGTGCCCCTCGAGCCAGCACACCCGCTTCAACGGCAGCAGCAGGTTGTCTCACAGACAGGCTCCAAACTGATCCTCACATCTGCTCAATACAAGTCACTTGGCGCCAAGCTCGTGGATCATACGCTTGAAGTTAGCCCTGCACTCGTTACAAGTTTGATCCGAAAACGGCCCAACACACCTATCAACGGTCGAGTCTTACCCGATGATGTCTGCTATGTTCTCTTCACCTCCGGGAGTACGGGAATACCCAAAGGATTTGTCATGGAACACCGGGCAGCTTGTACCGGCCAGAAAGCCATCGCAACCAGACTTGGACTTGACGCAGGTGTGAGCATGCTGCAGTTTGCTGCTTTTTGCTTTGACCTTTCAATCGGAGAGATTTTCGGGCCTTTGATTGTAGGAGGTACTATTTGCATCCCATCAGATGAGACTCGGATGGGCGACCTGGCTGCTTTCATCCGTGAAACAAACATAAATGCGGCATTTATGACCCCGTCATTCTCACGCACGCTTGAACCAAAATCCGTACCTTCTCTCGAACTTGTGTTATTCGCTGGAGAAGCAGTCCCGCGAGATGTCCTTGAAACGTGGTTCGGCCAAGTCTCGCACCTCTGGAATGGTTGGGGTCCTGCAGAAACATGCTGCTTCAGTACCCTACATAATTGGAAGTCGATCGATGAGTCTCCGTTAGCAATCGGTCGGCCTGTTGGCGCTCGCTGCTGGATAGTTGATCCCAATGATCCACAGATTCTCGTTCCGGCGGGCACGTTGGGCGAGGTTGTCATCCAGGGCCCAACCTTGTTGCGCGAGTACATCGCCAACCCACAGAAGACGGAAGAATCGATGGTCAGAAATCTCCCAGCATGGGCATACAGGCCCAAGTCCGGGCCTCAGCTTTGGAACCGATTCTACAAGACTGGCGATCTTTGTTTCATGAACGCACAGGGTGTACTCGAATTCTCCAGCCGCATCGACACTCAAATCAAGATTCGCGGGCTGCGAGTAGAATTGAGTGAGGTTGAGCATCATCTTTTATCCAAGTTCCCAGGCGTTTGCCAGGTTGCTGTGGGTGTTCACCGGGGAGATTCCGGGGATGTGCTTATTTCATACTTATGTTTCAACAATGATACAAGCACATGTATCCAACATGACGGTTTGTTCCTGGCCGTTGAGGAAGAGTGGTTTGACCAGTTAGTCGAAGTGTCAAGAGAACTTGCTCTTGCGCTTCCGAGATATATGATTCCAACAATCTTCATTCCATGCAAATATATGCCAGTGAGTAACTCAATGAAGATCGAGCGCAATGTCTTGCAACGACTCAGTGCCGCATTGCCTGCCGAGCAACTTAAACACTACTCACTATCAAATTCCGTCAAACGTGAACCTCGAACACCTATGGAGATCAAGTTGCGGGAGCTTTGGAGTACTCTTCTACAGATGCCATCTGAATCCATTGGTCGAGATGATGGTTTCCTTCAAATTGGAGGCGACTCCATTTTAGCTATCAGGTTAGTCTCACTGTGTCGAGACGAAGGGCTCCTGATATCCACCAAAGACATTTTTGACGATTCCCGTCTCTCATCTCTTGCTGCCAAGATAACATGCACCGACGGTACCGTCTCCAGCGAGGAAATCAACGCATTTGATCTTCTTCCGGAACAAATCAAAGACCAGGTTTTAAGCGATGCCGTAGCAAGAAAATGCGCACTATTGGACGACCAGCATGTCGAAGATGCCTACCCCTGTACGCCTATCCAAGAGGGCATGATGGCTCTGGCCGAGAAACAGCCTGGATCTCATGTGGCCAAGTATGTCTATCGTCTGTCTGATTTCGTTGACGTCGACCAATTCCAGACGGCGTGGGAGCAAACCATCCTTCACTGCCCAAATCTTCGTACTAGAATCATCCAGTTGCAGGGCAAATTTGTGCAGCTAGTGCTGAACGACGATCCTCAGTGGGAACTCACATCCGAGGATGTCGGAAACACAGTCAAGGAAATTTCTTCCCATGCAATGAGCTCCGGAACCAGACTCAGCCGTCATGGCCTCGTCACCACAGACAATGGCACAAATTACTTCGTTTGGGCCGTTCACCACTCTATCTATGACGGATGGTCCTCCCAGCTGATCCAGCGTACCTTGTTCAGCCTCTACCACAATCTCCCTGTTGCAGATGTACATCCTTATGCCGGTTTCATTAAATACATTAATAGCGTCAGTGAAGACTCCTTCATGGAGTATTGGTCAAAACAACTCCATGAGGCGAAGCAGCTCTCTTGGCCCCCCGCAACCCCCAAGTCAAACTCAAGATCAGCCAATCCTACCAAAGTCTATGTAGAGTCTATAGATCTACCTATCTCTAAGACTAGCACTGTGACGAAAGCGACTATCGTCCGCGCTGCTTTGGCTCTGGTGCTTTCTCGATACTCAGAGGACAGCGATGTATGCTTTGGAACCAGCATATCCGGCCGCCAGGCTCCTGTTTCCAATATTGACAATATGTGTGGAGCTGCGATTGCGACAGTACCCTTACGCATGCGCATCGACGAACAGCAATCAATCGATCAATACTTGAAATCTGTTCAAAGCCAGGCGGTTGGCATGATTCCATACGAGCAATACGGCCTACAGAAGATCGCGAAACTGTCTAGAGAGGCTGATGAAGCTTGTAAATTTTCGTGCCTGCTCGTCGTCCAGCCTGTCCAGCAAATGTCTCGTCTTGCAGGTGAAGCACAGTCAATCTTTTCCGCAGACGACTCTGGCAGTCTCACTCTCGAGGACAGCATGGAAGGTTACTTCACCTACCCCCTCGTATTCCAAGTCATCGTCGGTGATGGACGGGCCAACCTAACAATCACTTATAACAGCGACATTCTCAGCAAAACTAAAGTGGAAACTCTAGTCTACCACTACGGCAACGTTGTGCAGCAATTGCTAGTCAAGCAGGACTCATCCGTACAATCTATCTCGCTTGCCGGCGCGTTGGATGTGGAAAAAGCTCTCAGCTGGAACAACCATTCCACTGAAGTTGTCGATCGCTGTTTCCATGAACTATTTGAAGAGCGTTCTCATAGCCAACCGAACGCAGTAGCTATCGACGCCTGGGACGGAAAGCTCACGTACGGCCAGCTCAATAGCGCAGCAAATCGCCTAGCTCACTACCTTGCCGAAGTGCACTCTGTTCGTCCGGGCAGCATCATCCACGTCTGCTTTGAGAAGTCTGTCTGGTATATTGTGTCTATTATAGCCATCAATAAGGCTGGTGGTGCCTGGGTGCCTCTTGATCCTTCCCATCCTGAACAAAGGAAGAAGCAAATCATCAACCAAACTGGAGCCAGAATCGCTCTGGTATCATCAGAAACAACCAAAATGCTCAGCTCACTGTTAGATACAGTCGTCGAAGTCTCGCCAGCGCTTGGGCGCGATCCGGCAATGCAATCAGCTGATTCCAAACAAGGGCCGGCTGTCGAGGTGTCCATTTACGACCCTGCGTATATATTGTTCACATCTGGAAGTACAGGCACTCCCAAGGGCTATGTAATTCAGCATAGGGCTCTTTGCACGAGTCAAACCAACATTCCCCACTACATCGAGCAGAGCAGATCCTCGAGAGTACTTCAATTCGCATCCTATACCTTTGACTGTGCGATCGCGGAAATCATTGGCTCTCTACTTCGTGGATGCTGCATCTGTGTGCCGGACGATGAAACCAGGATGGGCGATCTTCCCGGTTTCATTGAAGAATATAACGTCGACTGGGCATGGCTGACGCCGTCGCTCGTACAAACTCTGTCCCCAGAAAGAGTCCCAAACCTCAAGGTCATTGTATTGGTAGGTGAAGCAGTAACGCAGGACCTCTTGAACCGCTGGTTCGGCAAGGTCCGCCTAATCAATCTATGGGGTCCTGGAGAAGTGGTAGTGGGAAGTACGTGGCATGAATATTCCTCCATCAATGATGTACCGAGTAATATCGGCCGCCCACGTTGTGGATACACGTGGGTTGTTGATCCTCAAGATTGCACCAAGCTGGCTCCTATCGGAACGGTTGGTGAGATTGTTATTCAAACGCCGACAATGCTTCGAGAGTACCTCAACAATGATGAACAGACCCGCAACAGTATCATTTCGACCTTGCCAGACTGGGCTCCAAAACATTCTGATTCTTCATGGAACCGCTTTTATAAAACAGGTGATTTAGCCTCGTATAATGAAGATGGCACCATCAATTTCGTCTCTCGAAAGGATACGCAAGTCAAGATCCGCGGTCTTCGTGTTGAGCTAGGTGAAATCGAGTTCCATATCCGAGAGTTGCTGGAAGGTGTTCAGCAGGTTGGCGTCGATGTCCTCAAGACGGATGTAGGTGTTCACCTGGTAGCCTACTTCTGCTACAGCGATGAAATGCGGTCAAATCATCAAGATGACATCTTCCTCCCCTTGGACTCTAAGCTCCAAGATGCCATTCTAAAGTTGACTGGTAGCCTGCACCTCGCCCTACCTTCGTATGAAGTCCCGACCATCTTCATTCCGTGTAGCTATATGCCAAGCAACATATCAGACAAATTAGATAGAAGGGCGTTGAAGAGTTACACGCTGAACCTGGGCCAGGAAATGATAGCCAAGTACTCGTTATCCAATGCGGAAAAAAGAGCACCTGAGACAGAGGTAGAAATTCGCATGCAGGAACTTTGGGCTGCAATTCTTAACATCCCGAAGGAGAGTATTGGTCGAGATGATAACTTCCTGAGGATTGGAGGTGACTCCATTCTGGCTATCCAACTCGCATCGGCGGCTCAAGACATGGGTTTGAAAATCACAGTTGGGAATATCTTCCAAGACTCACGACTATCATCATTGGCTACTACTGCCTCTACAGGTACCCAGTATTCATCAAAAATCGTCAAACCTTTCAGCCTGCTTCCGCACAACAGCACCGTGGCTGAACTTGCTTCGGAACTCCAGCGCCTGGGAAATCTTCCTGAGCCACCGACAATAGAAGATGCATTCCCAACCTACCCACATCAAGATGAGATGATGAGCGCCACGGCAAGTCGTCCTGGCGCTTGCGTTCATAAACGGGTTTGGAGAATCCCTCAAAATATTGACGCTGATCGCTTCAAGTGGGCATGGGATCAGACTGTTAACTACTTGCCGGCTCTAAGGTGCAGGATTGTATCCTCCCACGGAACCAACATTCAGGCCATCATCAAGGGTCATCAAGAATGGGAAGAAAATCCTAAGCGATTGGGTGTCAGAAGCTTCTTCAAAGATACCGACATAGTATCCACCATGGGATTCGGAACCTTGCTTTCCAGGTATGCTATTATTGAAGAGAACAATGACCGCTTTTTCGTCTGGATACAGCATCACGTACTGCTTGATGGCTGGAGTTTGTCAATGGTTTTGGGGGTTGTATCCAACTTCTATTACAACGTTGCGGCCGCACCTATTTCAAACTTTGCCAACTTCATCCAGTACACCACCGAGATCGACCAGGCTCAGGCTGTTAAATTTTGGAAGACCGCACTCAAGGGCCTCAAGCAATCACGATGGCCGCAAAGACCACCCCCCACAAACGACTACGGCGCCTATGAATTGACCTTTACCACAATTGAGGTATCGAATGAATCAGCGTTCACTCTCGGTACTATCCTTCTCGGCGCGTGGGGTCTTGCCATTCGACACTTTGACAATCAGGATCGCGACATCTATGTCATGCGGCTGTCTTCTGGCCGGCAAGCACCTGTGGCCAGAATTGAGAATGCTCCGGGGCTGTGCACCGTTGAAATGCCAATGCCAGTACGCATTAAAAAGAGTCAACCCATATCAGAGTTTCTATCAGAGTTACAGAAACATTGCTCTGAGAGTGTGCCGTATGAACACTTCGGTGTGGAGAACATTGCCAACCTCTTACCTGAAGATGAGATTGATGACATTCTTGACCCATCCACCTTAATGATTCCGCATGCGGTACAAACCTCCGGTACTGGCGAGAACACTAATGTAGCCAGCTTAATGGAACATGCGCCTGAAGTGTGGCCACCAGAAGAGAGTATCAGAGGCTTCACGACCAGCAATCTATCCATGCATTGTCAACTCAGGCAGGATAGCATCCAAATCTCTGCTTCCCACCGCGCCAGTGTCCTCAGCAGTGCAGAAGTTAGAGCCCTCTATGAATACTTAGAGTCGGCAGTTCTTGCAATCTGCGAACATCCGGAGACGAGCGTTTCGGATCTTATTGATCACCTTGACTCTAAGCATCCATTGATCTGATCCATGTCCACTGTTCGTGTGGTCCAATCCACGAGTTGGCTAGTTTACAAAATTTTGGCGATTTTTTACACATCTTATAACCGATGAACTTCATTAAAATATTATTATATGTTTATCTATACAACTAAATATAGAACAAACCTCATTATGTGTGAGCCTCTAGCGAATCAATAGGCTTAGATTTCAATCTAGGTCTTGTAGATTCACGAGGAGGTCATCTAGTTTTGTATAAAAAAACATGATCATTATTAGTTAGTTAGCTGCTTTTTCTAGATATTTCACTTTCCAATGAACTACTTTATTACTTTCATTTCGAAATTTTTCTTTTTCATTGTCAAGAATTCACAGCGTACGAAAAACCAATCTAATAAGTGAGCACCAGGACTTTTCCGACAACGCCAAGGAGATCACATCTGATTCACATATGTTGGCATTGACTATAGCTAGCTACAGTATAAGTTCGAATTGATCCAATCCGCTCAGTGCCAATTTATTGTCCAAGATCCGGGGACCAGGCTAAGGCTCGACATGCTCCTTGAACCCATGCTGCAGTGGCCGCGGGGCTACTCGGGCTATCCCTGAGCTGCGTATATAACTCGTTGTATGGGGACGGAAGATCACGTACAACGTTGTAGCGGTCTAAACAGCCACCCATCTTTTTGAGAATGTTGGCCTCAATAGGGACGTGGTTGTCGCCTTCATAATTGCGAACAGCGCATAGGATAAGAGTCTTCGCGTAAAGCCACGGTCTCATAATATAAACTTGGCAAACCGCGAAACTATAACCACCATGGCCGACTGGTATATCTGGGGCTCCCGATTGAGGATTTGGATTGCGGATACGGTTAGGAAAGACTGGATTGCGGATACGGTTAGGAAAGATTGGGTTTTCTGCGCTAACAAACTCCTGGTTCTCGAACGATACCGGGTTTCCCGCTTTAAGAGTGTCTTCAAGCAGTCCCATTCCCCAAAGTACCCTTCGCTGGCGTACAAGACCAACTAAGATTCTCTCTTCAGAATCCTCGGTTCTCGGCGGTTTCCAAAGAAAATGTGCGTCGGAATGACCTAAGTCGAGGTCTATGGGAGTTGTTTTCTCACAGGACCCTCCCGAAGCTTTAGCAAGAATTTCCTTTGCCATGTGGAAGTAGCGGTCCGAGACGATAAGATCAACAGTTCTTTTTCCTATCGTTAGCCAAAAATAATACTATGATTCATCCCACAGGGGACTCACTTGATATCAAACGCAGGGTCCTCACTGGCGTAACCGTACACATCCATCGCAGCTTGATTCCATAGCACCGATGAGATTCCCTGGTCGCTTAGAGTTTCAGAGACTTCCTTCGCGACGTCTTCGATTTTCGATGCCCCGTCGTTGAAGTGTACGGCCATGGTTTCGGTCGCGCTTCTATGTCTAGGTATCTGAGCAAGGAGGGATCCTGAGTTTGTGGTTCGGAAAAAAAGTGACCAGGAGATCAATCAAATGTGCAGAGAGATGTGAGAAGCAACTTCACAAAAATCAGAGCGCAAAGGGGGTTTATATATTCATTTTCCGTGCACGTTTGGCATCCGCCTTCGAGATCGTGAATCGCGTTACTGAACATCAGACAAAGGTCTACTGTTTCCGACGAGCTCATGGATCAACCAACAGAGTACTGAATCAATCATAACCAAGAACGTGAATATCTCTTAGGTTGACTTTCGTCTTTTCAAGTTCTTTTCAAACTACTACCTACACCGCCTCCGTTAGCATTCACCCCAGATCCTCAGCTCCCAGCTCCTGGTAAGAGATTCATAGCAGTCAGTAAATACCTCACCTACTGCTAGTGAGTTTTATTCACAATAGAACCTCTTCTAAATATATTCTGCTGTTGCGATTGGGGTCTAATGACCCCTAGTGCATCACTTTGCTCTCAACTTCACACAGTTGTTCTCAATCACAGACTCTAGTTTCACTCTGAAAAACAGTTGACCATTGCTGCTTAGATATGGCCCTCTGGTTTCTCTTATTGTTTTAGAGTTGGTAAGGATTCTTGGTTCACATAATCACGTAAGCTTTGTCATGGGTGCAGAAACCGGCACTCCAGTGGTGAAGCCCAGCTTCGCCTGTAGGTCATATGTCCCACTCGAACTCCAATTGCTCCTTGTGACTTTCATTCAATGGTATGGCTTAGAGAGGGTAGTTGTCGCCAGTGGGGTCAGCTTCCAGACAAAGCCGCGAGATCCCGCAATGGATGCAGAGGTCAGTGCACGTCTTTGCTTTGTAGTGTTGCCCCCAGTTCGTACCAGTCAATTGCGGAGGGTAAACTAATGGCATATGCCAAAGGAAACTACGGACACGGTGAATTTTCATGAAAACTTAAACCCCAACACATATCATTGTCGTACTGTCGCATTCAGATGTCTCCAGAAGGCAAGATTATGTCGTGAGAGTCTTAGGCCAAAACATGCTGAAAGATTGCTCAAGATTCTAAAATACCTTTAGATAGCTATTCAATAACTGTCAAGGTTCTATTTGAGTTGCATATGTCTCTTTCTGCACATGGTTTGTTGGACCTAAAGCAAGAGAGGAACGAGAAAACTTCGTCGAAGAGTTCCTTTCTATGAAGGCAGCCGAGAACAGCGTGATAGGCTTCTATGCCTTACATAAGAATCACCTGAGGCTTACACCTATATTAAGTTTCCATTTAGACAATCAAAGTTTTTCAATCTTAAGCAGAGGTTGATAGGGTGATAATTAGCAGTTAGGGATGTTGACGGTGTGTCAACCGTGTGATGTGCAAGTATTTGAAAGATTGGACTTTACTCCAAAAAGTCATTCATGTTAGTCCAACAAACACAGGTCAATCATTTCATCCGGCAGCTGGATAGTGGCCAATTACGGTTGGGGTACAGTCGCGTTATGCGTGGGGATGTTCTGATGTTGACGCCCTCGTTGTGTTATTGTGTTGTGCCACATAAGTCCGCCTGAGAAGAGCACCTACAGGTACCTAAAATGCAGTGCACTAGTTCCCTCTGATGGGTGCCTTCAGAAGCTCAAGCTACATGTCCTTTGTACCATGTCAACGCGCGGTGGTTGCCCCCTCAGTAAGGCAGAAACTCGCCATGTTTGCTCATGCTCAGCTTCAACTCACTCTGCCTGCAGTCACCGTGATTTCCCATGCACCACCTGCAACCAACAACTTGGTCTTCTCACTCTCTCTTACCGCAAATTCGAGTGGCTCTCGTCAAACTAACTTCCAGAGCTGGTACATAATGAACGGCATACCAAAAGAGCTGTGAGTAGACGCCGGCATGTATCTGCGCAAAGCCTGTCCTGGAAATTGACCTTTAAACAGCGTCGCGTCCTCCGGGCAATTTCGCTTCTTCGTCGGCCCAGATGCCAAAGAATATACCATCCATTCCGACCTCGTTGCTCTTCAATCTCCGGTGCTCAGCGCCTTGGTGAGCGGTGGCTTGAGCGAGTCGATTACTCAATCCGTTAAATGGGATGATATCGACGAGCCATCTTTCCTCAGCTTCTGGGAGTTCTCATACACGGGAGACTACGACGTGTCAGACGCAGCCTACAGCAAGAGTGGCTCTAATGGTCTGAGTTCCAGCGACGAAGACAAAGAGGCGACAGATGGTCAGAACGGATCACCTTCCAGCAGAGACGGATACTGTCACGAAGACGAGGCAGAATGCGAACAACGGGGAGAAGGGCATATGCAGGGAATATTTTCATCAACAGCCAGGAACCGACAGCGTCCCGCGATGACCTGGAGTGACCATGTGCTTGGAACAGAATATCCGCAAGATGTCAAAGACGGAGATTACGCGGGCGCGGCCCTGCATCATGCACGAGTCTATATCCTGGCAGATCGCTACGGCATTACCCGCCTTATGAACCTGTCGATCCATAAGCTAGGGACAGTGATGAAGACTTGCACCGAAGCCGAAGACAAAACGCAGGGCATCATGGCATTGCTGCAGCTCTGCTACACGAATTTCGTGCCGGATCGGTTGATACGCCTTGCAATTCACCATGCTGCCGACAGCATTCTTCACTTGTGGGAGCTCGAAGAATTTCACGAGTTGCTAATTACGCATGCCGCCCTGTCAAAGACAATGTTGGAGTTATTTTTGCCGGTGGCCCAGGAGTCTAGTGATGAGGGCGATGACAGGTACGATGGTTGGAACGACTCCAGGGAAGTATGCGAGAATAGAACAGTTTATGAATGGGCGGGGATGGATTATCCTTCTTTCGCCCCGGATTCAACAGGTTCATCGAACGGGTGGCCATAGTGGACTGCAGAGGACCTCGCTGTGGCCTCCCATTCCCTGCTATTGACTTCCGACAGCACTTACGAGCCAGTTGTCTATTATATGCATCAATTTCTTTTACTTGTATGTCTAGTTCTGCTGTCGTCGAGAGAGCATAAATGGATTGATATATCATACGTTTGTCTCGGGTGTCTCTCTGAGACGAACATTTGATTAGTTTGTTCGCCACTAGCTGCTCAAAATATCACATCATTCAAAACCATCCAGTCCAGCATGCGGTACAAGAGAGGTGACGAGAATTTAATAAAAGTGCGAAACAATCTGTTGCTACAATTTTTTGACATCGATCTCTTTGCAGCTTGCCTCTGCGTCCGTATTTATACTCCGCTAGGCCACAAAGATCGCTCGAAGAGGGATGGAAAGAGAAATATTACGATATCATCCGATGCAGATTCCGCAATGACGTCCTGTCCAATTTGCTTACTACCAGTTCACAACAATGTACATCTCTCATTCAAAGGCAAGGTCCGCGGATGCGAAATTTTCACTATTATAAATTGCATATAGGTGGTATTTGCCCAATTTCTTACAGAGTGCGCGTATTTCGGGAGGCCTCATCTACCCACCCAGAACATGGTTCATGGCCTTGCTAAATTAGGACATGAGTTGCAGTCTGTTGACAATGACGACGAGCGATTTTTTTTGCCTAGGAGGCCTCAATCTTCTTTGCATGCGCCTCCGTTCTCGACTTTGTGCATAAATTCCAAACACGAGAAGGATGGCGGTTGGCATGGACAGTTGGTTGGAGGCCTCAACACTGCCCCGCGCCTGTCTCGTGGATGGTTTTGGGATACACTGTTTTGTATCAATTCTTGTATGTGAAATCGAGTCTCATTTAACAAATCTTCGTCAGGTGAATCAATGCGGTGTTATGTTGCTCCCCCATCTGCCGAACGTATATAATCAGACTTGTCACTTCCGAGAGCTATGTGATCCTTCTGCAACATTTATGTATGCCCTCTCACCCCTCCCCCCCTTTATCCAACGTCAAATTCTACAAATGAAGACCACGGGAGGCAAAGTAGTTTGGTGTGAGGGCGATGAAGAATCCGGTCACGGTCTCCGGGAGGGACGGGCAACCGCGGAACGCCCTCAATGGCGGTCTCGTTCGTCCAGCCGCCACAGAATTATTGAGCCTGCTACAGACCTTCCCATCATATACCGTACCATGTATGTGCACCTTTTTAACTTTTATTCTCTTTAGACCTTGTGTCTCAATCCTGGTTATGGGGTTGACTAATAGAGTTGGACGCAGCTCTCAAGACATTGAAGAGGCCGAGAGAGCCAAACAAACCGAGCGTGCCAAGGCGATAGATGCAGTGGTTTTAAGTACAACATCATTCCATGAATTATATGTACTGAAACACATATTCTAATGACTTAACGGCTAGAGTTCGAAACCATTGATTGGCACAAGCTGACACCAGTAGAAATTGAAAAGCGACTGCAGGCAGATTTAGCCGATGGTCTCTCTCAGCTTGATGTCTACGACCGCCTTGTGAAATATGGAGAGAACAAGATGTCCCGTCTCCCCAACCCCTGGTTCTTTCGAATATTGGGCTACTTCTTCAAGGGCTTTGGATCTATCCTATGCATTGGTGGTATTCTCGTTCTCATATCCTGGAAGCCGCTCGGTGATCCACCCCGGGTTGCGAACTTGGCACTTGGAATTGTTCTATTTTGCGTTTTTCTCATCCAGGCTGCATTCAATTTTTACCAGGATTGGTCCACTTCCCGTGTCATGCAATCCATGACCGCCTTGCTTCCAGAGTCTTGCCATCTCATCCGCGAGCGAGCACTGATCGAGGTCAGTGCTCTGAACGTGGTCCCGGGCGACGTCCTACTCCTTAAGGCGGGAAACAAAATCCCAGCAGATTTGCGATTTCTTCAGGTATCTCATGATATGAAAGTGGATCGTGCCGTACTTACTGGTCAGTGAGCCCTGCAGATGATGTGGTTATACAGACTTTTAACAGTCTTTTAGGCGAATCAAGGCCGATAAAGGGTATTGTTGACTCAGATAGCGACAACTACCTGGAGACACACTGTATTGGTCTTCAGGGAACGCATTGTGTATCTGGAACAGCCATCGGCGTCGTGGTTGCAACTGGTAATTCCACCGTCTTCAGCCAGATTGCGAAACTATCCAGCGAACTCAAACCGACCCTCACGCCCATTGAGAAAGACATTTCAAGATTTGTTCTTATTATTTCAATAATTATGATCACCTGGGTATTGATTATTGTTGCTGTGTGGTCTGTCATCACTTGCCCATCCGTTCGGCCTGAAGCAAAGATGAGTTTTAACTGACTAAGTGTAGGGCCGGCTGGCTTCGTAAAGAGCACCCCGACTGGCTCAGCGTCCCCGCTCTCATCGTGAGTTGCGTGAGTGTCGCGATTGCCTATATCCCAGAAGGCTTGCCTGTTGCGGTCACCTCTTCCCTAACAATTACGGCGAACCTGATGAAAAAGAATGGTGTTCTCTGCAAGTCCCTGAAAACTGTCGAGACCTTGGGTGCAGTATCCGTGATTTGTTCAGACAAGACGGGAACATTAACCAGGGTGAGATGTCATCAATTTCAACTTACCAAGCAGCAATCATCTCAAATAATTAACACGAATGACTTAGAACAAGATGTTCGTCACACACTGCTCTGTTGGCACGACAGCACACACTCCCGATACAGCCAAAGAGGCTCTGATGTGGAATGAATCAGTAGCCGTCGATCAGCTACGCGCTGTTGCGGCCCTCTGCAACGACTCAACCTTTGACAGAGATACCTCTTTCCTCCCTTTGCCTGAACGATCCATTTTTGGTGATGCTACGGACCAAGCCACCCTCCGGTTCTCAGAGAGCTTAGGATCAGTCGCCAACCTGCGCAGCGCCTGGAAACACCGGTTCCAGCTAGCTTTCGACAGCAAAAATAAGTTCATGGCGAAGGGGTCTGTCGTGACGGACTTGAAGGGTCTCGGGCCTTGCGTCAGCGAGTTCGAGAAAGAACGGTTCGATAGTACCCGCAACATGTGAGTCCATTTGCATATGATCATACTTGCTCCGTTTTCATGCTCTCGGCGGTTCAAATATTTACGAATGTGGCTGACCCTCATGAAGGTTGCTCACGGTTAAGGGAGCCCCTGATATCCTTCTCGATCGGTGCACCCAATACGTACAAGAAAACGGGAAGATTGAGGTTCTGTCCAAAGATGTTGCTGCAGATATTACAAAGATGAAAAATAGGTGGGCATCTGATGGTAAGAGAGTTATATTACTGGCCAGGAAGATCATCTCGTGGGATAAGACCGCGTCGGCATCTCCAACATATGATTGGGGAAGGTGTGTGATCAAAGAGCTCGGAAGCAATCTAGTATTTGTGGGATTGCTCGGACTGGTCGATCCTCCTCGAGATGAGATACCTGAGGTGATGAATACTTTACGGGGCGCTGGGATTCGATCCTTCATGGTAGGTTTTCGCTCCCAATGAGTAGTTCCTATTGAATTCTACTTACTTAATCTCATCGATAGATCACTGGAGACTTTTACCTCACTGCTCTGGCTGTTGCTCGTCAATGCGGTATGGTAACTCAGCATTGTGTCCATGACATCTCCTTCTTGGCTCGCTTTCCCCCACGGGTCCCCAACCCAAAAGCAGCTACACCCCAAGCTGCTCTATCACTGGTGGGAAGGGACCTCATGAAGCTCAATGATAATCAGTGGACGCAGGCATGCACGTACCCCGAAATCATTTTCTCCCGAACAACGCCGGATCAAAAACTCCGTATTGTTCGTGAGCTCCAGGCTCGAGGGCAGATTGTCGCCATGACGGGTGATGGAGTCAACGATGCACCGGCCCTCAAGGCGGCAGACATCGGCATCAGCCTCGCCAGCGGATCCGATATTGCTATCGCAGCTGCCGACATGGTTCTTCTTGACTCCTTCGCCGCTATTGTGGAAGCTGTACGTTACGGACGCCTTGTATTTGACAATTTGAAGAAGGTTATCGCGTATCTTCTGCCGGCGGGCTCATGGTCTGAGTTTTGGCCGATTTTCACCAGCGTTGTCTTTGGCCTTCCACAGATTCTCTCCTCATTCTTGATGATTATCATCTGGTAAGTGAAACTGAGCACGTACCTCCTTGTTTCAATCAAAAGTATCAATAATAACAATCATAGTTGTTGCACCGACTGCGTCGCCGCAATTGTGCTCGCCTACGAGAAACCTGAAGCAGATCTTCTCCTACGCCCACCTCGCAATCCCAAGACGACCAAGCTTGTGGACTGGCAGTTGATTTTCCACGCCTATGCATTTGTTGGGACGATTGAAACAGTTCTATCTTTCACAATGGCTTACTGGTATCTCGAGAGAAATGGAATCCATTTCCGTGATCTTTGGTTCAAGTTTGGGGAGCTCCCTGCTGGTATCGATCCTGACTACTACCAGTCCCGCCTGAACGAGGCCAGTTCCATCTACTTTATAAACCTCGTCATCATGTAAGTTTTCTCCGAACTGAGCGGAAAATGCTAAACCATAAAATGCTGACTCCATACTCCGCCGGTGTAGGCAATGGTTCAACTTGATGGCGGTCCGTACCCGCAAGCTGTCCATATTCCAACATCCCCCTGCTTTCAACAAAGATACGCAAAATCTTCTCGTGTGGCCTGCTATCTTGCTTACCCTTGGTATGGCCGTTATCTGGCTTTATATCCCCCAATTACAAGCGGTGCTTAACACCGGTGGAGTACCAGTGGAACACTACTTTCTGCCGGCTGCGCTGGGTGTTGGACTTTTATGTCTCGATGAAGGTCGTAAGGCTTGTCTAAGACGCTGGCCAGGAGGTATAATGGAGAGGATGGCTTGGTAACATAGTGAAGCATGAGGCCAAACTCTTTTGTAAAATGTGCGAAACTAGGGGAGAGAATCAATACATTCACAAAAAGATCAAGTTATACAACTGTTAGCTACTATCGCACTATCCCTCCAAACATCTTTCATCTTCAATCCGCTTAGATACAGGCCAAGTAGCGAGACAGTCATATCGTTGAGTGGACTGTTTTCGGCGCTGTTGTTCACGGCTATGATAAATGCCACCAAACTTGGCCACAGCTGTCTCTGCCAACTTCTGGCCGCTTCGTCGCTTTTAGGATCATGATTTCTGGCAAGCAACCGCGCCAATACCATCCCAGTGTACAAAACCCACGATCGCAAACTCCAAGTAACCAGTTTTGTCCTTGCGGTAGGCGAGAAAGGCAATACTTTGCGCCCCGAAAGGACATTGATGTTGTCTGCAAGGTAAAATGAGAGCATGAACAGCAACTGGGCAAAGGCAGTCGAAGCATCAATAAAGCTGCGGGCAGTTCCCGGTTCCGAGCCCTGGTCATACCGCAGCGTCACTTGTTCTTGAATGAGCCTTTTAATAGACTGATAAACCCCCAACGAGCCCCGGAGCCTCAGAATGGCGCGAACCTGGGCAAGAAGAGACAGCATCTCCTTCGAGCTATCTTCGAGCCGAAAAATCCACTTGACAAGGTGCTTATTTGACTGCGTTGCATGCCCGAGACGAGCTTGAGTTGGAGTCAATGGCCAAGCAATAGCGGTCTCTTTCAGATTTTGAAGTAAATTCTTGGATACTCGTAGCGAGAAAAATACGAAAAGTAGCAAAACATCATTGCCCGCAGAGGTCCTGATGCACTGATAAATCCTAGCAATGCCACGGTCAAGATGGGCGCAATAGGTGGAGAGTTGAGTCTTGGGTGTTGATGAGCGAGAATCCTCAGGTTGATTAGAACCTCCAACATGGACGCAACTACTAGGAGGTTCGGGGGGTTGGTCTAGGTTTAATCTTGAGTTCATTTCTGTCGATTTGTTGTCCTTGTGTGTTCATGAGAGCACTGGGCGAAATTTGGCTGGCCTTCAATGATGAAATCGACTTCTAAAAGATAGAAATTGGGCTCTCTCGCTCACTTCTGGAGGAACTAGTCTGGTAATCATAGAAGTTGCTCATTTGCTCCACATCCAAAACTTAGTGAAGATTCACAAACACGACCAGAGATGACGTGACAGGGCAGCATGTCCTAATCCTACGGGTGGAGTTGAACCTGGTCGAACCATGGTGAGCCTAAAAATGCCATTTCAACTGACTGATAGTTTACAAGACGTAAGTCGACATTAAAGATAATTGGTTCAGCTGTCGGTCACTGAATTTGTACCTTGGACGCTGGCGTTGATACAAAGAGACCTGAGTGTCAAGCGCCATGTCACAAGGCGAGCTATTATCCTTGACTCAATCGACGAATTTATTCGCCATTAAATGTAGAGAATTGCTCGCCAAGGCTATTGAAATTAAAGAACCATGTTTACAACAGGATGCTCTATGTTAACATTTAAGGATAAAAGATAGAGCTGTTTAATAAGTACATGTAGGTTGCGCCTGAATTCAACATGGATTTACAGCCATCGTTTTCTTGACAGCAGCTAAGACATCCGATACGTTTAGGGCCTGATGAACTCCATTTCTAAAACCAGCTTCTATGTGCAAAAATTTAAACTCCCGACGAGGCTGAGAAACGTTTGTTGTTAGCAAACCGGTTCCAGTGCATCTGTCGCAGAGGAGAAACGGTTACGGGATTTCGATAAACTTGCACCAATGCGCAACGCTGTCAATATTCTAACCCCAGCGATTCTTAGATTTGCCACACAACATTTTCCATATTATCATCGCCAAATGCTGCCAGAACAGGTGCTCAGCAACTGCAGAAATCTGTCAGCTGCCGAGACCCACGCTGACAGACAAGGGTGGTGCCGAAGAGCCGAGTACACATGCTCGGCATCAAGAATGCGGCGATAACACAGAATTGATTCCGTCGATGTATCTGTCCTGATGCGCGGTCTCTCGCGAAGAGATTAATTTGAAGGGACAATATCCGATGAAAGAAACGACCTCGGAGAGCGCAAAGCTTATCGATAAACCCCAGCGAACTGCAGAGGCGCTAATTCGCCACTAAACACACTGAAGAACTGGTGATGAGCGCGAGGCCCACCAAAGAGCAGCCCGTAAAGAATCGTCTGTAGGCTTGGCGGGGTTAGGACATAGCTCGCCCTCCAAAAAAACGCGAGGCGCTCGCTCTCCAATCTCTAATCCCCATGATGCCTCGCGCACTGGAAACGCGAGCTGCAGGTCCGTCGTGCTTCGTCACCTGGAGATAACGAGAATGTCTACAGACTACATCATGTCGTCGAGTATATAGTCCCAAATGCATCGCAAGTCTTGGCCATCTTCCCACCCACCAGACTCCAATACAATCAAAGTTCAAGTTACAGTGACCATCTCTCAATATCAGCCAATTCCCCTCAAACAGGCAATAATCACTTTGTATCCCTCTCATAATCAGACATCGCAACAATGGCCCCCGTCTTCTTCATCACCGGTGCATCCAGCGGCCTTGGCTTGGTCCTCACTCTCCGCGCCCTCAGCGCCGGGAACCGAGTCATCGCGGCCATGCGCAATCCCACTCGCGCCGCCGAGGCCAAGAGCAAGATCGAGGCGGCCGGCGGACAAGTCTTCGCCCTCGATGTGACCGACTCCCAGGACATCATCACCCAGAAATTCAAGGCCGCCGAGGCCATCTACGGCCAGATCGACGTGCTCATCAACTGCGCCGGCTACGGCATCCTGGGCCCCGTAGAGCGCTTCACAGAGAACGAGGTGCAGCAGCTGTTCCGCACCAACGTCTACGGCCCCCTCTACCTCATCCAGGCTGCCCTGCCGTCCATGCGCACCCGACGAGCCGGCACAATCATCAACATCAGCAGCATGGGCGGTGCCGACGGCAGCCCCGCCAACGGCCTCTACGCGTCGACCAAGTTCGCCCTCGAGGGTCTCTCCGAGTCGCTCTCCAAGGAGGTGGCCGAGTTTGGCATCTCAGTCCTCATCGTAGAGCCTGGGGCCTTCCGCACGGGTTTCCTCTCAGCGCTGGTGGAGAACGAGACGGGCTTCGGCGACGAGTACGCCAACAACGTGTCGGCAAAGGTGCTGAACATGATGAAGGGCCTGAACGGCAAGCAGCCGGGCGACCCAGAGAAGGCGGCGGACCGGATGATTGAGTATGCGACGGGCGCGGGAAAGGGAGGCGAGCTGAGGGGCAAGGTGTTGCGGATGGTGCTTGGCGGCGACGCCTTTCCCAGGATCCAGGCCAAGATCGAGAAGCAGCAGCAGGATATGGAGCTCGGCAAGGAGGTGGCATACAGCACAAACTTGTGATAGGAGTATCAGAATATAAGTGACACGGGGTGAAGGCGGTACATATCAGTAACGAGCATCTTTTATTTAAGCAACGCAAGATAGCAAATCAATACTTTGGCTTCCATTAACACGCGTGGGGTGCCTTCACAAGCCAATGATTCAGTGGGTTCTAGTTCAATTCTAGCTACCCGTGATGCCTGAAGTAGGCTTAAAATTAAAGCTGCGGCATGTGCCTGTCTGGTGTTTCTCGGCTATGGCTGCGATGGCTCGGCAACGGGTGTCCGGAATCGGCCCCGGACCAAGATGCTGGTGGAGAGGCTCGTCTGAGAAAGAGACAAAGGCCGCTTTACGAGACGCCTCTTAAGCTTGTTATTACGTGCTATCATCTCGCTTTGGTCCCGCTCCCCCATATTATTTACGTTGCACAGCAAGATGGGGAGTCATATCCCCCACGCGCCGTTCGGTGATTATCCGACCAGTGACCTATTTGAAGGAGGGGCAGCCCGAGTTGAATTCGGAGGGATCATCCAGCAGTAGCCCATCGTTCACAAGGCAAGACACACATCATCGCAAACATGCCGCTGCCCACCTCGTCCGTCTACCCTCCGCCCTCGGCCGACTTCTTCAAGTTCGCCTCGCGCCGGAGCGTTGTCCATAGCACTGAGGGCATCGTCGCCTGTTCGCAGCCCCTCGCCGCCAAGTGCGGTATTGAGATCCTTCATGCTGGTGGAAATGCCGCGGTAGGTTCATCTTCTTCTATCTGAATATTTGGGGGTCTGACCATGCTGATATATCGATACAGGACGCCGCTGTGGCTGTCGGTATGTTGCTTTCAAACTGAGTGTGATAGAAATAGGTTCACTAACAAGAAACACCACAGCCGCTGGCCTGAATATCACAGAGCCTGTTTCCACTGGCATCGGCGGCGACGTGTTCCTCCTCTACTGGGATGCCAAGAAGCAGACCGTCCAGGCGATGAACGGCTCCGGCAGGTCTGGGGCCAAGTGCACGCTGGACACCATCCGCAAGGACCTCGGCATCAAGGAAGGCCAGACGGGCAAGATCCCCAGCACCAGTGTCCATGCGGCGACCGTTCCTGGCGCCGCTGCTGGCTGGTACGACGCGCATGAGAAGTTTGGGAGCGGGAAGCTTACCCTGGCTCAGGTGTTGGCTCCTGCGATCAAGCTCGGAGAGGAAGGCTTCCCGGTTTCTGAAGTGGCCAGTTTCTCGGTACGGACACATATCACTCATAAGATATGCAAATGTCTTCTAGTGAAAGAGATTGCTGACCTTCATATCACAGTGGGGCAGACAAGAAGATCTGCTACGAAAGGCGTCGCCCAACTTCGCCGAGATGCTCAAGCGTAACCCTCAAGCACCAGATGGCTACGCGGCACCAAAGCCCGGTGAGATCATGAAGAACCCTACCCTAGCAAAGACCTTCCGAACCCTCGCAGAGGAAGGCAAGGAGGGCTTCTATACTGGCCGCATCGCCGAAGAGCTCGTCAAGGTCGTGCAAGATCTCGGCGGCCATCTCGAGCTCGATGACCTCAAGCACCACCTCGAAAAGAGCAGCGAGCCCGTCGAGCCAATCTCCGTCAAGTTCAGCGGCCAGGGACTCTCCGACGAACGGGGCGTCGAGCTCTGGGAGCACCCGCCCAACGGCCAGGGCATCGTCGCCCTCATGGCCCTCGGCATCATCCAGGAGCTCGAGAAGCAGGGCAAGATCCCCGCCTTCAAGCCCGAGGACTTCAACACGGCGCCCTACCTCCACGCCGTCATCGAGGCGCTCCGGCTCGGCTTCACAGACGCCAGCTGGTACGTCACCGACCCCAACGTCCAAAAGGTCCCCTCCAAGGAGCTCATCTCCCCCGCCTACCTCGCTGAGAGGGCCAAGCTCTTCTCACCCACGCGGGCGTCCGACCCCGTCGAGCACGGCACCCCCACGGACTTCACCTCCCCCGCGCTCCAGAGCTCCGACACCGTCTACTTCGCCGTCACCGACGCCGAGGGCAACGCCGCCTCCTTCATCAACTCCAACTACGGCGGCTTCGGCACCGCCATCATCCCCAAAGGCTGCGGCTTCACCCTCCAGAACCGCGGGTCCAACTTCTCCCTCGACGCGGCGCACCCCAACCGGCTGGAGCCGCGCAAGCGGCCCTACCACACCATCATCCCGGGCATGGCGACCAACCTGGCCGACGGGTCGCTGCACTCGACGTTTGGCGTCATGGGCGGGTTCATGCAGCCACAGGGCCACGTGCAGGTGCTGCTGGGCCAGGTGGTGGCCGGCCTGAGCCCGCAGCAGGCGCTGGACGCGCCGAGGATCTGCATCGGCGCCGGGATGCCCGATGCCGGTGACGTGCTGGACTGGACGGTGAACGTGGAGGAGGGCATCTCGGAGGAGGCGGTGGAGGGGCTGAGGAAGCTGGGACACAAGGTCAAGGTGGTCAAGGGGGTTGGCAGGGAGCTGTTCGGGCGGGGGCAGATCATCAGGTGGACCGTGGACGAGGCGGAGGGCAAGGGGGTTTGGTCTGCTGGCAGTGACATGAGGGCCGATGGAGGAGCATACCCAGCTTAGAGGGAGAATTTCAAAGAAGCGGTGTTTTTTTCATTATTACGAGACATCAGCCTAGTGCCCAAGATTCTCCAGGATTTTTGAACTGATCCCACTCTAGTATTGCAGCGTGTTGTATCATCTTTACAAATATGTATTCGTTAAGAAACGAAGCCCAGCTTCAAGCTTCGTTTTTTGCCCATGATTCGTATCGTACAAAGTTTCCATCAGATCGTATCCGGGGTATGCCCACCTATCCGACATGCACCATCCTCACTGCGAAGGCTTCTCGCCCTCGCCCTCACCCTCGAGGACCACGACCTTCTTCTCCTCGAAGAGCTTCGCCAGGTCACCGCTCTGGTGCATGGACACGAGGATGTCGCACCCGCCGACGAACTCCTTGTCGACGTAGAGCTGGGGGATGGTGGGCCAGTCAGAGTACTCCTTGATGCCAGCGCGCAGCTCGGGGTCCTCAAGGACGTTGAAGGCGGCGAAGGCGTTGGGGTCGACGCCCTGCAGGCCGAGGATCTGGATGGCGGCGCGGGAGAAGCCGCAAGCTGGGGTCTCTGGGGTGCCCTTCATGAAGAGGACGACGGGAGCGGAGGCGACGGCCTTGTCGATGGCGGAGCGAGTCTCGTCGGAGAGGAGGCGGGCCTGGAAGGCGCTCAGGAAGGGCTGTGGCCGGAACGGAGAGGCTGTGGCGGGGAATGAGGCAGCCTTGGTGGTTGCTGGGCGGAGAGCTTGCCGGCGCAGGCCCTGATCGAGGAGGTTAGCTAGCTTCCAGGGTTGGATCGGACTCGAGTGGCGGGAGATTGAATAAACAGGGCGTTTTGGAGAATACATACGGAGACGATTGTGCGTGCGAACATGGCTGGCGACTGATCTGGGGAGGCAGGCAGGCGGGCAGCTTGTGGGAGGTTGATTACCGAGAGAGAGAAAAACCCGACTGAGGGACTGAATGAATAATCAAATCCAGGCCGAGTTCGCGCCCAGTGATGCAATGCGCCACTGGCGGTGGAGTGGCCTCTAGGGAGGACCCGGGGCCAATCCACTACGCTGTTTGGCTGTGCCGTCCACCAATAGCCGAGCACCACTGGTAATACGCCGACTGTGAGAGGGCTGGTTCAACCTCGTCATTGCTTGTCTGATGTTTACACATCACCATATTCAGAATGCGGCGACAACGAGGGTCTAGTTTTGTTCCGTTATGGGATAGGACCACGAACAAGGCCTTTTCGCGCCTCTTCACAGAAACAATGAGCAGATAGCGAAGCGCACTTGGCTCATACCACAGGGCACGTCGCGCCTTCCTTCCACGACAGAGCATGCGACTCGCCGCACCTTCCTCAGGCTCTGCAGTCTCGATGGTACCTCAGGCATCTTCTATTTCCCTTGAGGTGCCTGATGGAAATATCCCATTGGTGAATTACCCGTTCCTCATTTACCTTCTGGACGATTTCAACCGTTGAGCCTCTGGCGCACATTTTGTATTCATTTGGCTCGTCACGATGAGCGGCCATTTTCGTACCACCCGGAAGCGTCTCCAAGGGTACCAAAGCCCAGCATCGCACCCCTCGACGGAGCGGTTCGAAAATGTCACCAGCTTCCGTGATCGTCTTCGTAGCCTCGACGACACCCCAACTCGTCCCCAGAAAAAGCAGCGGGTCGAGCGCCCCGACCCTTTCTTCAATGTGTATGAACAGCTCGGCGCCTGCTTTGCCCTGGAACCGAGTCCTCCTTCTACGACTGCCACTCGTCTCCCTACGCGTATGAAGGAAAAGGCGGCGTCGCCAAGCGACGTTGGATTGGCAAAGCAATTTACCGGTAAGGTGAAGGATGCCGATTTATCTACGAATTGTCGCTTACAAGCGTTCGATTGCAGAGGCCTTTACGCAGGCTGGCGTAGATCTTCATGCTTCCGCTTTGGAAAACCTAGCCCAGGCTCGGAGTCAGGTCATGAAAAAGATGTCTGCCTTCGGAGGGAAAGTATCAAAGACTCTCGACCAGCAACATGCGCTTTACGATAGTATTTCTTGGCCTTTATCCTCGACTCTCTGCTCTAGCGGCCAGATCCCAAAAGCAACAATAGAGAAACATTTGGCGAACCTAGAGCAGCATGTAAAGGCGGCGGAAGAGAAGCTCCAGATCCTCGGGCAGGAATAGGATCGATGTGTCGAGGATGAGAGGGAGTATTGGAGGAAGCTGGAGGAAGGACCCTCAGAGGCAGACCGCGAAATCGAAGAGCAGGAGGAAAGTAAGCTACTGTTCGAGTCTTTCCACAAGGAGGCTCAAGAGATTGGCGACTCCAAAATGAAGCTCGTCGACGGCCTTGAGAACGTAAGTCGAATTTGGACACATCAATTGAACGGTGGTGATCTGACTACTTCTAGAAATACAAAAAACTTATCAAAGCCGAGACGGATCAGATGATGCGACACTTCATGGAGGAGTAATGTGCAATTCAATTTAGCACGGCGCAATGTTTTCTCGGGAAAGATGTCAAAGTTGGGATTCGGCACCCTAACCTACTTTGCAATCTCTGCGATCTACACACATTTGCGATCATACAGTTGTCTAGTACCAAAGGACGGAAATGTGGGCATGCATTCCCATACATCATGTTTCACTTTGTTCCATCTTGACAAATTCTACTAATAATACTTGGGTCTTATCTCTTGACAGTCCAAATCCTCCCTACTTTGATCAAATGACATTCTCCTGAACGCCACCAGATGCAATATCGTTCTTCAAAGTCGCAGATGGGATCGCGCCACTGCGCTTTGTGCTTACTTCTATGTTACATATCTCGAGGAGCATCACTCCTTCTCGGGAATCACGACTCCCCACTCATGCCGAGTTCGTCCGTAGGTGATGTCCGCCAACCACGTCTTGACCTTGTTTGTAATCTCGGCCGGTTGAGCATCAGGGCCCATGGGAATGTTGATATCTTTGCCGCGGTGGTGGATCTGGGACACAGCAGCAATGAAGAACTACATCAAGTCAGACGGTCAATGTTTCTTCAATTGAAAAGACGAGAAGAGCGCGACAATTGGAAGGGTATTTACTTACAGCAGTGCCAGCAGCAAAGGCCTCGAGAATGCGTCCCTCGGAGGACGCCTCCAGGACCTCGGCAATGGAATACTTGCGCTCGGTGATGACGAGCTCATCACTCAGCCGCTCACGGACGAGCTGGAGAACACTTCTCCTCGTCACACCGTCGAGAATCAGCTTGTCATCAAGAGGAGCAGTGATAAGCTCCTTGCGACCATCCTTGGTCTTCCACAAGATGAAGAAGTTGCTAGCACCGGCCTCGGTGCACTCGAGATCCGGGCCATACAGCCAGAGAATCTGGTGATACCCCAGCCGACGGGCCTCCGAGTTGGCCACCAGCGAGGGCCCGTAGTTGGCACCGAGCTTAGCATACCCGAATCCGCCGACCCAGGCTCGAACCATGTCATCCGGCGAGGTGAGCAGGCGCATTCCACCAGGTGGGTTGTCCAGCCGGGGCATGAAGTTGACGATGATGTACATCATCGCCTCTCTCGCCGCGCCCACACCGAGCTGGGGCTGCGTGCCGATGAGGGTAGGGCGGATGTAGAGGAAGCTTCCCGGGCGCTCACGGGGGAGCCACTTGGCCCCGTCGACGGAGAGGAGGCTAGTCATCAGCTTGACGACCTCGTCGGCGTCGAAGTCCGGCAGGGCGATACGGGCGGCAGAGACGCGGAAGCGCGCGGCGTTGCAGTCCGGGCGGAACATGCGGAGGCCGCCGTCGAATCCTCGGTAGACCTTGAGGCCCTCGAAGCACTCGGTGGCGTAGTGGAGGCACGACGCGGTGGGCATGAGGGACAGAGGCCCGTACGGTCTCAGCTCGGGGGCCGACCAGCCCTCGCCTGCCTTCCATGTGGCCGTGATCATGTGGTCGGTGCAGATGGTCTCTGACGAGGCGACGGCAGCGTCGAATTCGGGTACATCCCTTGGCGAGGTGGTGAGGGTGTAAGTGAGCTTGGAGGCATCCAGAGGCGCTGGCTGGTGTCCATTGGCTGCTTTCTGGGCGACGGCTCCGTTGGCCTCCTGGGAGATTGCTGAAGGTGACATGTTGGCAGCGTCAAAACTTTGACTGTGGGATGGGTTGGTTGGCAGTAGGCCGAGGCTGACTACACTACGCCTTGAACGAAGTTTTTTGGGAACAAAGACACCAGTGGGTGGGTTCAAGCTCGGGATGACGCGGCACGGGGTTGATCAGCTCAAGCAGAGGGAGAAAGGGTCTATCTGGGATTCTAGTCTTTTTCTAAAGTCACAGATCGCGAGTAGCGAGGCCAATTGGCGGTGGAGGGCATGGCCAGCGAGCATGGCGCTTTTATACGGCAACATGCGGCCGGTAATCAATATCGCGCCCTACCGCACGAGAATGCCAAAGTCAAAGGGAGTCAAGGGCGGGCGACAATCGGACCAGTGACTAATACAGTCATGAGTCCGAGCACTAGGTTCGTGGGTCACGATAAGGCATGGATATGCCTACTCGCGTTGCCTACTGATCTCCTGAATTGCGATTTGAGAAAACTCGAGTGGCGTGGTGTTTTCCAGCGCGTTGCCCTACCTGTACCGTGATTGTCGATTCGACATCCCGTCAGTTGCCATCCGGTGGTGATCATCGGGTTACTTTGAGTGCTCAGTGGACGGCGTGCCGACTAAGATTTTACTTTCCGGGCAGCCGGTCGGCGCCAAGATCCATGATAACCTTGCCCCTGCATGTTCCCGACTTTCTTTTTCCAGAATCTGGGCTGGGAATAACTCGGCTAGCAACAGGGAGTGGCCGATATCGTTGGTGTGGTCCTAGACTGGGCCTACCCTAGAGATGCCAACCTTCCCATCAAAACAGATAACACTTCTCGCCCATCAGGCCATATTCAACGATTATCAACTTAATTGAGGCTATCAGTTGTCAATTGACAGTAATATATTTCTGCGCTGAAGCAAAGAGGAAATTTTTAAAGGATAAACATTGCTGGGTAAACTCCAAGGCGCTTTTTCCTTTGAAATGAAGTTAAGTCAACAGGTTAAATCTTGTTAATTCGTCAGATCAAACAGGAAAAAAGTGTTTTTTCTTCTTCTTTCTTTTATTGTCACGCGATCATTTAAGGTTATTGGGTGATAGAAAACCAATCATTTCTATTCTGAAGCTTCATTTCAGCCAATTGTAAGATTTTTGCGCGCTATGCGATCGCCAAAGATTAAAAATACGCCAAGGTGGTTATAGACCCGGCGTTCAGCATCATCAATGCTGTAGAAAGCAGGGCTAAGCTGCGGCGAAACTTTTGAGAGAATCAACGAAAGAAAAAATAGTCATCATCTAACTTGGCCTGTTGAAGACCTTCCCCAACCATAGAGTCTCCGACTGGGAGAGTAGCTGCCCGTCATGAGCAAATGCCATTATCGTCTCTCGGCCTCCTTCTTTCGCTGCTCCTCTTCCAGAATCTCCCGCTCCCTGGCTGCGGCTTCGACCCCGGACTTGACTCCCTTGGCTCGCTGACGGGCCTCGTACATGTCTCGGCTCTTCATGATGCGGTGCACGATCTCGCCCGCGTTGACGTGCGCAAAAGAGTGGTTGCCGATCTCTCGATAGATACCCAAGGACTTGGGCCCGGTGTATGGGTCAAAGGTAAGCTGCATAAACGATGTCGGGCCGTGGTAGACGGCAACCGGGGTCCCCGTGGGGAGGGAGGTGAGGAAGTCGACGGTCGGCGTGAATGGGGCGCCAAAGACGACGCCTTGGATGTACTGCTTCGCGGTTAATACCAACCCATTGCGAGGAACGATTGAACGGGATCAGCATGAAAGCTGGCTATGATATGCGCAGAAACTCACCTTGCATTGCAAAACACAGAGACCGCGCTCAAAGATGTTCATGATGGGGTAGTTGACTCCTTTCCACTCGTTGATCACTTCGTCGGAGTGCACACCGACAACGACAAAGGTGGGCGAGTAATCCTTGCCATTGTTGCTGGCCTTGCGGGCGTCGATGGACTCCTGCTCGAACCAGCCATGCTGCCGCGCGTGCTCCTCCTCAGTGACCACCACCTGTCTCAGAAACTCAATGTGGCCACTCGAGAAGAGATCAAAGCCTCCATCCACGTAGATGACCCGCTGGCCGATCTGAGGGCCTCCAGGCTGGACGAGAGGCCCCGGGTGAGCCCTCAGACCTGTGCCGGCGATGATATTCTTGAACTGGTCCTTGCCGTCGGCAGACTGCGACCAAACCCAGACGTCGGCCCCGGGCGCCTTGGCCGTCTCGTCGGTGGCGTACAGCCGCATACGATCCAGCATGGCCTTGCCGTTCGCCTTGCGCTCGTCAGCATCCCCTGCCCCCTCTTCGCCGGCGAGGACGCGGTCGAGGTCGTGGATGAAATGGGTCTTGGTGCAGAGCAGCATGCGGCCGACGAGGTCGGTGGTGGAGATGCCGGGGGAGCGCTTGACGACCTTGAAGCGGCCGGCGGCCTTGACGAAGCGGTAGCAGTCGTTGCCGTCGCTGTCGGAGGTGATGTCGTCGCCGTGGACGACGTACTTGCAGCCGTAGTGGGATATGAACTCGAGGTGGGTGACGTAGGGGGCATTGGCGATGGAGCGGGTGACCCAGCGGCAGGCGTCGGTCGCGGCAATTCTTCCAGGGGGGTTAGCTGAGGCGGAGAGAAGAGGCGGGGAGTTGATGCATACCGCTCGTCGAGTGTCATGACAGTCGGGCCCTTGTTGGCGAGGATGGCCTCGTCAGAGTGAACACCGGCGTAGAGCTCGTCGCCGAGCTGGCGAGCTTGGACGATGGCGCCGGCATGGCCTGGGAGAAGCGCAGAGTTAGATCAAGGAGGCGGTAGGGGTGGTGCTCGTGGATTGGCTAGAGAGCGGCAACCGAGAGCAGGAGAGGCGATGCGAGACATACCGTGATGGAAGAAGTCAAAGCACCCGTCGACCCAGATGCGGCCCTCGAGAAGTTCTGGCGCGGGGTCGCCCTGAAGCTGCCCCTCCTCCGATGAAGTCATAGTAGCTGGAGCTTTTTGTTGAGGGCACTTGAGGGGGTCAGATGGAGATGCGCAAGCTCAACGGCCGGGAAGAGGACTTGGTGGCGACGGAGCAGGCGATGTGAAAGTTGGTGAATGGATTGACACTGCAATTTCTTCACCCAATGGTACACAAACCCATCCCTCGTGGGCATTTACTGGCATCACACAGCTGCCGCTCCATTGGAGACGGACGCGCAACAGTGAGTGGACTGTTGGGGAAGTTGGAGGGGCACCGCCGCTACTGCAGCCCGCCGGTTCCAGCGGCAGTGACACCTGGAATGGCGACTTTTAGGGCTGATTCAGGGCAATCTCCAGCACTCAAGGCGGTAGGGGTCTGGCAGGTGGCGACATCAAGTCAACCCAACCCAATGGCAGCCGGCTCCAGTCTGCAGGTGAATGGCGTGAATCAAAAAGAAATGACTTCAGAGATCGATGCCGAGAAAAAGAACCCGAAACATCGGCAGGACCCATGGCACATATTGGTGCGATTGGGGCGAGAATCCGCGAATGAAATACTCCCTCGAACCAAATGCCTGCAGCACGGTATGTTCCGTGACTGTTAGTATGTACACTGCCTGGCACACAGTCAAGGTACGATGTCAAGTATCTCATAACATGGTGGCCCCAGCATCCTTCCACTCAGCAATCCACGCGCCGCCAACGTTTTCTCCAACACACCGCTCAATCAAAGAGGCTTTGTGTTGGTGTAACCAAGGCCGGCCATGATTCGGTCCCGGACGGCAAAAAAAGGCGTGTTTTACATCGTTCCTGGGTAGCAGGGCTGGCCAATTGAGCCTTGCCTACACTACCCCAACACGCGACCAAAGTACTATCGAAAGTTGCCATGGCGGAGTCTTTGGGGACTTTGGTAAGCGCCTGGCGAAAGGAACAGAAACCTTCTTGGACAGGGACCGGGCCATCATCTCATGGAAGTGGACGGGACCGAGAAACAGGCGATGTGCGACAGGGTTTGTGAACAAGGCCTCAGCGGAACTGTACACTTTCCAAAGAAAAGACTATTCTATACTACTGTAATATGTTTCGACGATTCCGAATACAAGCCAGTCAATAATCAAGCTGCAATTATAGGTCCTATGGCCCATAATTATCGTTGATCCGGCATGTGTAGTTGCCGACTACCATCCCTGCCTCTCTCTCTCTTGGCACAGAATGATAGTAGCATAGGCAGGTAGTAAGCCATCCCTCATCGAAAAGACCAAATGGGTTCCTGCCGAAAGGACGGAATATGGTAATATATGCAATAGAGCGCTGGCCTGAGGGCGGAGTTGGCCTGTACATGGTGGCATCATCCTCAAGATCTCGGCATTGGTTGTAACGTGTAGGAGATGGATGATATGCAGCCTGGAAACAATCCTACCCTACCCTCGTTACTAGGATCGGCACCGTCCCCCTTCTGATACGAGCATCAGGGATTATTTGTTGATGCCTAAATGGCGACATCAACTCCATATTACATCGGTGAATTCCCGATACGGTTGATAATGCAGATGCATTTGTGTTATTCAACCATTGACACCAACTAACCGACAAGACTAGCCGTTATGTACCAATTGACGAATTATGTAGTTTGGCTTTGGTCTGTATTAATTTTCTATGATCCGAATTCCTTCTATAGTCGGAAGAGTCCTAATGCAGGCGAGTGGCTGGACAAGTCGCAAGTAAACCCGCCGTTTGGCCTCCCAACCATTTCAACATCAAAGACATCTTGTGGGAGCACCCAGAAGCCTGCAGCCGATGCTTTCCCCTGTGATTGCTCTTCACGCTTAATTAATCTCAGGAGGGACTCCCTCTCCCTCTCTAGATATCGGTCCATGGACTTTGTGTCCCGTATCACCCGCGCCTGGCAGATGTCGTGACCTTTTGTCATGCAAACCTCATGCTCTTCCGTAGCGTCCACGGCAAGGATGAACGATACTTCTCTCCGTAGCGTCGAGGAACTGTAGGAATCGTCCGAAAATCCACAGAACCTCCTCTCCATTTTCATCCAGCGGTGCATTGGAAGCCGGGGATCTGCACCGGAGAACTTGATCGTTTTTAGATCCGTCTGGACGGAGCGGGGATCGGCGGAGAAGAACTCGAACATGGAGCTCTCCGAGAAGATGGGCACGCTATGGTTGATCCCGGTCTCAACATCACCCGTCATGTAGGAACTCCGCGTCCTTTTACGATTTGTATCTTCAAGGAGATAGACGAACCAGAGCTGACGTAGATTAATGAGAGTCTCGAGAAACGAGGCAACCTCGACCCGTTGTAGGTTGTCCGGCTTCACTGAGCGCAGCAACCCTAGATTCTCCTGGAAGTGGCTGTTGAGAGCCAGGTTCCGCAGACCGATCTTCCGCTCATCATACGCCCTCAGATCATGAAGGAAGCCCACCAGGGTCGACCCGCACACCTTGAAGGCCTGCAGATAGAGGATATCGCACTCCGGGTTCAGATAGAGCAGTGGGCCTGAACGCTTCCCAGTCCCGGCGCGCAACGGGATGTGGAGTCGGTAATGCCGAAGGGTGGCCTGCCTCGACTCCCGGTTTACCCTCAGCAGGGGGCTGAAGTACGCTCGCTGATGCAGCATTATGCGATACTTGATGCCGCTGACCGAGTTGCCGAGATGGTTCAGGTTCTGATATAGGCTTGACTCGAGCGACTCCCTGGTGGCTTTGCACTTGAACCTGTAGTCGTCTTTGAGAGTCACGGTGATGAGCTGGCGGCGCTTCTGGGGATGCTCCATCTCCAAGATCCGGAGCCGCAGCTCGGCGGGGAGGCATGGGAACTTGTGGAATGTGTCTAGACGCTTTGGTGAGGACGGTGCCTTGCAGGAGGTGCCGGCCGCGGGAGCAAAGTAGGCCGCGTTCAGAGTGTCGAACCGAGGTTTGTAGGCTTCCGATCCCATCGTCATCACAGTATCGAGCTGGTTGACTGGTGATGGGGGGGAAGAGAAGGAATAAGTGAGGCGAGCGTGTGGTCTTGATTCAACACTTACTCTGTACATGTTATGCCTTTCCAGTTTCTCCACACATAAGCATCCAGACTGAAATTCAAGTCCCGCCCCAGCGGCCAACGTTGCATGTACGAGCAGCTGCGGGAAGCATGGAGGATGACCGGAAATCGAGCCAACGCTCGGCCAGGCAATATAAACCGTGATTGACGTAGATCGAATCCCGCCACGATCCAATCCATCCTGGCTGAGACGCCGGGCGTGGCGCCTCACGTAATCCGGCCGGTCTCTGGTGGACATGGCAGAGCAAGCATCGCATCCTTCTAGGCCCAAACTGGGATGGGATATCTCACGCGGCGTAGCTCTCGGACGCCGTGCTGGACTACCACCCACTTTACCTCAAACACAGGGCCCGGCCGTTTCAGTGTGTTCCAGAAGACTCAGCTGCCGGGGGGGGAACAGTCTGGTGGCCACACCACACGGAACTGGGAGATGGCTTCGATTTGCCCGCGACAGATGCCAAGCCCTGAAGGCACGGCTCGCGCATTAGGGCTGGCTGATTGGCCGGTTTGCGGCAGAGGAACGACATGCAGTTCATTTATTATCCATCTACCCAGGCTCCTTTGTGTCCAATGTTTGTCGCGTCGCAGTATTCAGCCAAACTGGGATGCCGCCGAGTTTGCACATGGCCGGGAACCACCCACAAACAACTCACCTGCCGCATAACCAAAAAGGCATTTTGGCCCGTTGCAGTATGTTGCTAGCAATGGCGCTAATAATTATGATGGGTTCACCGTGTTGACTTTCAATTCTGGAGGACCCGTTATAGTAAGTAACTCGGGATATAACAAGACCAAAACCAAACCGGTAAGATGCCGAGATCAATCTCAAAGTCCTTTTTTGGTTTGGGCTGGCTGGAAGCCCATTTTCCCTTGTAGTTTCTTTTACGCTGATAAGTCCAAAACTCACTGCCTAATTTCTAGTGTCGCCCCAGCTTTCCGAGACAGGAAGATGCCGACGCGCGCATTCGGGCAACTTCAATGTCGTTCTTATTTATCAGAAAATGCTCCCGTCGCTCAACATCTCTCCACTAGCTTGGTGTCCGTTCTAGCTTCTGGAGAAGTGGGCATACAACAAGGGCGTGTAGGAGGGCGATGCGGCTGTAAAATTGTGTAGTCATTTCCCGGGAAACAGTCATCTCCTATTTCTATATCAGGTCTGGGTAGTCTACTGTTGCTGATTCTATCAGTAGTAAGCTCTCAGCTGAACTGCAACGCAGCCATGCACAAGCCTACCCAGGGTCGCGCAAGGTGAATTGATGATCCATGATCCAATGGTGTTTATTACAAACAACACCTTTCTCCATGCTAGCAGCAGCAGGGCCAAGAAATCGGGAATCTCGGACGGTCATCGGCCACAGCCTTGTTGGTCCCAACTCTAAAAGGAAATGCCCGGCCAGGCGACTGAGCACCATGCCGTGCCATCCATGACCAGCCACGTCCATAGATATTTAAGCACCCATGGACTGATGCAAGACCTTGGCAAAAGCTATTAAGTTTCAAAAGCAAACTTTTTATGAAGCACTAAATCCTAAAATCAACAAACTATTCTAGGGCTATGTGAGATCACAGTTGATCGAGTTCTAATAAGAACAGGCGGATTGTGTATACAGGCCTTTCGTTCAACATATATTAGTCAAAAGGTCTCGCTAACATGATGAATTTTTTTGCATGGGATTTCAAATGATTCACTAGAGCATCGCAATCAATGGCGGCATTGGTATTCAGATTGAGCTGGTTGACAATTAACGGGCATGATTATTGCAATGAGAGAGTGCTAATCAATGGGTTTCTTTTCCTCAATGATTTTATCGTTCTTAGCTATAGACATTGGGACACCGTCTTTTTTGGTAGACGGCAGTTGTCATGTGCATTAACTCACTGACGTTATGTGAGACGGGTTAACAGTATGGGTTCGTTTTGGCTGCATAAACTAGCTAGCGCAACAATGCTATGGTGGAAGGAGTATCGTTTCATGGTTTCGAATTCATTTTGGAAACCGATTATTTGCAACATTTTTTTTTGTATTTTGATAAGTATACAAGTAGGTAATTGCTGGACATGCCACCCTTTAGAGCAAGGCAAAGATCTGGAGACAATCGGTACCATATACGTATATTAGACTTAAGCAACTGTAAACCCTTGTCAATCACAGTATCGAAGGAGTCTGCGAAAATTAGGAGCTGTGCCGCGCGTAAGAAGCTATCATACTTCTTCTGCAGGTTACAGAAACAGATCATACCAGCAACCTCGCCATGGGCAAGAATATCCTCCTCAGAAACACTTTAAAAACACAGTTCCGCACGCTCTAAGACGGATCTTAGGTGCAGATAAGATGGCGGGGTTACTGGAGGCGAAACCGCCTTGTTCAAACTTGATACATGTAACTCCGTAGCTGGGTAGCTTCTCTGGGATGAGTAGAAGTAAAGCTTTGATACCGGATGTAGTGGCAAGAAGAAACAAAAGTAGAAACGACCTTCAATATTAAAAGGCTAGCGACTTAGCAAGAAATGGCCTTGTAGGGAGGAGCTTAAAAGGACTTTAACTTCATTTTTGGGTCAACTGCGAGATCGCTTGACGAAGGGGTTGTTGGTCAACCCCGATACCCGTCACCTTGGCGAAGAGATCCTCATCCTTTTCTTCGATCTCCTCACGGTTGGACATATTCTTTGTCTGGATCAGTACCACATCCTTTTGAGGACGGGATGTTTGTATATCGTTATGTCGAAAGTTCAAGCCGGTTTGAACCATCAGTCCCACTTCACGGGAAGGCATTCCGCTGCGAGCGACTGAACTGTTAATATCAGTGGCAGCACGTAAATAAGCGAGTCGTCGATGAAGTGTTCCTGTCCAACTTGCGGTGCTTCGATACCACTGACCGTCTATGGGATACGGAATGCCGGCTATAGGAAGCGAAGCTCCTCCTTCAGGTCTCCGATATACTCGGTAAATTTCTCCTTGGCAGAGTCGACCATACCCGGGTAGATGCAGTCCATAAACCAAAGGTCGACTTTATTCTTTTCATCAGTACGGCGGACGACCTTGTGTTGTGTTGGCTGTGTGACGCCCTTGAATGCCCATTTCTTGAGTTCGGTCGCAGCCGTCTGTTGGTCTTTCTTGGTCATGTATCTCGCACATTCGTGATATGCCCGAATACTCGCTTTAGCGATCCTAAGTTGGTCTGCGTTGAGATTTGCCCCGAAATCCGCCAGGCCAAAGCCCTCCAGTTTGATATCTTGCTGCATATCATCGTGGGTCAATGCAACCATATTTCCGGGTTGGATGATGGGCACTCCTGTTCTAACCAGGATGATTTTGTTGTCAGGGAGGTCGTCCAGCAACAGCAACACAGCGGCAGACTAATGAAAGAGAGAATGAGGAAGAGACCTCGACAATTGACATTGGAAAAGAAAGGATGTGACGAAGATGTTGCCACGGAGATTTGATGTTTTGAATGGGTTGTTATGAAGCTTGCGATGGTTCATTATACGGAGGCAGACGATGAAGACGCGGTAAAGATATTTTAGGAAGGAGAGGTAGGAACTAAAAGAAAAGAAAGACTAGGAAAAACAGAGAGGAAAGGTAAAGGAAACCAACTGCATTTATGAGTACTTGCCGGACGCTCCTCCTCCACTGACCAATTGGGCTCTTACCAACCTACGAGGCACAAGGCGCAGGGCAAATAGCGCAGCAACCATTACAGGCCATTTCACTGGGCATTGTTCTTGGAGATGATCAATGGTTCATCCCCAATTGCCATCGGGAAGCAGAACTCTTTGAGCACTTCCGTACTGGGCATGTTGAGGCTGGAAATGCTATTCTAAAGGAGAATGAATGGGCCGGGAAGTTTGACATGGAGGATTTTATGGACGGCACGCCTACCTCTACTGAGACCATCTTCTCAACACCAGCTTGCTTGGAGTATCGCAGCATTCCACTGGAAGATCAAGACAGAAGGATTTATAACTCCAGTACACGGCCCAGATGTTCTCACACTTCAAGCCAATCCGCGCCTATGACAAGGTTTCTGTCAGCATCGATGTGGGTTGGCTTGGATCCACAAAAGACCGCCGTAGTCCCCCTTCAGCTCCAGTCTTGCCATTCTCTTGTAAGAAAGTTGCGCCCGGGGTGGTACTCTAATAGCGTCTTCCCTAAAGCCTGGATTTGGTGTTGTCTCTTCATAGAGGAAGGAATCTAACCATTTATGGTACTTGGTTGGGATTATAATAATGAGTAACCCATGCTTTGGATAGTATCGCTTGAACCGATACTTTTGGTTGCTGGATTCTCGAAATTCCTACATGGCAGTAAAATTCTCTAGAGATACATCCACCACATCGCTTCATCACATCACCTCCTCCACCCATATCAGCAGCAACAATACAAGCAGACGAAATATGGCAGGAGGATCACCCCCGCTGAACCCGCCGCCCGCTGTCGCTCATGAGCTCGACAGTACCCTCAGATCTATAAATTAGCTTGTTAGTTTAGATTGTGAAATTTACCTTCAACATAGAGGATATCATCTGGTGTTTGATGAATTTGTGGTGATCCTCGAGCGAATCCCCCCTCGACCTCAGCAGTTTGTCCTTCTCGTCCGCGTCCGCCTCGCGGCAGTTGCCTGCTCGGCTTCCTTGGCTGTCATCGGTCTGTTTGTCCGCAACTGGGCGTTTATTTTTCTGAAAGGAGACTGGCTAATGAATTCGCCTTGAAGAGGCGGATGTTCCTGAAATCTAGGGATATCATGATCCCTTTGCGGTAGATTCCGAAGTTCATCTCAGCCTGCGCTCCATCAGGCGCCGTGTTCGCATCTCTCACCAAGGCCTGTTGGTTCATAATCCGGAGGTTGCGTACCATATGGCGACGTAATTCTGATGTGTGTCGTCGTGAAGATGACAACAGACGTCATAGACGTCTTCTTCTTGCTGTACTTCGTATTGCTGTTTCTTTTGCTGTTGCTGGTTTTTCTGGTTGTGCCGGTGTAGCTTCTGATGGTGTTGGGCTTTTGGTGATACTGGGCTTTTGGTGGTGGTGGTGATGTAGTTCGTATGGTTTTCATTATCATGGCCATTGCTATTCTTATTTTTAATTGTTATTGTTCTTGTTGATTGTTGATTGAGGGAGATAAGGCTTGATTATTTGCCATTGTAGTTAACTTCCACGGTAGAGATTAAGAATCGTGCTCATAATCAAGAAATATGATCGTGGGGTACTAATGTGCCTGGGTTTCTCGCTCCCGGTGTTTTCTTCGTTGGCTCAATAAATTTCAACACTATTGGCTCTGCTTCCTTGAAGCGTTGTTGTTGATTTTTTCTTTTTTACAAATGCACTGGATTTGTGCGTAAAAGGGGGGGACCTCATTGGCGTACCCAATGGGTTGACACTGGTATTCACGAGATTCATGACAAGATTTTGGAGAGTCTTGACGAAACGTATGGGTACCCAGTGATGGAAGAAATTGCTGGTGGTAGTACGCATTAAGACTCTGCCTCCTCTATAGAAGAGAAAGAATATATTTATTGTCTATTGTTGCTGCTGTTATTATTGTGAAGAGATCAGACAGACAAGACATGATCCGAAAAACAGATAAAAGCCGTCTTGTATCATATTTTAAACAATCTAGCATAGCTAGTCGTCCAACAAAAGGCTTATAAATAATCTAGGGTTAGCAATCTCAACCGAAATTTTGATTCTGGTTACTATTTCTTCTAAAGTAATTAGAAAGATTCATAAGCTCACTACAGTCTCATGCACGCAGCTGCTCCAATCCTAAGCTCTTGGGTACCCTACTCATTCCTTGGCTTAAGAGGCTTCTCAAAATCATGGCCAACCTCTCCAACAAGTCTACAAGTCTAAGAAACTAATTCTCCCCGATATACCTCCCACGGGTTCCACAGTAACATCTAGTTTTACGTATGTCTTAAGGCTCAATGTTACTGTTATTGTCTCTAACCAATAGTTGCAGGTCGTTCGAAAAATAGTATTGAGATAAGTCCACCAGATGTATCGTGCTCGTGGCCGAAAGTTGGTCCGAAAAACTAGCTTTCGACTATCTAGGTTGGTACATGTAGTTTTCAGTGTCCAAATAGGAGACACCGGCCAATTTCAAGCGTAAGCGAAGAAAGACATATATATATATATGCGTGTCTTTACCTGGGTTATGAAGATGTGCGTTTGATTAAAATTGGATTATGGAGCTCCCATCTAATCGAGTAGCTACTGTTCTGAGTGTAGACACAGTCCTTTAAATTAAATAAATAGCCTCAGTCTTGTTATACGGGCTCTTTGCCATTGAACAAAATGGCGCCCACATTACATCTAGTGATCGTAAAGGGGGGAAGAATATTCAATGTCATGACTCAATGGTCTGAAACTTTGGAATAGGATGGATGATGCATTCGGAGGCGTAAGCTGCTAATGCCCCATAGGTAGCGATATCCGAGTGCTACGAAATGTCTTCAAAAAAAAAAAAATGCTTTTCAGGCAAATATGGGGAAAACGTACGAGAGTTGCCGTAGGGTCCGTTTCTGAGGTGCGATGTCCCTCTATCTCGTTGTCACGTCCAGCCCACAGTTCTCAATCAACACCACTCTAATGGCGTTAGCTCTACATAAGGTTAAATTCAAATACTATCTAGGCGTCTTGCATAGCTAGTCCGATGTCATCAGTGACAAGTCCTGTCTTAATAAATACAGAGTGCTTAGTTGTCCAATTCTGGAGACCACCAGTATCACGGCTAGAAACATACCATTGACTGGGAGTGTTGCATTAAATTTCTCTTTCAGCTTACCTTGTGATTGATAATCACATGCAATTGCGAGCTCGATGCGAATGCAGTGTGACTGGCCGGAGCCGTATACCAAGGTAGACAGTTTGTTCCTCTTAGACCTACCAGCGGTGGTGGATCGCCATTGCTGGCAGACCATGAGTGATTCTCATCTCCGATAAGACCAGGCCTGCCAACGTAACGCGGGGTAGCCTGGTTGTTCTGCAAAGTGATGGGTCGTGTAGTGTGCTGTGGACATGGCCACGGTGCTGTGAAAGGTCGACGCTCCAGTGATGCGAACCGGCTTCATCGGTCCAAAGTCTGGCCGAGACTTTCGGTTGCATGAGCGGACACGAAGTTAGGAAACTGCCTTGCGACATAGGAGCCTCTTTAGGAATGATGGCCGTGGATAGGTTACATTAGTGACTCACCCCATGTCGACAGCCAGCTGATTCCGGCACGATGGTGGGATCACAGCTCCGCACCTCTGCCGGACCGACGTGTCATATCGGTATTACTGATCTCCGGCCAAGGTTCTCAATAACATGGCTAAATAGAAAGGAAAAGTGGCGGTAGCGGAGAAATTAAATCATATATATCTCCTCGTCGGAGGCCAGCGCGCCGTTTTGTCCGGCCAATGCGTAGTTGTTGGTCGGCAAACCGACTATCCTTGCCCTGATAATCCAGGCCTCGCTTACCCCAGGGAAGAGGAGGGGCTGCTTTGATACTCGATGGGGATTCCGTATGCCTGCATGCTTTCCGTTGAGTGGATCTCACATGTCATCTCAATGTATACTACATAAAGCTCGTAAATTTAAACAGGATTTATCTTGCTAACCGAGAGTCCCCCTTTTTGAGCCCGGGCAGAGAGGCTCGACAGACGCAAGCGTAGTAGAAGCTTGGACATGAAGCTAACCACCTGGATGCTGCAGTTCACAGATGCCGAAAACGTGACCTTTCCCGAAAACAAAGACCCCTGGCTTTCGTTTCCTTGACTGAATGGGCTCACACTCAACCTACCTTTCAAGCTGTCGTTGTGTTGTGCTTGTATTTGGTCACTGAGGCTCATATTCGCTTCTACAAGGAGGTAGAGCAAGCATTTACATAGGAACAACGAAATTTAACAAGGCATAGGCCATAATCATACAATGCATATATTTAGTTTTTCTTTCCATTTTCTCCTTTTTTTCATAATTATAGAGTACAGTAACTTAATCAATACATTTTTCATGTCTTTGGTGGTACCGGGGGCCCGGAAGCATTTCGCGGCCGTGGCGATAATCCCTGGTACTGATACCTATCTGTTTCTTCGTTCGTATATTGGGACTCTCCGTCTCGCTCGGCATCTAAGCTCGGCGTGTCCCTCGCAGGTGTGTCCCACCAGTCATGGGAGCTATGTGTTGGTCTCCGGGGGGTTTCCGGAGTCTGTATTGGAAGGGAAGATATTCGAAAGCTGCTTTTCTTGTCGGATATTGTATTTCTATTGGATAAATCGTTTAATTGAACCCCGTTCTTATCACGAGGAAGGATGTTGGCCCGGTCATCAAAGCCTGGGTTTGGCTTGTTGGGGCGAAGACTAAGCCGGATTGTGCTGCGGCGGCCTGATGTTGATGAATTGAATGTTTTCGATCTTATGGATGATTGAAATTCCTGTAAAATTGGGCGGAGAACTGGTATGCACTGGACAATGATCGTTCCGGTAATTTCAGATGAATACCTGTTTCGGTGGTCAGTCAAAATAATTCGTGAATCTTGCCATGGCCAAGAATTGGAGAAGTAACTACATACCAGACCTGTGACAGACCATTTCGGACTGAAATTCAATGTTAGTATCCATAAGTTTGAGAAAGTTGGGCGTGGATAGTCTGGAGGTTTATCAGACTTACACATGTAGTACGCATCGCGGTCATTTCCATCGTCTTTCCAACCCACACGGATAGCGGAAACAACTGCTACACTATTTCCCAGATCATATAAGTCATTTGGTCTAGGAGTAGTTGCGTAAAGGGAGATGCTTACATTATTCCAAGACTCATTGTGAGGCAGAGACCAATCTTCTCTACCCGGCGCATCTCCAATTTTCGGACGATCAGCCAGGGGAAGCAGGCAAATACGAAGTCCATAACGATATTGTAAACTGGTAAGAAAGATGAGTTAATCAATGGATCCTCTCTAAATTGCCTGTTATCCTTTGCGAATTAGCAGATAGAGACTTACTGTTTCCGCCTTCCTTGAAGTCATCGCGGAACTTGGACCCGACACAAAAGTCTAACCGATACCAATTGTCGTAGCTAGGTTTCCCGCAGACCTTGGCCCATTGCACAATAACCTTGGCGATCATCCATGCGTTCATTGTGGCAATACAAAACCACAAGAACCAGTTTTGGTAACGGTTGCCCATTCGCAGCAGCGTCACCGCAAATGCCGTCTTCGTGAGTGCCTGCCCTATCAGGGTGCCGCAGGATGAGATGTTGATGAGGATATGCATTCGGTCGTCCCATTTCATAGTCGAGTCCTCCAATACATAGCCGTTGTCAAACTGGTACACAATCAATGCGTTATTGGCAAGGAGGAGGAACTAAATGGTGACAGACAATTAGCGGCAATGATCGGACAAGGATGAATCCCATCAGGAGCGAAAACAATGATGGCCGATCCTCGGAGGATGAAGCACATACCCAGCATCCAACCAAGATCCAATCGTCGTACCACAACCTGTAGTTTCGATAACCGCACTTAACCCATATCCGTAGCCCTAGGAAGCCTGTTGCACCAAGAAATAACGACCAGAGGCCAGCATTCAGCTCTGTGTAAGGCGACACAAACCCGTGAACGGGTTCGTCCTCGGCGCGTAGCTCCATGGCCACAGAACGAACTGGGGACGTCGAGAGTAGCGAGCGCAAGAGGCCAGTGTCGAATCAACCGACTAGCTCTAGGACCGTTGGAGGCGAAGATGATCGACGAAAGGAGAATTTATCGAAGAGAAATATGCACTGGCAGACGGAGGACATGGCAGAGCTGTCACGGGAGGGGGGAAATTGGGCCATATCATATACCACCCTAATCTTCTGCCATGCAGGTTCCCAGGTTATTGAAACGTTTGACCATGCGACTAAACGATCTGCACGCGTATCACCCCTTGCGAAACATTTCTCCCTGCCGCCGAGCTCGAGGAGAGCGTGGTACCCCCGCCGTATGCAAGCCACAGCTGGGTTCTGGCGCCAGAGGGTCGGGCCTAGCTGCGAAGAACAACGGTTTCCCCAGATGGGAGTCTCTTCCGTTTACTGTGACACCCTTGACTTCATGCAACACGACACATGGGGCCATGGCGAAGCCCGGACAAGGGCTTCCAAACAGTAGGTCGTGTTCGTTGCGGTCCAATTAGGAACTCTACCCGTGGCGGTTACTACTACGCGGTGGGGAGCCAGGCCCTAGAGCTTATTTACAAAACGAGTTCACGGAGGGTGTAAGGCCGAAGTAGTGTGGCAGGGTGATAGCAGGGGTCGGCTGCGTCTGGTGGAGTTATATTGTTTCATTAACTGTTTGGACACCCTCTCCTCGGAATCTCTGGAAGAATCCATCACTGGGAAGCGTTTGCTACCCTCGCTGCGATGATCTCCCATGGATCGAGCACGCGTTGTTTGCGTCATGATCCACGAGTCATAGAGCGATGCTTGTGTCATCTCATGCTCCCCCGGCGCGTAACGGATGGCATTGGGCAGAAAGGTCCCGTATTGGACCAACCGTTTTCATGGCAGACCACACCTCATGTATTCGGGATAAACTGTCACAAGATTACGCAGCGGACGGTGGTATTCTTTTCTCGACGCACAACCTGCTGGCTGTTGTTCAATCCAACATTGGCAGGCCGAAGGCGAGTATTGCGTGTCAACCTGCTTGACAAGGGTTTATGTCTACCAACGCTACCACCAACTGGCCCCATGTTACCTCCAGAGTCCAAGCTACTCTGTCAAGCTTGTTCCTTGGTTGGAACGTGGGCACTTTCAATGGTAAAACTTCGTCGGGATGTGGCAGCGTTAGCAATTCGTTATCGCCATCCCACTCCCGGAGAATTTCATAATACGATGTATGTTGAAACAGCCCACCGGTGGACCAGGCGCATAATCCATGCAATAATATGGCAGAGCTGCACCTGAGTGGTCCCGACCAGAAACCGGAACCTAATCAAGGCTTCCGGGTGGCATCAGCTCTGTCGTGAGCTCAGGGGTGAGCTATTAAATAAGAATGCCTCCACAACGGTCAGTTTCAGCTTGCTCGGGAATGAGATAGAAAACCACATGGCTTTGCTTTTTTAGCGAACAAAGCTCCACTAGCTCACATCTTGACCAAATCACCGGCAACGAGAAGGGGGGGAAGGGTGATTTTTGTTACCGGCCTTCACCTCCGTCGCGCATTCGCCCTTGTCACCCGGATCACCCGTTTTCTTGCGTCAAATTGATAATAGGAGAGATCCTGGGCCGGAGAATATCCCACCACCATAAATTAAACAGGGTTATAGGACAAGCTTTGCCAAGCATGCGCCTGGTAAATCAATCTTGAAAACTAATAGATTCCTCAAATAGATGCCGCTGACTTAGAACTCGAATTATCCTCTTGACTTGGTTAAGGAGAGAGTAAGCTGTAATCGAAAGTGATTATTGAACTGACCAACGAATAAAAATCAAGTTGGAAAAATCAAGAATTGTTTCTTGTTAAAACCGAACTCAACTCCCAGGGTATTCGCTTCTACAGCGTTGTTCCTTGTTCAAACTATCCCTGGTCATATTTGCTGCATTCCTACATTGGATGAATCAAATGATTCTCCTGACTTGCATGCAAGTCCCATCAACCCAAAAAACCCGCATTGTCACCGTCGGAGTGGTTGATACCACTCTGAACCTATCTGGCTTAGCAGATGGATTCTCCGAATTGTCGCACCATACCTCGTCATTGCATTCTCTCAATTACCATGGCGTTCGGGCAAGCTTGGGCCCAACTGTCCGTTATGGCTTAGATAGCGACTGACAGAAGTATCAGACTTAACACCGGAGGGCCACAGACATCTACTCCCAGGAACGGATTGATATAACTTTGTTATATCGAGCTGAAAGGCTAATCAATGGGTAGCATAGCATGTGTATGCGATCATCAGTTGAGGTTGACCTCGTCTAAAATACACGCTCTGTAGCTCACTTAGAGCCGTCTCAATTTTATGAGCCAAGTTGTGTATTTGATACTGATAATGAAAATTATGAGACGTTTAGTATCTGGTACTCCGCTGTGACAGAAAGATAATCATTATTCCTTTGTTCAAACCGAGAAATCTGCTATCCATCCAGCCAGATTTGACACATCAGCGATAACAGTGTTCAATCAAACAAGAGGAAGAATATACGACATTGGAGTTCCATAAGTAGCAGGTTTATTTGCCAATAACGCCAACGCCCTCGCATGGTTATAGGGTATCCTCAGCCTGAGAAACGATGACACGGACGGCGGCGAAAGTACACGGGATTATTATACACAGCAATCCAATTCACAGTAGATTCGCGACTTTGGCATTGAAATTACATAAGCGATCGTATGATTGAAACTGGAGTAGGTTAGTGCAAGGAATCTTCATCCTGCGTCCATTCAATCTGACATGCTGACGGAATACATTCAATTGGTTTGCTGCCTCCACGCCTCTAAACCACCCCTTCATCTTAAATCTTACCCTTACATTAGGATCCTCGCGCAGCGTACCCCTCACCAGTCTTCAGACGAAATTACTCATCCTCAGCATGTTATCGATACTGATAATCCCCGCAGCCTCAGCACTCCCAACAACCTATGATAAGGTCGTTGCTGGGGTTTCCGGCCAAGGCTACAACATACAGGCCCTGCATATACCTAGTGTAGGTCTGGCGACTGGTCCTCGGCCAGGAAAACCACCCAATATGCATGACGATGCTGCCTTCATAGCCAGACATATCGTTGATCTCGCTGAGGCTGGCCACGATATCTTGCTCGTCACGCACTCTTATGGGGGTACGCCGGCAACCGAGTCCATCAAAGGGCTTACCAAGATTGAAAGACAGAAAATTGAAAAGCCTGGTGGCGTTGTCGGCCTTGCATATATGACATCCTTGGTGCCAGAAGTAGGCAAGCCGGCTTCAACAGGGCCGTGGAGTCCTCTTATGGAGATTGGGGTTAGTACCCCACAAACCCATCGGATATATAGGCTCACGCTAACTCATGGCAGGACGATGGCTGGTTTTACTATCCAGATGACACCTTAACAGCGAAAGTGGTTTTTTCCGATGTCCCGTTAGAGCAGGGCTTGATCTGGGCGAAGGAGCTCGTAGCCCACTCAGCTGCTAGTTTCATGTCTCTCTTGACCTACCCTGGCTACGCAGATGTACCCGTGGCATATCTAGTAGCTGAAGGGGATCTCTCTATTGCGCCGCGAACCCAGCGATCACAAATAGACATGATTGAGAAAGTAAGCGGCAACAGGGTTGATGTCACAACAACCAGCGCTGGACATGTCCCGCCTGTTACTGCGCCGGATGATGTTGTCAACTGGATACTATCGGTGGCATCAAAGCTCGAAAGAAGCCAGTAAGAGAAAAAGAGAGATCATAGAAAATAGAGTCTCGCTTTTCAGGGGCTATGAGCCTGCTGATAGATAAGAGACACACGTACCCTTAATAGAAGCAACGAAATGGGGATCAAATTATATAGAATACATCTTCGTTTGTAGCCATGCGTTTGTTAATAAGGCCGACGAGAAATACTAGAGCGCAGAATTTCGAAAACCTAGAGAGCAGAGTATCAATGCTAGCTCTGGCGGGAACACATTCTGTTAGGAGATGCTCTTTGGCGGCTCTTGACAGAGAGACTTCATTGTTAACCACATTGGATAAAGCTTATATATAGCGTACATGAGCGAGTATTTATATCCGAGGCCGACGGAAGAATACTGCGGTTGATGTATGGTATGGGTCACACGATATAGCACCCTTCGGATCAGCCGGATCACTCATACCATAACGCAGCTGCGGGAGGGGATCTTGGCATCACTATGCATGAAGGGCTACAATAGCGGAAACGGAACACGGCAACTCATCATACACGCACGTATAAAACGCGATTATTTCCCACCCTTCCACTCTTTTCTTTCCTTAAATTTTCCGTACGTCTGTTATGATTTCCGCGGGAGGATGGCGTTTGTGTTTCCTTCATTGGCTGGTCCAGCCGTCGTGGCAATTACTATAGCCGGCGCCCTGTTTTCCTCCCTGCTACTCTATTTTGTTCGAATTAATCTAATGTTTATGGAAACCCCAACCCGGTTTCGGGTGCTTGCGGGGTTGGGATGGGACCGAAAACTACTCTCCCAGACCTACAAAGAACTTGCTAAAAACCCCATCAACTATACCAACGAGCTCCCCCCGAGGCTGAATCGACGATATATTGTGACTGGAGGCGCTGGTAAGAAAAATTACAGAATATAGTGATCACACTTGATCGAATTCCAAATCTAATTGTTCCTCTTCTAGGTCTTGTCGGGGGCCACATCGTGCTCCAACTGCTGGCCAGAGGGACGCCGCCCGAGAGTATTCGCGTCATTGATATCCGCAGAACAGAACGCAATGATCTTCGCACGGAAGCCGCATCAAGAGTAGACTTTATTCAGACAGACGTCACCTCCTTAAGCTCCGTTAAAGATGCCTTCTGCAAGCCGTGGGACCAATCAGTAGCCCACCTTCCGCTCACCGTCTTCCACACGGCTGCCATCATCATTCCTTCAGCCCGGTCCAAGCTACAATATGAGTTTGTAGAAGCTGTCAACGTCAGAGGCACTGAGAATGTTCTTCTGGCAGCGCGCAAGGCTGGTGCCGACATCTTCAGCTCAACCTCGTCCGCTTCCATCGCGATCCGCCCAGTAGAGCTCTTTCCATCACCCTGGGCCTTAACACCAAAGAACTTTGCTCAGGTGCTCGACGAGAGTGATTTCTATGAGCCTTTACGCCCACACGAGGAGTTTTTCGGCAATTATCCTGCCTCCAAGGCCCTGGCTGAACGTCTGGTTTGCGAAGCAAACGATGGCGACTCGTTTAGGACAGGTTGCATACGCCCCGGCAACGGAGTTTATGGGGATCCAACTGACAACACAGTCGGCGGCCCTCTAAGCAAGTCTATCATGCCAACGTGAGTGCATTAGCCTTTCCTCCGCTCCTTCGCTTCTGACATATTTGCTACGTCTTAGATGGGTACCACATATTGTTCAAAGCTTCGTACACGGGGCTAACGTGGCGGTCGCCCATCTGCATCACGAAGCTGTTCTTACGACTAAGAATTGCTCACAAGCCGGTCGGCCTTTTGTCGTGACCGATCCAAACCCTCCTATAACCTATCGTGATCTCTACAACGTCATCAAGTTCCTGTCCTTACATTCCTTCCACATGGTCGTTCTGCCACCCATACTAATTCTTCTACTCTCACACGTTATTGAATGGTATATTCTTTTGCCGTATCGTTATCCGTTTTTACAACATTTTCTTCCTCAGATAAGGGGCGACTTGAAGTATTTACAGCCGGGACTTCTTTCTATCTGCACACACTTGGTCGTCTCTGATTCAGAGGCGAGGAAATCTGTAGAAGAGGGCGGACTCGGTTATCGCGGTGTCTTAACGACGCTGCAAGGAATGGTTTGGGAAGTCTTGGAATGGAATCGAGAGCACGAAAGTAAACGTGACAAAGCCCATGCCAGAAAGGCGTACACAACTTCGGTCGAATTGGCGGAACAGATACAGAAACTTGGAGTGGGTGGCGTGCGTATCTCTACATGAAGATACCTTTCTGAGCAGGAGCCTGGTTGCCGTGGGCTCAAGTGAATGAGCTGTACTCTTCAGCACAGAGGCCGAAAGGACCATCCGCTGAGTAGGTATTCATCTCTAGCAGGGTGGGACCCAGCATGATTGATTGAGTGGCTAACTTCAAGGCAGATATGTCAACAAATTTAGACCTCGAGGCAAGCTTCTGCTAACGCGGACCTCCATAGAGTTTGACCCATTGTCGTCAGCCGATGGAGTTCGAGCAAGTTGGTCGGCCGTAATGGATGGAGTTCGGAACTATTCTGCCTGAAACCGAGAAGGGGGAAGATTAGGGAGTCCCGGACAGGTTCTTCAGCAAGTAGAGGAGGTCCAGGGGTATTTCTATGCTGAGCATTTTTTTGTTTATAGCTTTTATAAGTATGTAATGAGACTTAAGAGTCATTCAACAAATTTAGAGGTTAGACATGGCCTTAATTGCAGCCGATATTAGCGAGATTTATATTCATCGTGTCTTCGTCGTAGTTGAAAGGACAATTTGTGTCTCAACATATGATGATTCACTCTTTATCTATGGCAGCTTTTCCCTGCTGTCTGATGGTAACGTCTTATCATCAATCTCCATCCCAGCAAAGGGAGAAATAAGGTAGAACAATTGAATACACGCTCTAGGGCCCGCCCCTTAAGATTGAGTATTAATGATCATCAAAGAGCCCGCCTTTAACTTTCTTACAATATCATAATTCTATGAATTGAATCAACTCAAAGAAGCCAATGTCTACAACATCCCTACAATTTTCGAGTATCAGAAAAGCGAAATATAAACCTTTAGGTTGAATGAATTGCATCACAGAGGAAACTTCTACTTAACGGACTCCACTCTCATAATTAATGACCACTCATATGTATCTAAATGAACCGTTGATCAATCAAAGAACACCTCAGGCTTACGTCACGCCGCCAAGAGTGTTGACGCGTATTCGATTTCATATATCATGCGTGGGTGCCCGCCTAGACGACAAGCGGGGGCATAATTCAATCCTGGCCGTCATTCTTCCCTCCTCTCCAAGCAAGTCAATCTTGAATCCGAAATAGCTGTACAAAATGGGCTGGAAAGATCAATTAAAGAGCCTCAAACAGGAGTTTGAATCCATGATGGCTGATCCGTCCGAGAAAAAGAACGATCAGCAGCCGCAGCAATCACAATATACGCAGGCACAAGGACAAGCACCACTTCAACCACAGCAGGAACAATATCAAGCGCCGCCTTACCCGCCACCACCTCCCATTCCTGCTTCTCAGATCTACTGGCAGCCTCAATTCAGGCCTGAAATTCCCACCAATGTAGAGTGGGATGCAAAGCTGGGGAATGGCCCTGATGGTTGGGGCAATCAAGAGTTGCAGCACTATACCGCTGATCCAGCCAACAGCTTTCAGTATGTTTTGCTAGCCAAGAAGAACACTGCACATTAAGGATATTTGCTAACCGATTAAACGCACAGTACGCAAGATGGGAGGCTCGTCGTGCGCGCTCTCGCCAACAGCAGTGCGCCTACACCAGAGCAGCGATACACTTCTGCTCGGTTGGTAAGTCGGGAGACTCTCGGATACGACAGAGGTGTCTTAACTGCGGTCATTCTCTCTCCCTCCGCCGAAGGCATCTGGCCTGCGTTCTGGCTTCTGCCAAAGGAGCCCTTCTCATGGCCGACGGACGGCGAGGTGGACATTGCTGAGTCGTACAATGGGGATCGACAGAACAAGTCTTGCCTCCACTGGGGCTTCCACCACGAGCCCCAGAAACACCGGGTTCTGGCAACCCCCATCCCGGACATGGGTGCTCGCAATGTGAGGTATGACTTCGTCTGGGACCAACCTGGCGGGCAGGCTGGACAGGGAAGAATGCTCTGGTATGTTGATGGTAGGGCGGTGATGAAGCACAACGTTCCGGAAGGGACCAGACCGTTGAGGGATATGACTATTCTGTTGAACGTAGCCATGGGAGGAAACGTTTGCCAGGGCAAGATACCAGCTGATGGATACTACGACATGGTTGTCCAGTCGCTGTTCACCGCCAGTGACCCCGATCAAGGAGGATGGCAACGCTTTGAAGCAGATTGGCACAATTCAAATACCCCGTTAGGCAATACCTACTAAATTTCAACATGTTGTTGAGCAAGAGTTCTTGGGAGAAATCTAGCACCGAAACTACTTATTAGCATTAAACGTCATCGCAATGAACTCTACGAATTGAGAATGCAGCGTTACCCGACGTCCCTGGACTGTTGACGACATGTGATGGTATTGGTAGGCCAGACTTCAATGAGTATATCAATGCAAGTTCCAGTTAGACTTAAAAGATATTAAAGCTAAGCCGTCTTTCTCTTGATTCACAATATTTCAGTAATTTCCTCAATATTCAAAAGAAGTCCAAATGAGCTAATGCTAATCGTCATTAATTACTCTGCTTTCCAATTCATCACAATACGAGCAAACTCATCCACCCGGTCAAAGTCAGTCGACCAGGTGGTCAACACCCGAATCACGGCGTGATCAATATCGTACTTTTCCCACACGTAAAAAATAAAATCCTGCTGCAGCCTCTCAATGAGCTTCAAAGGCAAAATTGCAAACATCTGGTTCGTCTCCGTGTCCACAAGAAGAGAGTATCCCGCGGCCTCGATGGAGCGGGACAGCTTCTGTGCTGCATTGTTGCCTCTCTTGGCCAGCTCAAAATACAAATTCTCCCTGAACAACTCGGAGAATTCTATACCAATTATTCGGCCCTTGGCAAGGAGAGACCCTCTTTGCTTAACATAGAATTCAAAGTCCTCGGCCAGCCTGGGGTCCTTTACAACGATAGCTTCGCCCAGCAGCGCCCCGTTCTTGGTCCCACCGATCCAGAAGATGTCCACCAAGTCTAGAACATCTCGAAGCGTCAAGTCGCTCTTGGGCGAGGTCAGTGCAGCGCCGATGCGAGCACCGTCCATAAATAACAGGAGGCCATTTTGAACGCAAAGGGCCTTGATGGCGGCCAGCTCAGCCCTGGAGTAGATGGTGCCGAACTCGGTCGCGTTGGAGATGTACACCAAGCGCGGCTTCGCCATGTGAGGGTAATGCCAGTTAGCCTCAAGAGCTTGGCTAATGCTCAAAGGCGTCAGCTTGCCGTTTTGAGGCAGGACATTTATGATTTTATGGCCGGTTGCCTCGACGGCGCCAGTCTCTCTGGTGACGATATGGCCTGAGCTGGCAGCGATGACGGCTTCATGGGGCCGCAAACAAGCCGCGATGGAGATGGCATTTGCAGAAGTGCCACTGGGGACGAAGAAGATGCCTACATCATCACGACCGAGGTGATTCCTGATGTGTTGGCGGGCCTCCTGGCTGTACCTGTCATTTCCGTACCCTGTCTCCTGGGTGCCATTGCTGGCCACCAAGGCCTCTAACAATTGAGGGTGTGCGCCTTCACTATAGTCGTCAAGAAAGCTATACTTTGGTTTAGGGGGGTATATGACGGTAGAGGCCGGCATTGTGACGTTTGGCGCGTGGAAACAGAAGTGTTCAGCGTGTAAGTCGGCTTCGCTCATGTGCATGTCTTAGATATGGAGAGTGTTCATTCAAGCACGTAGATGGAGGGGAATATGTATTTGAGGACAAAATGGAACCTAACCCTATGCATTAGCAATGGTATCTCGCTTTATCATTTCGATGGGGATGGTGGAATACACGGATAGAATGGTCACTGTGATAGTGGTGACCATGACAAACAAATATGTTACGTACTCCCTCAGTCTCCGACCACGGTCACGCATACTATCAGTGGGCAAGTCCCCAAACCAGCAGAAATCAAACTCAGTCTGGCAGGTGGTCGTATTCGTGGTAAGGTTTGATCATGTGAACCATATGAGGCCATCGAAATCCGGCGATGTCGGAAGCGGTATAGGAAGAAGTGAATTGTTCCATAATAGACCAGCCTCGAAGTCGCTTGTCAGCTAATCACAAGAGATCACTGTGTTGATCAGTAAATTTCGGCCAAAGTATAATACCTGCGTAATCCTACGTACTCATATTTGAAGATGGTTTTATTTTTCTTCCTATGCACCTATTTGGCATGCTGTTGCTTCGAGATTCCGATGCCCATCACGGGATATTGATGGAGGGGTGGTGGCGGTTTATCGCGGCTTTACAGGCGGCTGAAGCTCTGAAGCTGAGCTTCTGACAGGCCCGCTGAACACTCTCCCGAAGTTACCCCATTTGGCAATTTGTTATCGCAAAATCTGGATCTTGGCTTCATGCAACGCTGCATCTTTTTGTGTGCTGAGGCTGCATTCGCTTTCACTCGCTGTAAAGGTGGGCAGAAGCTATCGACATTGCTCAATTGACCATGAGCGTTGCGCCATGGGTATGCAGGAGTTGCCTGAGGGCACTGAGGCGTGGCCCAGTCCATCAAGTTGTGCGCACCCTCTCATCTGGTACGATTTGTCCTCCCTCCCCTCACTTTCCAAAGCGATGATCTAGACCAGACATGCCTTCGAGTTGACATGAATCAATCGCTAACAAATGCCGACTGGATAGACGCACCTTCCAGCTCGATTCAATCGTTCCTTACCCCCGCCCTCCTCCAACGAGCACATGCCCTAGTCGAAGAACACAACGCCCTCCAATCTACCCTCAGCTCCTCCTTCGACCCAGCCAAGGCCAAGCGAGCTGGCGAGCTGTCACGCGTCGCCACCGCCCTACAAGCCTTCGAGAAAGCCAAAGCCTCCGTCGAGGAGCTCTCCTCCCTCATCGAGACCGAGCCCAAGTCGCAGGACGATGCCGAGCTGGCCTCCATAGCCCGCGAGGAGCTCGAAGCCGAGCGAGCCAGCCTCAACGCCCTCGCACGAGATCTAGGTGCCAGTCTCACCCCGCGAGATGCCTTCGCCGACTTCCCCTGCATGATCGAGTTCCGCCCTGGACCCGGCGGCACCGAAAGCAGGTACTTCACCGACACCCTTTTCCAAATGTACAAGGCCCTCTGCCTACGTCGAGGCTACCGAGCCAACGTCCTCAAGTACGAGACCGCCGACTCCGCGGGCGACAAGTCCTCCAGCGCCAACGAGCTACCCCTCCAAGAAGCCGTCCTCGAGGTCCTCGACCCGGGCGCCTACGACATCTTCCGCAGCGAGGCTGGCATGCACCGCGTCCAGCGCATCCCCAGCACCGAGAGCAAGGGCCGAGTCCACACCAGCGTCAGCGCCATCTGGGTCCTGCCCTTGTTCCCCGAGGGCGGCGCCGGCGGCGGTGACCTGGCCAACCCAGACGACCCAGAGAGCGACTTCTACATCAACCCGCAGGACTGCCGCATCGAGACGATGAGAGCGCGGGGCGCCGGCGGCCAGCACGTCAACAAGACCGAGTCGGCCATCCGCATCACCCACATCCCCACGGGGGAGGTCGTGTCCATGCAGGACCACCGCTCGCAGCAGCGGAACCGGCAGGAGGCTTGGAAGCTGCTGCGGTCGCGCGTGGCCGACGGGCGGAGGGAGCAGCGGGAGGCCGAGGCGGCGCGGCTGCGCAACTCGGTGTTGACGACTGCGCAGATCCACCGTGGCGAGAAGATCAGGACGTACAACTACAACCAGGACCGGTGTACGGACCACCGGGCTGGTTTCGACGTGCACAACCTGCCGGATGTCCTCGAGGGTGGTGAGACACTGGACAAGGTGATGACGGCAGCCAAGGAGTGGCTTGTTGGGCGAGATATAGAGCTTCTGACACTGGAAGAGGAGGCAAAGGCGGCAAAAAAATAAAGGATTACGGCCCGGATTAACGAACCATTTACAAGCAGTGCTAGGAAATGCAGCTGCATGATTGTAAGATCTTTGTATATATATGTATTGTAACGCTATATTCACGCGACTAAAGCAAGTGGCCTGGGCCGCTGATGATATATAATGGTATCAAGCCCTCGTCAAAGCCTTCGCTTCTCCCGACTCTGGCTGCCTGGCATGCTGAATGATACTTGCGTAAAAATGTTCTCCGTTTCACATGCGCCCCATTCCCAAGGTCGTTGCTTTCCCAAGATGCCCATAGAATCAATGACATGGCTGTAACATGTATGCTCTCCCGTTTCGCCGCCCAAATGTATCTTGTGTCACCCACTGCCCAAATCATAACGCCAAGATCCAAACATTGCATAATTTCACACCGTTGTAACCCCCCCCTCATCCTCTGCCTCGGACGTACTTGTCCTCCGCGTCACGGCAAAAAAAAAACAGCAAACAGAATTTCAACCTCCTCCTAGTGTCCATGAAAATGCTATGCGGTGTGTAAAGGAAACGCTAGTCGGTGGTGCTTTCTCGGTCTCGTAAGAACTGCCATGCTTTATCGTCATATCGAAGGGCACGGAAATGGAGGGGCAGGTCAACCCATCAGGCCGCTGAGGACGACCTTGCCCACGTTGCCCACTTCCGAGCGCACATTGGCCCTGCTGCTATCTTCAAACTCTTTGATGATGCCCTGGACGATGATCTTCCTGACCCGGGCATCCGCCTTGGTGAAGAGCTCGGCCACGGCGGCAGAGCATTCTCGGGCAGTGGGTATCAGCGCAAGGAGACGCGAGTAGCAGTCGATGAGGGTGTCGCAGAGCGTGGCGAACGTCTCGAAGTAGTCGGGCTCAAAGGGGAGCGAGGGCGTGAGCAGGTGCACGTACTCCTCACCGGGGAGGAGGTCGGACTCGGAGGCGGCAAAGTTGATGACCGAGGGCGCGCTCGAGGCCATCCCCCCGTCGCCGTTCGCGCCGGCAGAGTTGACGCTGCCCGCGGCGGAGAAGGCGTCCTCGAGGGTGTCTGTGGCAGAGGTGGAGCGGCGAGACTTGCCGCCGGGACGCCGGAACATGTTGGGGAGGCGCGCGCGCGTGATGGCCGCGGTCGAGGACTCGCTGCGGAGCTGCTGGAAGGAGTCGAACTCGGACAGCAGCGTGCTCAGGCTGCGGAGGAGCTCGATGGGGGTGCTCGAGTTGAGGTCGACGACGACGGGGAGGGATATACCGAGGAGGAGGTAGTTGGTGGCTTTGCGGGCCAGTTTGCGGTTATCGAAGCATGGCATTCGGTTCAGGTCTGACTTGTCGAAGAGGTATGTGTTGAACCAGTATACGCGACCTTCGTGTCTGTAGATAAGGAGAGGGGTCAGCGAGTCGAGCCTGTGATGTGGCCAAATGGACCTCCGCCAGGGCCAGGGAAGTAGTCTTACGCTTTGCGCAGATAGTCTAATGTGGTTATGCGCTTGTGAGCCAGATCGGTGATCTGCTGGAAGAGGACACTCGAATCGCTCGGCTGCCAGAATGCTCCGCCATTCCCGGAACTCGACGGCGTGGGAGGCGGGAACGGCGGCGTCATCTGGGCGGCGGTCGAGGAGGTGGTGGTGCTGCGACTCAGCATCTTGACGGAGTTGTCGGGGCTGGTCGGGCTGGTGATGTGGTAGTCGTGGTCGCGATCGCGGGTGATGACCTTTGCGGCGGCTGCGAGAGCGTAGTCTGGCAGTGCGGGAGGGGCGGCGGCATCGGTAACAAAAGCATTCGAGGTGATGGTGCCGCCGGCGGAGGAGCCCCTGCGGCGCGAGCCAGAAAAGGGCGCGGCGGCTTTGCGGGAGAAAGATGACTTGCGATCTTTGGCCGCCAGCCCGCTCTCCTTGGTGGTGACGGTGGTCGACGACGAGGTGGTGGTGGCAGACGAGGACGAGAGGGTCGTTACGGCGCTGGAGGATTGGGACTGAGTCAGGGGCGGCGGCGCATCGAAGCCTTCGCGCGTGGATGGACGAGGGCTGCCGGTGTAAGTGTAGATGGAGGCGGAGAAGATGTCCACTGAGGCAGGATGCCGCTGCATCGTGGAGGAGGTGGCGGCGCGTTTTGACGTCGAGCTGGAATTGGGGTGGTGGACCGACGGGATGGTTTAGTCGCAGATCGAGCCCACTACGGGCGTTCTGAACTTGGTTGACTGGCTCTTGTCTGCTGACCTGGACACCGGACCTGACCTGATCTGACGCCCTTCAAGGCAAACAAATCCGAGACATTCCTTTGGTGAGGAGCAGGGTTTTGGCGTCGGTTGTGAGACCGTGGCTGGAGCTGAGGCTGAAAACGGGGTGATGGCTGCCGCTGATTGGCCAGTCGATCAGGGGCGTGGCTGAGATCTCCTGCACATCGTCCCTTGCTTTTTGGTGGTTGTCTCAGGGGCCGACGGCGGCCACTTGCAAGTGCCGCCCAAGCGCCGCAGCACACTGGTGCCCAGCCGGTTCAACAAGAAACATAGCAGAGAAGAACCTCAATCTACGGACCACTCTAACGTTATCCGACGAAGTAATTTTCATGCTCTTGAACCGTGGTTATACTTCCCTCAGAGAACCATGATTCTCGCGGATGTGTTCCTGGCTCTAGCTCTAGGGTAGGGTATCCGGCTTATATTAGACCTGTCTCGGTTCGGAAACAATCCCGCGTCAACCCAGTCTTGAAATACAGGGGAGAAAAGACATGGGCGCCAGATTCGATTGTCGCGTCGAAAACATGGTTTTTCACGCGCTAGGGTGGGAAGTTCAATATTGAAGCCCAACGGCAGGCCACTAGGGGAGGTTGGGGCCTTGTTGCCCAGATAGGCGAATATGATTTTCGATGTGCCAGACTACGAGGAAGACAGATTCACATCTGAGAGTATATGGCGAAGAGAGGACGACGCACTCTATATCGATAAAGTAGAAAGATAGGCCGGAAGTTTGAAGCAAAACATCACCATCTAGACAAATAAATGAGGCATCACATCGAATAGTAAGAAAGCTGGTTCTATCAACAAGAAAACGGAGGAGATAGGTGAGAAAAAAACAGCATGGTTATAGCGTCGATTTGACTAAGCTGGCCACCTGCAATCAGTTGCACATAGCTCAATTGTGGTTAAACAGAGAAGAAAGGGGCTCCATATTGTGGGAGCAAGCATATTGTTATCTGCAAAACAGCCAAAAGATGAGCGCCATGGCCAATGAATACCGTGTAGTCAGCGTCCAACGAACTAAGAGAGTCAGTCCATATGTATGTTCCAATGACATGCTCACTGTTGTGAGGTTGCAGCGAATCTCACCTCATACCGTTGTAACTGAACTCAGCCGCAACCCCGCAATGCATCCCGCTCCCCTACGTCCCGTCAATCACCTAACTATGTCCTTGATACGAAACATCCTGTTCATGGACCCGACGATGTTCTAGAGCACACCCGACGCATATCAAAACATAATCTAGGCATACTGTCTCAAAACGGACTATTCTGTAACGAATCTGTTGTGGCTTCGTCGGCATAAAACCCAAGCCATCGAACAACGGATTGCAAATACCTGAATGAGTTGGTCCTTCAATGGCTAAAACGGAAGAACATTAGCCATCTTATCTACGAGAGTGGACCAATTTAGTCAATTTAAACGATCGAATCGTCCCAACGCCAGAGCTATCCGAGTAGCAGAACACGATAGAGCTTTGAAAAGTCTCTGGTTAGCCCAGTTTCAACAGGAGTACATGTTTAAGGATGTCAAATCACGCCAACGCCGCTTCATGGAGGAAGCGGACTCAGATTCAGAGATTGATGAGGTGGTGTTTGGGAAGAGGATTTATGCCCTGCCTACGGACGAAGATTCCGATTCAGAGGAGACTTCCGATCCAGACGAAGACAAAGATGGAGACAAAGATGAACTTGCTATAAAGAGAGTCATGAATTTCTTTTTCGCTCCAAGGGGAAACAGAATGGTGCACACTATACCATATCACGAGATTGCACTGCGGGAAGGGAGGCACATTGCACCGCACTCCTTGCCGAACTGGCAACAAGGAACTTGCGCCAGTTTAGCCTCAGATGTGAAGATCTAAAAGCATCGCAGACCCAGGGGATCTCTCTTCGTCACAACTTCGGTCATATTCAAGGCACGCTTGGCATAAAGACAGATACCAGAGGTTCGATAGACGAGTGGGTTCCTACACCAACGCCATCTCCAAGGCTCTTCCTAGGACGTCAAAAGGCGGAAGAGCGCAAGTCAATTCAGCCCAGTACCCGAATCTCGCATCCCGCTCCACCCATTCTAGGGTTTAATGTCCCTGAAATGGCCGATTTGAAAATTTTGAGCAATTTTGATCATAAGAACGCGCAGCAATCCTCTAGTCGAGGGTACAACTCGCATCAAGATAAGGATAGCAACACGGCTAGAGAACGGACCCTGTTGGATGGCATCCAGCTGCGAAGGTCGCATTACAGACAGCCAGATATTGATCAGATGTCGCCTCCGTTGATGAAAAATCGAAGGCAGACCCAGGGTAAGATCGACCATATGGACATGGAAGTTTCACCACAAAGAGTGATGTTGCGCCCTAAGGCAGGTGGTGCCTTTGCCAAGGATCAGCCGCCTCAATTTAACAAGCAATCCTCGGTGTCTAATCGCTGACCATCTCGGCATATGCGTGAGGGGGCCGATGTGAAGTTGGCCCCGACTCAGCAATTTTCAAGTATTAGAGAAGAACTTTCTTGGTCATGCATGGTTTTAATCTGCTTCTTAGAAGGGGAAAATCTCTTCTAAGAGTTCTTGAAAACTAGAGACTAGAAATTGGGTGATGGAGACCGAGTCTTGGGTACTTTAGTGTACACAATGTCTAGCTTACATAGGTTTTTTTCCTTCTTGACGAATTATCTTGCTAGGTGTCATGTTATCATCTTCGCTCACGGCTTTGTGATCGCTATGGTTAGGGCTCTGCCTCTGTTCAAACTCGCCATTCACCAACGACTTTGCCCTTCAGGCCCAAGGATTTGAAACCATTTATTCACTCATTCTTACTTTAATGGACGTATTTAGTGCGTTTTGTTTGCCTTTCCTCGATACCTGAGATGAAGAGTGCAGATAAGCATTGAACTGAGCATTCAATTAGGCTCCATCCTCCCATCAGTCACGCCTAGACCAAGGTAGCTCTAAAGCGCCGTTCTCCAGCCCTGTCACACACTGTATCCTCTTGGAGTCAGTAAACTTGAAAAATATGGTCCAAGACTTCCAGGTGTTCGGCCAAGTATCCTCCTTGAAGAATGAATTGACCATGCGTATCTGGCCCCGTTGCTCTTCATCGGCAAAGAACCTTGCCAAATCAGCCAGGACCGACGGCGTCTGGATCCTCTTCTTGCCGTAAACCACAGCCAATATCTCAACATCTGCAAAGGGTCCCTGTTTTAAACCCGCTTCAAGTTGTTGGATGGCCATTGTCGGGGCGGTCGCTCGCGAGATTTGAACGGATCCGGAGTGCTGTTCTGTGGCGTTGAAAAGAGATAGCGGACCGTCATCGAAGCGATATAGTATCGTCAATGCTTTCACCCAATTTGGTAGAGGGTCGGGAGCGAGGTAGTGAACCATTTGGTTCATTTTGAATGTCATGGAGTCATCGTCCTGGATCAGCTCTCTGATTTTCTCTGTGACTATCACACCGCCAAATGTTGCAGCAATGACCTGGAGCCCCTTCGCAGGAGCAACGCTCAGCTGCGCAGGTTGTTTCTCTGACTTGATGATGACTGTCATTTTTTATGATCGACGAGTGATTGCTAAACAGAATTTAACAGAGTTGAGATGTGAAGGGGCATGGATAATAGTCTTATTCGACTCTGTTGAACTCCGCCACACTTGCCGGCTGTGCCTTATCCATGAAACATGAAAGTGAGCAGGTGAGATGGAAGAAACTGGGACAGATGGTGCCCATAATAAGTCTGTGGACTCTCCCTATTGATTGGTTCTAGCACTGTTAGGCTTAGTGATATGGATATTTGCTGCCTGGAGTATTTTGGCCCCTCACACAGCTGACAGCCTAGGTACTGTAGGTTCAACCCCACCAAAGGGCTTCTAGGCTGCATTCTGCTTGTGATTCTCTCTCCTTGGCTGAGGTTCTTATATCCGTCTTTATACGGCGTTTACGGGGTTTAGTCTAATGGAGCTAGAAGGGCAAGGCCAACTACCTGTCACTCTTGGCGTTATCTTGTCTCACAAGTCATTGTGCTGATCGAAATATCTCATTGCAAAAATACATAAACCCCGATTTTCGCCGGCAGCCCGTCCAGCTCAAGTGGGCACACCCGCTGAAACATTCCCCTGTGGCCCAGCTGGCTAAGGCGTCCGACTGTTAGCACACATGAAATCGGAAGATCGACAGTTCAATCCTGTCCGGGGGAGTATGTCTTTTGCTCTTTTTGCCTCATGCACTCTCCATCTGCACATTATCACACGGACGGGCTTCTTCCTTTGTTTGGTTCATTGCCTACTGCGTGATGATCCTAGCAGATAAATTTCTGGGGCTGGGCGGCGTGTACGTAAGGTTGTCGCAACATGAATTCAATATAGCTATCTAACATTTGTATTCCTATTGCATGTTTATACCATGATGGGGTGAGGCTATGTCATAGCTGATCTTGGTATACATTGAGATGGTTGATTATAATCTTAGAATCATTGATGTTCTTTTCATTATTGTAAGTATTAATTGCTTAAAGAAGATAAATTTTGCTGTCTATGCCGGCTTGATGGTTATTCGCCCGATGATGTTCCCTGGCCCTTGTACTCGCCCTCTATTTGGCGCTAGAGAATCTGGGAATACTTGGTTGCTAAACGCTCACTATTAGCCTCTCACAAGTGTGGGCTTGGTGCAACTAGTTATCGCTTTATTGATGGGTTCAGGAACTTTCCATTAGGACCTGCGAGTATGAACTGAGGAGCTGCCCATAGCAATTTGTGCTGCGCTGTCGTCGGTTGACGACAGTCCATCGCCACGGCATTTGAGCACCGTCTGCCATCCGTCAGCATACAGATTTCTCCACCAAGGTGACTGCATGCTGAGCTTGTGCGTCTTGAACAGAAAGTCCGAGCCTGGATATTCGTGGGCTGCTTCCATGGCCTTCACTGGACATACTGCCGTGCAAGGAAAATCTGATTTGGCGTAGTATGGGTGTCCATACCCATACCTTTTATAACACCATTTCTCGCTATCGTCCCTCATGAATATTAGTGCACTTTCTTTCAAAAGGGAAGTGGAAAAGTCGGGAAGCCACCAAAACATACCCATCTTTCGCACATCCCCACGCAAAGATATACCGAAATATCTCGCCCACTACCTCAACTGGCGGTTGAGGAACACCCACGGCCTTATCCTTGAGCATCGCTCGATCTCCAGGGGCTGTGCAGGCGCCTTTGACGTTTTGTACATACTTATCGAGCGCCTCCTTGCAGGTGTCTGTGCATGTGAGCTCCAGGGGATCCCGCTCGCTGAACATGAATAGACCAGACGAGGCTAGCTGGAGGAGTGTCTCCTCGCAATCGATGGGCGCAAGATAAGCGGAGCGGCAAGCGTCTGAGGTTGTCGGCGAGAGACTGCTCTGACCTCCGACAACATCGAGACTGAAGGAACAGGCAGCGGGGCTTATACCAAAGAGTAAAACATAAAGAGGTCCCAGCTTCATGATGGTTTATACTATTGTAACGGATGAAAACGTTACTTTAGTGGCACATAGATGGCTGACGACAAGATTGGAGTGGGGTAAGCCGTTTCAACAGATGGGTTGCTCAGCCAATTATGGTGGACCTCTGGGTCTCATCATACATCATCATTCATGGGTAGTAAGCAAGCTGGCAACTAGTCCTTCATTCACGCTCTTACCAAGAGTAAGATTACAAACATACCGCCGAACGCCTGACCATAGGGATGACTCTACGCGACGCGTTCAACTGGCTCTTTGAAAGTCTATAGTCATGTCGTTGCGACGGAAGTCTTGTGATGCCTGCTTCAAAAGCCGTCGGAAGTGTGATTATGGCCGTCCCGCTTGTGGAACGTGCCGTCGAACGAAGAAGAACTGCCGTTACGCGTATGCATCAAGCATCAAGCCATCCGACGCAACGGCAACCTCAGACTTATCAACATGGTCTGACGACTTCATTACCGCTGGCTGTTCACCTGCAGCCTCTGATATATCATTTACCACGTTCCTGGACATGATGAGTAATACAATGCCTCAGCCTTTCGAAGATGGCAGAGCCTCTGCTTTTCATTCCAACCAGCACGAGACATTCTCTGGTCTAAGGGTCTCACAATCCCCAAGCCAATCTATTCTGCTGGGTATGTCATCGGCTCAGCTGGACCTTCATCTGGTCGGCCCCCTCGGTGAGGTGCACCCCATAGAAGGAAGCAATGAGAGCTGGCAATGGGTGTTGAGCCAACTGAAAACCTATCCATATGAATTTGCTCAGCAAGCACAGACCTTATTCATCCATCCGCAGCTGTATAAAAAGTCAATGCCGCAGCCGATTAGAGCAGCTTTCGGAATGTGTTCGTCTTGCAGTCTCATCAATGATAGCAATCGCGCAACATTTTTCAGAATCATGGATGCAGAGGTCGTTGAAATTCTTAACAACCCCGAGGGAGACGCGGTGTTATTCAATGAGCTTGCTCGACTCCAGGCCTTACTTCTGTACCAAATGATGCGGCTGTTCCATGGTGGTCTTGAACATCGAGTTCTAGCTGAGCAACAGCAAGTTATCATTCTGGGATTAGCCCTGAAGCTTCTTACACGCTCTCGAGCCGAGCTTGATGAGTCCGAGGGGTGGGATTCATGGATCTTGGCAGAATGCATCCGTCGCACGGCGGTGATTGTCTATATGGTCTACGGAGTCAATTCTATTTTCCGTCATGGAATTTGCACCGAGATTCACACGATAGCCAAGCTGCCGCTGTCGAAGGCACCCACCTGCTGGAACTCGGAAACTCACTACCACAACCAGTCAGAACCACAGGGCATAATGACTTATGAGGTGTTTACGGAGTCATGGCCAACCGCGCCGTGGAAGCTTTGCCCTTTAGAAAGACTCTTGTTAATTGCATGCAGAGGTATCATTATCGCCACAGAATTCGATGATTCTGAGGCCCCTTTGTTCTAATTGATTGACTATGTTTGTATGGCAGATAGAGGTGGATTTAAAATATATTCTAGAGACATTGTCCTTGTCCTGGTGTGTAATAACTACGACTGATTATCTCTCCAATAGGCATGTATGGTGATGTTGCAAGAATCAGTGGCAAGACTCATGCATGCCAGCGTCTTGATTGCTCCAACAATCTTGTTTCCTCCCAGTCCCACGACTCATGATAATATTATACCATCTCCATGTTCGGGGGATCTCCACGAAGCACGTCTATCTGCTATAATCAACTGCTTACTGAAGATCCCCTATGCTTCGAGCTCGCCCAAGCGAACTTATACGACTGAACAGCTTCCAATCGACTATCAAGATCAAGATTTGTCAGACTGCTTGGAGACTCATGAAATTTAACGGTAGACAGAGCGAACCCAATCTAAGAACCCATAGACCTGATATCCTCTCGTTGACTCTCTGTGTCTCATTTATCCAACCCACCAATGGTCCATGAGCTTTCGAGCCGTGGATAGTTCTGGGCTCCGCAGAAACATCTATTACCACACAGGCCTGCAAGTGCTCTTCTCCCGCTGCATTATGATTATCGTAGATGCTGGCTAACGAAATATATGACAATTTCGCTAGCATTTTTGATCTAGGATTTCTCTGTGAGTGAAGGCCACACGGGGAACACAAGTACAAACTGTTCGTATCAACTCACTGGAGTTAGCGTCGTAAGGAGCCATTGACGCCTCAGTTTGAGTCACTGCTACCATGGCGATCGTATTAAATGGGGCATCAGTGGCCGGCTCTTCGAACCAACGCTGCATCATATCGCCGTCTTTTTTGGCGCCTTGTTCGGGCTTGCAGTTCCTGTTGCCCCAGTGTCGAGGAACTGCAACAAACATCCGTGATTCATGGCCAGCGTGCGGAGGAGAGCTTTCGCCGAGGCCCATCTTAAAGGTGGTAAATTTAAAAGATTAGCACCCTAGACTGTGATCGGAATTATAGCTGATCTTTAGTCAAGCCGTAGAAAAGCGCGTCTTCTCAATATTTAATCACATGAGTTGCGGATGGCTTGAAGTTTGGTGGTGCTTGGATTAACACAGCTCTAATGAGCCCAGGCTGGAGCTAGATTTACGCTTCATTATCCATCAAATTGCTATCAATTTATGCTAAAATATCTTTCGAGGCAGAACCAGTCCCACACCAATCGAACTTTTGAGCTTCGAACTTTTGAGAACGTTTCGAATCCGCAAGATCAACCTCCTTTCCGGTCCAACGCCCAGCAGCCAACGCCACTCGCCCATGAGTGTAAACTTCCAGGAACTTTTGAGTTTTGGCCGCCGATTGCAAAAGATCTCGAAATTATCCTATCTCCTGCAGAGAACCGTGCCGTAAATCACCGTTGCATTCTGCACTTTGGGAACTTTGGCGCTGTCAACAAGTGGTTGAAGGTAAGACGTCATCCCTTTCAGGCCAGGGGTCTACAGCAATAGGCTCAAGAACTTATAGGGACTTTGTAAACCTACCAGGGTCCCTGTATCACACTTTTTGCTGATTTCACGCGGGATGGGTGGTTGTGCATTTCCAAAATAAGCAGCCACAAGTCAGAGTGTGAGGTGGTAGGATTAAGCAGTAAGACGGATATGCCTAAAATAGGATTCTTTGGAACGTTTGTGAACCTTTGATCGGGCTTTTCCCCTCCCGCGGACAGCCCATTCTCAGTCCATGCCACGGATCTGTCCGCCGTGGACAAAAGGTCCTTCCCTGTGATGCGGCTAAGTGGGTTTTTTTCTCATTAATGCATTTAGTTCCATGGCTCATTTGCGTGTTTAAGCTTTCCATTGGCCTTGTTTCGTTACCTCATCAAGGCTTCGTTATGGACTTGAATGCAACCTAATAGTGCGATCCAGGTAGATGCCTCATCTCAAAGAAACAAGGGGCGTTCACGACAATACGTGGTATGAAGGACAGTGGCAATTTCAATGCCTTATCAGGCAATGCTGACCAAGATGACCCGATATCACGCGTATTCCTATACATCATCAAGACAAACCTTTGCAGAGTTGGCTTACGATAACTGTAAGACGAATCCATTTATGGAGCGGGGTTGATTAGTCTATACGAAATGGAATCTTCACTTTGCTGGAGCTTGAAGGTAGAGATATTCTCGCCCTTAATCTACCATTCGCCATCATTTGCACTGTGGTTAGTGCATCGAGGATCACGATTAGTTTAGTTGGGATACATCTGGGTTTTATGAAAAATCCTATATTGCATAACTACCACCTGCTTCATCCTAAGCGAATGTGCCCGCTGCTCATGGATTCAATAATTGTTGATGTATATGTATTATGAAGGTTCGGATTGGTGCTGCCAATAAGATCCAGCAAGGCAGACCGTAATCTTGATACAAAGAGTTTCATAACGTCCGCATAAGACGTAGTAAAATGCAACGCCTAAAATCCAATCCATACCAAGGCCCTAGAGTGAATTCATTTACTCTAATTGAATAATAGTTGCCAGCACTAAGATCTCTTCAAACAACCAACTTCCATTTATTTTGAGGCACTTGGACACACAACCCAGGTGCGACAGAATTCACAGAGCCCAGATGATTTGTGTTGAGAAGTAAATAACTACTTACCCATGCTGTCAGATGCACAACCTTCTTTTGGCCGTGGATAATGATACCACCTACATAGTCCTTCACTTGTCTCAAGGCTCTACGCAGCCTCTGATTCTATGGAGCTTTTAATACTATTTGGTGGAGTATTTCACCATACATCGAAGCTTTCTAGGAAAGGGACCTTTTGCCACATTTGGCCCAAAACAAAAACAATAGTCTTTGCCTTGGCATCAGGTTGAATCTGGCCTCAGGTCAACCAACAAACAGACGCATCAAAAGGTTGGCTATTGTTGAGAGACCCGGTTCAATACACCTTTACATACACAATATAGCGGTTCATTCCTTTCGATGTTGCATGTAGCTTTGATCTATCTTCAGCAGCTTCATAGGCTTATAAATTTCAACGATTAATGAAATAGGATACACGGAAGAACGGCTTTAAAGACCAAAACGAAGAGTAACTAATGGTCTATTTGATGATTTTGAAATATGCTTTGCGAATAAAATGACAATAACCAACTTCCGCTGGGGTGGTTGATAACTACCCCGGGGCAGATTTAAAGAACATTTCAGGGCAAATTATTGAACGGCAGTAGGAACCAATAGGAAACAGCATAATAAATGATCAGATCTTGTTGTCAAATGCGGGGTTGGTTGGTAAATGCGATCGAATCGGATTAAATTGCCAACCAAGCCTAGCAGCTCTGCAAGATTTGCATACAACGGGCATCACCCGATTGATCCCAACTGAAAGCAGGCAAGAGGGCATGAAGGAAAGCCGCGGCTGTATTCCAGAAGCTCTATATATCCTTACGTACTAACAGTGTGTTTCCCAAGTAGCGGAATACGGCCTCGGAGGCAGCAACGCCGAAAGAGAATGAGGCAGTGGGGCACAAGATGACACTCTGGGTCCTGACCAACCGAATGTGTTCATCTCGGCACTCATTACCGCGGTGAAACAGACCAGAAGCCATGGGCATTTCCTTCATTTAACTCACTGGTGGAAAATACAGCGGTACGGCCCTTGGGACGGCACAAAAGCCGGAATAGACGGCCATTATCAGACGACCTGCCTGACGGAGCCAAGCCCTTATTGCCGAAAGAGTGTAAAATGCTTTTCGTTTATAGCACGCCCCGTGGCTTAAGCTCCGTGGACTACACTCAGAGAGGTCGTTAAGAACATCGGGTATCCCTGTGTTTGGCGGTCTTATACAGTCAGATCTGCATCGTCTGAAGTCTGGAGCACTCTCAGTCTCAAATCCACGCTACCCGTCATGAAGTTCACAGTTGCATCCCTCGCCGCCTTGGCCCTCGGCGCAATCCAGGTTTCAGCCGCCCCTGCTTCCGACAATGACAATGTCAACCTGGTGACCCGAGCACCCACCGTCTACTTCTGCGGTGACAGCACGATGGCCGCCAAAGGCGCCAACGACGGAGCCACCGACGGCTGGGGCAGCTACATCGGCGACCTTCTGACAGTTTCCACCGTCAACAAGGCCATCGGCGGACGCTCTGCCCGCTCCTACTGGAACGAGGGTCGGTTCCAGGCCGTCGCCGACCTGGTCAAATCTGGCGATATCGTCGTCATCGAGTTCGGCCACAACGACGGAGGCAGTCCCACCAGCAATGACAACGGCCGCTCCGACTGCCCCGGCGCGGGCACAGAGACGTGCATCTCCGACAAGACCGGCGAGACGGTGTACACCTTTGTGTTCTACGTCATCCAAGCCGCGAAGCTCATGACGGCCAAGGGTGCCACGGTTATCCTCAGCTCTCAGACACCCAACAACCAGTGGGAGACTGGTGTCTGGTCCGGAGCCCCAAGCCGCTTTGTGGGATACCAGTTGACGGCTAAGAACGCGATTGCTGACTCCAAGGTCACCTTTGTTGACCACCACGAGGCGGTTAGCCGCATGTACCGCAAGCTCGGCAACAGCGCCGTCAATGCTCTTTACCCCAAGGACCACACGCATACCAGCCCTGCCGGAGCCAAGTATGCTGCCCAGGCTTTCGTCCAGGCCGTTTATCAGAACTTGAACGGCACAACGAGCTTGAATAGCTATGTCAAGACCCCAATCACCACTGTGTATTAGGAGATTGTGGATAGATCAGGAGACTTGGGTCGTGGCTTTTGGGACAGTAGATATGCTCATTATTCATGCCTGCAGGAACCTAGAATAATAATCCACGCGCACTGAAGTGTTCCATTTTCCCCTGTTAGTTTAGTTGTGATGCGCACAAATGAAGAAGTGGCAATGAAGTAAAGTGCACCACTAATGTTAGGTCAATCTCGCCTACATCTGAACAAAGGTAAACTTGATATTGTCCGTGATGCCACTGATAAGAGACTGTTTCAACAGTTTCAGAAACTGGTTTTGTAGAGACCGGAATCCTGTCGTATTCGGGCCTTTGATAACAAAGTTTGACTTGCTATCAACGCACACATGCCATGGGACGGCCTGCGATTATTAGCTATTAGAATATGTTCTGGTTTTGGGCATCTTCATCAACTGAAAGCATGGGTTAGGCTCGTACTGGATCAGTTCTTTTGGAAGACGCGTGGTGCCACCAAAATTCTAGCATCTCGACACGGCCACGGCAGTATTGGATGAGACTAAACAGTTTTTGCGTTTCTACAAAAAAGAACTTGAGTCGAGGAAGCATTTGAGGAATGGTCGGAGAGCATACCATGAATCTGCTTCAAGCTTGTCTGTGCCTGGCCCAAGGGATCTGTCACGGTGAAGCGCGCGGAAGGGACATTGAATATGGACCGAGGGGCCAGCAAATCCTTATCTCTATGATCTATCCACAGACGCATATGACCCTGCAAGAAGAACTCCGACAGCTCGCGCTCCTCGACATCATTGAAGAACCGGGAGTGTAAGCCCCGGGCGACCCAGAGAGGATCAGGCGGGTTGTAGTCCTGCGTGTGCAGCATGAAAATGGCCTCGTCGCGAAACACAGGGCCGAAATCGGCCAGGGCGGCCTTGGAGGAGCACAGGAACGCGACAGCCCCGCGCAGAGGCTTGTACTTCCCGTTCCTTCCCCTACAGTGGCATTTGCTGTGGATGACAACAGTTGTTGACTCGCAGAGGAGGCGGTACACTTGCAGCCGCAGCTCGGTGGGAATATCCTCGAACCAACGCATTGCTTCACACCCGCGATATTTGACGACGGTGGTGAGAGGAGACACGTTTCAAGTGACTAGAGCTCTGGACTAAAAAGTGGACTTGCCAGTAGATGGTTTATCAGATGGAGGGCTAGGAACAAAGGCCAGGGCTAAGACCTTGCCTAGGTTATGTGGTTGACAAAGGCTGAGAAATTAACCGCTCAAGTGGAGTTGCATTTGAGGCGGAGCTGGCCCAATAGTTGTCCGCCAGCCTTCCAATAAAACGAGGATTGAGGGGGCAGCACAAGAACCACGCCTGATTATCAGATTGATAAGTGGACTTCGTATTTTGAAAACGGCATGGTACAGTCTGGGGATCCAGCCGATTTATTCGCGTAGTGCAAGCGAAGTCGTTAGTTAGACCGAACCAAAAATAAATCGCGTAAAGCCGCAAAAAGGAAAAAAGAAATATTCACCTCTCCGATACGGGGAATCGAACCCCGATCTCCACGGCGCTCACAGTTGTCCTGAAAGCGTAGTGTGCTAACCGTTACACCATATCGGATATTCATGCTCAATGTGCTCTAATAGTATCCTATATACTAATTGCCCAGGTCATCAGCGATTACATGTACTTGTCATCCACAAATTAATTCGTCAGTAGATACTTGTCATCCCAACCCTATGATATCTTCTTATTAAATGGTTACACGGGTACGGGTGCAAAGCTAATGGAATTGGACCTTCCAACCACTTTCACCCCTTCAATCGGTCTGGCTCATAATCTGATCTGTTATGCAAAGGAGTATGATTAGCAGGTCTTTGCAATTCGAGTTCCGTTGTCAAGTAATCTTTCTTGTCTCGGAGGTGACAAGTTACGTGCGATTAAAAGTAATGTCATCAAACATCCCATTTTACAATGCTCTGAACGATACATGTAATTTTCTCATTAGGTGTTGTTGGGTAGAGCTGAGGTCCCGGGTAGTTGTCTGAAAATGGGCAGGATACAGATTGACAATACTTCATAATTTGATGTACGGCTATTGATTGATAAATAAGTATTTATTATCTTGGGATTATCAGGCACTATGCTGACCTCCTAAGAGATAAGAATGGAATGCCGATGAATGAGGAACTTCTAACGAAATTTGCCAAGTTCTACGCACATGATTCCTTGGGAATGAATCTCTGGTCACTGGAATGAAAAGCTATCAGTTATTCCTCGCTTCCATAATACCCTACCTGTTGCATTCTCAATGAAACGTCTGAAGTATAGTGGCCTGCATTTCAAGGTTCGATAAGATATAATGCACTCTCTTTTTATTGCCTCTCTGCATTTGCTACCATGGAATGGTTCCAAATCTATTAGACATCCTACCAGTTTCTCCGTCCACTTCCATCGTGGCAAGACGGCAGATATTGAGTGCCCCATTGGCCGGAGAATCAGGACCCGCGTAGTCGGTGAAGCGCGTCGCGCAGTGTCCTGGACATGCCAAGTTGATCTTCCAAGTTGGATCCTGCGAGTATTGCATCGCCAAGTTTACCGAAAGCATGTTCAAGGCCGCCTTGCTAGCAGCGTAGACCTTGTAAGGGAGGACAAACTCATTTGATGGTTTGAACTTCCGCTCGATACTGCCGAGTTCTGAAGTGACGAAGACGATGCGTTTTGTTTTATCTGACTTCGCCAAAAGCGGGAGAAGCGACTCTGTGAGAACTGAAGTGCCGAAGACGTTGGTGTTGAAAACTTCCTGCCATTCTGTTCGAGGCCAAGGACCACGAGCGGAGCTGCCACTAATTCCAGCATTATTGATTAGAACATCGAGATAACCGTGCTTTTCGTTGATATAATGCACGGCCGCTGCAATGGATTCATCCGAGGTCAGGTCGAGTACTAGCGGCTCAACATTGGCGTTTGGTTCTATTTCCTTGAGCTGCCGAGCAGCATCTTCAAGGGCGTCCTTTCTCCGTCCACCCATGAGGATTTGATAGTTTTTGTGTTCAAGAACTAGCTTCTTGACGGCTTCGAAGCCGATGCCTTGGTTGGCACCGGTAACCAGAACCAGAGTGGGCTTGGTAGTAAGCATGTTTATATTTGCTAAAGTCTGCAAGTTGGGGTATATTTGCAAAGGTCTGTATGTTGGGGAGATTCCTTTGCCTCATGTCCCTTTTTTATATGCCTACTGAAGTCGCCAATTCTAATCTTATGTGACGGAGATAAGTAGCCTTTTTAAATCCCGAGTTTGAGACGGCTGCCAGACTGTATATCTCCGTGAAGAATATCCTGCTCGCCGGACCTGCTTGCTTCTACAAAATGGGCTGTTCTCATGGTCCAACATCCGAAATTTATTGAGGAGGGGAGAGAAAAACGCCCCAAGCTGGCAGAAGTGACATTCTTAACCAGCAGAGGTGACATTCTTTACCAGCATAAGTGACATTCTTTACCTTTGTGACCCCACTAGACTCCTGGCATCGGCTGTTATTTCACGGAGATATGATAAAGGCGAGGCCGAAGGCCTTTGACCAACCACTGCTATCTGATCACGGTACGGTACACTGGAAAATACTATCGCTACGACTATTGTTCTCCTCTATTTAGTATAATAAGGGTGAGGTTCTCGCCTTTTGCTCTGAGCTCTCTGGCGATCACGGGTTTGCACACATTTATTACGACGCGTATGATCGAGGAACAACAGCTGGAGCGGCTGCATCACACCTACATAGACCAATTAGGTTGAAATTGGTTGTGCCGTGGCTGTGGGGTGACTTGAACAAATAGAAAGTGAAATATAGATTTCGGCGGCCTTGGAACCCTGATGAGAGTTTGAGTATAAGCTAAAAAAAACAGCAATGGGATAAGACAGATGCGACATCTTAACACAGTGAATGGCTTTTGAAACAATATACAGCGAAGGGATTGTTGGAGCATATGTTTAAGAGAATGTTCCTGGTAATATAGGGCTGCAGCAACGCCGAATCGTCAAGCGTTTGTTAGTACGTGCCTTTGATTTTAGCTTTTAAGTCCATGTACTCTAAGCCCCTGGTCTGTGAGATAATGCCTCGTATGTCAGTCAATAATGTATCTCCGTTATCCCAATGTTTGTTCAAAGCTCGTTTTGGGTCTGACTCGGTCTGTTGCGGGATAGCGGGATTGCGCCATTCGGCACGGTGGTTGCGATGTTCAGCATTGAAACGAGATATTTTGACTCTGTGTAGTTTCACCCCTTTGTTGAGTGTCGAAAGAATCATAGCTACCTATTATGCAGTCCTCGACCCAGCCCGGGAGCGGTGACACCTCCCTGAGATCACCTGCGGGGGAGTCTCTAGACGACCTCGAGACGACAGATCGCCCAGCTCCACTTCCGTGTACCGAACGTCGGAGAAAACATGTAAAATATGATGTGGGTGTGCCAATATGCCGCCGGTGCAGTTCTTCAGGTCTTCAATGCCATTATATCCCATCTCGAAGGGGTCTAAAGCGTTGTGGATGAACGCCAAGTCCATTGGAAGCCAACTGCCGACTACGGAAGAGTCCCAGTGGCCGAACCGATTAGAGAATCTGTCGGTAGCAGGCTTGTAGAGACTGTCCCACAAACTACTGGTCCCTCTAACACGCAGGGCCAAGAAAGATCATCAGTGCCTGCGATTACTACCACCACTGTGGATCTTTTCAGCGCTTATGACGAAGTTGCAACAGTTATCGAGGATGGCGATGCCCTGATTAATCTCTTCTATGCTAATTTTCATGCTGCCCACCCAAATCTGGTACCCCGAGGCAGCTACAGCTCGCAAGGCTATCCCGATTACCTGAAGTTGGTACATTTCATTGGCCTCGGGGGACCAACTGCGTAGCCTAGCTGGTAAACCCCTGGAAGAAGCTTTTGGACAAACTCCTCGTCACACATATCATCTTGGACAAGGCCTTCTCTTATTCTCAGTCGCTTTGCATGCACGCAACGAGATAAAAGAATCTGTCCTCACGTTAAGCCAGGCTGTTTCCGTGGCTCTGCAGCTGGGCTTGTACAAGAAAGGCTTCTTGAGGATCTTTTTGACCCGTATCTTCATCTACTCGAGCTTAGCACGGGTGTAGAGAAAATTGAGAATTTTGCTAGCGGTAGTGGATGGCTGCTTACATTAAGAAAGAGAAATGTTATGCATGTATCTGACCCTCAACCCCGTGACTACTGGTGGCAAGAAGTCTTTGATGCAGTCGTGGTGGCTTCGGGGCATTTCAATATTGCCCACGTTCCACATATTGAAGGTCTTGAAGAAATCTCGAAGGAACACCCTGAACTGTCTGAGCACTCCAAGTCCTGGAGATTACGAGAAGACTTCATCGGAAAGGTGAGTATTGCTTGAACACCACACGACCATTGCATATATTAATTCCTGTTCCAACGGCACGAACCTTACGCATTATCGTGGAAAGTGGCCGCCGTTGGCAGCGGCGTTTCTGGCGCTGATTTATCTGAAGACTTGCACGACATTGTCCAGGCACCACTTCATGTCTCTATGAGGACTGAGGTCGAATTCTTGAAGAACACGTTTCGCCTGCCCAATGTGGTTACAAAATCCTCTATTAAGAGAATATCGAGCGAGGCAGCAGGAACTCTTAATTTTGAAGATGGATCGATATTGCAAGGTTTTGACAAGGCCATTTTCGCAATGGGATATAGGCTATCGTACCCATTCCTGCCATTTGAGGCTGGAACCTCATAAAACAGATTGAAAGGCTTCTATCAGCACGTGTTCAATATAGAAGACTTCACTGATAATAATTGGACAGGTAGGAGAGCAGCTTCGTATTGAGCGGGGACTAAAGCTAACCTCTTGCAGGTGCGAGCAGCAATCAGTTTCCGTGTCTATGAATATCAAGCAATAGCTGTCAGTCGTTGCCTTGCTGGGAGAACAAGGGAGCTCCCTACATTTAAAGAGCAGCACGATTGGGAAGCAAAGAGGCTATAATACAAAGGACCTACTGAGTTGTTCCATGAGATTAAGCCTGACTTCCATAAGTAATATTAATAGCTGGCTAATTTCGCCGGAGCTCCAGCGGAAGGACCTGCTGGCTACAGTTTACCAGTCTTTGAAGATGACTGGGTCCAGAGCGATATTGGAATTTTGATAGCCAAGGATAAGCGCTGGACATCTATTCGAAAGCGCCATGATGATCTTGGCTCTTCCGATATCCCTTCAGTTTAGTCTCTTATTCTATACTCACTCTCTCAGTATAGTCAAGGCCGCCCCTAATCACCGCCAGGTCGCCACTCCGAGTCAATATAATATCTCTCTTTGTCAAGGCACAAACAATGTCCCTCTTCCCAGCGAACCAATCGTATGGGACGAAAAAGTGCTCAAAGACCTCGATCGTAGGGGCATCTTTGCGTTGCGCGATCTCTAACCCGCTCTCGCTGAGATCAACAGAGCACACCCAAAAAGACCGGTTCAAGAATACGAGTTTCCTCGATTCGTCAATTCCGATGACATGGGCAACGCTTAGTTCGAATGTCGTCATCGGTGAACGAAGCGGAGCGGCTGGACTCGATGTCGTGACCATATTCTCCCCGTCTTCTTCCGTGGCAAGTTGATCTAGCGCCGCCACAACATCCAATTGCTTCCCTAGCGAGCTGCTATCGTTGTTTCCGACGGCGAGGCAGTCTGCGTCAATTATCGCAATCCTGTTGGTGTTGACGGAGCTGTTCGGATGTAACAAGTCGAGCATGATTCTTTGTTTTTGGCCGAGCGAATAGAGGATCGCGCTTTTGAGCTCTGCCGTGTCGTTGTCCAGCGATAATGCAATAGATGAAACTTCAGACCAGTCACTCCAGCAGTAGGCGCAGACTTTGACGTTGTCGACACAAACCAGATGTAGAGAGGATTCTGGATGAGGGAGCCATTTGCGGATTCCTTGCATTTGTGGATATGTCCGCTCTCTCTCATAGTTACCGCTGTCCAAGTTGAACAGGTGATCAGACTCGCGAGTCGATACCAGAAACTTCGCTGCCATTTCTCCTACTAGCACATCTATGATTGCCTTCTCGGAGTCGAGGCGGGACTTGAAGAGTACCGTTAGATCGCTGAGCCAACCTTTATCTGCTGACTTCTGGATTCGGTGTAGGAAGATCCTGTTGGAGGCATCGACGCTAAGGAGGGCGTCTCTCCGTTCAATCCAGGCCAACAGGCGGACTGGTGACTTGTGGCTGTACAGAGTCCCCAAGCTCGCTGCCATTTTCCGCTCGTACAGTACGACTGATCCATCATCCTTTCCGCAAAAGACAACTTCGGCCGTGTGATGGACCACCATGGCAGCGATCTTCGCTTTGGCTTCCATGGAAACCGTCTCGACCACTGTAGTGGAAGTGAGCCCGCTGCTGTCATCGCTCAGGGACTCCCGCAACAGAGCTTCAGGTTCCCAGACAGTGCACTGGGCGCCTCGTATGTCGGCAAGAAGCATACTGTCTCTCGTAAAGGCAAGCTGCTTGATATACGAGTTGGATGACTTGACCCGATAGAGAAGCTTGAACGTATCAAACTCGTAAACGTGGATAATCCCATTTGCACCACCCGCTGCGAGGAGACGCCCATTGGGGCTTGGGGCGAGGGTTTGGCAGTTGGCACGAAAACATTCCAGCTGCTGATCGGCAAAGGGGTCAAGGAGGGCAAGATCACCATCGAGGTACGCGACTGCGAGAAGGCTAATGTCAGGGTTGGGGTTGAAAGCAAGCGCGACGACGACATGCGTGCTGGTCTCTCCGCTGGAGAGTTTCTTGCCACAGCTACCAGCGTAGGCGTCCTCTTCCATGTCCCATAATGTAATGGGCTGGCCGCTGTAAGCGACAGCAAGCATTCCGTGGCTGGTAGAGAGAGTCAGTGCGCATGGGGTCCCACGCGGAGGCGTTCGGTTCGTCTCTGGCGTATCGGTATCGCTCCATGGCCTCCGCACCGACTCCGGCCGGGCGTCGTGTCCCAAATTCCAAGTCGCGACGTAGTTGTTGCGACTCGCAATTAAAAGCGTCTCTCCATCGAACTCCATCCCCAGCGGACGCGGAGGGCTCGCGAGGCTGTGCACCACTTGCCCACTTCTGATGTCCCAGACCTTGGCCATCTTCATACCACAAGTTGCTACGAGGTCACTTTTGGTCTTGAAAGCAATGAAGTTGGCAGCTTCACCGTGCTCAAAGACCTTGTACTCCTGGTAGGATGTGGCGTAGTACAATATGACAGTTCCTGAACTGAGACCGACGGCCAGGAACTCGTCTCCATAACTCAACGCCCTTGGGTGACCCTGACGGAAATCGATGCACAGCAGCCTGTCATCCCATTGCTTATTAGGCGCGCCAAGCACTGCGAGCCTCCGGCCTGAGCCCCCGGTGTTGTATACCATAGACTCGGTGGGACAGAATGGGGGTATCAACGAGTATATTGCTGACGGTGATAGCGTGAGGGCGTTGGCGAACATGGCAGGAATCCGAGCAAGGTCTGTGGTCCACTGTCGAAGCGCTCGTATCCGAGGGTCTAGTGGTGAACGCTCAACGGCGCACGCATTGACGTAGGTTTTGAGATGTTTTGAGGCGCGGATGAGGTCATTGAGATTCCGAGAGTTGGCAATCGTTTCGATCCAAGTGAGGACGTTGGATCCCAGGAACTGCACGACAAGCTGGAACGTCCCTGCCGCCAACGGATCAGCCCTCGAGAGATGATATGAGTATGCTGTGTATGCATAGGCGGCGAAATCTAGTCTTGTTGCTGGCAAATTTGCCGAAGAACGTCGTCGACTGTTCCTCGGAGGCCTCATTTCCTCCCCGACAAGGTAAGTGAGACACACCTGAGCCATCCGTGTGTGCGCCTTAGTTTTCTCGATGGAGAACTCGGACTCAAGTCCGCCGGCTACAAGGAATTCTCTGGCAGTTTCATGCACCATCTTAACTCTCCCATATTTGTCCACGACCACCAGTTGGCCACAGAGCGCGGCGATGCTTTCCTCCAATCTTGGGAATGAGTCGTGGATATCCAGGGTCAGAGCACCGTCCAGCTCGCTGATTGTCATAGGTCGAACCGCGCATGCTGCCCACATGAGAATGGTTTTGGCCAGCTCCTTTCCACGCGCGGCCTGCGACATGTAGCCTAAAGTCCGCTTGTATAGTGACTCCATGCCTCTCGGCACGTCTTCAAGAATCTGGTGAATTTCCTTTCTGCTGTGGCAGCGTAGGAGTTCCTCAAGCACCAAAATTGTCCACAAGAAGGAGCCCCTAGATTTGTCTAGAATCTTCTCGGCCAATGTACCTCGATCGTCAGGTCCCACGACTCCTAAGGCCTGGGTCCTCCTCTCCACCAAAAGCCTGAGATCTGACTCTGTGTCTGTTGTCGAGATTGGCAAGGACTGGACTAGGTTGGGTGGAATGACCGAGAAGCCTTGGCCTAGATCGACCGTATCCCGACTTGTGACGAGAATTCTCAGGGGTATAGATTCATCCATGTTGGAAAGAATGGCATGCAAAAGGACCGGAGGGTTGGAACACTCGTCCAGGGCGTCGATGACCCAGTAATGTCGAGTCATTGTGGCCTGGAAAATGCCAGAAAGGAAGAGGATTCTCCAGAGGGTACGTTCGTCGAGGCGATCTAAGCAAATACCATCCGCCTGCATCCCTAGGATGGCATCACTAGCTTCGGCATTGGAGCTAGCCATCTGAAAAGCCAGAGATCGTAGACAACGTCCGAGGTTGGACTTGGACTTGTCTCCATGTTTGAAGAAAAAGTAGCTGCATGCCTGGCCGGACTCCTTGAGCTGATCGATGACATAGCCAGCGAGAACAGACTTTCCAGTTGCTGGCTTGCCCTTGACCCATAGCGTCCTGTCATTTCCGGATTCCCCATCTCTCCATTTGACGTAACTGGCTTTGGTCGAAATCCATCCGCACGACCCGTGCATCCGAGCTTCGCAGACGTTTGCAAGATCATCGTCCAGGACGTCGGCAACTTCCAGGTACTTCTTGAGATTTTTGATCCTCTCTCGCCTTTGCTTCTGCTTCAGCTCCGGAATTGCCGTGGCAATTTTGCTGACAGTAGCGGCGAGCGCGTTTCGTAGGAGGGCGTAGTTGGAGTCTTCAGGTGTGTCAAACTTGCATATCGAGCGGTGGTCAGCAGTCATGGGTATCTGTTTCTCCTCACGGTATCCGAGGACGGCCGACTCGGGATTGACGACGAGTGAGCTAAACCGTTTCATATTCTGCGTTTCGTAGAATGACCAAAGCTCAAGGCCGGCCGAAAAATGCCGAAATTCATCATTGATCACTTGGACCGCCCCAGAGTTCGGTTCTAGATCGCCAATATAAGCGCGGTCGTACGCAATCCTGAGGAGGTTCTTCAGCATCTTTGCCGAGTCGGCACCTCGATGCGGCGTGGCCAGGAAATAGAATGCGGCGAATCGCCCAGCCAGCGCCGTGTGCACTGCGTCTTGTTTCGCAAGGATATATGCTTTCTTCATCACCAAGCCACCCATGCTGTGACCGATGACAACGATGTATGTCCCGGAATTGACAATGCATGGCGAAGTGCTGATCGCGGCTAGGAATGACTTGCCAATGTGGTGTACATTCAAGCAGTCCGCCTTGCCCTTCAAGTAGTATGAATCGTACCCATAGCTATGTATGCGGACGTTCTTGAATGCGGGGTCTTTGGAGAGCCACTCCTTTGGCCAAAAATGAGACTGCAGGGATGACTTGCTCCATGTTTTCCTGGAATTTCCGCCCAGGCCATGGACGAATATGAAGTCGATCTCCGGCGCCGTCGGGGAATAGAGGAGGCTCAGTCCAAGCGGGCCTTTCACGCCCTCCGCTTGATCGCCCGAGGTGGTTGACGTACTGGACAAGGTTCTTGACAGAGGAAACAAGCTCCTCGAGCTCTTAAGCGAGTCGCGACTACTTGAGGGACTATCATGATGTAAGTCGGGCTTTGTGCGCCGCTGCTTTCGAAAGAACTGGTACAGTCAGCGATCTGGTAGGATTGAAATTTCCCAGGAGGCTAAGGGGGTGAGAGTTAACCATTGTAGTCCGCAGAACTCAGTGCGCGGGGCGCCAATCTCGGTTGCCCAGACTCATTCAATTCAAGGTGACGTCGGCACGATGGTCTGTCCCTTCAAAAGAATAACGGAACAATGGTACAATGAGAGTTGTCTCAAGGAAGACTCTTGGTGGTGCTCAACCACCTCGCGATCGAAGCGCGTAGCAGGTGATCAGCCCTCCCTCCCACTTCGAACCACCAATCAGCTGGTTGCTTCAACCGCCTGTCGATGCCCATGTATCTACCCCAGAAAATCGCGCATCCAATATAACCCCATTGACCTGTACCTTCTTTGCCATTTCTTAATTTTGCTGTGTTGATTTGGTCCATAAGAGGGACCGCCCGCGCATTGTGTATTATTCCAGAGAGCCATTTACTATGGGTTCACAGACGAATCCAACCTTCGCGGTTGGGGACCATGAGGCTTTCATGGAGTTTGCTCTCATTCAGGCACAAAAATCACCGCCAGCTGCCAACAAATTCTGCGTCGGAGCCGTACTTGTCGACGCCGCCAAGGGAAAGGTCCTATCGACAGGATACTCGCTTGAATATCCGCGAGATTACAAGGGAGATCCAGGCACCACGCACGCAGAGCAGTGTTGTTTTATCAAGATCGCCGACGAGCACAACCTCCCTGAGGAACGCATCCATGAGGTTCTTCCGGCCAACACGGCGCTGTACACAACCATGGAGCCATGCAACGAGAGACTTAGCGGCAACATGACCTGCACGACCAGGATCTTGAGACTTAAGAGCGCCATCAAGACTGTCTACGTGGGAATCAAGGAGCCAGGGACGTTTATCGCGCACAATAACGGGCAGGAAAGGCTGGAGGCAAACGGTGTCAAGGTCGTGTTCCCTGTTGAACATTGGCGTGACAGGATCACCAAGGTCTCAACGACTGGGCACTGAAGACTGAGAAAGGGTTAGCGAAGAAAAAAGAATGAGGTTGCGGAAACACCCGGACGGCCCGGACGGCTACTCGGCTCTACATAGGTAGTTTATTTTGACCCTCTTATTGTTATTTAGATACAGGATTAGCACACAGCTACCGAGCTAGCTACCGGTAGCACTTTGAATAGTGCCCTAGCAGTGGGGACTAGTACCGGGAGCCTTGGCGCAATTAAAGAGATATGTCGCACGGCGAGCTGCAGCCTCAGTACATCTCTCAAGAAGCTCTTGCTCCTTAGATAATTCTCGTCAATTGACTGACACCGCCTAGGATGCTTCTCACCACTGTCTGACAAAATAGAAACTTAGAATTGAAACAGATTCTTGGCAGTGGGTATTGTGTGCCGTTAGCCGCGAGAATCGGCGTCCACACGTCGTTCCGTGACATTCTTCTTCGGGCGTGTCCTGCGATGGGTGGATTCGGCCGCAGTAGGACTGTAGGACTCCAGCCGCTCGGAGCGGGAGCTCGCCTGCAGTTGGCTCCTCGACCATGATGGTAGGGGCATCCAGAAACGCCGTCTACACCCCTCCAGGATCACACGTTAAAAAGGGACTTTACCTCACGATGATTGGATAGATCTGCTTTTATATACCTCTCTTATACTTATAGAGGGAAGATACAAAAAAGATACATAGAACCAGTAAATTGATATCATGTGGTTGTATAACAAGACCGTTGATGCTGGCAAGCCATCATAGGGGTAGGCAAAGCTGATGAAGCCGGGGGCTGTAGCTGTTGATTGCATTCATCTGGATCGTGGCGGATAGGATCAGATTGACCTGCTTGAGGCTGCTTGAGGCTGCAGCTATTAATTGTATTCATAAGGTTCATAACATACGCACGTACAAAGCGCACATTCTTACCACAGTAAGAAACACCTTCCTTACAATACCATGAGATACTATAAACCCCCTTCCTCATAAGCTCGCGATAGCATCATCAAAGACGGGATAACCCGGGGCTAATTTTCTATCGACCAGTCGCTGATTGTTTAAGAATCCAGCAGCTAATGATCGTCAATATGTGGAGTGACCTACCGTCAATTAAATAGGGAGGCAAAGCTGGAAGCTGCGCCCAACCCCTGAAGGGGTCAGTAAACACCTTCTCTTTTTCAGCTTTGCCTAATAACTAATCCGATGAGCCATTTTTAATCCGCTCAGCTTCCCCTCACCCTTTCCTTCTTTCAACACCACGATACAGCTATTTGGCCCGATTTACGCCTTTTCAACGCTTCACCATCACTTCCAATAGCGAAAAAAGCCGATGATCTCCAGCCAGCGGGACGCTGAACAGATTCGGCACATTCTTTGACACAGGAAATGAACTACAACGGCGCAGATGGCCTTGAATTCGGGGCGGGCAATACAAAAATAGACCCAGCCGTGTTGAGGGGTAAGCTACAAGCCCTTGGCGAACTCACAAGATCGTCTTCATATTGACTGCCTCCCAAGAACTGCCGGAAGGATGCAAGGTCACATCCACCGAGAATCATGGCGTAAGCTTCTGGGCGCAGACGGGTCGCATCGATGTTTTGCTCCGCGATGGTACACCGCAGTCCTTCTTCATCAAGGTCAGTTCGAAAGAACTGGGCATGAATATGACCAGGGGTGAATTCCACTCGATGAGCGCGATGCACAACGTTCTGCCAGAATTTGTCCCAAGGCCCATCGCTTGCGGCACCTACAGGACGATACCAGAGACCCACTTCTTCCTCTGCGAGTTTCGAGAAATGACTGACGATATGCCTGACCCTCACAAATTTGCTGCTCTTCTGTCAACACTGCACCAGAAAAGCGTATCGCCTACTGGCAAGTTCGGGTTCCACATCACCACCTACGCAGGAAACCTACCTCAGTTCGTGGCATGGGAAGATAGCTGGGAGGTATTCTTCGCTAAGACCATGAGACAGGCGCTTGACCTGGAGATTGAAAGGAAAGGGCCTAGTGAGGAGCTCGATGTCCTATCCCGTGCTCTGTTCGAAAAAGTCATCCCGAGGCTCCTGAGGCCTCTCGAGAGTGACGGTCGAGTAGTGAAACCTTCACTTGTTCATGGAGACCTTTGGTACGCAAATGCAGGGATTGATGTCGACAACGACCAGCCTCTTGTTTTTGATGCGTGCTGCTTCTTTGCGCACAATGAATGTACGTTCTCCCACGAAACACCTGCGGTTGCCCATGCTAAATAGCTTGGATTTGAAGATGAGTTTGGCCAGTGGCGACCGGCTTGTAATAGGTTTGGGGATGAGTACGTTGCTGCCTATAACACATTCGCCCAGATTTCGCCGCCAGAAGAAGATTTTGAAGGCCGCCTAGACCTCTATAGGCTGTGAGACACTCAGAAACTCTTTTCCTTCCTCCTGATCTACGTAGCTGATATCAAGCTAGGAGGTTTGACACACATGTATCAGCGCTTTTTGTCGATAACGAGACACTTCGCACACAGTGAGGCTATCCTCAGCCTACTGTCTAGTTTGGCGGCTAATGAGCTTAACAGGGTCCTTGATGTTATGAGAGATTTGGTCCAGAGATATGGTTAGTGGGATTTTCACGGCCTAATTTATATACACAAGGCCATCGCAGGCCAGAGGGCATCGGCCGAGAAGGGCAAAGTTGAGACCGACGAGGAGCTGAGGCAGAGAGTTGCGAACAGGATGGACCCTTGGTGGATCAGCGAACACGATGTCGAGGAGGCATTTCAACAAGCTATCAACGATGGAAAGGGGCCTAAGACCGACGGGTCACGCCCACGGCTTTGATATAGGTAAATAGGGATACTTTCTACACCTACTATAAAAGTCTTAGCTATCTACTATTTATAGTTTAACTTAAGATATAAAATTAATATTATATAGGGCTTATAAAATTTAATTAATTAAATTATATTGATTAGCTATTAAGAATACCTTTTTATTTAATTTTTAATCTAACTATAGTATTAGATATTAAACTATAAGTAGTAGATAGTTAAGACCTTTATAGGAGGTATAGAAAGTACCCTGACTCTTATTATTCCGATTGCTGCCTCCGAAAACTCTCCAGCAATAGGTGATCTCTCGCTTGAGACGGGAACAATCACCCACATGAACAAGGGAAGGATTTTTAGAGCCCGGGACCACGGTGTTCTTCGCGTCCTATTCCGAGTACCTTGGGTCTCCTGAATAATCAAATGCGCCTGTTTCCTCACGGGATACGCGCAAGTCGAGTTCAACCTGATCGCCAAATGTGTGGGGAACTAGGAACTGGTCCAAATCGTCCGCGGTGATTGAGCTGTGGCAATGAGGCATTGTGAAACGGGAGAGATCGTCGTTGGAGTTAGCGAGACGCAGATCCAGTATTGGGAGCGCATTCCCTGGACTGAAGTGATCCGTTGACAGCCCTGCACTCGGGTCCGCTGGAGTCGAGGGCATGGGGAGACATTCAGACTCGCTCTGCTGGAGTGCCTTTGGCCGTTGACCTCCCGCGAAACTTGCGGACGGTCGAGCAGTGGGGCCAAGCGATGCTGATGATGGACTGGTCTGTCGAGCAGTGCGACGTCGCCGGGTCCAGCTCTATGTTTCCGCTGTCAAGCTCGAGAGAACGCTGGCTATCTTCCCTCATACTCCGAGGCGGTACAAAAGAAGATAATGGAGGTCGGAATTCAGCGCATCTCCCAGGATGAGAGCCGCAGTTTCGCTTATAAGCGTAGGCCCATGATTTTTAGAGCCTTCGAGGAGAAAGAAGATTGATGGTCCGGCCCTTGATCTGACTCGTCTCAGATAGACAATAAAATTAACTTTTTCGCCGTATTTTCCCTCTGGAACCACTCTAAGTACTGTTCAACGGCTCCATTACTCTTTGTTTCCTCATTTGTTCAGAATGACCTTGTTCCAGTGTGTTCTTCTTGGAGTCTCTGCCCTCCTCGATATGGGTGCTCTGTTCATTAGAGGCTTCCTAGTGATAGTGAACTCCTAGAGACACTTGCGATTGCCTATTCACTAGAAATGTTGATAAAGTCGAGCTCTTCGAGAAACTGATGATGCAGAGATGGCTATAGTAGGCAAAATTCTCTCTTCACCAAACCCTCAAGACGTGTTAGCAGTGAATACTATCGATGTGAGATCCAGTGTACCCAGAATTAGCCTTTCATGGCCCGATAGCAAGGTATGCCGCATCTCCCAGTAGAGCACCCCTAGTATCTGTAGACGACTGGAGAAGCCGGAATGTGACTCAGATAAAGATATCATCGAATGAGAGCCCTCGTACTATGATCGCTTTGCTATCAGGGGTGCGGGAGTTGGTCTTAGCTCAATAGCGGTGCATGTCTGGAGGAATTCACCGTTAATTTATCTCTGGGGATTGGAATCAGAGTTTGTATCTGTGGATGCCATGCCTTTGCTGCTAAAGTTCGGCCTTCAATGTGGCAAGATGCAGCACAGGGGAGAATATCTGGATCACATCTCGGGGGGGCCTCATAGGGGTTGGGTTAAAGGAAAGAATGCCATTTCATCTTGTTTTTAAACCGCTGGGTATAGATATCAATATATTGTGCATAATCAAGATACGTGCAGTTTCTGCAGCTCCGTCGAACCCTTATTAGACGCTGGGGGTCTCACATTTGATGGTGCGAATTCTGATTCATCTGTCTGGAAATAATCCATTTCTCGTATATATTCCCCATATTTTAGAATCAAAAGGGTTGAAACGGGGCCGGTGAAGACCCCCGATACTACCTTCTCCATTACCACAAGAGTGGCATCATATCGGCCTTGATTCCATGCACGAAATGCCAGACTCCGTTAGCATTCCAGGGCCCTTGCCACCCATGTTCGACCGGTGAGCGTGCTAAATGCACCTAAGACGTTGCTGGTGCCACCTTGTTGACCAATCTGCGGCCGTGGTCGGTAGATGGACTCCAACATGACCCCCACATACACATACATGTTTGCCATAGATCGTCATATGTCGATCGTGCCGACATCAAAACATCCCCCTCTCATCTAAACCAGCAGTCATGTCTGTCACCACTGCCGGAGCACCAGCCTGCAAATTCCAGGACTCGCTGCCGCTTGAACTGCAGCAGGATATCATCCGCATGCTAGACTCCGTCGGCCTCATATCGCTCAGCCAATCCAGCCGCCACTTCCGGCGCGTCATCGATCCCCAAAGGAAACACTTTGCTGAAAGACTGCTCGTCATCGAGTGCCGACCAGAGTACAAAGGGCCTGAGATCGTTTCGATAGATTTCTTCCTCAGAGGATGCTTCGCAGATTGGATACTTGAAGACTGGGACGCGCATCGCTGGGCCTGTACCTCATGCCTGAAGCTCCTGCCCCATACTCGCTTCAACAACCACTCGATTCTGGGTCTGGCAACCCGCAAGCCATATGAAGAGTGGAATCCGACTCTCGTTACCTCCTCATGGGTGCCGTCACCGCATGGGACAGACTGGAGCAAGGCAGCTAGGCTGAAGAGGATCAAAGATGACAAGGCCGACAAGTCCTGTTGGCGGCAGGTCAGTCACTATGAGCGCCACTTCTCTGGACATGCCCGTTGGAAGCGACGGTGCATGGAGTGCCAGTATAAGGACCGCGGTTGGGACTTGCACAGAAGTCGCCGTATTCGATACGAGTCGTGTCTGGATCGTTGGTTTCCGCAGCTGGCCGACGTCCTGGTCAGCAAACGCCCGCCGTTTCCCCCTCGCATCATCAGACCATGCCGGTTTAACAAGACCGATGAAGAATGGACCATGTATGTGAAACGGTGCCCTCAGTGCGAGAAGTGGCAGGAGTTGCGGTCTTTCAGATTTGCGGGAAACCGGGTCAACTACCCGTGGTCGCGAGCCGAAGACGAGTGCCGAAAAACACAAGACGGTACGTGGGTGAAGATCACGGGGCCGATTCTATGTAACCATTGTTTTGAAAGAGAGCACGGACGGGAATCCCTGGCTCCGGCGCTCATGAACCAGTTCAAGGGTCTAGTAGAGGATCAGACGAAAGAGATGGCCCTCCGGCTTCATCTCCCACCAAACAGCTTCAGCAGGTATCGAATGCAGAAATCAGTCTACGGCGAGGAGCTGAAACAGCTTCTGGAGGAGATTCCTCCGTGCAGTCTTCTTGATGATGAGCCGGCGGACACCCTGGCCCCCGAAGACGTGGCCGCTTTGCGTGATTTCCACGGCAAGTTCAAGCGAGTCTGGGGGAAGATAGAAGAAGAGACTGAGCAACACCGTCGCACTGGAACCCCCATAGGGGAGACGTACGACCCCCATGCCGGAGGGCTACTCCTCTTGCGGTTGATGGTTTGGCAAAACCATTTCCATGAATTTGAGGCACACTGGCATTGGTTGAAGGCGTGCGCGGCCGAGATTGAGCAGAACCCGGACCTGTTGGTGGTTTGGGCGCTCCAACGAGATCCTGAATCCTTAACACTGTAGATTCATCCCTATGACTGATTTTTTGCTGGATGAATTGGATGATCGGTGGGGCAGATTCATTGCTGTAATGCTCTACACGATGTTAGCCCTCTGTCTCCTGTGTGGTAAGATCTTTCCACGTCTTGGGCATATCACATCGTATTATGGAAATTATGAATTATGAACTCACTTGTTTCTATCTATTAATGATAACCCTCATATTTGAAGCTAATATATATAAATTCATCAATAACTATTACCTTGAAGTAACGAGACCCAGGAGTTCGTTTTATATTCATACTGACGTTAATAAAGACCAAAGATGGAATTACGGGGATAAGAAAAACACATAAAAGCTCGGAATAGCCGCATTAATGATCATGGCTGCCTGCAAGTGATATGCTGACAGCCGTATGGGACACAGGTCAAGCTTCTCAGCTCGGCTTGTTAATGGTTCGACTGGAGGAGGTGAGAGCTCTCCCTGTTTATCTATTCACGGAAACCTAAGTAGCCCCGGAAACATTGGCCAAGATACGCAGCGCATACAGAATCTTATCTCATCTACAACTTTGAGAGCGGCTGGTACGAGACCGTCCTGGTTGAGTATCCGCGGGACGCTTTCGCTGTCCAATGCCTGGCTACCTTCATTGGCAACGCCGGTCTTTTGAAGGAAGAGCATCTCTACTATTTTTGTGGTCTCTTCATTCTGTGTTCGATTCGAGAAATCCCTGGCGTTTGAACAAAGTTCCAGGCTGAGAAGCAGCGTCTTCGCGACAATGGTTTGCTTCACTTGATTCACATTAACGCATGTGCTGTTTGGAATATTGTTAGCTCTATTGGTATCAGAATACAGATCTCATCATGGCGGTTCCCCAATTTTCGCAAAGAAATATATGAATCTGCCCAAAATTCTCATTGTGCTGTGTTATCAGGCTCTGGCAATTCTCTTTTCTCTTTCGCGTGCAAAATGCGATAGAGACTAGCTTTGGATGAGACTCGTCGAGGCTTTCGGCCTCTACTATGGCAAGAGGCTGCCCAGAAGGAGGCGTGTGTTCAATAGTGTTGGATTTTTGGATCACATTGTGAAGTTGATGGGCACGGGATGATTGTCTGGGTATAGTGAAATTCCTTTAAATAGTCGGCATGCTGCGAGCCAAGTTCACAGAACTTTAAGATTATCCGGCAGTTGAAGCATAAGTATCTAGAATGAGACTTTGCAATGAATAGAGTATACCGAACATTCAAGGACCGGAAAAAAAATCAGCGTGGCCACATTCAGGAATTACTTCACCACTATTCGTCCCGTCCCTTCAGGAGGAAGGGTTACTAACGCGTGCAGGTATTGAACCTTTCCGGGCTGCTGTTGGTATATCTTAGCCCAAAGTTCACGAGCCAAACTTGAGAAGCCGTCAAGACATTTACCCATTCTACTGTGCGTCTTGTCGTGGCTTAAGATACGAAGTCCTCCAAACACCTCAGTTTATGGAGGACAGTCTAGGCAAATAACACAGATTCGGTTCCGGCGGTTGCCCAATGCCAGATCTCTGGATCCCTACATAAGCATACCGTCGGCAGTATTTTTAACTAAAGCCTTCTTCATTGTACCGAGCACGACTTTCTTTACCGCTGGAGCCACGGCGAAATTGCGGTGTTCTGTACGGACAGGGTTGTTTTTGTTCAGTTCCAAGAGTTTGTCCAAGCTCCCAGAACTACTCCAGCACTAGACAAATTTAAAGACATACTTACGGAGAAGATGAAATTTGTAGATAGTGGGAAATTAGCTGAAGTCACTATTTACCGGACAATGACCGTAAAATAACATAAGGGAAGCGAGAGCGGAATAGCGCCTAGCAACAGACTGAATTGACGAACCCCTCATAAATGCTTCTCACGTATCTCAAGCTTCACAAGTGTTTTATTGTTTGTTTGCCTTGGAAAAAAAATTGGGCAGCCACCCTCCTTGTATGGAATTTCCAGATTAAACGACCTCACCTAATAAAACAATAAGAGGATAGTAAAACAACAAGAACATAATAAAACAACAAGAATAAAAAAACATTAAGAACAAACAAGAAGTAT